CTATTCTCGTATAACGATAAGTAGATAATAGATTAGTAAGATTAGTAAGTAATTATTATAATAATACTTATAATAAGTTATTATACGCTATATTATTTTATTACGAAGTATAATATATTACGAAGATCTTAATTAATAATTAGATTTTAGGATTCTTAGTAAAACCCGTTAAGTACCCTACCCTACCCGAAATCCGTAAGGGTAGAGTAGCGCTTTTTTTAAAAACCCTATTAGGTTAACTAGGCGGGCGGTAGGTGCCCTAAACCCTGCCCTACCCAACCCATTGCGCAGCCTATATCGTATTAGTAGAAGTAGATAAATTTAAAATAGATATCGAAACGTACTCTAGAAATACCGACTCTTAATAATAATCTAGTTTAACTATATAAAGATATATTTTATAGCGTAGATTATTTATAATATCTACTATATATTCTACTATAGTATTTCTAACGTTTATATTAATAATATCTTTTTAACTATAAAATTCGATTAGTCTTCGAAAGATATAATTATATAGCTAAATCGATAAGCTATTATCGAAAGAAAAGAATTACTCTTAGTACTATCTCGCCTAGATAATAGAATTAACTAATATATCGCTAGGCTTAACGCTATAAAGTCTATTATTAATCTAGAAATAAATTAGTAATTATACTATATAATAGATTTTAAGTATATTTATAAAAGAAGCTATCTTTATAGCTTTAGTTATTAGTAGATCTTTAATTATCTTCTTAACTTAACGATAGTAAAAGATACTTAGAACTTATAGTCTAGTTAGCGTTCTAATTTATTATAGTAGTATAATAATAGTAATAGAAGTTATAAAAGAGTTAGCTTTAATTAATAAAAGACTTAAAGTTTAGAAATATAAATAACTAAAAGAAGATATAAAAGAAAGTAAAGAAAAAGAGAGTAAAAGACGACTACTTATACTTCTTAAGATCTCTCTAGATTAATCGTAGACTAGCTTTAAAGAGTAATAGCGAGTACTATTACGCGAATTAAATCTCTTTATTTACCGTTTTAACGATCTTAATTTACTTTCGATTTACTTCTCTTTATCCTTTTAGGCGTATATACTACTCTTATAACTAATAATAAGAGATATATACTCGCTTTAAGTACCTTAATAGATATCGAAGATATAGATACTATAGATATCTATTCTAACGATAGACTACTTAGGAAACGGAGTATTTAGAATATAGAGATACTATTTATTCTCTTCTACGAGGCTAACTAGGATACTCAATATTCTTTGGCGACGAATAACTTGAAGGCTATTCGGTAGTCTAGATAGAGGAGGATATAATAAAACGGGTACTCTTAGATACTAAGTATTATAAAGACGTCGAGGACCGACTTTCGGTCTTAACTAGCGTCGTACGCTATCGTATAACCTCTAGAAGTATATAGTCTGACGAGGCCCCAGGCCCCGTTGAAATAGGACAAGTCCTCCGTGAAATCACAGACACCAAGGGGCTACATACGTGACTTGTGCCCCGGAATGACATAATCACTTTCGACTTCAACTTCCGGTGTTCAAGTTTCTCCGCAGCTTTTTGTTTCTCCGAACTCGCGAACACCTCAGTTGTCATAGCCTTATGATATAAGAGATGGACCGGCAGATTGTCTAACAGGACGGCGTATTATCTATCTCCTCTCCTAACGAGCGAGCTTCGCTTCGGGACTATGCGCAAGTGCTTCAGCACATGCGCGAGAGTCTTGAGCCATGAGAATCCACTAGTACGTGCTACACCACATCCATACCATACCCAGACTACACTCCCCGTCTCTTCGAGACAAAGCAAATCTCCTGTGTCCTCCCACTACTGATTCAGTTCCGTCTGCCCCGTCTCCTCAATCGAGCTATACCACTCACATATTCCCCTTTCTTCTAGGGTCTACCACGCTCTCCCCCGCCCTCGTCTCGGACGACAAAAGGACCTCCTCCACCTCTTCCCCGACTCCAACGTGGCCTGCCCCAAAAGCGCAAAATACGCAATGTCTCACACACGATCGCCGTCTCAAGCGCCAAAGGCGGCGTAGGCAAATCAACACTCGCAGTAAACCTAGCACTGTCATTCTCCCGCCGCGGCCTCCGAACAGGCATCCTAGACACAGACATTTTCGGGCCCTCGATCCCAACCCTCCTCGGGCTCAGCGATGCAGGCGAGCCAAAGTTGACAGGTTCAAACATGCTGGTCCCATTGACGAGTTATGGAATCCAAAGCATGAGCATGGGATACCTGTTGCCAAGCGAGTCGGCGCCCGTGGCCTGGCGAGGACTGATGGTCATGAAAGCGTTGCAGCAGCTATTGCACGAGGTGGACTGGAGCGCTGCCACGGCAGGATCGGGTCTGGACTTGCTCGTGCTCGACATGCCTCCGGGAACGGGTGATGTCCAGCTGACGATCGGGCAGCAGGTCGAGCTTGATGGCGCTGTCGTCGTTTCCACCCCGCAGGACATTGCACTCAAGGATGCAGTCAAGGGGGTCGAAATGTTTCGAAAGATGAATATTCCGGTGCTGGGGATGGTGCAGAATATGAGTGTTTTTGTTTGTCCTCATTGTCATACCGAGACGAGGATCTTTGCGCATTCGGCTGGGACAAATGGGATAAAGAAGGGCCATGGTGGAGAAGATGGTGGTCTAGGTGGTGCGGAAACAAAAGCGAAGGATCTCGGTGTTGATTTTCTAGGTGATGTTCCACTTGATCCTAATATTTGCGCTGATGCAGACCGTGGTATGCCTACTATTGTTGCGGAGGAAGCTGCTGGCGTCAAGGTCAACTCGGGATATTATGAGCGCATTGCCGAGAAAGTGGCGCGAAAGATTGGCCTCGATTGGGCTTGAAAGAACCCGAACACCGTGACGCACAGCATTGCCAGCACGATGCAAAACAAGTCAAAAAGAAATCAGGATTTTTCAGGCGGTCGTGCTGACCCCTTCCCACTACATTCTGGAACAACACAAGAACCATTGCAGAAATAGCCAATACCTTGTTCTCTTCTTTACCCATCGGGGGTAAGAAGTATGAACAACCAACCTCCCATGCCACAAGGCGCTGTGCTTTCCTCCACTATCTCGACATCCTACTTGCCTTCCAGAGGGCACTGAGATTCGTCCGTGGGCCCACTGCATGACACGAAGCGTCAGTCAGGCTTGCCTCTTGCTTCAGAGAACAAAAAAAGCGTGCACAATATATCTGGTATGTACATACCTTAGATACATACGTTAGCTGCCATTTACTAATCCCCAAAAAAGGGGTCAAACAGATGATTTGCCTTGGACAGAAACAGTACCTGATGCCCTTCCCTTTTGGCCCAAGAAACAGAAACAGAGAACAGATATATGATTACTATTATCTAAATTGCCAAGTATCTAAGTAGTATCAAGTCGTTCAACAGCAGTCTGAAACGTCGTTTCCGCCCGATCGTACAGTTTCGGTCTCGATGTCGATGTCGGTCCTTTCCTTTCCTCATACCCACTCTTCTCATCGTCCACAACCACCGTGGAGTCAGGGTGAATATTATGATCGCGATCATCGTTACCCTCGTCATCGTCAAGATGATCATCAACGACGCCAACGACTCCTTCCGCTCTCACCACAGCAATCGAGCTAGGGCTCCGCAAATGCTCCATGTGGCCCATCATCCCTTCGTCCTGCTGGTGGCTGTAGAGACGGTCAAGACTGCGTTGGCTGCGTGGGGTGTCGGAGCCCATCATGACAGCATCAGCATCAGCATGATCGATATTAGCAGCAGCATGGTCGATATTGGCATCAGCATGTTGTTGACTCGACGATCTTGTTTTGTCTTTCTTCTCCACAAGTTGACCACCACCGTCATTCGAAGTTGAATAAGTTGTGACTTGGGGATGGTCCAACGCGACATCATCGATGCCTTCAGGAAGCCTGCTATCGCTGCCTTCACCTTCGCTTTCGGCCCGCGACACGTCTTCCACGTCCTTGGACACGCCATGAGCGGCAAACACCGCTCGCGTGCTTGCATCGTCTGCGGCGGCGGCAACAAGCCCGCTGCGTCCGCTGTGACCGGTCATGTTACTTGCCGTGTCTGAGAATGTACCAGTACCAGTACCGGCCGAGTCATCACGGAGATGGGCTGCAGCTTTGAACCTGGGAAGGAAGCCTGCCGAAAGTAATGTCGATGCCAGATCACGGTCACGGTCGTCAGAGGCAGTTGTAGCCGTAGTAGTAGATGGTCCTTGATGTTGTTGATGTTGGTCCTGATCCTGCACTGCTGCCCTTGACGATGACGAAATAAGGGGCGGCTTTGCTGATATTGTGTCTGGTGCTGCCATGTTTATCACCTCGTTGGTTGTGCTCAATGTAGGGCTTCCCATCGCAGCACCACCGCTATCTCTGCCCTCTGTCTGACCCGTGTCAGTCACAGATACGGTTCGTCTTCTGCCTGGGGCGTGGTGTGGTCCGCTGCTCCCACGCCGTTTTCTGCTCTGACTCCGTGTCCGGCTAGAAAGCCTAGTCATTGTATCATGCCTTTGGAGTGCGCCGAGGTGGTCCGAATCGTGAGAGGTTGTGATCTGTGCATATACCCCCGTTCCACCATCATGGGCCAGCGATTGCGGTTCGCTGCTCTCGTCAACAACATCCGCTGTCCTCTCTTTCTCTTCCGTCTTTTCCACTCTCACTGCCTCTTCCTCTCTTTTCAATGTACTTTCATCATGTTTACTTCCCCAGCCGCTCCACATGGCCAGCCCAAAGGATTTCCCCTTCTGTCTGCGGGGGAGAAGATCCTTGTCCGTCCGTCGGGCCGCAAGGGCACTCGGCGGCGGCTTCTCGCCTTCCTCAAACCCCTTTATTGCTCCACTAGCAAGGGCTTTGATCCGCTCTTTACGGACACGAATGCTCACACTCGCGTACTTTGCGTCCCATCTTTTTCTCGCCTCGAGCCACTTACGCACCGGACCTGGCTTGACTACTCCCACTTCATCTGGCTGCAACTGAAGGGCAGGAAGATCTTGAACATGGGCAAGAGGATAGGTCATTCCATGCCGGTCGACCCTTTGGCGGACCATGTTACCCTCAAAAGGAGGCAAGGGGTCCCCGGCCCGACCGACACTGCCGTTGACCTTGGTCGGGTCCAGCTTTGGTTTTGACAAGTGATCGGTGGAGGCGCCTTCTTCTGTCTCGTCGCCATCGCCTTCGGAATCGGAAGAAATGATCGAGATGTTGTCGTCCTCCATAATTTCGATGGCTCGTCTTTGAGCCCTCGCCAAGGCCCAGGCACCAAACTGTGCTATCGACCTGTACATCAACTTGGCGGGTCGTGTAAAGGACAAGGTCGTTGCAACATGGCAGAGATCATCCCACACTTGTAATTGAACAGGAGTTGGTCTATACTTTTTCAATAGGACATCGTCCGGGTCGTAGTTCGAGCGATAGGCCGCGCCCAATGGGTACCCGGACGGATTGGCCATTTTATGCGCAAGGTAGATTTGTTCGTCACGCAACAATTCGCCACCACCAGTAAGGATCATGACGGGAGGAAGACCGCCTAGCGAGGGCTGCAACACTGGCGACACCAAGGGATGCGCCAGTAGCTGGTTGGTTGTGTACATCTGGATTTGATCCTTCAAGAGGACCAGTTTACCATCAAGTTCGACGGACAAATAATGCTGTGATGCTGGATGTACAGCCCCGTCGTGCTTGCTAGGAACCGATGTCGAACCGTCGGCCGGGTGTTCTTGTGCATTGTTGTGGCGCGGCGGAGCGAGATCTTCTAATTTGTGCTCTGAAAAACCAGACTGTAACTCTGCTGCGGTGGCAGCTTCATTGATGTCAATATGCCCGCCTTTGCCCTGGGCAAGAGCACTGATGACCTTCAGTTCCTCATCATTGGGAGGAGGCCACGCCATGGACGGTTTGTGCATGAACCCCCTTGGAGGAATATAATCCAGCTCGTCGCTCCCAACCAAGCTGGGAAACGAATGAGTCAAGTCGACCCAAGGCGAGATGAGAATGGCCCCGGCGGGCAACGGAATGCCTTGGTCGCGAAGCAGACACAAGATCGACACCACCATACCGCCGCCCGCCGAATCTCCTGCCAGAACGATCTCGGCCGGCTCGTGTAGACTCAACAGGTACAAATATGCCGCCAGACAATCTTGCAGCCCGCAAGGGAACGGGAACTGCGGAGCCAACCGGTATCTGGGAGCAAACACTCTTGCTTCAAGCTTCCTGGCATGTCTTTGCATCTGATACCGATGCTCGTCGACACTCCCAAAAAAGTATGCGCCGCCATGGACGTAGAGTATGATTCTCCTGCTTCTGCCCCCTCTTTTCTGCTGTTCATTGTAAAGTACGCGCATTTCAATCCATTCCGCCTTCAATTCCATCTCTTTCGGGCCCCGCCACTGCCACCACTGAGTGCCTCCCACATTCTGAACGCCGGCCTCTCCCAGCTGGCTGATTATTGCATGTGCAGCTTTCGAGATGTGTTCGTTCGGTATGTTGACATTCTCCGTTCTCACCCATGAAGGTGTCGGCACTTTCTGTGCCGTGAACGACTGCAAGTCCTCTACTGTGTGGTGCGAGGCATATTCCAAGAAAGCTCGTATCAAGTGTAGCCCTTCGTCGTAGGATATATGAGCGGTTGGCTTGTGCCGCCGCGGCCGTCTATTCGCATACTGTATGCATCGTTAAAATGCTGTCTAGAAACAGACTTGTAGAAAGGGTCCGTTCCGCACATGGGAGATGTATGTTTTCAATACTGTAGGCGTAACCGCAGCACCCACTCCAATGGTCGAGATGGTCATAGTTAGGTATATACACACTTCGGCGGTGGTCGATATAGATCACAGTGCCATGGTAGCCAGGGAACAAAACAAACCGCACCACCGGGCTCCGAGCAATTCAAGACAAGGGCCCAAATGAGTGACGATATTGAAGTGAGAAGAAAGCACCAGGAGAAAGTTAACGCCGGCCTGCATCTACAGCACAGGCGAGGAGCGGGCGACCTGAAATGAGGCCGGCCACTGAACGCGACGGCAGCCACACGCGAATTCCGGGGAAACGGAGAACACAGCTGCGCATTGGATTTAGTGGCACCACAGGCACTAAGTGGTTATTAGTGAATCAGAAACCACACTAGTCCTGAGGCTCCTAATTGAGGGTCAGCCTTGTCACCTGATTCAGCCTTGTTCCCTTCTCCTGTCGCCTCTGTTCATTTCCCGGCACCCACGCGAGCTTGATGTACCTCAGATGAAGAGCAATTCCAATGACTGGCAGTACGCTAACCACCTCACCCAGTGCAGCATACTGCGGTGGGATCTTCCACTTGACGAACAGCCCTGCCGCGAGCAGAATGGCGACAAGGTTGTAAATGAAAGACCAGCAGAAATTGAGCATGATCCTCGTGACGGCTGCCTTGGAGAGATCAATCAAGCACAGAATACCACCCAAAGCAGGCCTCACAAGAACCACATCTGAAACGCTCTTTGCAACCTCGCTGCCATCGTTGACATGAATCCCAATATTGGCTTGAGCCAAGGCAGGGGCATCGTTTGTACCGTCACCACAGAACACCACCACTGCTCTCTTGTCGCTCATTATATGTTCCAGGTATCCCATCTTCTCTCTGGGAGAACACTGAGATCTGACATGAGATGGTTGGATGCCTAATCTTGAAGCGAGCCTTTGTACAGGGCCGTCATCGTCGCCGCTAACAACTGAAACACTGATGTTACGATTCTGGAGCTCGGAAACGACGCTTCGACTGTCGGGACGGATAGCATCCTCCAAGCCGAAGACTGCGCAGAGACTCTGGTCGACCGTCACGCAAAATACTGTGAGTTCCATTGATGCAAAGGCTTTGACAGTGGCATGATCTTGCGATCGAAGCCATCGGCAATTTCCGGCAGATACGCTGCTGCCTTGATAGACGCCTTGCAACCCTTGGCCAGCCACAGTTTTGACCTCGTTCATCTGCGCCGGGACGATACCCTGCTTGGCCAAGTGTTGGGCGACTGCGGCGGACACAGGGTGCTTGCTGTTTTTGACCAACCCTAGAATCAGTGGCGTAATGGACTCTTCTCCGGCCTGTGGGTACATTTCCTGAACGACAGTCAGTTTTCCTTCCGTGAGAGTCCCGGTCTTATCAAAGACAACATGAGTTGTCTTCCTGGCAATCTCAATGGTCTGGCCCTTTCTGAAGATGACACCATGTCTCGCAGCAACGCCACTGGCGATAACAATGACCATCGGCACACAGAGACCGATAGCACAAGGACATGAGACGATAAGCACCGCGATAGCATAGGTGACTGCGTTCTCGGCCGCTTTCGAAGCAGAATGTCCTTGTCTCCCAACACCGTACCCCATCCACCCAACAAAAGTGATGATGGTGATACACATGACCACCGGGATGAAATAGCCGGCAACGCGGTCGGCAAGTTCCTGTGACCTGCCCTTCTTCATCTTCGCCTCATCCACCATGTCGGCGATAGCGCTGATCGTGTTATCACCAGGAAGACGACTGAGACGGACATACAGTACGCCACAACCATTGAGGGAGCCTGCAATGACAGGAGAGCCTACTTCTTTAGCCACAGGCCGAGATTCACCGGTTACCATGGACTCGTCGACATCGGAAGCACCTCGTACCACTGTACCGTCAGTGACAATCTGCGACTCAGGGCTGACCTTGAAGATATCGCCATATTGGAGAAGACGGGCGTCAATCTCAGTTTCCGAGTTGAACTCTTCGTTGACCACAACAGCTGTGGGTGCCTGGAGAGTACGGAAAGAGATGGTTTGAGCTGCGCGTTGGCGCGCCCAAGCACTGATGAATCGTCCAAGCATGATAAGAGTGACGATCAGAGTACTGGTCTCGAAAAACTCTCCGGTTTGCAGCGGCTTCTCTTCCAGCTGATAGGCGAATGCCACAACAGAGAAAACGTAGGCTGCACTGGTACTGAGGACTATTAACAGATCGACTTCCATCAATCTGGAGAACACCAGATTCTTGAAAGCGACGTGGTAGAATGGACCGGCCACGCCCACTTGTACCAAGGTCGCTAATGCCAGGGACACAGATCCATAGACGATGGGGTGCTCTGGAACTGGTGCCCAAGCAAGAACCAGTACAGGAATAGTCAGAATAGCGGAGACAAAAGTGATGATGCCCTCTTTCCGGACTTGTTTGTCACCCGCTTCAATTGACTCCGGTGGCTTTGTTGGTACCAGCTGCAAAGGAATGTCGAAGGAGTTTTGGAGCAAATCCCTGGCTCCTAGAAGCTCCGGGTCATACTCTATCTCCACAACCTGCTCGGTACATTTCTTCATGGTTAGAATCCCAGGGGCCTTGACTTGGTGGATCAGCGCTTCTGCACCATGCGGATGAATGACTTCGATTTTCCGACCTTTCGAAGATAACCTTTCACAGGTAAACTTGGTTGCTCTTGAGAGGTATGCCAGGACATCATCGAAAGACATACGGCTTGTATCAAGGTCGAAAGCTGCTCGAGCAAGGACTAGACTGACTTGGAGATTGCGAACCTCTGGGAACGCTGCAAGCGCTCTGGACAAGCTGATTTCGCAGCCCGAGCAAGTCATCCCGCTTACACTGAGCACGATGTGCTCAAGGTGGGTCTCGCCTTTCTCAAGGTCGGTAGGCTTGGGGCTGTACGACTGTGTGCAATTCGTTGCTGGTTTGATTGTTGGGGGTTCGGCGGTCGTGCAAGAATGGACGGACGATGGTTTAGAGACCGCAGTCGTGTCGCCAATACATTCTGTCTTTTCACAACAACCATTTTGCTTCTCTCTTGAGGCAGATCCAGGAACCCAAACATGGTCTGGGTTGAGCGTCCCTGAAAGCCCAGAGGCACTTCTGTTCTGAGGACGACAGCATGACTCAAGGTTCTTTGCCTTCAGAATACGGCAGATGCATCTCACTGCCCCTGCAACAGCGCCGTACTTGCGTCGTGCCAAGATCATGTGGTCAGAACACGCTTGAGGACGGCCTGTATTAATTGAAGGACCCCCACACCGTTTACCCAGAATTTGTGATGTGCTGGACCTGCCAGAGAAGCAGGTGAGGGGCTCCTCAGAGCAGCACTTTGACATCGCAGGGCTGTTGTGATCACATTCAGCCATGCACTCAATGGCTGCTGCCCGGTCGATACAAGATTCTGTCACAGAGTCAACCAATTGAACCACAACAAGTAGAAACTGCCTGTACCGTTGCAGCCATCAGACTCGCCAGAGGGACACTGAGAGCAGGCATCGTCTGCCATGTTCGATTCAGAAACCTTGCTAGCAGAGGAGTTGCACATAGGCAGTCCCACGGAATTGGGAGAGGGAGAGCCATTGCTCGTCCGTTGCGCTGGCTGGGGTGGATTGCAGCACGCTGAACCCATTATGTAAGACGCTTCTACTCGCACATTCGGTACCAGTATAAGACAACGAGGCTGGGTGCTAGGCGTAAAGATCTGGGGTTTCCGCGATCACGAGAAAAGGAGGAGGAAACTGGGAGAGCGGAAGGGGTGCTGTCGCTTCTATACCTTATCCATGGCAGTGAGTGGTAGTTCCCTGCGTGATCGGGTTGGCTCTCGGCAAATTGGTTTCTCCGGCTCCGAAAACCGGAGATCCAGGCGCCCACATTGTAGACCCCAAGTGATACAGTGTTGTAACTGTCCGACACTCGTCTTGGTGAAAATGATAGTCTGGCGTTGAGAGACTCTCCTAACCAGTCAGCTCAGTTGATGGCGGCCGGACACACGGGACCAAAGCACCAGCAACAAAACGGGATTGCTCATACCGGCCCAGATATGTGATTGGAAATGGGAACGAGGTTTAGAAAGGGGTAGACAGCCTTGCCCCCTACGATGCACGAGCTCAACCTGACGCTCATGGTCGACCGGCGCCACGTCTAGCTGATTGCCAGGTATCATGGATCATTGCAAAACACCATGCTAAAGCTGCAAATCATGCTTTTTCATTTAAAGCAAATCAAATCTCACATAAGCCGTGCATTTGCACCTGGCTCCTGGCACCTTGTTTGCGCCATAGTTGGGCTCTCCGCCAACTTGAAATTCAGCAAACCCGAAAAATTCGCCGTTAACCGTACATTCGTGAATCACCCATGCCTGGTGGCTGTTCCCCTAACGAGCCATCCCGACTAACACAGCCACGCCGTTTTGCTGCCAATCTAGTAATCCAGCAACTCCATGTCGAGAGAAAATGTGGAGAACCTCGCCAAAAACAGGCTCATCCTGATTTTGCGATGACATCTCCGTCTTCATAGCCTCCATCTGCACCATGTTGCTCTTCTTGTTGATCGGCATGATCGATCATATGGACAAGGTCCGCAAGATAATCTCTCAAGGTCCGATGCTTGCTGATCAACGAGAACAGCGCGTATCTCTGACTACCGAATAAGATGCGGTTGAGCCGGACGCCATCCTTCTCAAAGGCCTCACCATGTCGGTTAGCAAAACGTGCCAAATTGCGCATGATGAAAACACTGAGCATAGGAACACCTGCAGGACGGCCGGTCTCGTCCAGAGTCGTCTTGACCATCTGATGCTCGATTGGGGAGGGATTCTCCGGAGGATTCACGTCATCATCATGAGCGTTGATCAGCTTAGCCATTTCTTCAGGAGTATCAGGGATATGGGTCCGAATATGGGAGCTGAATTCAAGACTGTCCTTCATGGGACTTCGTCTGCTGCATTTGGCCCAACGACACATAAAGTTGGACGAACTAGGCGCCCCTGTACTCGAGTGGATGAAACCTCCTTTGGGATCTTTTGGAAGTCTTAGATGGTCTGCCACTATATGTGTCCAGAGTCTGTCGCGAGTTGAGTGCCAGGAGCTGCAAAGCTGTTGGGTAGCCGCACCAGAATTCGGATCCGTGTGTTGAACCTGCCACAAGCACTGAAACATGGGACGGCCATGTAAATCGAGCAGGACTCTGCGTGGCTTGATACCTCTGATGATGAAGCGTGGGGTAGGACCGTTGATGACCTGGGCTTGGGCGCTCGAAAAGGTGCTCGAGACGTTCTTAATGAATTCTGCGGCTTGCACTGGATTGTTCTGATGGAATCGTGAGGAGTATGCCTGCCAGATAGCGATTTGTGTGACATCATCGCCGGGTGACTCCTCAAAGCAGCAACGCAGCCATCTAGACGAGCGTTCAGGTTCAATAAACTGAAGAAGATGGGCGTGTAGCTCAGGAGGGATGACGGGGATAGGAATCACCTCCACTACCCGTTTCGCGTCCTTGCGGGCTTCCGCGGGAGCTGGGTAGGTTAACACCATGGACTCTGCAGCATGTGTGACAAGCTCAACTAAGTGAGGAATTAGGCGTGAGAAGTAGTGGATGTCACTTGACAGCAACTGTCGGTTGTTTTCAGGCAATGCTGTGTAGGCATAGATGAATGTCATCGCATTCTCCAAGAGCTCGTCATCTCCACCTCCGAAGATGATCGACAGCATTCTCTCAAAGACAGCCATGGGCACTTGCGTCAGCTCCTGAGGTTCGGCTGTCGCAATCCCGAATCTGTTGATTGATCGTATCGCAGACAGAAGCACCGCGCGGTCAAAGGAGTTGAGGTGTTGAAGAAGTGTGAGATACAAAGGATCGCCTGGTCTTAATGGCCAATATCTGGTGACTTGCTCGGATATTTCCAGGGTTGTCCGTCTGAATTCTGAGAATTGCGGTTGGTCCGGGATAGACAGCGCGACAACAAGGAAGTCCTTGAGCAAAGGCAGCTTGGATAGAAAGATGGCGTTATCATCAAGCATAGCCAAGTTACGCAGCACCCAGACAGCCTCATTTAGCCTCTCCAGCTTCTCAGCAGACTCCTTATCCATGACTTCTGTGGAATCCACCTTGGGCATCAGGGTTTCGATGCGGCGCAGTAAGTCAGAGGTCCCAAGAGCCCCATTCAGGACATTCATAGGCGAATCTTCTTTGTCTTCGTCGTAGGTAATCTGCCATTCTACACCGAATGCCAGCACCGTAATCTCCAAGGCCTTTTCGATCAGACCCTCGGCGAGACCTGGAAATGTTTCGCATTTGTATTTGTCACCCCGCTCAAATGACATTTTAACCATGTGATGCAGAGCAAACTGCTGCTGTTCAGGGATGCCGGATCGCAAGCCATTGAGACACCGCATGTAAATGTCTGGCCCCGCCATGGCGGTCGGTAATAGAGATCTGAAGTATTTCTGAAGATCCACTGACGCCCGGTTCTTGACAGCTGCTTGTGCTTGAGCCTTTTGAGCGTAGTAAAGAGGATCGTTGGCCGGGGTCCGAGCTTGACGAAGAGTCAACGCAACTCCGGGGCGTGGCTCGTATTTATCAAACCAGTCAAAGGCTGGATTATGAGGATCGTTCGAATTGTTGGAGTAGGTCGGTGGTGGTGCAGATTGCGCGGCGGGAGAGTCTGTCGCACGGACAGATCGAGAGCGTTGCGGTTGAATGTCTGGCTGAAATATTTGGGTGCGCTTCGGGTCTTGCCTTAGTTGTCCTTCACGTGAAGGCTAGTTAGCGCACAATTAAAAAGCAGACGACGTCGTCAAGGCGCAGGCCAGAATAGGAATGACAAAGACTTCACCGCTTCCCGGAATATTTGGTACATACGTGCTGCATTACGGCTTGCGCTTTCCGGCTCCTCGACCTCGGTCTTCTGCCGCTTGGGCGTTGCGTGCTCTTCATCTGCAGTCTCTCCTCCATCGGCCATTGCGGCCTCAGCGGCCTGAGAGCTGGGTACAGGGTAGTTCTCAAGGGTTCGTGTTCGAAGGTTGCCTCCCTTTGCACTAAGATCCTCGAGAATCTCTTTTGGAGGTGGCTCCTCGCCCCAATAGGTCGCAATTTCATACGCACTATGTAAAATGTCGAGTTAGCCTATGAGACAGCGACAATGTTGGGCAAGGTCACGCATTGCATTGCGAGGTAAGGCTACTTACGCAAGGTTCTTGTAATAAACGGTTTTTAGTTGAAATGTCATAACCGCCTCGTGAGTTTTGCCAAAGCCAAATTCACGGACAATCGTTCTCCAGGCCATACGTTCAGCGGACAGTGGATCATAGCCGCCTCTTTCCATCACCAGTTTGTACAATTTGTGCAGGGAGATGGGACGTCCGCTAACTTTGCCCTCACGGTCGAAGGTGGTCCTATTTACACAGGGTCAGCAGCTGCGGGCTTGTCCATAATATTCCCGTAGAGACCTTACCCCCGCCGTTTGTGGAACTCTGCCACATCATTAAGAAACTCCTCCTCATCTTCGATAATTGTCCGTGGCGCCGGCGCCATGGTTGCTAGTGAGAAGACGTGGTTGCGCGTCTGGTAGAAGTTTGGCTTCCGGCAACCTAAGACATTTCGCGGACTAGGATAAAGGGATCGGTTTAAGTAGAGAACCTGCGCATCAGTGACGAGTGGTAGACGCGTTGATCACCGGGTGCTGTGAAGAGACATTGGGTGTAAATAGTCACTGACTGCGCTGCGATGGAGGCGGCCGCCGTGAATCTTGACAGGTCTCCGCATAAATTTGCAGGTCAGTCGTGAGTGCCACTACTGCTTACTAAAACTGCAATCCAGATGCACTATAAGACACCAGTACTCTTCGGGTCAAGCCGAGCCTTGCACTCGGAGATTTTCTTCCGCCTGCGCTACGCTAACCTCCGCAATCTGACTCCCACTGAATTACTATTCATAGTTCCGTGTTTTCTCCGTCTCTGTTCAAGATACTCTATAACAGCATTACATCCACCTACCTAGCCATGTTCATCCAGCTGCACTGCCCTAGGCATAGGTTCATGTCTACGTAATCCCAACAGTTAGCACCCATCAGTTTCATCCGTCCTTACTCTGGCCCTGGCCCTGTCCGGCAACCGGCACCTCGGACTTACAATGTCTTCCCAAGGAACCCAAAAGCTTTCTTCCTCTCCTTTGTGTCTTCCATTGCTCAAGTTCTCATATGCTACTGTCTCTAGCGAGAGCATTGCTCCCATTCCGTGGATCCATCTTTCTAGCAAAAATAGCCTCTTTGCCGTCTTCGAAACAAGCCCTGTGCAACTGGAGAATGGGTGTGTGGAGGAGAGACAAAAGTTCAAAGTCTTACGTGACCCCGAAGTAATGGTACGGGAAGATTTTGAGCGTTGTGTTCGTTGTGTGGTGGACTTACCCCTCGCAGGAAGAATTGGACCTCAATGCTTTGTCGGCCGGCGCCCATCGTGCAATGGCTCAAGCACCGAACATCATGTCTCCTCAAATCCCCGAAGTGACTGTGATTGTCAAAGTCCCAATGATTGCTATGAAATATCCCATGCCCAATGGACAGGTGACAGAAACCAGACCCAAAGCATTCCCTGCTTACAGTGTTTTAGATACGACGTTTTCAAATCCGCTTTGCCACGAATGAGGATTACTACGAGGCCATGAAGATGCTGTCTCGTGCCGACGTACCTACGGTCGAAGCGGGCTCGTTTCCAGCCCAAAAATCACAGGCAGGTGCCCGGCCTCTCCCAAGGAATCTTGTCACTCCAAGCGACTCTGCCTCCCAGATTGGTTTGCCGGCTGAACCCACGACCCTGTATATGAATCAGAAGCCAGATCATGCAGCCATGTGCCCGCCGAGATATTCCACGGCCGGATCTGCTCCTCAGCCAGCACCGATCGCCCGTCCAACGATGGCGCCCCCAAATTACTTTCCGGCCACAACAGATATCAATCAGCGTCATCCACAGCTGCCACCGTCCGTTGCGGGGCCGTGGCCTGATAAGCAGATTCCTGGCAACCAGATTTCGGCATCACGATCCAATATTTCACTAAGTACAGCGACAACTCTTGTCTGCGCCGTCAATCGACCTGGGCCTCGCGCTCCGCCCGCTCACGCCAATAACATGGCCGACGCGGCAGACACGGTGGAGTCACGGGTAGCCGACCTTCCCATAAATGTGACAGGAGCTAAGCCTCCACAAGCAGACAACGCCCATCTTATGGACCACCAAGGGGAACTGGGTCTTCCCCCAAAAAGAGAGCTACCATTTCGTCGAACAGAACCCGCCAAGACAGAAAAGCAACGTTCCGACAATAAGCAACAACCACAAAGAGACGACCAACCACGGGAATTAGACGCCGATGACTCTAGGTCAGTGGCCACTACGGCGGTTACAGGGAAGCGGAAACGAGCCGCCACGCGAAAGACATCCAAGCCGTCGACCGCCAAGAAGCCTCGAACGACAACGACACGGAAGAAGACGGGCAAAGCCAAGGACGATACACCTCCTGTTCCCAGTGTTGAGGAGCTTCTCCAAAAGCAAGACTCCCCTTTACAACGACGTAACGATCAGCTGAGACGCATCCAACCTCCAGCTCAGAAGTCTCAGACGCGGCTCATTCGAGTTTCCCCATCGGCGGAAATCCCCGAATCCGATGCATGCTCGTTGAGAAGTCAAACGGGCAAATGCGGCATTAGAAGTCCATCTCTCGGAGGGGATGGTAATGTGACCAAACGCATAACGAGGTCGACGTCAAAGTGTCTTGGTACTGCTTTTTTGGAACTCGGGACGCACGGAGAAAAAGACATACATGAAGTCCAGAAGCCGGGATGTTTGCCATGCACGCCTGCCGACCAAATCGTTGTCCCATTGACTCCAAATTCACCGCTAGGCGGAGCTGCTGTCTCCAAGAAATTGAACCCATTGGCACCACCACCGCCGCCGGCACCGTTGCGCCGTAGCGGGCCAACGACCAGATCTGCCAAGAGCCATAAACCAAAGACCTCGGAGCAAGCTGACTCCGCCGAGTCAGAAGGGATGGAGCCCAAAGGAAATCGCGAATCCGGCCGAAGCCAAACAAATAACTCCTTTACCTGCGCCGACCTAGTGGCGCCACCTTCAGGCTCGTCGGCATCAGCAGTAGCAGCAGTAGTGACACCCTCAGAAAGGGCTCTCCCTGCTGTGCAAAAAGAGCCCACGGCTGCCAGTGATGTACAGGAACAATCGGCACCGGCACCTCACAAGAACTTGAACCACGCCCAAGCTCTGGCAGCCTATCTCGAAACAGATCCCGATCCCGGCAACGAAAAGCTACAGGCGTGGTCTGCCATGCCACCAGCCACGGGTATCCCGTTGTTAAGATCGTACTTTTGCAACCTCATCATGGACCCCAACTTCTCTGCTCTTTGCAAAACTCTGGGCTCCTTCTGGGAGAGGGAAATCCTGGAGCGACGAATTGGCCAAATGTCTGGAGTGGGCGACGATATCATGATGTCGGCGTCGCGAGATCGAGATCGGGAGGCGGAGTAGATTGTTCTGAATAGGTCCAGTCCATTCAGAGTAGGACCCATGCGAGAGAAGGGGAGTAGAAAAGGAGGTAGTTATTTTTCCTTGATGTGTCGAGGCAGATGCGGCGCCAAAGTGGGACCCACTCCCTCCTCGGTTGAGCAAGACATTACACTGGACGTGGCACGGTATGAGTTAGATAGTATGTATCTCTTAAACGCAAGTTCGCGTGTCGGTAACGACGGGGTTCAAGTTGCGGCCATCCATAATGTCATGTGCTGGGCGAGCGGTAAGGCACCTAGGTATTGTAGGAAGACGGCGAGCAACCCATCGCAACATCAACCAGACTTCATGCCATTGTTTGTCTCTTTAGGAAAAGAAAGAATGGGGCGTGTTATGTTTCTCTGCAATACACTTCGATTTCAACAATACAGCTGCTAATCCCTGGATTTTCTCAAACCCAGGTTTCTGCTTGCCTATCTGCGGACTCCCTATGTGCAATGTCTTTTTGTACCAGAAGCATGGATTGCTCAAATGCTATCACGAACAAACCACCTGCCCTGACCTAGCTACTCAGCTCCTGATGCGCACGCAGTGCTCCTTATCAAAACCAAAGCCCGTCTCGATGAGTTGATCAAAAAGGATGCCAACAGGAAAGATGGAGAACCTCCAATACTCCATGTAATGCACCTTGTAGAAGAGAAAGCCGCCTTATGCATGCAGAGTCTTTAATGGTGGATCCGTGACCGATGTTATGCACGTACAGTACCCCCATTGATGCACAAAACTTGCTTCGAAACCGGGTAATGAACAACCAGTGCCAAAAACACAGACCAGTGAGACAGCACCAGAAAAACCTCCCATAAATAATCAGACGATGGTCCGGATTTTGGGCCGAAAAAGTTTGCTGAAGCGAGAGATCAACAGTTTGTAAGTGTTAAGTGCCCGTAAGCATATGTTCGTCTGCCATGGAGCCCGTGTGGGCCTGGCGGTCGAGCCCGGAGGCCTCAAAAGGACAAAAGAAAGTTATGTGGGTGTTGGACCATATATTATGGCCTCAGTCATAGCAAAGGCTTTGTGATCAAAGTGCACAAGCTCCAATGCTGGTTTCGTTCATTGTTATTAAGAAGACCGTTTGGTCTCAGCCCACGGGGTGGCTGCTGACAAGGGCCATGCCTTGGCAAAAAGTGTTCATAGAAAAACAAAGACGCTGGTATCTCTCAAACACGCAAAGCCGCTGAATTGTTTGAAGATGAACGCCAACAGCGCCGAGGTCCAAAAGCTGGCAATGAGAGCCCGTCCAACGCCGGGCTAAGAAGTAAAAGCATCCAAAGGAATTCGCTAGTATGAAAGCATCCGCTGGTTTCGTCCCCTAAGGATGTCCACTCCTGGTCGTGGGCCTGCAACAGGGGTATATTCAAGGCCCATGTCCAGGTCCATATCGCTGTCCAAATGACTCCGGCCCATTGCTGTGGGACTCGAGTCGATTGAGGGAGAATGTTGGCCAAAAGCGAAGGTCTGAGCCCTAACAAGTTTGGATCGTTGTTTCACTTTTCCGAGACCACGTTCGCAGTCCAAAACATGCTCCTTTGCATGCATTTCAACATAGTTTTGCGGGTAGCACCGAGACCGATAATCTTTGAAAAACGTGCTGTAGCCGCCATCTAAAATATAGACTTCAGGGTATGTCAAAGCAGGATAACGATCAGCATTGACAGCACGGTCCTTATTGCGGATAAACTTAGCCATAAGCGGCGCACGATGAGCAGAATATTCGCAGTGGAAGATGAGTAGTGCTCTGGAAGTTGGTTCGACATCAAACAGCTGTGATGATAAGTGTTCCTTGTCGTTGAAGTTTACAGCACCATCAATGTGGCCGCCATTATACTCGTATTCGAATCTGCAGTCAATGATGACCCGTTTCTCGTAGAGGTGGTTAAATCGTCCGTCGAGCACGTCGACCATGGTCTCCTTCGTAATCCGCGGTAGGGCACCAGCCTCGCTCGGAGTGAAGTGGGGCAATTGAGGAACATGGGGAGCTTCCACGTCCATGATCGAAGGCAGTAAAGGTGGAGGCGGGCTCAACCGGTCCTTCTCTTGCTTCATCACGTCTCCAGGATGCTCAAACATGCTCAGAGACCGCCTGAACTGTTTGCGTGGTCTCACCAGAGGATTCGAACTCTTCCTCAGGTGTCCTCCAATAGGTGACCCGTTCCGGGACGAATGTCCTGAGCTACATAGGCTCGGACGAGAACGTGGGGGAGCAAAGGCAGGGGGTCCAAGACGAGGCGGCTGCTTTTCTGGGGGGGAGGAGTCCGCAAAGATCTCCGATAGAGACAAAGAGGACGAGGTCATCGGCTTGCTTGGGTAGTTCCCGAACTTGAAAGGGGGCAGCTGGCTCTCCGGTGCACGTCTCTGGGGCAGATCACCGGTACTATAGCCCTTAGCTCTAGTTAAAGACGGTCGAAGTGGCCCCGGCTTCCGTCGCTCCTGGGGGATGTTGAGGTGTATACCTTCCGAAGGACTTTCTGAAAACGGTGGAGAGGGGCCCGACAGTGACGAGGACTCAGAGGGTGTTGGCTCCGGTGTGGGCGATTGCAGTTGTATCTCGACCGCCGTACAGTAAGGAGGCTTGTGTGGCAGCGGAGACAGATCGACATCCATTGAATCATGAACCCCAGGCGAGGACGAAGGGATAGGAGGGGTGGTGAGGTTGCCTTGCACGCTCAGTCAGTCCCGACTAACAACAATATTGCCATGTCCAATGGTTCTTACGCTGGCCGTCTGCGGTTGCAAATATGCTGTTCGGAAAGAGCGCTCTCCGAGGGGTTGGTAACTGGGGACTTCAGAGGAGATGTTAGACGGTGCTCGTAACCCATATTCACATGGGATGGTACGTACCTCTGATCGATATGGAAGTTCTGTGAAAGGTCGGCAGCCAGACTTGCCGTGGGCGAAGAACCTCGGACAGGTTTGAGGCTGAAGTAATCTGAATGAGACTTCTGCATCGATCTCTTCATCGACAAGTCTCTGAAGTTGAAGCTGTTGTTTCCAAAGGATTTGGCAGCGGCAAAAGAGGCATACGACGTGGGAGCGTCCGCTCTGAAGCCGCAGTGGCCCACAAATGCCGGAGGCTGCATGGCCGCCAACGGGGATGAAGCCTCGATCATGTTGAGAGAAACTTCGATTTAATGCATGTATCCCTCTCTCTCTCCTCCTCTCACCCTTGTCCAATCTTGTCACTGGTAGCCTAACGGACCGAGGGAGGCAGATTTGGATCTCGTCCGTAGAAGGCCGTCCCACCAAGCCGTCCAGAGACGAATCTGTACGAACGCCACGGCTGGTCAAAAGTTCCAGGTTGAGGTGGACCTGTGTCGCCGTAGGCCTTCGCAGTCGGTGGTCGAGAAGATTTTTCTCAGGCAAGCATGATCCTTTACGTAGGATATAAGGAACGACCGGGTGGATCGTGCTTGAGGACGACGGTGAAGTCGGTAGGAAGGGTGGGCGTCAATGCGGACGGGACAGACCACCGGGGCAGCAGGTTCCTCCTCTTCACTGAGGGCAACCGAAAAGAGAAGAAGCCTTGACCTGCAGCTCTCGGTGGCTTGAGAAGAGGAGAAGAGAGAGTTTAAAGCAGGGTTCTGGTGAAGGCCCTTGTTGTTGCTGGGCAGCATTTGACGGAGGAGCAATGGAGACGATCGAGTGCCTGAGAGATGCAATGCGGGCCTTCAGGCTTGGTTGCACCTTTGGAGCACTCTGAATCCAGAAGGAAGGTTGACAGCTTTGGGCAAGGCCAACTCCACAACGCTATGGCACTGGCGCAGGCATTGACTCTGGCACAGCATTGACAGCCGATAGAAGGCTTGACCTGAACGGACAAAGGATACTTGGATGTTTGGTACTACGGCTACTAGCCAGGTACAGCTCCCCTTCCAGGCACCTTGCCTGGTTGGTATGGACTCGGCAGACAGTGTTTACACAGCCAGTGTCCAGGGCCTGGTAATCGAGTGTTAGACACTGAGTAGTAGTGGGGGAAGCCGTCCACTGGGAAGAAAGCCTTGCCAGCGCGCGAGACGCCCACAAACACCAGGTCCAGGCATGCCAGTGCCCAATTAGTAGTATTGTACGTACAGTAGGTGCATTAGGCGCTCTAGGTGCCCCGGTAAGCTTAACTTGAGCTGCAGCACCACTGACAGAGACAAGCCCGAAGCCTCGCCCCGGGCACGGAAATAATCATGAGCTAGGACCATTCTTTACCTAGCGCCTCCCGTCTGCCGCCCGCAGCTGCAGTGTTAGCTGATGCAGCTGCGAGTCAGGCAGCCCGCACTCATGCACCGAAAACCGCCGCCGTCCACTCTGGCACTTGATGCCTGCAACGGACTGCGCTGCCAGTTCAGAAACGCCGGTAACCAACCCCAGTAGTACAAGCACCAACCCTCGACCATGCCTACAACGTGCAATTGTAGCAGTATGTTGTTTCATCTATCTCACTTGACAAGCCCTGGTTCCTGATCTCTCTATCCTGCATCGATCTTCGGTACAGGCGATATCCAGAGCTATGCCCCTCTCCAGCGCCGGCACGAGCACGAGCACATCCAGATTCAAGTTGTCCAGATTGATCATCTTCCGCCGCTTCTATCAGCCAACCTTACGGCGCATCGAGAATCCAACAGACACCTTTGCCACCATCGTCAATTTCGGCTGAAGTGGAGTTATCGATCGTCTCTCCAAGAGCTTCATACCGACGCCATTGCAAAGAGCTACTGTCTATTAACCTTACACTGGCACTGGCATGTCGCTATAGGCAGCCCACTAGTCGAGGAGCCACCTTTTCAGCTCAGGCCCTCAGACCTATCAACGCTCCGTTCCTGGCCGTGGCCGACAGGGTTTGTCCGCATGACGCGACGTTGCCCCGTGCGATAACCGGCCTCGACCTACCTATCACGATGCTTAACCGGACAACGCCAGGGCCATCCGTTTTCCATTTTCGACCGCCTCTCATGTCATCGTGCAGATGTCGACAGTGAGCTAGGACAGCCGCGAACAGGTTGATGTTTGGAGGTGATTTTGGGCGTCCAAGGGACCTGGCGTGTGCGGAAATCACGCTGTGCTACCGCAGCAAAGGAATGCCTTGCTCTAAGTGCTAACGCACAGAGCACGACGAATAATACGGAATAGTCTAGATCTCTTCCTCGAGGCATTCTTGGGATTTCTGGCCATCGGTGACAGCCGCTTGAGATTCGCATTCATGCCGAGGAATTTCGGTCAGGTTCTTCTAGGAGTCCACGCAACTCAGACGAAATTTCGCTAGACACAATCAGGCATACAGCGCAGCAACTATTGACCGTCGTCACATTGACGTGCTTCTAGCCGGATGATACACTATTTCCTCCTCTTATTAGGTTATCATCTTTGGTCAACCCGGAGCTGGTCCCATATCGAGCAGGGCTTCGCGGTCTAGCCGCTTCATGTTCTCGGTTGTGGCTGTAGGTTGTCCCCTGCGACAACCTCTCGGCGGCGAGCTTGCGGCTTGTCGGTACATTTCGCAGCTTTCTCACGTTTTCTCACCGGGCTGAGCTGAGAGAGGCTGTACCCCTGCCAGCGAGCCAGCTTTCCAACCGTCACTAGTTCGGCAGAGCTTCTGAGCTCTCTTCTAACCAACCAGGAGACCAAAGTCCGCTTCAACGAATGGATGGGTCCTCTATCTGCATACTGGTTTCACACTAGTCTGATTGTTGTCGGAGCAGGCCTCTCTCCTCATGCCGCTGCCGACTTCCCCACGTTGTCAATCCGATGATGATCTGAAGCTCTCCCAAACTCCGCGGTATAGCTGACAACAGATTTGTCTTGATTCTCGCGCGACTATGCCAGCTGTAGCCGCCGTTCGAGAGCCATCTACGTCATGCAATCAGAAAACAGTCCTCACTTCCTTGATTTTATGACCCCCGGTGCTCCAAATCACGTTGCAAAACAATGCTCGCTTGGATCGGGATCGTCCAGCACGAAATAAAGACGCCAGCAGGCGGAGCCGGGCTCGCGGAATGGTGCTGCAGCCATGCGTTCGCTAGGGCTTATCATATGATGAGGAGAAGCAACGCGTAACCCTGGCTTGATCGTGATGCTTGCTGACCGGCCCCCGCCAAGTGAGACAAAGACGAGGCAGGGGTTATGCTGGTATCAGCTTGAAGCTGTCCTCAATCATCGTCGGTACAAGGGTTCAATCGGTAGCGGGGCGCGTTTTGCAGCTCAACGGTCTGAATCGAGCAGAGCGAGCCAACAAGACATGCATACTCCAGCTCCCTTGCCGCCTAATAAGCCTGCTGGCAGACGTGAGATTTGAGATAGCCCCTCGCAGTGTTGCACATTGAATCTGTCGACTACTCCAAGGCCTGCATACACTTGCATCAATGGATGTTTTGGATGCCGAACTTGGAGGACGCGTCTGCCAAGACTAAACAATCAACAGAAGCAACGCGTCGAAGCCACCTTCACACGTGACTACTTTAGTCATCAACAGCCTGATCTCTCCACTTGTATATTTTATTCCCAATCGACCACCGGCAGACGGTCAATACTATTTTTACCATCTGCTCCTGAACTCCTTTGTCTCGTGCATACTTTGAAGGAGGATCGCAATTCTTGAAAGTAGCGATGACACTCCCGAAATCCAACTGCTCACCGACAGCGGCAATACGATCTCGACAGCGTAAAGTCTTGTTGACAGCAGCACATCCGCAGAGGATCAGATCACCACCCGAGCTTACCAGCAAGCCACTTTCGCTCCCGTTGTCTTTGTGAGGACGCACGAGTCCTTGCAGCCTCGCTGTCGAGAGTACATTGTATCCAAACGTGGCAATGTTTATGATAGACAGGTACAGCCCCGGAATGATTATATGGTTCCAATCATGAATGGTCGTCGCTCTGAAACTTGGCCAGTGCTTTTCAGCCACTGCCGTCAATCTGAGCAGGCCAACACGCGTCTATCGAAGATCAAACGAGTTGATCGGATCTTTTGTTCAAAGAGTTGGCATTAGTTTCTATTCCCAGGGACGCGTCTGCAAATCAAAACAACTAATTGGCCATTATTGATCTATCGATGATGAGGATGGTCTTCTGACAGACAGTCTGGCAGCCATCATACAAGCCGATCCGCCGCCTGATATGCAAGGTACTACAGCAAAGGCATGTTCAAACATCACAGCTTCCGCGTGCACCTCTGTGCCTCAGCTTGAAAAACGACGTCATGGATAGACACATCCACGATTCATCCAATTTCCTTGCTATAATTGGGGTGTCACCAGACGGGAGAGTGAATGAACCTTTTCCACGTGCTCATGTCTTGCACAGAAAGCATCCTACACACCTCTATGTCGAATTGTCCCATGGAGTTGGTCTTGACGTGTTCTAATTTCGGTATGAGCACACACACCCAAACACTCTTCATTCAGCTGAAGAGGTCAAAACACACGGCGCCTCCCGCGATTGTGTCCGGGATTGCTCTGACCTCATTTGTTTTTTGTTTCTTCCCATCTCCGAGCACTGGCGCGTAGAGTGGTGTCCTGGGTGTGGCACGAGGCTGCATGACGGCATCGAGGCCAGTGCTTTGGCTTTGCTTCTGCGGTCGTCCCTCTGATGCAATGATGAGTCTTTGAACTCGATGATCCAGAATACAACAATGATTGAGATTGACAAACAATCTCCCACATGGCGTCTCAAACAGACCTGATGATATGGGGCCAGCTGACTGCAAAGGACGCTCTCAGCAATACCATGTACATCTGCCGTGACGGCGCTCTCGCAAAGAAGGAGACCTAGAGATATATTCACGGGTCAATCAGGTTTGCTCTGTCCCTGAATGCGAGCGCATCATGCTCAGCGGTGAGTGCAGCGGTCGACTTCACTTGGAGTCGAGCCTTGACTGTGAAACCATACTGGTATGATTCATAGGCAATTCCATATGCCTGTGCCTCTTGAGCATATTTACGGTATGTATCTATGTGGTGACTTTTCCTCCTCTCCCATCTACCCATATTTCTATCCGGTCAACAACAGTACGATCTGATTTCCATTTCTACCTGATCTGTCGGTCTTTGTACGGACCAGTGACTCCTGACGCGGCGCAGGCTGCTGCTGAACAAAAGTTGTCGTCAACCTTGGGCTTATACTGCTGATATCTCCCCAATCGGAACCTATAGTGAGGCTGGCATGACATACCTGCCACTCTCCGTACGTTATCCATCTGTCTCTCACCTTTTCTATACTCATACTCACGACAGTATCAATCATTACACTTGATCCAGCTGACTCAAACCCCCTTCAAAAATAAATGATTCATTCTATCGCGAAATTCTATGTCTAGGTAGGTAAGTACTGTAGGTATGCAATCCAATCACGTCTGACAGAATCATCTCATCTTCGAATAAGATCTGGGTTTGAATACTGTAAGGTTAAGGGCGTTTCGGTCTCTCCAACGATTGATCCATCCCTTGTCGCTCCTTGAGGCCCCCCTCCCTTATACTATCGTCTTTCGCGCACCGCGGGGAGCCACGCTTCCTCTTCGGGGCACCAGGTCTTCTCGGTCGGCGATTTTCTTGCGCTTGCCATCACCGGTAAAGCAGATGTGCTTTTTAAAAATACCCTTCAAACAACCAACCCAACTTCTCCAGAGCCTTCTCGCTCCGCCCAGCAGGATAAGTGCTGATGCCGAATTTCCTGGCGCCAGCCAAGTGCGTCGCGCGGACCAAGGCGCCGTGTTCCTCCTTGGACAACTCGTCGAGCACGGCGGCGATGAAGCGGCGGGCGTTGAGGGCGTTGGCGCGCATGTGGCCCATGACCATTTCGACTGTGACGTCGCCTGAGTCGTGCCAGCACTGATAGAAGTCAGAAAGTTAGTTTGACAATATGTTTCTGCATTTGCATATGTGTGTGCCTATATGGATATGGAATGTTGGATCTTGATCTTCAAAACTTACATCGTAATCGGTACTCATCAGAATAACCTGGTAGGCGATCTCGGCTTCGGCGGCGAGTTTGGCCTCGGGCAGCGTCGACATGTTGATCACGGTGCCGCCCCAGCTGCGGTACATGCGGGACTCGGCGCGGGTGCTGAATTGTGGTCCTTCTATATTATGGTTAGGCAAAAAATGCGAAGAACATAAAGCATAAGAGAGCAGACACAAACAAAATCAAAATCACAAGGTTGACTTACCCATGACAACCACCGTCCCCCTATCATGCAAAACCACCCCCTCCCCCTCCAAACTATGCCCACACTTCCTAACCACATCACCGACTTTCGCATCAAACGGATCCGCAAACGGAACATGCAGCACAAACCCATCCTCAAAAAAGGTATGTGGCCTAATCCCCTTCGTGCGATCGATACACTGGTCCGGAACCACAAAGTCGCGGGGCTTAACTTCCTCAGCGAGCGACCCGGCGGCGCTGAAAGCAATAATACACCGCACGCCGATCTTGCGCAGAGCAGCGATGTTAGCTCGCACGGGGATCTCGGACGGGTTGAGTTCGTGATGCGGGCCGTGGCGGGCCAAAAAGGCAATTGGGATCGGGTTTCCCGTCGTGGGACTTGGGTGTTCCAACACTGTAATGGGCGAGCTGGGCATGCCCCATGGTGTTGAGACGCAGAGGACGGCTGCTTTGTGGAAGCCGGGGAGGTGGTCGAGGCCTGTGCCGCCTATCACGCCGATGTGGATTGGGCCTAGAAAGGGACAGTGGAGTGAGAAGAGGAAGCAGATAGAGAGAACGTAGGAGAGCAGACAGAGAAGGGCAAATAAACGAGAAAGAAAAAAGGAACAGGCAAAGAACGGGTCATATGATAGATAGACTGAAACAGGACAAGAATTGAGCCTCATGCTCGCATGGCATTGCCAATGAAATGGGAATGGGTAGAGGTTCCGAATGTTGATTTTGCTTCGCAACAAACATGTCGACATTGACTCAAAAAGACAAGAGCTCGGGAAGCAGCAGCGGATGGGCTGGCTGACTGACCTTTATATGTATCGGGGAGGTTCTCTGCATTTTGATGCGACATCTTGAATGATCTGATCCAATGGCTAGGACGGCTCCGCTCTTCGAGTTCTTCTTGTTGAGACCTTGGCTGGACACTCGAGTTCAATTTGCTCTCCAAGTTCGCGGTGTCCTGGAATCAACGTTGAGATGGAAATAAATAAAATTGAGACGGTTCTCGGGGATGAATAGACAAAACTCTCAACACCCAGATATTCGCGCACTGCCTACCAGGCCACCACAGTCTGGTCTAGTCTCTAGAAATGTTATTGAGTTTCGGTATCAATCTATATCAGAACCGTCCCGTCGTCCCATCGGCGTCGCTGCTACGAAGAAAAGGTAGCTGTTGAAAAAGTAGGTAACAAATCCGATCCGGCTCGGAACAACATTCCGCCGAACAACTCCCGCAGTGTTTCTCGAATTGCGCCATCAGATACAGCCACAAATATCAATCTCACTTCCCAATACCTCATCAATCATCGTCTCATCATGAATATCGAATCTGTAGTATAACAAGTAGAAGAATCCAGACAAAAGCGCATTTGCACCCTGGACGCCTACCCATAGACCCTGGCACACACCAGGCCAGCCTTCATAGCCTTGTGCTCCAAGCGTGCTTCATATTCCTGCAATGTAATCTCAGTCAGGAACACCCCTCAAGCCCAAGGATTGTCGCCTGCCTCATATGCAAACGCAGTCGGCGCCTTGGAGGACACCCCGTCCGACAATCTGGTGCCGAGATCTAATTGTGTGGGCCCCCCGGCCACAACGACAGCGGCCCCTCCATGCTGAACTTCTGGTTGATCATGACTCCCATGGGGTTCACTGGTCGGAAACCTGACATCGAAATCGTCGGTCAAGTCGGGTTGAACTCCATGGTTGGTGAAAAGCAATGGCCCTTCAAGTCTGGTTCCACCCAGGAGTGCTCCTTGATGGCCAACGAGGTGGGCAAGCAAAACATCATGTCCATGATAGATGCCCGAATCGTCTCCCAGCATCAGACATACAAGACAACGGAAGGACGGGTCCTTGGGTTCTTTCTGCTGTATATGCGACTTGGCCAAGAACATCCAGCGCCACTGGATGCCGGACGGCGAGCTGAAGATTTTGTCATTGACGTGGTAGCCACTTTTGTCATGTATGGCATTTCCCGTGAATTGACATTTGCTGCTTGCACACTTGTAGACCAGCTTTCCGCTATAGACACTGGCCGGTGCCAGTGAGAGGCCCTTTTTAATGGAGCCTTCTCGGAGATCATATGCATGCTTGCAGAAGCCGCCGTACTTGGTGATGGGCGAGATGGTGGTTGCAGTAGACAACGTCGTGCCGTGCCGCGACACTGTCGTCATGGAGGAAAAGCCCGTGTCCGAACGAGTATTCGTGGGAGCGACCAAGACTCCAAGACCGACTGGGTCCTCATATCCTACAGTCGAGTTTCGACTTTCCATGCTGGAAAACGTGTTGCTGGAGCTTGTGGAGGCAGCAGTGTTGCGGCGCGGGTTGTGTGGGATAGGCATGTCTTGTTGCGAGGCTCTTGGTGAAGGATCCAGCTCAGCTGCTTGAGGGATGGTGTCCATGGGAGTCGCAGATTGTGAACCACTCTCTTTTCGACGGAAGACGTCGTTGAATGTCCGAGACTTCTTGACCTTCTTCGGCGGAGGATTGGGTGACGGAGCCTGCTCGGGCTTGGGAGCAGGAACTGCTTGAGCCGGTGCAGTCTGGCCCGGAGGGGTCGGTAGTTGCGTTGGCTGCTGAGGCGGCGGCGATAGTTTCTGGTCTGGGTTTGGCTGGGGCGGCCGCTGCTGAACTTGTTGTCGCTGTTGTTGTTGTTGCTGCTGTTGCTGCTGCTGGCTCTCACTGGCAGCATCCCTCTTCTTTCTTTCCTGCTCCTCCTCCAGCTTGCGCTTGTAGAGGTCCGCCAGGGCACCCAGGGCATCCATGCGGGCCTTATCCGAGGTGTCGATACAAGTATCAAAGTCGATGACACCGTCGTCATATCTGGCCTCGGCCAGACTCTCCAGCAAGGCATTCTGGGTCGCAATGGTGATCTGGTAAAGGGCAAGCTGTGCAGTCACTGTGATTTGGCACAGTCAGCCTTACCGCCATGGGCGGGCCTGAGGCATTCTCAACGTACCATCGCCCTCCTCGAAGCTGGGGCCGAATCGCTTTGTCCCCTTGGCAACAAGTTCTTCTATAGCTCTCTTTCCCTCTTCGACAGATTCTTCGAGGTGGTCCGAGGGTGGTAGGGCGTCGTGGGCGAGGCGTCGAGCCTTGATCTGCCTGACAATGCGACTGCCAGCATCGTAGGCTTGGATCAAGCCGGCGACGGCACTGACAATGGCAAGAGCCTCGCCTACTCCGGACATGATGTCCTAGTAGTGGCGAGAAACCAATTCTGTTGGTGACACGGTGATTTCTGAGTTTCTGCAAAAGGATGCGTGCCGTTGCGCCGCAGGTGATAGAAGAGGTCTGTAACGAGCCAGGGGAGCGGACAGGACGAGAACTCCCGCATCCTGTCCTACAAGGCTGCGCCTCTTTTTGGGTGACTCGACCGGGCTCACAGGGGACAGGGACTGCTTCTGCTTGGTACTTTTAGCGGGCAGCCACAGCGGCGCGGCTTGGTGTTTCTTGTCATGGCTTGCATAGGCGTCCGGGATCTCAGCCGCGACGCACAGCTGTGCAGTCAGTCGAGCATCGCGGTGGTGCACGCCTTAGTAGATGGACGTAAAAGCCTGTCCATCGCCGTAGTGTTTGGTTGACAATCTCGTCAGAACTATACAGCATCTTGAAGGGTAGAAGTCGTAGGGAAGTACATTGTACGAGAGTTGCATTGGTAGTAGGTATGGATGGGAACCGGGGGGTGAGGTTTGGCTCCCGCAGTACACCTACAACTCGATAAATAAAAAGTTCCGTAAATACCTCCTAGGTACGAACTCACATTTTCCCCCGCAAATTCAATCGAATCCTTCCAACAAACCACGGCCGAAACGAATTAGACCCTTGCCGCCTCGAAAGAGCAAGCAATCAATCAATCAATCAAGACTCTATAGGCTGGCTCGGAGAACATCTGGTGAAATACAAGGAGGGGATTCGCACAACCCACTGGCACACGATCAAGCAGACAGACCAAGCAAGATGTTCCACGTCCCCAACGCGAAAAGGTAAGCCTGCCACTGTCCCGGTCCCAAGAAATAGACCCAGACTGATTTTATCCCTTTTCCGAAAAAAAGAATCAAGAGATCAGAACTCTTCCAGGTCGACGACGACAGTCAAAGTCAAGCTGGCTCCGAGACAGGCTCTAGAGCCGGTTCGCCGGCCCAAAGCGATGCTGACACTGATGCTGTCGTTCCTGTTCCAAACTATGGCTTTGAATATGAAATAGTTGAAGCCGGAGAAGCTCCTAATAATCGAAATCAGACTCCGGAACAGCATGACGAAGAAGAGGAACAGGAATACCAATTCCGCCTATTCACGACATCATCCAAACCCAAAACCGGCCAACAGCCCTCAACCACTACCACCACTACTACTACTACCACCACCAAACCAACCATCCGCCTCTCCCGAACGCCATCCCCAGTACCCGAGGGGTTGTCGCTATCCCTATCCCTGGACAAAGCGCATTTCATCAACCCCAGTCGTCCCGAAACATACTACTTCACGGCCTCTCTTCCACAGGAAACCATCCAGATTTTACGACGGCAGTATACCGAGGCCGCTCTCTCGACCAACGACATCTTGGTCCGTGCAAAAGCGACAAAATGGCCTGGAACCTCGCTGCCATGGCGAGTCATTCATGTGAAGAAGGCGGCGGATCGGACCAAGAAGTCGTCGTCCCAGTCTAATGACGACCCTGGCAAGGTCACCGTCAATGTTGATGGCTCAACAGTGAAATCGAAATCAAAATCAAAACCAGGCAAGAAACGCCGGATCGTGCTCCGTCGTCGACTGGCGAAAAAGGCCGAATTTGCGGCTCAGGCCCAGGTGGCCGAGTTGACTGAGAAGGAAAAACGGACCCGGCGCAATCGGGAGAAGAAAGTCAAACGCAAGGAGAGGGAGAAGCGGAAGAAGGAGATGGAAAAGCTGGCGGGCGCGGGTCCCCAGATGATCTCGAACGATTGGACTAGAGGTGAGGGAGGTGAAGGAGGCGGTGTTTCTCAGAACAGTGACGGCGATGGAAGCAACTGACTTCATCCCAATGGTTCATCACACTGGCATCAAAAGTATCAGTCGCAGATACAGCTACCTTGTGCACTATTCTACGCAACACATTGTACTAGTTTTGGACTGGTCAGGTTTTGCATGGCGTGTACTGGATCACGCTTCATTTAGGCGTTTTCAGGTGCAATCAGTCAGCGAGGTTGAGCTCTCATAAAAAGGTCGATTTCTATCTTGCCCCAAACTTAAGTTTTTATTTCCGGCTAGAGTTGTCGTCTTGTCCATCAACATCACCTACCAAGGTAGATACTGTAAGAGGTGCACAAACTGAGGTTGGCTCAGCTTGTACAGTACTCCATCTTCAACATCAAGTGCATCACATCAACATCAAAATTAGTTCAACTTTTAATTTCAAATCCATGTATCAATCATTGCGGGTGAGTTGCTCTTCTCTTCTCTGTCCCCCAGAACATTCCTTCATTTTCCAGACCTAGGTCTGCTACCGATGCATGTTCTTTACTGCCCATTTGTAATAGCGCCAGCAAGCCTCTTCCTCATGAAATCAAAGAAAGCAAACTGACTCGGGCTAGGCCCGTACTCATAGACGAAGCGACTGGCCAAATAACTGCCAAAGATGGCCTTGAGGTATTTCTCCGGCACGCGCTGGAGGATCTTATCGATGCCGATCTTGCTCTGCAGGGTCTTGGGGAGGGCTTCCTTGAAGACCGCGATGCGCAGAGGCAAATTGTCCCACAAATCATTATAATTTTGAAGCTCCTCATCGAGTTTTGTAATGGCCAACGAGAGCTGGTCGGAAAGTCGGGAGCGGGGAATACCCGTCTTGTGATGTTCGCGCCAGATGGCCTCGAATTCGAGTCGGGCATTGCGTTGGATGGTTTCTTGGACCTCCTTGACGTAGGCCTTGTAGAAGTCCGGGATTGTGCCGTCGGCATGGACACACATGTTCTCAATGAACCCTTGGTCATCGAAAGACAAACTGGCCAGAACTTCGAGCGAGGACGAAGTCACGCCGCCCTTGTTGGCCGAGGCGTCCTTGTAGATGATACAGCCGGCCTTTTCGAGGCGGAGTTTGGCGTCTTGCGTGATGAACAGGTTGGCTCCTTCGACAATGTACGGAATCGTAGATTTGCCGTTGGCGATGAGCTTGCTTGTCGTGGACAGGTCGATCGACTCGGGTCGGCCGCCACAGGGCACGAACAGGTCGTATGATGTGCCGTCGCGCAGGTGGAAAGTGTTGCGGAACGTCATGCCGTTGTGCACTTTCTCACCGCTCGGCAATGTGATGTTCGACTCGTCAACCAACACTCTATATCCTTCCGATGAGAGCTTGGACATGTCGTACTCTTGAATCATCACCCGCTTCTTGGCTAGACGGATCAGCTCGTCCCGGTCCAAGCCGTTGGGATCGAACAGGACACCAGACCCGTCAACAATGGCAATGTATTTCTCGTTGCTGAGCAGGATTTCATTCGAGCCCAAGTCTCCGTCGGGACCGCCGGTCTGGAGCTTCCTGATCTTGCTGGGATCAAGGTTCAACTTGCGGTAGATGCCCAGGACGTATTCACGAACGGACAATGTGGTCATTCCGTACTTGTCGTGCGGGATGCCACCCAATTTCGGACTCTTGCCCGTGAAAAATGACTTCCACCAAGGTGCTCCCCGGTTACGCGCGTGTTCTGTTGCCCAGTCAACAAGATCCGCAGTGTTCTCGTCGGGGCCCATGAAAAGGATCTCTTCCTGTCCGTAAAGATCAACGATCGGGTCTTTGATGCCCGGGCTGGTTGGAGGCAAGAGAAGGTCCATGATACTATCGATGTACTTCTCAAAGGCGACCCGGCCCTTATCTTGATGGTTGAAATCAAGTAAGATCACGCCCTTGGATCCGCCTTCGGGGATATCCTTGTTCTTCCTCTGTTGCGTGTTGGCAAGGTTGTAGTTCTCGTCGAACTGCGTTCGGGCATTGATGGCGTAAAGTTCCTTGTTACGGGACTTGACGATTCGGATGCCACCACGGGCGATATCACGGAACCGCAGATGGAAGCCTCGGAACTCGGAGCCGATGACCAAAAACATGCCATACAACGGTTGCGGGTATTCATGCTCGGGTAGGAAGTCAGTGCTGGGCTTGAGTCTGAAACTGAGGGCAACTTTCGTCGGGGTGTAAAAGTTGGTCTTCAGGACGGCTCGGTTGAACGTGAGGAAGTATTGCATGACCATTTCATCATGCTGGTTGGTCACAGTCTGGGAAATCATCTCGGCCAGACTCTTGTCGTCAAGCACCTGTTCCACATTCAAGCGCAGGTAGCTGAGGGTCGGGATAAAATCATCCTCGTCACCTCTGGTCTGGACATAATGTGTGTTGGCAAATGAGAGGTATAGGGAGCGGATCAAATCGGGATATTTGTTGATGATCTCGAGGATATAGTCGGCCGTGAAAGTCTCCTCGCGGAGTCTCTTCTTGATCTTGGCAAGTAACTCTGCATTCGTGTTACTGTCTCCTTTCAACGCGGCCACCAGTGAGGCATATTCAGATCCCAGGCGGTTGAGGAATTGTTGGACGAAGATATGCACGCAATGAGCGTAAATACTTTCCTGCAAGCTCAGGTTGCCGCTTGCAAATTGCCCTTGCAGCTTGTTCTGGGGAATGCAGAACAATAATGAGACCTCCTTGATGATTTGGTGGATCGAAGCCTCGATCGGCGGGTATCGAGACTTTGCAATGTCGTTGGTGGCGGGCTTGAGGTAGAGAGAGATGACTGTAATGCCGTTGGAGAACTGCTCGACATACTTTCTTGAGCTGGTGATTCCGTAGTAATGGTAGAGATCTGACAGGGCACTGAACACGCCCAGGGCCGAGCCTTGTCGATATGCGATCACCAGCCTCTTCTCGCGTGTGCCTTCCATCTCGAACATTTCTATGACTGGGCCGGTTCTTTGCACAGCATAGGTGATGATCTCTTGGTAGATCTCTTTGGTCTTTTGGGTGGCTTTTTGCAAGAATCTCTTCTCGCCGATAACTTCGAGATCGGTCTCGTCCGGTCCCGGGTTGGAATTCTGGAATTGACATTGGTATACGAAGTAGCAGCGTAGCGACTCATCGGGATTCTCGGGGAGGGCGTTGGTAGAGCGGAAGGACTCGACGCGGTAGCTTTTGCTCGGCGTGGATCCGTCGATGTACTTCTCGTCGATCCTTTGCTCGTAACCCGGGCCCCCAATATTGCTGAGCCCGGGCTTGCTTGTATCAATGTACACGGCGTGGTCAGCCGCCTCTTTGGCGACTCTGATTTCCAACTTTTTATCATCTCGAGCATATGCCGCCAATTTTGCTGCGTACAGCGAAAGGATGTTGCTCGCGACTGCTTCGACCGTCTCGGTTGCGAAGTACATGTCGTCAATGCCAAGGGCATTGTAGAACCACTCGGTCTCGGAAGCTATGAATTCAGGGGGCAGGAAGCCTTTCTCTTCAATGAGGTCCATGACTGCAACGAGGTCAGAATATGTCCTCTGCCGTGGGTCACCCAGTATCTCTTACCTTCCTCCATCTGGGCTTTCTTGCCCTCAAACTTAGGGGCGACATAGCCAGAACTGTGGTCAGAAAGGATCCGGTGCAGCGACTGATTGGAGCTGGAGGCACCTGGCACTCCCAGCAATGTAGGCTGCGGCGACGGCTGTCTCCCCGGAGTCCTGATGGTTTGCTCAATGAGCTTGTGCTTGGCCGGATTCAGGGGCTGTTCGCCGTTCGTTGCCGGAGAGTCCATGTTGGAGATACGGTACGGACTCGTCGTCGCGAAAGGGTAGAGAGTGACAGAGGGGCGGTGAGGTAGCGAAAGTCGAGTTGATACGACGTTCGAAAAGAGAGTAACAGGCTGGCTATCGCCTGATCTGGTGTCAAAAGCAGCGGTGGCAGTGAAAGGCGCAGGGAGACCAACTCGTGCAAGTTGGCTCACATCAGACAGATGGTAGTACTGTACAATGTACACACTGGCAGCAAGTATACGCGATAAGCCCGTATCTGACTACAGCGGCTGGACTTAGATATATAGCGTGAACTCGCAATTGACCTCGCGGGGCACCAAAGGAGAAAGTGATTCCTTGCGGTCAGCGTGGCTCCATGGAATTCCACGTGTGTCCGCAGCAACGTCTCCTGGGCTCTTTATTTGCTCTTTTTATTATTGCTTCGCCGACTTGACAAGACGCTTTGCGCAAACTTTTCCGCAACTTGCATCACATGGTTGCAATGGCGAGATGCTTCAGGCACTTCTTACGCGAGAACATGGTCTTGATCCCCCGCAATTGGATCGCCGTGCCACTAGACTCAACTGTCTCAGGCACCGTGTTCTGCTAAATCCATCCCAGTTGCCCCAGGTACGAGTCCAGATCCTATCAGCGCCGCCGCCCGCCGTTGTCCTCGCCGCCGGGGCCGGTTAGCATCGGGGCCATTATGTAAGACTTCTGGGCAGGTGATGTGTCCAGGTCGGAGCCAATCTGGGCACGTCATCCGGGTCCCCAACGGATTGTATCACCTTCAAGTTGCGGTTGAGGGTCGACAGAGAACTGACATTGTACACAGTGCATACCTTGGGATAGCATGGATATGATGCTTGCATTAAGGTCTATCAGCTAGATTGTCAAGTAACCCGCGAGGGTCATACAGACAAGATAAACTCGAAGGGCGGCGCGGCGACATGGAACAACCATAACCCGAAAACGGCATCACGTGATACCCCTCTTCTCCAGACTTTGGCAGTTCCGTAAAAGCCCACTTCCACTGATTAACTTCAATTGCACTTGCGGGTTCCTGATCTGCATCTCCAGAGCAGACCCCCAGACAGCCTAGCTCCGAAGAATCGCTCCGAATGATCACTCCTCAGGCTCCGTTGCAGGTCTTAGCAGTGGCGTAAAGCCATGATTTGAGGACGCAGATCGGGTCGGACCGGGCTGAAGAGACCTTGGAAACTCCAAGCACTACAAATGCCAAAGCTGTATGTCCGGAGGAGAGATGGGCTCATAGACGGGAGGAGCAATTTCGTGAGTCAACATACATGTTGTATTCGCGCCTGAGCTATCTATCAACCATACTTTGCGTCTTGAACAAACCCACCCGAAGCCCAAGCTCCTACGCTGCGTTTCTCAAAAGGCTTCATGATACTCGAACAAAAACAGTGCATTCATAAGGAGTGACTGTGGGTTCAAGTTTCCAACATAAGTGAGTGTCTCGTTGCCGACCAACAACCCAGCCCTGATGAACGGTCGGCGATTTGATTTCCTGACGCTGGACTCTCATTTGCCCCACCTTGAGAAAAGATTCCTGCCCTCATGTTCCTTTATCCCCTTCTGCCTTTGCCGTTCCCTGAGAACTCTCAGAGCTCAGGCGATTGGCTTAGCCATCAAAGCCCAAGGTAAAGGTCACTTCGCACCTGGAACTGAGGGTGTTCGTTGCAAAGCCGGTATCAATATCGTCGTGATGACGAATCCATGATCTCCGAATTTGGCTGATCGACTCGCTTCCTTTGGACGTCTTCTGGATGAGACCGATATGATTGGTCTACTATTACTTGCCATGGCATTCGCATCGATCTTACTGCCTTTGAGTCTTGCACTTGATGTTCGAGCTGAAAAGGCGAACCCGTCAATGATCGCTGTAAGTTGGCACTCTCTCTCATCAGCACGCGGGCGACGGTCCAAGCTCTACTTATTCTTGGGGAGGGTCCTGACTATTTATAGATGCTCGTGTGCGGCTGTGTGATACTGGGAACCTTCATCTTCTGGGAGACGAAACAGGCGCATTTTCCTCTTTTCAACAAGCGTGTCTGGCACAACAAGACTTCATTTGCTCCGTGATCATCGCACCTTCCACATGACGAGCGGGACCCTCCGCTCAACGTACCATACTACCTGGGTGTATGTGTGTATGTGATCAAACCCTGGAGCAACTGTAACTGGCGGAATTTCGTCGTCATCACCACTGTCGCGCCAACGCTGTTTGGCTTTCTTGCGGGACTGTATCACCGCGTCTTCCACCGCTACAAGGTTCTGCAACTCCCGGGCTTTCCATCCGTCTCATCGGCCTGGGGATCACGTACTGGGCAGTGGGAAAGAATGCAAGTACTGCGGCACTAGTCATGTCACAAATCCTCCGCGCTGTTGGCGGCGCATTTTCTCTCGTCGGCACGCGTGTTGCATCCCATGCTTCCGTGCCTCGTCAGGATCTTGCCAGCATTATCTCGCAGTTATCTTTGTGGTCCAAACTGGATATCCATGGTCGGTTGAGAGACGATGCGGTCGGTCCACTGCAGTGGTCGTATTTTTCAACGAGAAGTCGACCCACTAGTGCAAGAACTCTATTGGCCATCCTTTTCAATCGGCCCATCTCATTCGCCACCCCTGGCCAACGGTGGCGCCCGAAATGGAAATAAATGTCGGAGTTTCATCGAGTCGCGGACCCTGCTGCTCCACTCTCACTCCACGTCAGCCAGCCTATCAAGAGCGGCGCCAGCACATGGCGACATCGCGACATCAAAACTGGACGGGCGTTCAGAATATAAGATGTATTTTTTGCTTATACGGATTGTCCTGATGGCATTTCTCAGTCTTCATGTTGTAACAACGGCATGGCACCCCTGATCGAAGATGTGCCGAGCGGCCGTGAACACTGCGCGATTTCCCGAGTCGAAAATGGCCACCGACCCGACATCGACATTGCCATAGACCGGGGCGGGACCTTCTGTGATGTTATAGCCAAGGTCCACGGTCGGAACGATATTATCTTCAAGCTGCTCTCCGAAGATCCGCACAACTATGAGGATGCCCCGAGTGAAGCCATCCGGCAAGTTCTCGAGATCGTGGAAGAGAGACCTATCCCTCGTGGAACCAGATTAGATGGCTCTAGAATCGGTACGTGCCGCCCACAGTTTCGACTCAAGTGCAAGATCAAAGCTGATGCCGTTTCCGGCAAATCCAGCATCGTGCCGGATAGGCACCACGATTGCCACAAATGCGCTTCTTGAGAATAAGGGCGAAAAGTTTGCGCTCCTCACGACAAAAGGTACTGTACGCGACAGGCACCACAAACTCCGAGGCCACCTTTTGATGATTTCTGTTCTGCTGCACAGGTTTCAAGGACGTCTGTGTGATTGGGGATCAAACCCGGCCCAAGATCTTTGCTTTGAAGGTGGAAAAGGCCAAAGCCTTGCACCACACCGTGGTCGAAGTGGACGAGAGAATCACCATTGAAGACTACGACCTGAACCCTTTTCCCATGAACAAGAAAGCAGAGACTATCACTACCGATCCAGATCTAGTGCGGACCCAGAGCGGCGAGATCATCCGGGTCCTCCAACGGATCGATGAGAACAAAGTCCGAAGCCAACTACAGGCGCTTCGAAGCCAAGGGTATACCTCGATAGCCGTGTCTTTTTTGCACTCATATCTGTACCCCGACCACGAGAATCTCGTCGCGTCCATGGCCAAGGAGCTGGGGTTCGACTATGTCACGACATCAAGCGCCACGAGCCCGAGTATCAAGTACCTCCGCAGAAGCGCTTCCGCTTGCTCCGAAGCGTATCTATATCCGGTCGTTCGAAAATATATCGAAAAGGTCGAAGCCGGATTCGACGTGCTTCCGCGCCGGTTCGAGTTTATGTGTTCGGATGGAGGGCTGAAACAGGCTCAAAAGTTCGGAGGCAACGAGGCCCTGCTCAGTGGACCGGCCGGTGGTGTGGTTGGCGTGGCCAAGTCCTGTTATGATGCCCGAGAAGGGACGGCACTGATTGGATTCGACATGGGCGGAACGAGCACAGACGTGTCTCGATTCGACGGCACATATGACTATGTGACCGAGACGCGGCTGTCCAATTACATAATCACGGTCCCGATGCTGAACATCCAGACCGTTGCTGCTGGAGGCGGTTCCATCTTGTTTGCCCGGAATGGCCTGCTGGTCGTAGGCCCCGAGAGTGCTGGGGCGTATCCCGGCCCGGCAAGTTACCGAAACGGAGGTCCTTTGACGGTGACGGACGCCAATCTGTTTCTGGGGAGGTTGGACATGTCCTCATTTCCGGCAATTTTTGGCCCGGATTCCAACCAACCGCTGGATTATGAAATCGTGGCCCGGAAATTTGAAGATATCACGAAGGACTTCAACGCTCAGACCTCGAAGAACCTGACCCCGGAAGAGGTTGCGCTCGGATTTCTCGACGTGGCCAATGAAACCATGAGCAGGCCGATTCGGAATGCAACAGAGGCCAGGGGCTACGCACCCGAAAACCACAATCTCGTCAGTTTTGGAGGCGCCGGCGGTCAGCACGCATGCGCCATTGCAGATAAACTGGGGATCAGGCGGATCTTGATCCATAAATGGTCCTCGCTCTTGTCGGCGTACGGGATCTCTCAGGCCCAGCTTCAAGCCGATCGATCAGATCCTTATGCCGGAGACTTCACACTCGAAGAGCTGCCGGAGATCCGACGACGTCTCGAGAAACTGAGACAGACGGTTCAAGAAGAACTTGTGGCGCAAGGGGCCCAGAAGGATTCTCTACAGTTCGATGAACGCCTAAGTTTGCGGTATTTTGGAACCGACACCAATCTCTCCATCTCCAGGCCTGATGACGAGGACTATGGCAAGGCCTTTGCTGCCGAACACCTGCGGGAATTTTCATTCGTTCTTAGCGGCCGTAGAATCGTCATCGATGCCATCCAAGTCCGAGGCACGGGAAGCGCCGGGGCTGACACTGTTGGCAAGACGATCCCTCCCACCGAAGAGCTCGACCGGATCAAAGAGCATCCGAAGCAGGCCACAACCAAAGAGCGACGAAAAATCTATGTGAACGGCCACTGGACGGAGGCCAGTATCTTCCGTCTCTCCAATGTGGCAAAAGGCAGCGTTGTGCACGGGCCGGCGCTGATTCTCGATGAAACCCAGACGATATTCGTCGAACCTCAGTTCAGCAGCTACTTCCTCTCGAATCATGTGGTGATTGAAAGGGTGGATGAGGCAGAGGCAGCAATTCCGCAAAAAAAGATGAGTAGTGGAGGAGGAGTGGACGAGGACGAATACAGTCCCATACAGCTGTCGGTCTTTGCCCACCGGTTCATGTCGATAGCCGAGCAAATGGGCAATACGCTGCAGAGAACGGCCATCTCCACCAGCATTCGGGAGAGACTAGATTTCTCGTGTGCCATCTTTTCCGCCGACGGACAACTGGTGGCCAACGCACCACACATCCCCATCCACCTTGGAAGCATGCAGATGGCCATTCAATCGCAGCACCGACTGTGGCTCGGGAAACTGCAGCCCGGCGATGTTCTGCTCACCAACCACCCGGAATGGGGCGGGACGCATCTTCCCGACATCACTGTCGTGACTCCGGTCTTTGTTGACGGTGAAATCGCCTTCTACACCGCCAGCAGAGGGCACCATACCGACATTGGTAAGTTTTGTCCCACGTATTGTATCACAGAGGATCTATTCTGACTGACTGTCATTTGTACCTAATTAGGTGGAAAGGGGATCACATCCATGATGCCAGACTCGAAAGAACTATGGGAAGAAGGACTGAACGTGAAATCGATGAAGATCGTGAGCGGCGGACGATTCCTCGAAGACGAAGTGCGCGAGGCGTTTGCGTTAGCAGGCAGCTTCCCCGGCTGCAGCCCCACAAGGCGGATCGCCGACAACATATCGGACCTGAAAGCCCAAACATCAGCCAACCAACGTGGAATCAACCTCCTGCTCAAACTGTGCGAGGAGTTCACCCTGCCCGTAGTACACCGATACATGCGGGGGATCCAGAAGAACGCGGAATACGCGGTGCGCGACTTCTTCAGAAACCTAGCCAAGAAGCATCCCGAGGGACTCTCAGCGACGGACTGCTACGACAACGGCACCGAACTGAAACTCCATATCACAGTGGACCCAGCGACCGGATCAGCAGTCTACGATTTCGCCGGCAGCGGGCCGCAATGCTGGGCCAACATCAACTGTCCGATCTCGATCACATATTCGGCCGTCATATACACGATCCGCTGTCTGATTGACGTGGACATGCCACTGAACCAAGGCTGTCTCACGCCCATTGAGATCCGCCTGCCCAAGGGCTCGATCCTCAACCCGAACCCATCGGTCGCCATCTGCGGAAGCACCATCGCCAGCCAGCGCGTCATCGACGTCATTCTGCGCGCGTACCGCTGCGTCGCGGCGTTCCAGGGCTGCGCCAGTTCCTTCGGCTGGGGCATGGGCGGCCGCAATCCGGAAACCGGCAAAATCGAACCCGGTTGGAACTACGGCGAGGCCATTGGCGGCGGCACCGGTGCCGGGCCGGGCTGGCACGGCGAACACGCCACGCAGGCACATTCGACCAATACTAAAATCACCGACGCAGAGGTCATCGAGAAGCGTACCCCGGTCATTGTACGTCGGTACGAAATCAATCGCGGCACAGGTGGCCGAGGGAAATGGAATGGTGGTGATGGCATCACGCGCGAGATCGAGGCCAGATTGCCGCTCAAGTTCTCCATCTTGAGTGAGAGACGGGTCTTTCCGCCATATGGTATGGATGGCGGCGAGCCGGGTAGCATTGGGAAGAACTATGTCTTTAGATGGAACGATGAGGGCACAATGGACAAGATCAATCTCGGTGGCCAGGCTATTGTCCATTTGAAGCCGGGCGAGAGAATGCAGATCAATACTCCTGGAGGTGGAGGCTGGGGGACACCGTCCGACTCGTAGGTGGATTGGATGCCTGTGGTGTGACCAAAGAAGAGAAGCTGGTCATGTTTGTGTATAGAATAGGTGACAATGAGAATCGGGACCAGACCACCACTCACTTGTCGTGAGTTCAAGTTGATCGCATTGACAATCGGAGGGGTCTCATCGCTATGCTACGCTACCGCAGTACCTTTTGAAAACTTGTCGGTATCTTGAGTTTCGGAACAAACTTGTTTACCCCTTCGAAGTTCTAGGCGTCTGCGTTCAAGAAGCTTCAAGTTCCCACAGGTGTCTGTTCAACCGTGCATATCTCACGACTTGGACGATTGGATCAGGACTTGAGGATACTAGCTCGAGCAACGAGTCTAGGGATCATCATCCCTGTAAACTGTTTGTGTTTTGAGGTGGACCGTCCACTGGATATACGCATACTTTCGCAAAGAGGGTAAGTTCTTATCTAGACCCACGATTTGGGTGCGACCAATTGCACACCGTGACACGAGTCACACGACACTCGGCGACTTAGAACGAAATGTATACTGTACTCGTAAATCAGATGGATGCTCCATGTTGCGACTATCATAAACTGCAATAACTATTAACTCCCCGCCCACTGCAAAGCTCTCTGCACAAAATTCATCCGAAAATCAACATATGTACATAGCAACCTCAAACGGTTTCAAGTCAAGCATCTTCAGGGAGATGGAGATCGGCACTCTTTGTCCTAGCAGGCCTGGCATTCTTGCCATCAAAGATCCTTTGGATCAAACTAACGCCAAAGCCCGTGAATAAAGTCAAGACAACCACCCAAGCCAGACAACTGGGCCAGCCATGGGTCTTTTTGAAATCGGGCGCCTGGCCACTGGGCATTTGATACTGCTGGAAAGGGATGACGACGGCCTGGCCCAGACTGACCATGAAAGCGAGGACGAAAGCGCGGAGCTGCTGATCGCCTCCGCAGGAACCATTGCACCAGCCGGCCAGGAGCGGGGTGTAGCAGCCATAACAGCCCGTGAGGACGAAGACGGCCATTCTCAGGGCGCGCGGGACGCCGGTGTCACTGGCGGCCACGGTCTGGACGACGTAACAAAAAGTCAAGAGACAACCGACCACAAAACAAACAGGGGACCTTTTGCCCAATTTGTCCGAGACATAGCCCGTGCCGATCATGAAGACGGCATTGACGGCGCCCATGCTGGTGGGGATATTGTTGATTTGCGGGACCGAGTAGATCTTCTGAGCCTTGAGCCAGATGCCAAAATACTGCAGCACGTAGCTGCCACAGGTCAAGGCCCAGAAGGCATAGGCCAAGGGGAACGCATAGGTCTGCCAGGACAGGGCGATGCGCTTGAGCACGGTCCAATCCAGTTTGCCGGCGGGCGTGCGGCCCTCGTCGGCAATGCGCTCCACCGCCCGCTTCTTTTCCCAGTCGGTCAGGTAGAACGCCGTCGTGGTCTCGGGCGTGTCGGGGAAGAAGAAGAAGCCATAGATGGCCACGGGGATGGCCAGGATAAAGTCGAAGATGAACAGCCATCGCCACGCCGGCATCCCGCCCTTGCCTTCCATGCCACTGAACAGCGCCGCCTGCAGGTACCCGGAGAACATCTGGCCAAAAACGCCCGACACCACGAACAAGGCGCTCCGGCGCGCCAGCTCGGATTTGCGGTACCAGCAGCCCAGAACATACTGGATCCCCGGCCACGTGCTCGATTCCATGAATCCGATGCAGAAGCGCAGCGCGTAGAACTGGCCGGCCGTCTCGCATTTGTACAGGAACAAGACGAACAGCGACCAGATGATCAGGCATGCCGGCAGCCAGTACCGCGGCCGGACCATGGTCAGCGTCAAATTCGACACGGGCCCGCCGATGATGGACCCGATGTTGAAGTACGTGTTCATCCAGCTGAGCTCGTTGCCCGGCCCAAACCCCAGGTCTTCTTTCATCCCCGACACGTACGCGTTCGACACGTTATTCCCGTCCAGCTGCTTGATGAAAAACGAGAGGCAGCTGTACGTCAGGAGGAAAAAGTCCAGTTTCAGAATTAGCTTCTTCTCCTCGCGCGACGCGCCCGGTTCGTGCCAGTGAAACCAGCCTCGCGCCGGCATCGTCGTTGTCGCTTTGCCCCCAACAAGTGCTGGCACGGGCTCGCTGGTCGTCGCGATGAGCATCGCCGTCTTGGTCGAGGTCAGCCCATGGCCGTCATTTTTGTGCACTGAGCCTTGCGGCGTCAAGTCGATCGACTCGCCCGGCCGCCCGTCTTCGGATCCTGCCGGTTTCGACATCTGCGATCACTGTCCTGGTTCGATCGAAATATTCCCAGTGTGTACAATATGTTGGTATAGTCGTGTTTGATGTCTGCTTTGTCTCTGGGGCTGGCTCCAGAAAGGGCTTTTATCTTCTTCTTCTCCCATCCTGCTGGGATGGAAGAGTCTTATAGGAGTCCATCTCGAGGTCTCTTATCACAGTATTCGTCTTTGCTCAATCACATCATACACCCTGCAAAGCACGCGAGCGACGCGCGACGAGGTCGGTCTTCCATGGTGTAAGAAAAAAAAACCAACCCTGGAGTCACCGCAACGTCGGGAGCGGCAGACAAGATCGGGCAGACTAACCTTGTTCAGGAGATTCTTGGCCTTTGTGGGGCCGCTCATGCGTCCGCCCAATGCCGGTCACTTGGATGGCGCCCCCCCTCTGGGGCCCGGTGAATTCTGATATACAATGTTGTACAGCCAGTCAAAGACAAGCAACGCCACATAGTGCTTCAAGTTCGACATCCAGGAGTGGATCCGCCCGGGCGAGGCACCGCACATAGTCTCCAGGTCCAGGCCCTGGACGGGGCAGCGGGGTGATAATGCAATATCATGAGATATGTCCCCGTATATGAGGCATCTCCCAGAGTCCTGTGCTCGTGGCTTTTCGTCCCCGGCGCTCTCAAATGCGACAGGACCCTGCTGATATCCCGCCGCCCACTGATCGTTCCATACAAGCTCAACACTATGGTGGAATTCATAGAGATCAACGGTGCACGGTTGGCATACCGTCTAGTGGGCGTCGAGAATGCGCCTTTGATAATTACACTCCACGGCGGCCGAGGGTTCGGTAAGCAAATCCAACCCTACAGGTCGTGGAAGGCGGAGGACTGAATCATTGCATTGATCTAATCACCATTTCAGGCGACCACAAATCCGACTTTACGGCCTACTCGCCGCTGGCCGACGCCTTTCGTGTCCTGTCTTTCGACTTCCGCGGCCACGGCCAGAGCTCCCACACAAGGCCGTACACGTTCGACCAGATCGTGCAAGACATTGAAGGGTTGCGACGACATTTCGCCAGACCTGATGGTCGGGTCATCATATGTGGTGGTAGCTTTGGCGGGTACCTAGCCCAGCAATATGCCATCAAACATGCATCGCACATTTCTCATCTCATCCTGCGTGGAACGGCGCCCTCGCATCACCGTAGGTCACGCTTTCTGATGTGGCGTTTAGGGCCCTCTATCACACGTTGCGGAGGGTTTGGCTAATGAGTTTCAGATGAGGAAAGGGCAATTAAAGTCCTTGAGCAGAGATTGCACAAGGCTCCAAGTCTCTCAGTGGACATGCTGCGAAACAAGATCTTCGATCGGTTCGAGAGTGATCTCGAATTCCAACTGGTCATGCACGCGGCGGCACCATTGTACAGCGAGGCCTTTGATCCTGACCGAGCTCTGAGGAAGAGCCTAGAGACAAAGTTCTCCGCGGAAGCGCACAGTGAGTTTGTCCACTCTTTAGTCTCATACACCACTGATTTTTCCCCCGTCAGATGATCTGTACTCGAAATCCGAAAAGTTTTTCGACTACCGAGACTCGTTAGACAAGATCACCGCCAAAACGTTGGTGATTGTGGGTGAGCAGGACTGGATCTGTCCGCCAGCAGAATCCGAGTTCATAGCATCACACATTCCTGGGGCTCGTTTGAGGGTTTTCCAGAATGCAAATCACAACGTCCATCTGGAGCAGAATGCGGCAGTCATAGCAGAGATACGGCAGCATCTGAAAATGACGAGTTAATTCGGGATTGGCTTGATGCTGAACAACTTTCGGCTTTCTTGTGTTGGGATCAATGCTTGGGCCAGAAGCACAACACTTATCAGCGCACTCGGTCAGTACAGAAATCCAAGGTCGACGTAGCTCGGTTGGAGCATTGCTGGTCGGGTTGCGGTCGATCGGGAATGAATGGCGTCCTTAGACTGCACACCGTGGCTCGAGAACTCAATCGATTTTGGCCCAATATCCCAGTCGACATACTGATAACAAGTGCTTTTACCCAGAAGATCACGACAAACAGCGACAAGGTCCCTTTTCAGGCATTGCAACCTTGTCTGATGGTCGGAGAGTCGAAGGTCGGCCGGTTGCTGGGAGAACGGTAAGCTGCTTGTTGACGCGCCCGCGCTGTTTGAGATGAGTGACTTGTATTCCCGCATTGTCCGTGCTGCATGATGAGCTTTGCTCCATGCAACAGGAAAGGCTTCCAGCAGGTGGATAGAATCAAGAATGTCTTCCGCTGTCGAAAGGTCGTAGCAATATAGAAGGACCAAGCACACAGGCATCAGCCGGCACAGCGTTATGGCGTTGAGCGGGAGCTGACCATCTGCAAGCAATACCTTGTTATATTGGACGTGTTTCCGGAGGAAATCGAAATACTCGATCTTGGAGACGTAGCTCGCCCCTGAATTGAAGTGGCACGGGTAGTACAGAATCAGCAGGAGATGGTAGTATCTCGCATTGAGCCACGTGATGGAGTTGTGGATGGGAATGTTATCTTCTTCCGGCAGTGAAATCAAGCAACCGTTGCCGTACCAGTTGGCGATTTCTAAGCGGAGTCGAGATATGATGGCGGCGCGGTCTAATGCAGCCAGGGCACTCACGTCGGAACGGCTTCTCAAGTGGACTTGCGCCAATATTTGGCTCTCCAGAGTTCGCAGCTGGATAACGTGGCGACTGACTTGCAGCATGTAGGCGTAGTTGGCTCTTTCAGGCGACGCAAATTCCGAGACAGTCAATGTTGGGAATGGGACATCAGTGTCGGACGTCACGAGTCCAGCTGGCTGACCAAGTGAAAAGGCTGTCATGCGGTCGAGAACAAAGATGCTCCAGAACAGGCGATGGCGTAGTTCAACATCCTGTGGCGACAGCGCGTCTTCCTGAGTGGAAGTCTTCGTGAGGCCGAGCGTCATAGCTTGCTGCGTTAGAATTCGGACGATGGAGATTGTTGGCATACCCTTTGGATCAAACAACGAGTGGATGGCCAGTAATGCAAGAATCCGAACCGTCTGTTCGTTCTCATGCATCATGCAATGCTGCAGGATATCTGCATACGGAATTTCGGTTCCTGCGGTTTCTTTTGGGGCCTCGCCACTCTTACGCTCCAACGTCGTCCGGCCAATCGCCCTAACGAGGTATAAGATTCGCGCCTCCGGGTCGTTGCTGTCTCTGAGGTCCTGGCCAGAGAGTGCCTGGGCCGTGCGAAGAAGCTTGCTCTTATCAATGAAAGGGTAAACCCGGCCGACGTGACGGAAGTATGCATGCAGCTGCGCCATGTGCCCCGTGTCATTGCCAGCTTCAACGAACGAGGGCTGCGCGAGCATCGACCCTGTGTCAGAACTTGGCGTACCGTGAGAGATGATCTCTCTCCAGATATGAGGCTGAGATCTCTGTCCAGGACCGCCCTGGCTATCATCCACAAAGAGCGTATCGGCATTCACAGGCAGATATTGCCCGGTTTCGTGGGCTATGACCGCGCCTGGCTGAAAATGGTGTGATGAAGATTCGTCTGCCGTGGAGGTCCCGGTCGACTGGCTGACTTCAGGCCCAGATACCATCGCGGAAAGGTCTGGAGGCGACGGGTATCCATATCCATCAGTCGAGCGGACAGGCCACTCTCTTCCTGGCTGTGAATTCCCCCTCCTAGGCGTTGATGGGGCGTCTGCATTGGACAGGGAGCATCTTTTGCCAGCATGAATGCACAGCTCACACCGGGGAGGCTGCTTACTGCACCGCTTTTTCAGTCTTCGACAGCGATTGCAGGCCGCGAGGCCAAGTTTGAGATGAGCGCTTGTATCTGAGATACCATCAGAAGCAGGAGTCGCTGAGCCGTTCCCCGTGTCGTTGGCTTTAGGATCCAAGGGGGCGGGCAGCCGAAACCGGTGAGTCGTGTAGGCCATTCCCAGTCGAGCATTAGACCTGCAATTGGCAGCACCCAGCACGTGTCAGCACATTGAGAGCCATTGACCAAGGCAGATGACGAGGCTATTCAAGAGTTATGGGGTTGGCTTTGGCAAGGAAACAATTCTCTGCCGGGATTTGTGCAGCGAATCTCATCATCGAGGACGATTGAGCCATTCGCGGCGGAGATGTCGTTATCGACATGGCATCATTGGCTGGACGCCACAGCCTCGCGCTATGAGAAGATGATACCGTGACCGCGACGCCGTTGACAAGATCAGCCTCTTATTTACTTTTCAAGCTCTGTTGGTGGTGGTTGGACACACTCGGCTGATCGGGTGTATTTGCTGTCTACTAAGATGGGAGCCCTCTGCTTGACTACAAGCTGATTCCTTCCTTGCCTCGTGGATTCCAAAACTCGGAACACTCAGCTTGACCAGTGCCAAGAGGCTACTGCGGTACCTAGGTAGTGTTAGAGGCACTTGGTGTCTATCCTGATCAAGAAATGGAGCTAGCAGCTGCGGAACAGCCCTATTCTCCCGATACCCCCAAACCCTCCACACGCTCAAAGACGAGAAGAATGTTGCGACGCGCTCTACTACCACTACAACCACTACGACTACGACATGTACAATAGGAACTTACAACGTTGTACTTTTGGGCCCCAGAATGACTGCAATCGGCCCCAGGCCAAGAATGACCAAAGTATACTTTAGCCAGACGCAACCCTCATCCACACACACACGTTCGATCCATATATACTCGACCAGTGCGGTGGGGCGTACCTACTCCCTTATTCGAGACCTAACAGACCAGTTCAGAAGGCAGAGAGTAAAAATTTCAATTCATGCACGTAGATACGTCAAGGAATACAGTCAGACTCGAGGACGATGTTCCACCGCCTCTTCCTCTGCATGGTCTGCAAGACTGCTGGCTTCACCTTGTGGAGGGGGCTCGACATCATCATCTTTGTCCGCATCAAACGACACGCTCGCCAGAGGGAACTTCGATTTCGAGCCGGCGACAACATCTCCCTTGCAAACCTCGTCCTCCTCAATAGTGGCGCCATGGTCTGCGTTCTCTTCCGCCAGTAAGCCATGGTGTTCCTCGCGGTCGTCATGACCCTCTTCATGGTCATGCTCGTCCCTGGGACTCTTCTCCTTGATGAACGTGTCGATGATATAATACTGCAGTGCATTCATAATCAAGGGAAAAATGAGCATGACAAAAGCAATCTGAATCGCTTCATTCCCTTCTGTCCAGCGAAGCGCCCAGTCCCCCACGCGTTCCAGCCATGGACAGAGCTGGAAAATGATAAAGACGCAAGTCTTCATGCCAAGAAGACCGAGGAAATAAATCAAGCACTGCTTGAGCCACCACGTCGCCTTGGGCGGTGTGCCATAATGGCCGGACATGATGGATTCGGGAGGATTGGCCAGGTAAGTGTAGCTGGCGACTATCGTGAGCACCTTCAAGATGCCTATGAGAATCGGAATGCCAAGGGTCGTGTCAATGGCCAGGTTGAGAAGGTAGAAAGAACACGGATTAGGCTGGTAGGCCTCTGTCGTCGTGGCCGCCCCGAGGGTTGTTGCGAGTGCATCCGTCTTTGCGAGGTATGGTTCTATTTGTCCCGAGGAAAAGAGGGACATGACAAGATTTGCCAGGTGCAGCAAGATCGATCCCACCACCTGCTTCGAGACATCAAACCACCAAACTTTGAGTGGCCGTTGCGGCCTCTCCCTCCATCTCTTGTACACCAATGATGATAATGCAAGGGCTCCCAGCGCCCCTTGTACCAGTATCGCAAATGGACCCAGTAACTTGCACTCGCCGGTATTTTCCTTGTTGGATAGTGCCGCCGACGCGACCGAGGAGGAAGATGGAGACATAAGAGGGAGATAGGAGGTCTGTAACACGGTCGACGGTGCTGTGGCTATGCTGAAGACAAGAGACGTAGTGGTGACCGCCATGATGGAAGACGCGAGGGTGTGAGATGGTGAAACAATGGCATCGTCGACGGAGGCTGCAGAAGGCAGGTATTCTGGTGGGTGCATGTGCAGGACGGTGACAGCAAGGCCGTCACTAGGGGATTACATAGGTAAGGTAGGAAGTGCGATGCAGGGTTCAACCTGTTGAATTGTGAGAGGTGATGATATGGACGTTTTGATGTTCAAGAGGGCGAAGGAGTTCGATCAGGCGCAGTTGTAGTGCTACCGTCACGACCTGGTTCTTGCCACTGGGTTGTAAAGCAGCAGCGTGTGCCTGTACCCCTCAGCTAGTGCGGTGTAGAGCCACTGAATTTACCAAAAGTACTGCCTGTGACAGCCGTCGCAAAACTGGGGCTCTAGGGGGTCTCGGGCCGTGCCAATCAAAAGTCCCTCCTACTATAACATTGTAAGCCGGTACACATCTCATCCAATACTCCGACGTAGACCCTACAAGGGAGTGCACCGGCGTATAATGCAGTCATCTTGCCTCTCCTCTTGACCCGAATCCCGGAGACGTTGTCCTTTCGGATCCGGAGCTCCATTCAATTGGATACACTCAACACGGAAACCATCAGGACGACGGAGAGAAAGAGTGTGATTGATGGGCTGCCCCATGCTCGCTAAAGCTGCAGCATCTCTACTCGGACGGGCACCCGACATGTAAGTTAAGACAACAGCCTGCCCAGGTGCAACTCTCCACGAAACCAGCATGCCTATTCAACTCGGTAGAGACTGCAAGCGCCTGAACTACAGACAAAACCATAATCCGAATATTGCTCACCGAAGCTGTCACCAACACCAACAAACAGTCCAAACGCCAATGAAGCAAACCTTCGTCAGGGTATCATAGCACCATTCAAGGACAAGACGCAACAGTAACGGCCACATGCAACAACATTTCTTCGTGACGTCCGTCAAAATTCGTCTTCTCCATCACCATTCGGAAGATGCAGGCGCTCGATCCTGCTGTCACCCAAAAGCCAATTCTTGATGACACAGGGAGCGGTTTCTGGCCCAGAGCAGATCTTCCCTCGTCCAAGGTTCTTGAACTTGGGCCCGTACGGTCCACTGACATAGTGGTACTGGCCAGCGAATCGATACTGTCTCCGGTCGTCCAGAGGATAATGTTTGTCTCCCCAACGACCGGCAAAGTGGAACCATTCGGTTGGGGCGCTAGGCGTGATGTTAGACGCACGCAGAACGTCTGCTTTGAAGTCATAGGTGTACGCATGGGAATTCAATGCCGGATCCCAGAGCGGGCCACGATCTGTCACGTCGTGAAGGATCCCCCACGGTAAGATGTAAGGATGTGTCCCGGGTGTCGAATACATGGCGTGAGTTCCGTATGCGGAATAAATCACTGGTCTTTTGCCCAGCTTTTCGACAGCGTCATAGCTATAGGCAGATCCGAAGTTGTGTTCACTGAAGAAAACAGCTTTTGGCTTGCCGTGATGGAACCGAATCGCGGTATGTTCCCAATCGCCCACGTGGTTGCCAAATCGAACGTTAAGCACCACATTGCCAAGGTTGAAGCTGTAGAAAAAGAACCAGAACGCATCGACGATACCGTGGCCCTTATCGACAGCGATTAAGACCGCAGGCGCATCACTCCGACCGCCCCGAATGCTGGGAGGCGCTTCTTGGTCCGTCACAGAACGTTGAGATCCTTGCAGCACGTGCTGCATAGGTTGTGTTCCAGTCGACCCGCCGTGAGACGACTCCTGAAAATCATCGTCGTCCTCATGTCCTCGACCGTTAGGCTGGATCTGGTCCTTAGAATACGCCGCCGCTTCGTTGAGTCCCTGGAGATACGTACGGCCAGGTTTGTGAACCCACCCCTCCTTCTCTTCAAACTTATCGTTGGCATTCGAGGGTACCGTAGGAATGTTCTTCTCGCCTTCCAGCCAGTCGGGTCGCTCTTCGACGTCATCGTTGCTGGTCAAATATACCCAGCGGCCATGGCCATCGTCAAAATCGTTCAATTTATCCAAATTCCTCAAGGTTGGGTGCTTTGTCACCGACTGTAGAGGTGTGTAATTCAGAGCAGGGGTAATGTGATGCAGATGCTCTGCAATATCGCATGGCCAGAATTGCTCTCCAGAATAGAGGTGGACGAGTGGCGCATAATCCAAGACGTACTGAGGGATGTCTCTGAGGACGCGTTTCTCATCACTCCAATCTTCTGGCCTGTCTTTGCGGTCGAGCGGAGCACGCTGCCAATCCTGGTCTGGTGCGCCGGCTATGGATTGATGCTGGCTGTGTAACCCTCGATGTCCGAGCCAACGGCAGTAAGTTCGGCCCACCCAAGATTTGGACGTGGCTATACAGTCTGCCACTTCTTTGTGCTCCTCCTGCCGAACGAATGCCCCAGGACATTTGGCTTGGGCTTCTCTGTTTAGGCAGAAAAACGTAAGTAGCGTGGATAGCAAACCTATACCAGCTTTTGCTCTGATGCCGCCCATTTGCTCTGTCTCCAGGGCTGGAGGAGCCGCAGTCTCATAGGGAGCAATGTCGGGTTCGGGTCCTGCTGGACTTAAAGCAACGAGAGGAGAATTATTTTGGGGATGGGTGGCCGCCACAGACTCATCAACTGCGACGGGGGAGATGCTGTCTACAGCGCTCGCCTGGATCCTCGAAAAAGAGGTTGTGGGGTCAACAGAGACTCCTGCCGAGAGGGTATATAAGGCTTGAGCGACCGTAAGCAGGATGGCATGGTGAACTCGTAAGGCCACTGGAAAAGCGAAAAGCCGACAGGGTTAGCCAATATAGCACAAATCAAGGATGAATGACATAAAAGACCAAGCCAGATACAGGTATCTGATTTGGCACAGTCTCATGCACCCTCGGATGTCGCGGGGATAGTGACGGGCCATGGCTTAGACAGGGTCTCGGAGAAGCTGCAGGGTCAGCGCAACCCCTGGTGCCAGCGGAGTTCCAGCCCGCCATCATGACATTGGACTGGGCCATCGCTGCGATAGACAAAAGACGGATCCTCACGACGACGCGGAAGAGATAGGAAATGCAGAACTTCAACAAGCCAAGGTGGCCGTGAGGTATGATGCCAGTGTGCGAGGGAGGGATTGCTTTCACGTACTGGTCAGTGTGATCGGCCGAAGGACGCCCGAGACTTTAGTACCGATCTCGGGATGTCAGCCCCTCTGAACCCCTTGGCTGGGACTCAGTGTATGCGGCAATGCGAGGCGCTGGTCGTCAATAGCCGTATAATAATGATAGAGGGTGCGTAAGTCATACTATCAGATGCGAGATCTCGATGGTAGATGGTTGAAGGGTGAGATATCGCCCGAAATCGATACCTTAATTAAGAGATGGGCCATGTTGGAGGCAGGCTCAGACTGAGGACGAGATGGTGATGACGATGTGAAGGGAACTGAGGGCGCTACTTTGCTGGGATGGTGCCAGTCCAAGTCATTTGTCCATTTTAGCGAACAGTTTGAGGCCAGCAAAGACCCTGATTCGAAGGGAGACTCGGAGTGGTTTTTTAAACAAATAATAGTCGCGGTGACAAACTTGGAGCCGCAACGCCTGACCAATCCATCCCGCTCGGCTCTGCCTAAATCGGACACTGGTCGCCTTGCTCGGCGGGCCTTGTTTCACGTAGAAATGCAGAGTTTCACACTACCGCGAGGGCGATCCTGCTTCACCAACATTTTGTTTGACATGCACTGTAGGACCTTTGATGGGCATACTATACAGCACCGGATACGGAGCGCTCATGGAATACTGTCTCTATGAGGATGTAGTCTACTAGTATTCCAGGCGCCTGAGGCGCTAGGGTCTCCCGCGAAAAAGACGGCTAGTTATTCCCCAACACCACACATAATTCATGTCCACTACTATGAAGATTATTGACAAATAGCTCAAAACCACGGAGCCTTCCTCTCTATACTATCTCTCACGGGGAGACCCTACTCTAAGGCTTACAAAGACGTCGAGTTTGATAAGTATTCCAAGCAGCAAGATTTGGTACTTCCACGATCATCATTTAGTAGGTCCTCAGACAGCATGACTCCGTCCAGCAAAGTTCAGAGAATCTCTGGTACAGTGCAATTCCCTGGGCAATGAACAGGTAAACAGACCATATCAGACCCGGTACGTGTCAGGGTTTGTCACGCGTTTCCCACTCATTCAGATTACTCCGTCCTGGAAAGTTCAGAAAATCTGTGGTACAGTGCAATCCCCTGAGCAATCAACAGGTTCAAATAGGTAATATCCGGCGTGGGACGTGTGAGGGTTTGTCACGCGTTTCCCGCTGATTCAAGTTCTGCTCTCATGCTGTCTCATATATCTTGCACATCAAGTTCTTCTCCCCTCTCTGCTCTGTTCTTATACATCTCACACATCTTCTCTCACATCTCATTTTGCTCTCGCATATCTCCCACTAGAGCTCGGAGCGGACTATCTTTCCCTGGTCTTACGAGCCTTGATCGAGCTGTCTTCCTCGTCTACACGTGTGCTGTCCTTGTTTTACATCTCAATCAGAGGACACGATGGCGTCCCCACCAGAAATTCAAAGCACCTTGGAAGAGCTCGGGGTACAAGACATCTCCGGTTTTGACATGTCAATCGACGAATATGCACCGGCACCCGAGGCATCGAAGGAAGACTACAAGGAGCTATCCGTCCTTCGAACGAGGAAGCAATACATTACAAGTCTGAAGCAAAGAACGACGACACCGAGGACAGCGCTTTTTGCACAGATGTGCGACAATGCCGTCACGAAGGCACTCAGAGCTCACGATCAGAGCACAAGCCACACGGAAGATGACTCAACGGCATACATTCAGGTGTTTGCACTGGACCAGTGGAGGGAATACAACCGGCATTTGTTCTCCATCCCGAATACAGGGATGGAGAAACTTTTTGAGATGGTCCGACTGGGCCGAGAAATGGAATTGCTCGCTCGGTATAGGGATTACATGGCCATGTTTCTTGGCAACTCTGACCGAGTGGCGAAGATGTACCACCTACAAGCTCACGACGAGCAATCGCTGGACGGATATTGGAAGCGTATCCAGAAGCGCCTGCAAAGCGATCAGGGGAAGGAATTGTCCGAGGCCATTGACAGGGTCTGCGAGATCCTTGGTGTTGATTGCGGAACGACATTTTGGATGATTAAGAATTACCCCGAGAGCTGTGAAAAGTTCCACTCAGACATCGAGGAAGGAATCACTGCTGGACAGACGCAAGACGTTGCCATTACACTCCACAAGGATCTGACAGAATTGGACAACATCTTCCCATACGATGGTTCGCAGCCAGACGGGATTTCAACTCGAGAAGATCTTCGGGCAACGATATTACGCATTATCACAAGGCTGTTCGATTGGAGTGATGGAAGAGAAGATCAGCCGCGGTTTTGGAGATTGACAGAGGAAGGTCTTGCAATGCAAGAGAAGCAACTCGGCCCCCGACCAATGAGCAAGATATTGCGATATGAGGCACAAGAACAGGCGATTTATAAGAAGTGGATGCGCAAGCTCGCCGAAAGGGCCATGTCTGACATGAAGTCGAAGAAGAGAAAGTTTACGGAACTGGACTTGCGAGAGGTAAAGGCGTTGCGAGATCTTGAATGGGTGGGAGACCCTCTCGGGTATATGCAACAGGCAGAAGAGATGGAACAGGCATCTAAGCGATTACGGCTACAGGCAAGGCAGTCAATATGGACCTTGTTGGCCTCTAACGGCTTGGAGGACTCGGAAGAAGAATGAGCAGGTCGGCAGACTTAGAAGCAGGATGACAGGGCATCAAGGGAACACCCAAGCAGGCGGCATGCTCCTAGTGAGCGCCCTGCGAGGGCGTCCTGCTCCAGTGTCCGGTGAGAGTATTCTGCTTGAGTATCCTGTGAAGCGTTACCTACCTATCCAGGAGTGCCCTACTAGAGGCATAATAATAAAGTTACTCGATTCGGCTTAGCGATTCTGTACTGTGTTTTGCGCGCTATACTGCAGTACATGTGTATTTTCAGTCTTTATTAGCGTCAGAGGCGCATCGTATGGTCACACGCGCCCATTATTTGGCTGCGAATTCGAATCTCGTCTTGTAAGTAGTACGTTCATCGCCTGCTCCCTGGACCTCTATCCCAGGCATGCCAGCGTATCATGGATCAACGCGGGCCTTCAAGCGAGGACGACGAAGACGAATATGAGTATGAATACGATGACAACGAAACAGAGGTAGGAAATAGCGTTGACCGACGGTGGTCTTGTTCAAGTTGTTCGTCATGTCCACTTACTTCTTACCTTTTCGATCTTGACAGACCTTTTACGTTGATTTGGATCTCTCCTCGTTGAACTCGACCATCAAGCCCAATGTTTCAGGAGACCCCAAACCGTTGATCCCCTCCAAAAGGCCTCGCGAGCACTCTGAACAGCAAACGCCGGATCCAGATGCGCCCACCCCGCACACACCGGGGCCGGTCGAGGTCGAAGAGAATGGGGAGCAACTAGTTGATCAGGGCACAGGCGCAGGCACACCTTTGATGCATGCTAGGGATACTATTGAAGAAGATGACAATAATGGAGGGCCGGAATTCTCAGGAAATGTACAAATCCTCGATCTTGACACGAGCAACCCTATCATCTCCTACCGCGATCATGTCTACAGCTGTATGTGGACAGACATGGTCGGCACAAATATGTTTTTCACTGCGCCGAGGCGGCGGGCGAACCATACGGGAACAACACTACAGTCGACCGATGACTATGACTTGATTGGCATGTCGCGGATCAAACTCGTCGGGAACCGGGCCACAATGACCAAGAAATCGAAGAGGACGCAGGCGGAAAATGCCCGCGAGGAGAGCGAGACCCTTGACGGAGAGGAGCCCGACGGTCGGAGTCTAGGAGATATTCACCGCACAAACCCCCAGCATAACATGCAGATGAAGAAACAAGCAATGTTCCTGGAAAAACTCATGGACGTCAAGCAACGGCGCGGAGAAACCGATGCGGTCCGGGCATATGTGGACGACAAGATTGCGTCGGCTGACTACCAGAAGCTGCCGCAGACTGTGCAGCCTGAGCTGGGCGAACTGAATCGAAGACTGGTCAGGGGAGATGGAGAGGCGTTGAGCAGACTTCAACAAATATATTCTTCTCAAACAGCTGAAAAGCGGGATACAGAAGGTGGACATATTCCCCCGGAGGATGTTCCCCGGCAGGAGGATGGCCGACCTGATAATGAGGCCCTCAATGATGCTCCGAACTCCACAACCTTGTCCCACAGTCCTGAAATATGTGGTACTCCTACTCCTTTGACGTTGGAATCCCAGAATGACACAAAAGGAGTGAATCCATAAATCACAGATGGTCTGCTTTTGCAGCCATAGTTTTGTTTTCTGATTAGGGAAGCAGAGCAGAGCCGCTGGAATTTTACTTGTCTTCAACGATCCTGCTTATGGCGGTTCCAATGGACCGGAGACGGCGGTGGAGGAGGGGGCTGATGTTCAGGATGGCGTCTTGCATCCGAGTAAGAGACATATTTTGGACGCGGTTGGGCCTCGACTGCTTTGTACATGTCTCTTGTGGAGGTCTCGGAAGCGAGGACGGTGGAACGGTATGATGAGCGTTGCATGGTCGCGGTGAAGAGGAATACCCGGTGTATTCTGGGAGTTTTGAGTCAGCACCATCCTGTCTCACACACTAGGAGCAATGCCAGTTTGAGGGTGAACTTACATGCTGCAGCGTGCAGTGTGCAGTGTGCAATTGTGTGAATGTGAATCTGATTTCCCCTCGTGGCGACGAAGAAGCGAGAGTGATCGCCGACTTCCTTGCAGATACAGTACAAGGTTCAATGATATGATGCTACCGGGAATAGTAAGGTAAGGGTATTAAACGTGGTGTATATTGTATGTTGAAGACGAGAAGGTGAAAGTGAAAGTGATCGGCAGGAAAACTGGGGAATGCTGTGCAACTTATGGACGACAGAAAAGAAGAGAAAGGAGGGAGGCCTGCCCAGGAGCAAGGAGCTGAGACTCAAGTCAAATACCGTGTCCGATCTTGACTCCGGGACATGGACAAGTTCAAGTTTGTTGAGAAAAATAATCAATCTACAACTCGAACTAGCGGTCAAGGCGACGTGGGACTGTTGCATTTCAAACGTATCCAATCCGGCTGCCTGACCTGACCTGACCATGATCCGGGTACGAGTGAGTGAGTGGTGATGCCAGTGCCCACGATGCGAGCAGACTGCCAGTGGAAGCACTGACTCCTACGGCTACTGGGATCAAGGTCCGTATTAAACCTGGCATGCAGTGGGCATTGACAGGGGAACCGGGATGGGGAGACAGTGTGGTCTGTCCTGTTGTTTGCGGATGCCTCCCCTCGACTTCCCCGGGGCCCCACGACGAGACGAGACGAGACGAGACAATTCCGTGCAGTGCCTGACCATGGCCAAACGCCGCTTGCGTCGGACCCATTAATTTGTTGCTCTGGCTCTGGGTATCTTTTTCTTGTATCTGGCATACCAGGTAATCATCGATTCTTCGTTGCCGCACTGGCAGCCCGATTTCCATGGAGGTCTTTGCTGCCCTGCCATTCTGCTGTCCCTTCGGCCCAAGGCATGGCCAGAATTCTGTGGAATGCATCACTGGGATTCTGGACATGATTGATCGCCCTCATGATGCCCCAAGTCTTTCTGTGGGCGATCCGTGGCTCACGGCTCACCTCACCGCGTCTTGTCTTGACGTGCATTATTTTAACCGAGCAGAACATAAGAGTCCAGATCGTGATGGCGCTGGTAGGGTGGATGGTGGGCTAAGGATCCCCATACTGTAGTTCAAGCTCGCCAAATCCCCCGTAATGGGTCCTGGGTCCGTAAGACGGCTCCCCAGCGGTCCACGCCGACCCGTGGCGCCCCGGGGAGGCTCTATTCCAATTTGAGGAGCTTGGACGGAGCCAGTGCAAGAAGCTAGAAACATGGCAGGAAATACAGTATCCATACAACCATACACTGGCAGTGCCAGAACATCGGACGCCAGAAGCATAACCGAAGCCTGAGTGCCGCCCTTCGATCCGTAGTTTTACAGTACTAACAGAGCCATCAGAACTAACTTGACACCCGTCGTCTTTGTTGCGGGAATGGCGGCTGTAACCCCAGAAGAGCCTGAGGTGCCGGAGCACCCTACCCCTGGCAGCCCGAGTCCGAGTCTTTGCGGCTTCGTACGGGGGGGACCAAGGAGCGGCCGCGCAGTGCGAACCCTGGCATCCGGTGGCGTAGTTGTGGTTGTGGTTTCTCTCATTCCAAGGCAGGACATAGCTTCACCCCACGCATCCCTCAAGGCCCGGTCGGACTTACTGTAACATGGTACAGTACCTAGGTAAGCAACGGCACGGGGAGGTGGTCGGACGGATTGATGCCTAACAACATTACCCGCCCGCGAACGGACAATGATGATGATAACGTTCGGCAAGGTAGGCCTGATCACGAACTTGAATCGCCCAGTCAGTGTGCGCCACACATGCATACATAGGTATCTAGGTAAGGGTGGTTGTTTGTGGTCGACGGGAGGGTAACTTGGACCCCTGGGTTGTGTTGCCGCCCCCTGGATGACAACATACTGTACTGTACACTCGACTACCAGGACCAGGACCGCCGCCTCCTGCCTTGTATGACATGCCACAGCTATCATGTTCAAGCTGCCAAACTGACAAGCGGACAGGCTGCTGTGCTGATGTCTGCCATACTCTTGTGCGTTGTGCGCCCTGCCATCTGAATTCCCCGGATGGCTGCACTGGGAAGGTGGCGGCAAGGGATTCGATTACGCTGTTTGGACAGGGCAAGGCCGGCCTAGGGCAGCAAGTCGTCGAGGGCGTTGGAGCTTATCATTCGACAGTCACATACCAGTAGGTGACAGTTATATGGACATTTGCATTCGCCATTCCTATCTCACTGCCCGTCCAATCCTTACAACGACAGGGTCCAACAAGCAGAAAGTCCTTGTCCTTTTCAACCCGGCCTCGGCCTGCAACCCGTGCAGTGCTTGACAACCCAGGACCAGACCAGTTATTTATCTTGAACTGTCCGAGGTGAGGCGAAGAGAACAAAAGATGCTGTGGGGGACGAACCTTCTCTCGGCAATGAAGGGAGGGACCCTTGTTTTTTTGGGATGGATGGATGGATGGTAAATCACAAAGGTGAAGCATTCCACGCTGGATAAAAACGCCATCGACGCTTCATTGCTGCCCAATCCCCGGCTTGTCTAACGGGTTCTGAGGTTCCATTTTCATATTGCCAGTGTGCTCATTCCATACATGGGACTCGCATATTTGACCCTCTTTATTTTCTTCTTTCCATTGGGCAAAGTTACCATGTATTCATTCAAGCCAGGAAGGCGACCAACTTCTGCTTGCTTTTTCGCCTCCAGCTTCTCAGCTGCCTTCTCAGCTGCAGTTGGCGGTCGTGTTGGCAGTGGCAGCCGACCATTCCGGGCTGTCTCGACGGCGCGGTAGAAGCCGAGGTCATCCTGTATCGAGCGGAGTTGGTCCGAGGAGAGGGATGAGACCAAAGACTTGTCGTAGGCGGACTCGGACGCTGATGGGGATCTGTCGTAGCTAAAAGTAGGCAAATCGTCTCGGATACGTTCGCATGTCCAGCAGCAGCACTCGGAAGAAGATGGACGTGGTGGGCGTCTCGTCTGTTCATGCTCATGATCGTCGTCGTCGTCGACCATGATAGCGGATGATTTCGTATCTGCAGATGTTGGGTTGATCCCCTGGCGAAAGAGCCGGTACTGGCTGGGGTAGAGCTTGTGTGTTTTCCAGATCAGTTCCACACCAAAGGGCATATCGTGAGGTTGGATGTCTATCTGGTTTGAAGAGAGCTGAAACTCCAGATATTGGATGCTAGATCGTTCCAGCGAGCCCTGCAAAGAGGGTGAGCGAATCCACAAAAGTTCGTGAGCGTCTTCCAGGAACTTTTCCTGTTCCTTGACCTGGGCAAAGAGGTCGATCTCGACTGGCAATACAGCAGACTCGACATACGCTGGAGGACCTTCGAGGTACGTGAGGATGTCCGCCGACTGAGATGATAACGTCGAGAAGAGGTTCTCCGCCGCCCGCGGTAGGTTGTACGTCATGGCATCGAGGTCTAGCACATCTCGAATGGCAGGCCAGGGGAAGCAAAGGTCTGCGAGCCTGGGCGTTCCTCGACCGTCACACGCAGCTGTATACGTCTCCTCATCGAGCATGAAGGTGTACCAGACCAAAAGCACGTCCAGTGGAGGGAGGTAGTCCTTGGTCAGCTGTACTACAGCCTTGTCCCCTGCATGGTGAGTAAAGGCTGTTGCGTGATACAAGACCCGGTCGATGTTCGTCCACCAGGCAGTGAAGCGGGTGATGGCAAGTCGGATCAGCATGTCCCATCGTTCGGATTCTGGCAGCCGGCTCGGCGTATGGTGCTGGCGCTCTTCGACAGGCTTGGGTTTCTCGGAATACGCAGGTGCTGGCTTTTCCACCTCGACGTCCACTTCCAGCCTACTGGCCGTGAGCCTTAGTTTTCGAAAGCATTCAAGCAGCGCCAGGTGCACTGCAGCATGGCTTATATCCGGGTAGATGAGGCTTGTTTCCGCTCTCCCAAGGCTCGCTTCACTAAAGGTCGGCACAAAGGCGTTCCGGAAGATTCTTGGGTTTGGTATCTCTGGCCTCCGGCTACCTGGTTTGGACGTTGAATAGGAACTCGGTAGCCGCCAGTCATGGGGATCTTGATCCGCTTCATGTTTAGATAGTCGGCCGCGGACGTGACTGAATATTGACATCAGGGAGCAAATGTAGAGGTGACAGTGCAAACTGAGTCCAATAGACATAAAGGGGCCGTGAGCCCAACGGCTTCCAAGTCTGCCATTTAAGTTCCCATGCAGTGTCTCTGGGCATGCGTAAGAGGCATTGGCAGAGTCCTCTAGTCAGCAGAAGTTGGCTGTGCAGCCAGAGCCTCAACAATCAGAAAGGAACTTGAAGTTGGCTGAGGCTGAGCAACGGAGCGGAGTGTGGCGCAAGGATAACATGTGACCCGTGACCGGGCAACCCCCCTCCGGATCGTAGAAAAGCGGCAACAGTGGGCGCCAGATTCGGCAGGGAAATTTCGCTGCATTGGACCCCACACTGGCACAACTTGCAACGCTGGAGTAACCCATATCCTCCGAGTCCAGTTTGATTCATTCGTGTGACGCTGCCACTTATTCAAAAGAACTCGAGAACAGTGTCATTACTGTTCCACTTCGCTGTGCTACGAGGTCGTCGGGCCTCTAAACGCTTCCCCTCTCAGTGTGGTGTTCTTCTCAGTGTAAAAGTTCCCGAGACACCTCTTGAACCATCTCCGCAGCAGCAAGATGGATAACCATGTTGTCGGTGTTCTAGGCGGTGGCCAGCTGGGCCGAATGCTCGTAGAAGCGGCCCATAGACTGAACATCAAGGTGGCGGTCCTGGACAGTGAGAATGCTCCTGCAAAGCAGATCAATCTCGTTGCGTCTGACAAACATGTCACCGGCTCATTTGCAAAGGCCTCAGATGTCAAGGAACTGGCGTCAAGATGCGATGTGCTCACGTATGAGATTGAGCACGTCGATACCAAGGTGCTAGAGGAACTCGAGGAAGAAAAGCCCTTTCTGGACGGTACCAACTGGTCGAGAATCCAGCCCAGCTGGAAAACCGTGAGGACGATTCAGGATAAATTCCTGCAGAAACAGCACTTTGCAAAGTTTGGGCTCGCTACGGCTCAGTCAATTGCTGTGGGGACATCACATCCTCAAGGCTTGAAAGATATTGCCGACCAGCTGGGATACCCACTAATGTTGAAATCGAGGACTCAGGCATACGATGGAAGGGGCAATTATCCGGTCAAGTCGGTGTCCGATATCGAGCCAGCCCTGAAGGCTCTGGCGGACCGCCCTCTGTATGCCGAAAAATGGGCCCATTTCAAGATGGAGCTGGCGGTCATGGTCGTCAAGACGGCCCAAGAAGATTCCATCGACTCTTGGGAGTCAACGACCCTGGCATATCCCACCGTGGAGACCATACACGAAGACAGCATCTGCAAACTGGTCTATGTACCTCCACGGGACGTTTCAAAGAAAGTGGCTCGGGCTGCACAAGACCTGGCTCGACGAGCCGTGGCCACATTCCCTGGAACTGGCGTCTTCGGCGTCGAGTTGTTCCTTCTGCAGGACGATAGCCTGGTCATCAACGAGATTGCACCAAGGCCGCACAACTCGGGCCATTACACTATCGAAGCGTGCCACATGTCACAGTACGAGGCCCAGATCCGGGCCATCCTGCCCGACCTTGCATCCACAATCCGGCCCGGTGCAACTGATCTAGCTGTGAATGCGGCCGTCATGCTGAACATTCTTGGTGGCCCGCAGCCGGATTCCCATTTGCTCGTTGCCAAAGCTGCGCTGGACATACCCGGTGCGAAGATCCACTTATACGGCAAAGGTGACGGCCGCCCTGGCCGCAAGATGGGTCACATCACCATCCTTGGATCGAGTATGTCCGAATGCGAGACCAAGATACACCCTCTGATCCAGATGGTTGATGCGGTCCGGGCTCACCGAAACGATTCAGCGCCAGCCTCTGCCGCCTCTATAGTTGCTACTGCTGCAGACCTGCAGAATTCAAACCCTCCACCGACCCCTCGGCCAGTCATTGCAGTTGTGATGGGCTCAGATACCGACTTGGCAACCCTCCGCCCAGGCCTCACTATCCTTGACACGATGGACATCCCTTATGAGGTTCACATCACTTCGGCCCACCGCACCCCACAGTATATGCTCGACTTCGGCAGGGCGGCTGCCCCTCGCGGGATCAAGGCCATCATTGCCGCAGCGGGAGGGGCAGCGCATCTTCCTGGCATGATGGCTTCGGAGACTCCGGTCCCAGTCATTGGTGTCCCTGTAAAGGCCAGCAGCCTCGACGGACTGGACAGTTTGCTCAGCATCGTTCAAATGCCCCGCGGCGTCCCAGTGGCTACGGTGGGCATTGGCAACAGTACCAACGCTGCTATCCTGGCGGCACGGATTGTAGGCACCAGCGAAGCAAAGGTCCAGGAGTGGGTTGCGAACCATCTACAAAAAATGGACGACGAGAACATGGAGAAAGAGCACAGGCTCCAAAGGGAAGGATGGAAGGTCTACAAGAAACTGGATTCTTGATTGTCTGGTGATGCTCATAGTTAAGCAATTACATGACAGAGACTGGTGTCCTTTTATGCGGACGTGATACCCTTCACAGTAAATTCAACGTCCCGAAACCTTTCCATTGACTGCTGTGCCTGCCGCGGCGCTGCCTATGCCTCTACGGGCGTGATCTGTCTCTGAGTCAGGGTTCTGCTTTAATGTCGCCAACGTCTCATCTTGCCAGCGTCCACTCCATCATGATGCTTAGGACTGTGCCGGTCTCGCTGCGCCGTGACACAGGATTCCAATCCTGCGACAAGATAATTGTGATATGTTCCAACGTTCATGTCGAAGCTGTCGAGTTACCCAGTCTGTTCCAACGGCGAACTGATGGCTGGTCAAGTTTTGCCTGTAGCAATGTGGACTGTGGTGTGAATATTGGTCGGAGAGAATCCACATGAGGATACATTCATTCAATCCCATGCTCCTTTTTCATCCTTTCAAGATTTTCCTGACGGGCTGCGATGTCTTCTTTCACTTCCGTCTTCATCTTTTCTGGTTGATGATAGAGCACAACAAGATAGCGGTTCATGAAATTGAAACCGTTCAGCTTGTCGCATGCTTGCTTCGCGTCCATGACATCCTCGTAGACGACATAGGCCGTGCCCTTTGTAGTATTCGAGTTTCCAACTCGAATCTGCCGGATAGGGCCAAACTTGCCAAAGAGATCGAAGAGGGCCGGGGAATCGACATTGTAGGCTAAGTTCTTGACAAAGAGGATTCGGTTCGCCTCCGGGGCAAGTCTGCTGCTCCGGGACATTGTGAGGGCTCAATAAGTGCTGGTAGGGGCACAGCCAAAGACAAAGATGTATGCGGGACAGAATGCAGACAGTTAGTCAAGCGTTTGAAGGTCGTAGGGTGAGTGGTGGTTGAAAGCCCAGGCTGGGTGTATTCAGTATGTTGTCTTTCAGATCTGCCGCAGGACGAGGACTAGCGCAGTTACAATAATTCCACTCTTGTCTTCATGTCAACTCCGGACTCAACAACCACCACCACTTCTCGCGCATCTCTCAAGCCACGCTCATTCCTCACGTTGTCGCACCTGGCCTCCCCGCGGAGGTCATACGGACGTTCTCACAAATGTAGCCAAACCTCTCTCGCTGTCGTCGTTCAAGCTACACCAGCCGCGCTGTACCCCACCACCTCCGCAACCGACGGCCAGTCACCTGGTGACCGTCGACGATTTGGACTGTCACCATGCCTACTTCTACCGTATGGCGACGCTCCAGAGACCTTCTGGGTCCTCGGGGGGTTAGTCCTATACGTCCGTCGAGAGATTTCATCGAAAGCCTCTCTCCAGAACCCACGCTCGAGTCCTCCGCCGCAGATGAACCTTTACTCCCCTCTCACACTTCTCAAGCCAATGGAGCCTCACTAACGGGGTTGGGTCTCTGTGACGTTGGGATCGCAGAAGAAGCAGCGGTAACTGTGCACCCGGATCATTTATATTATGATGAAGATGGTTCCGCACACATCGGGGCTAGGGTAGTGAGTGGCGCGGCTGCGCAAACCAGGCGGTCACTGCAAGACTCGCGCGACAACCCTCTGAGAAACTTCAAATCGACCCCGGACACGCGAACTTCTCGAGGCAAAGGCCATACGCGCTCAGGGTCCACCATTGATGACCTTGCAAGTGCTGCCATTGCCACCAGCCCTGCTTTAGGGGAACCAAATACCCCCTCCTTCCGAAAAGCGAGTCCGTTCACCGCGACCCGACCGTCGACGTCCTATGTCCATCGCTTCGATCGGGAAGATTCCTCTAATGGACCACCGAGGAAGCGAATCAAATCTGAGCGTCTCCCTAATCTCGAGTGGTCACCTCGCGCAGATCGGCCGAGAACAAGCGGAGTCGACAGCACCACCGATATAACATACGAGGATGCTCTGCTATTGTTGGAACTCAAGAACGAGGTTAACTTCAAGAATGGAACGACACCACAGTTGACGTCTGCTACCTTGAACGGACAGCCACATTCGTCCCATACGCCTCGGCGGTACTCAGAGGCCTCGACTATTAGGGATAGTCCGTCCGCGCAATTACAGCAGACTTTACAAGCTGACAACGTGGAAAATGAGGAAGTCAAAGTCTCTAAAGAGCGGCAGATACACTCCGCGGTTGACGCCTGGCAGACTCAAAACTCCCGGCTATCGCATCCTCAGCCTGAGACTTCGTCAGCTCAAACCGCCAACGCCACATTAGGGGGAACACCGCAAGCCAAAACGATTGGCACTGCTGCTGAACCGCAAGCAAAAGGATCACCTCAAGTTGCATCCCGACCAACTTCGTCGTCTAAGAGGCAACGGAGAGTCAAGCCCGAAGTACAGGCTGAGGTGTGTGCGGCTTGCAACCGTCTTCAGCTAGACACCGTGGACGACGAAAACCCTGTCATGTTCTGGATCAGTTGTGATGCATGCAATCGCTGGTTCCATGCGGAGTGTGCAGGATTCAAGACAAAGGCTGAGGCAAGGAGTGTCGATAAATATCTATGCAAAGAGTGCGAGCCGGTGCATGGCAAGACGACTTTTGTGCGCAAGTCGACCAGACCGCGAACCGCAATAGACTACGCTGGATTACATCAAGGCGTTGTTAAGTCTTCGGTTGAAAGTCCAACTCACCACTACATTCAGCCCATCAAAGAAGGAAAGATTGCCCTGTTACCGGACGACTTTGCCCGAGTGCGCCCCGAGGTGTTGACTATGCAGTTTATGGAAAATTTTGACGGTATGAAGCGACCTTTTGTGGTCCCAGCCTGCTGGAATCCTCGGTTTGGCGCAAAGCTACCTTTAAAAGAAGCCGAGAGTGACGGCCCGCGCTTCACACGCATTGACAGTTTGGGAAATCCCGCTGGCGTGGAAGAGCCGGTTTCCGATGAAGTTGTGGAGGAGGAAGTCCTAGATTGTGGCCAAGATTTGCTCGATATGGTGATACCCAGAAATCTGACCGTACGAAAAGTCGCGGAGCTTTATGGTCTAGACGAACCTGTCCCTGTTATCGACGTCAAGTCTCAAGAGACAAAGGGCCAGTTCACCTTACAGCAGTGGGCCGACTACTATGAGCTTGCGGGCGAGAAACCAATTCTCAACGTGATCAGCCTTGAAGTATCGCAGAGCCCCCTTGGCAAACTCATTCGCCGACCCAAGGTGGTACGAGATCTTGATCTGGAGGATCATGTCTGGGACGGAGACACAGAAACCCGGACGAAGAAACGACCAGTACAGTTCTATTGTCTCATGTCAGTGGCCGACAGCTACACCGACTTCCACATCGATTTTGGCGGCTCCTCTGTGTATTACCACATCCTCAAGGGAACAAAGACCTTCTTCTTCATCCCACCGGAGGATAAATATCTCAAGAAGTATGAGGACTGGTGCAATTCTGATACGCAAAACGAGACATGGCTCGGAGATTTGTGCGGTGGTAATTGCACGAGAGTTGACCTGCATGAGGGAGACACTGCTTTCATCCCTGCCGGCTGGATCCATGCTGTATGGACTCCGGAGGACAGCTTGGTCATTGGGGGCAACTTTCTCACTCGGATTGACTACGAGCTGCAACTCAAGGTTGCCAACGTCGAAAGAGTGACAAAGGTGGCTCCGAAGTTTCGCTATCCATACTTTCAGAAGGTTATGTGGTACACCTTGATCAAATATCTGGAGGAAGATCCGCTTCCAAACGAAGTATTGGCCGACTTCCGCGACGATCCCGATTATGTTTTCCTGCGGGCCAACCCTCTCTGGCACGAAATAGACGACTTGGCAAACACTGCAGAGCCAGGAGACCCTGCATTCAATGCGAGGTATTACCCGAAAGCAGAGGTGGTTGGCTGGCCAGCCTTGAGAGATTATTTATACCGCACCGCCAGGATCGACGCTGGTTTGCCGGTGGCGGACATCACCAAAAAGCAGATTGATGCAGTCAAAGCATCCATTCCCAAAGGACATGGCGATCCACTGACGCTGATCAAGCTATTTGCAATCTGGTGTGCTTGGAAGATGGGCAATGTTCCAGCGCCTGACTGGGTGCATTCTGATGGTGCACTGGAACCGGAGAAGGCGGACAAGGTTAAGAAAGCCGAGACTTTCCGCCTGCCAGGAGAACGGACTTCCTCACGGAGAGCTGCTCAGGCCCTAGCTCAAGCGCAGACTCCTCAGCCAGAAGTGAGCGCTCCCATCCCAGCCAAGCAAAGTGCCAAATCCACCCCAAAAGGGAATGGGCTGAAGGTAGCCTGTGAACCATGCCGAAAACGTAGGATAAAGTGTCGGCATAAGTCTGGCAGTGAGACGCCCACGAGGCCAGCTCCCGAAATCAGACCAAGAAGTTTCTCTAATGCGGACGTTCCCTCGACTGCCGCCGTCGATCAGAATGGATTCAGCAATGAACAACCTACGCCTCCAGCTATGCGGCTCTCCGAGCCTGCTGCAAACCACGCGGAGACGGTGCAAACAGTGACTGCGAATGCGGATGCACAGTCTTCCTCGAAAAAGACTCGAACCAAGGCATGTGAAGAATGCCGCAAGAGCAAGGTAGGATTTGTTTTGATCTGGTAATGGCCACAGCTAACTAATGGGTTTCAGCGCCGATGCGTACACGACGAACACGGGCGAGTCGACCCGGCAAAAGCCGCGGAGCCGTCCAAGCCACGTGGATCAACTAGTTCGAAGCGCCCCGCCCGTTTCAGCGATGAGAGTGCGGACAACAAGCGGGAGAGGATGGATGGTGAACTGCTGGACGGTCTAATTGACCCGGCTTTGACGAATGATAATGTTCTCTTAGTGAATGAAGCCGTCGAGGATTCGCCGCCAACTCCCGCGCCGCTGCTGGAAACCGAGCCAGATGACAAAGTGAGCGGACAGCACATTGCAGAGGGTGCATCGACATCTCAGCATGCGGGCAGCGAAACCCTTCCTTCACAAGCAATACCAGTGGATCCCGCTCTAGAGGCAATGACAGCCATGCCGACGGCTGTGATAAAAACCGAAGCAGACTCTGACGATCATCAACCTCTAAATCATGACGCTGACAGGGCCGATCTCTCACCGAAGGAGGGTGGTGGTGGTGGTGGTGGTGGTGAGTTTTCCACTCCCGCCCCGGTCAAGCGTGCGTCGTCCATCAATGCTGGCTTTTCCGGTCTGCCGAACTCGCCTCCAGCGTCGAGACATTCTTCGCGTCAGCCCAAACAGGTTGAACGGTACACGCCCGAAGACAAGAGATCTCCAACCAAGCCGCTTCCGAAGCCTCCGAGAAGTGATCGTCGGGCGTCGAGCGCCGCCAGTGCCCAAACGATGGTCAACAGTGTGAAAAGCCGGAGATCGTCCAGTAACACTTCTGGGACAGTTCACCAGATGGCAGGAAACATGGTCAGACGAAGTCAGTCCCGAGAAGCCTCGGCCAGGCCGGTGAGCAGAGATAGCACAGGAGGAGAAAGCGACATGGATGCCGACGAGAAGTTTGCGAGGGAGCTGCAAGCAGCCGAGAATGGTTTGAGGCGACGGACAAGCATGAGAGCATAGAATGCATCATCCGCTGCACACCATCGCTGAGGTTGAGGTTGTTTATGATGATATGAGGGAAGACAGACAGCATTTGGGACGCAACGGAGTTTGGAAGAGAGAATCAATGCGTGGCGAGCAATTCAGTGCCACACGACCAGATCTTGGTTTGTGTTTTGATGTATGGGATCAAGGGAGAAGCGCGATTTCTTTTTCGAATACCCTCATAGCATGATGTTTGAACAGGGCTGCATATTGAACTTGTGCTTAAGTACTCTGCGCGTAATGTCGATGTGCTTCGCCTTTTGTTCGGGTGAGGTCCTCTCCAACATCGTAATGAGGGAGTCGAATAATGAGTGATGTCCTGGGCCAAAAGGACTCTATCACGTGATGAGGATGGAGGATTATGTAATGCAGCGAGAGTGGATGGGCCGCCCCAGAGTCCAGAGTCCAGGGTGCCCAGTGTGGGGTAGATCGATCGATGGTTCTACAATGTATGGCGCTCTTGTAGTGGTCAACATCGTCATCCCAACTTGACGTGCTTGAGAGTTAGGTTGTTGCTTCACACTTCCCATCCAATTTCCGCCAACTTCCTTTCTATTCAACAGCACCACGCCATGCCAGTGCAGCGGTACCACTTACGCGACCATGGCCAACATTTATAACAGCCAACTCGTATGTTCTTACCTTTCCCCCGACGCGCGAAGCGGCACAAATACTGGGAGGCCGAGGCTGACCTTTGTGGCATTTAGGACGCGTTCGAACTCTACCACCAAGTCCAAGAAGAAAACAACAACCGATCACGAACCTCAGGATCAGGAGGGTCCAAAGCACCGTTTCTAGAAGCCCTCGGCCATGCGGTCGCCGGATCAGCAGGGTCCGCGCTCTCAAACGCGATCCTCTACCCGATCGATTTAATTATTACTCGGCTCCAACTGCAACGACAGCTACGAAAGGACCAGTCCCAACCCTCGGAAGACGAGTACAAGGGCTTCATTGATGCGGTCGAAAAGATCTACAAGAATGAAGGCGGCGTCGCTGGATTGTACACGGGTTTGCTGCAGGCGACGGGCAAGACGATTGCCGACTCGTTCATCTTTTTCTTAGTTTATAGCTTTCTTAGGGATAAGAGGCTGGTCAGACATGGAAAGGGGACGAAGTCGTTGCCGGCGATTGAAGAGCTGGTTGTCGGGTTTGTCGCGGGCAGTTTGACGAAACTTGCGACGGCGCCGATTGCGAATATTGTTACGAGGAAGCAGGCGGCTGCGCTGCTGGCGGCGAAAGAGAACGACTCCCAACCGTTTCACGTTCCCTCCGCCCGAGAGATCGCCCGAGACATCTATGCCGAGAAAGGTCTGACGGGGTTCTGGTCCGGTTATTCAGCTTCACTGGTGTTGACGCTCAACCCATCAATCACGTTCGGCTTGTTTGAAACCCTGAAAAAGCTGTTCCTGCCGCACCATAGGAGAGCGCATCCGCCGCCATATTTGACTTTCTTGCTGTCTGCTTTCAGCAAGGCTTGTGCCTCCTCGGTCACGTATCCTTTCAGTTTGGCCAAGACACGGCTCCAGGCCGGAGGAGCCACTCGACAACAAGAAGAGCGTGACGAGGACAAAGTGATTGATCAGGATCTTGAAAGCGACAAGGCCAAAAAGGCCGCCAGGGCCACGATCTTCAGTACCGTTTTGACGATTGCCCAGACGGAGGGAGTGAGTGCGCTTTATGAAGGGTTGTATGTGGAGATTCTTCGGTCTTTCTTCAGTCATGGAATCACCATGCTGGTGAAACAGATTATTCAACGGTTTCTGGTCCGCGCATATTATATCACCTCCATCGTGCTGGGTCGATATAAGCGGAAAGGCAAGACAACTGCAAGCCGGCTGGCTCAGCGGGCAAAATCTAGTGTCGAGTATTATAATCTGGCCATGGCGCGTGCGAGCGAGAAATTGGAAGAAGCCACTCAGGCGGTCAAGGAAAAGGCTAATGAGACGGCTGAGTTTGTGGGTGAATATGTCGAGGAGGATTCGGGGGAATGGCGCGAGTTGTATGGGACGACGGGGCTTGCGAGGTGGCTTGACAGCGAACGGTTGGCCAAAGATTGAGATGGAGTGTATGATTTGGTAACAGCACAGTGCTGTTTTTCGTTTGAGGAAACGAACTCAACTTGAACTTGAGGGGACCGGATAGCTGGGGACGGCGCCAGTGAGGATACCGTACTAGTCACTCTGGGGCGTCAAAGTGTGGCACTGGCAGGGCAGATATTCAAGGATTATATTTCTTTTTTATGGTGGTTGAGTTCGCAAGTACTGTATCATCGATATGCCACACGTTGTCCACCACCCTTTTTCTCCATCTTGGCCTGTCTCTTGCTCTGTGGTCCTGCACCGCCATCAGCACCAGCTGCATCGCCCATCCCACCAAGCATGGCCTTGACACCACTCGCCGTCGTGACGGCCGCATAGACCGCATAGCCCGGCACAACAAGATACAGCCACCAAGCGCGGTTCCCAAACACAATGACCAAAATCAAATTGATCCATGTCCAATACAGAATGTCCCACATGAACTCGGTCAATCCTTTGGCATCGAGATCTTCCCCTGCGCGTTTTAGGGACCCGTCGTGGGCGTTGTATGTTGGTCGAGCGAGGCGTTCTAAGTAGAATTCGATGGCAAGGCCTGGTGCTGATAGGAGGATGTAGCGTTTTAATGAGAGGGAATGGCGGAATGTGAAGCGCAGGAAGAGGAATATGGTGTGGATGGCTAGGGTTATGAGGTGGGTTTGTTTGAGGCGGGCTGTATTGCGCACGGCGAGGGATTTGGCTGCTTTCTTTTGGGGAGTTTCTGTTAGTTACAGATATACTAGTAGCTTAGCTGTACCTGAAGGGATTGGAAGATGAAGATGAAAGTAGAGGTTGCCTGCTCACCTGCGCCATGTTGGGTTGACCGAGTGAGTGACTCCCCTGTGACTGTGCCAAAACACTATGCAATCGGGGGAATATTGACGCAGTCGAATTCACTCTCTGTGCAAGACTGGTGCTGGAGGCGAGATTGTTCCAAGGATTGTGAATTGTAGAGGCAGCGGGGATATTGAATGTGCAGCCTTGAGTGAGTCGTCTAAGCGGGACGAGGCTCGTTCCCCGGCCCGCCACAGTTGCCATTATTATTACCAGCCACATAGTAACTTATAAAAAGTTACTAGTGGTTATGTCGTGTGGCACTGGCTCAGGCTGCGAACGGATCAGAAGTGCCAGTGCATCCCGCCCAAAACACCAACAACTTGAACATGTTACTTGTAGTAGCCCGCCCTCATATCTATTAACCGCTTCACGTTCCGTTCAACTTAGCTGCCGTACCCTATAAAACGGCAAACCTATGTCACTCGGAGACTTAGACTTGCCCGTCACTGTGACCTAAAACCACGAATGAATCGCCCACGACTGCGGCCCTCTTGATAGCCCGCCCGCCGCGCGCATTGTTGTGGGAAGGCATGCTCTGCTCATGCCAGTGTCCTTGGACCACCAGCAGCACTGCAAACTCGACTCGAACTCGCACATCTTCTCGCCAGATTAGATTGCCTCTTTCTTGATCTCATACAGTACTAGTACCTACATTAGCAACTGTCCGAGCCGATACTGCATCACCATCACCTTCCTATTTCTTGCCTCAAAACATAAGGTACTAGCGAACGATACGATACATTCCATGCTGCCACCATCATGGCGCCTTCAGTAATCCACGTCGCGAGCCAACTCCGACAACTCGTGTACTACCACCTCGACAACAACCTGCTCAAAAACGCCCTGTTCCTCGCTTCTCGACTCGTTGCCTACGAACCACGGTCCGCCGAATCCGCGTATTTACTAGCATACTGTCAACTACAGTCCGGCTTTGTCAAGGCTGCATGGGACACCAGTCGGCCAGCTGGGTTAAGAGGGTCACATTTGGGATGCAGCTATGTCTTTGCGCAGGCCTCGCTTGAACTGGGCATCTATGTTCAGGGTTTGACCGCGTTGGAGCGATCCAAACACCTGTGGCAGAATCGAAACACATGGAGTCAACACAGCGAAACCAGACGGCAACATCTGCCCGATGCCGCTGCCGTGTTGTGTCTGGAGGGCAAGTTGTGGAAAGCACACAGAAACACCGACCAGGCCGTGGAATGTTGGGCCGCCTCTTTAAAGCTAAACCCTTTCATGTGGGACGCTTTCATGGGCCTTTGCGAGGCCGGCGCCAAAGTCAGTGTGCCCAATGTTTACAAAATGACCGCCGAGATGATAGCTATGACCCATTTGGCTCAGCAACAGAATGCAAAGTTTGAAAATGCCGCACCAGTGACGACTACTACGGCATCACAACAAATACAGCCTCACAACAATTCCGGCCCACCGGATCCTTTTGTGTCGACGACGCAGAAACCGAACGGACACCCACAACCGGGTAATTCTGTTCTTTGGGAGAAGTTGAATGGCAGCAAGATGAGCGTCAACACTACAAGCACTGGTGGTGTCCTTGATGAAGAAGGGCTAAACACCCCTTCAACTGAAGCTGAAGTGGACGAGGGTGTGTTGCAGCAAGCCGGCACCATGAATCAGAATCAGCATCATGAACCTCCCCCAGCGCCCACACGGAAGGCCAAGGCCGCAGCAGAAGCTCCAGCTGAGCCTCCCCCTAGATGGAAGACCGGTTCGACGAGACTGAGAACGAAACCCAAGGTGGCCTCTGACGACACCACGGTGTTACAAGACCCGCCTGCACCAACGGCACCGGCTAAGAGGACTGTTTCTGGTCATCCAGCTGGCGCGCCGTCCCAACATACGTCGTTGGCGGCTACGGAAGGGCCCACGAGAAGAAGTAACCGGCTGCTCAACACATCCAGACCGCCGAGTGCGACTAGTACGGCCGGAAGCAAGATCTCTTCGTTGGCCAATTCTCTGGGCCTGCGGGAGGGAAGAGATATCAAAAAAGCAAAAGCACCGGCTGCCAGGACCCGTACGGCAAATGCATCGACAGTGGGGCGGGTTGTCAGTGGGAATCGAACTCGAACAGGCTCCACTGATGCAATGGACGTTGAGACCAAGGAGCAGCAAAAAGCTGCAAATGTGCCTCCGGTGCCTCCGTTGCCGAACAACTCAAAGGTGCGAGCGGAATCTGCCATCCACAAGGAGCTTGAAGCAACTCAGACACTTCTGGACCTATTCGGGAGGATTGCCTCGGCCCAGTTAAGTCTATCGAATTATGATTGTCAGACAGCGATCCAGATCTACAACTCGCTTCCATCGGCGCAACGCGAAACTCCTTATATCCTGGCTCAGATAGGCAAAGCCTACCACGAGCAAGCGCAATATGCCGAGGCGGAGAAATTCTTCATTCGCGTGCGACAGTTGGCTCCCACGCGGCTGGAAGACATGGAGGTCTATTCTACAGTGCTGTGGCATTTGAAATCCGAGATCGAGCTCGCCTATCTGGCCCACGAGCTGGTGGCCATCGACCGCCTGTCGCCACAGGCATGGTGTGCGATCGGCAACTCGTTTTCATTACAGCGAGAACACGAGCAAGCTCTGAAGTGTTTTAGGCGTGCCACGCAGCTAGATCCACAGTTTGCATATGGATTTACTTTGCAAGGTCATGAATACGTGGCCAACGAAGAGTTTGAAAAGGCTCTGGAATCCTACCGAGCCGCCATTGCCGCCGACGGCCGCCATTACAACGCCTGGTACGGCCTGGGCAAAGTTTATGAGAAGATGGGCAAATGGACCATTGCCGAACAACATTATCGAACCGCCGCCAAGATCAATCCGACAAATGCCGTGCTTATCTGTTGCATTGGTCTTGTGCTTGAGCGACTCAAGCAGCCCGAGAAGGCTCTTCAGATGTATACCCGTGCATGCACTTTGGCCCCGGGCAGCGCGCTGAGTCGATTCAAGAAGGCCAGATGTCTTATGGCTCTAAGTCGGCCGCGAGAAGCCTTGGCGGAACTTTTGGTCCTCAGAGACGTCGTTCCCGATGAAGCAAATGTCTGGTTCCTCATGGGTCGGCTGTACAAGACTTTGAGGGAGAAGGGAAACGCCGTCCGCGCTTTTACCATGGCGCTGAACTTGGATCCTAAGGTATGTTATGTCATTAAAGAAGGAGTAGTTGATTTATTTTCCTTTGTTGGCAATTTCGGTTCCAAAGTTGAAGCTGACTCTTCTCTTTTTGTGTGTAGGCCGCACAATTCATCAAGGACGCAATGGAAAGTCTGGACGACGAAGACGAAGACCCATACGACGAGGATGAAGACATGGATTGATGACTCGGATGATGATGAAGATGCATCAGCAGCAACAGGGCTTCAGCTGCAGGTGGTCACCGAAAACAAGAAGGGAAGGGTCTCCGGCTCTTATTTCTTCTCTGGTTTGTGCATGTACGTGTGTCTGTGTCTGTGTGGTATTGCATGGCTCGGAGCTGGGCTCGGTTGGGCTACTACCTTCGCGGCTCCCTGGGTTCCGAGGGTCCGGGGTCCGGGGGTTTTGGTTTGACATTTTTGATTTAGCGAGACTCGAACGGTCTCTTTTTGGGTTCAGGTGCAAATGGGATCCTAGTACCTCAAGGATATACAGTACATACATAAGCCGACAAGTCTGTCTGTCCTGTTCTGTTGTATCAATCAGCTTTTGCGTGTTCCTCTTTTTGGGGGTTCCCTTTTTGGATTGGGAACGGAAACCGGAGCCTGGTGCTGGAAGGGGGCCGGTTATTTCGTCTCGCCATCCCGGTATTGATTGTCTGAGAATAAGAATACTACCTCATGTGCAGGTGGTACTGTCATGCGATCCGAGTTCGAGTTCGTTGCATGCAGTCAAGCAGAGCACACACAGGGCACCTGGAATCCCTAGCCCGAACTGGAGAGCCTGAATGCAATGGCCAGGAGAATGAATAGTAAATAAGTAATAATGACCGACTGATCTGTTCAGACACTGCACACAAAAGTCTTTTTGGACTGATGACCTGGGCCCATTTCCCATCCATTCATACCTTACATGGGAGCCAGCTATCCCGGCTCAACTTGGAACTACTGTATGTAGCTCCTACCGAGACCGAGTACTTGTAGTACTTCACGAACATAAGTTTCTTCGTTTGAACAGATATTGCAAGACGTTGACGTTGACGGCATTAATCTAGGTTCCCTGTCCAGGAATACCTAGCTAAGGTACATACATACAGGAGGCAAGAGGAGTCAACTCGCGTACAAAAGCAACAAGGAAAAGGAAAGCCCAAACCAAAACGTCGCTTTCCGGTACCGAACGAAACAGTGAACGCACGCATTCCATTCTGATCACCAAGTCTGGAGGGATGGGTTATAATAGACCTGGTCCGATTCGACTCGATTCGCCATTCCTAGCATAGAATTTTGCTCCCAGAGGCCGTTTCTCCTATTGCCCCTCTTGTAGACGTGAGCTGACATCAAGCCCTTTTCAGGGGCAGACTTCGCTCTCCATTTTGTCCTCGACAGCCTCGCCTCCCCAGTTGCAGGCGTTCTGTTAAAATCGGTTTTGCATTGGCAAGGCAGAGCTTGTTCGTTCCGCTAAAACAACTCGATCATTCATTCACTCCCTCCTTCACAGCTCGTCCTTCTTGACGTACTTGGCTGCACTGCTGACTGAGCTGCTGACTGCGCTCCCAATGTCCTCCACATTACTGCTGATGGCACTTGCGACTTGAGATCCACTCGCTCCGGCATTACTTGCCAGTGAAGCAATTGCACTTCGAGCACTCTCCACGGCTTCGGAGACCCTTGACTGAGCACTTTCCAAGGCACCTTGCTCGGGTCCATAAATGGCCTCGGATATCTTTGCCTGAACATTCCCAGCCACACTTGCGGCTGAATCTGTGACGTCGCCGACCGCCGAGGCTGCAGCCGACACATTGTCCGCCACTGCCGAAGTCACCGCCGCGAACGAATCAGCCACGACACTGGTGGCAGACTCTACTGGTCCCGTGGGCGTGCCGTAGATGGCAATGGAGAGAGCATCCTGTGCGCTCTTCGCCACGTCGACAATAGACGACTGGGCTGCTTCCGCGTAGCCAACCGGTGTTCCGTAAATGGCTTCACTTATTCCAGCGCTGACAGACGAGTATGAATCTGCAACGGCCGAAGTTGCCTGTTCAACCGTCCCCTTCGTGGTACCATAGATCTGGACGCTTGCCGCATCGACCAGTGAGTTGAGCTGGTCATTCACGGAGTCAATGACAGAGGTTACCTGAGGTGGCGGGGTGAAAAAGTCCGAGGCAACAGACGATACTGAGGATGCAACCGAAGACGCCGACTCATAAGCATCACTAGCGAAGCTTGACGCCGAAGCGTAACCACCGTGGTATGCCGAACTCAGCCTGCTCATAACTGACTCGGTAAAATCAGGCTCTCTCCCGACAATGAGTTCGGAGACAAAAGACTGGACAATAACATATTTATCGCCAGCGTAGTCTGTCACTTGAGCAGAGTAATCGCCTGCCTGGGTGGCCAGTTGGTCGAGGAACGGTTTGGGCGAACCGTAAATTTGTTCGCTAGCTTTGGAGACAAGAGCTTCCCAGTTCTGCGATGCGACGCTTGACAGAGACTCAATGGAGCCCGTGGGAGTTCCATACATGGCGGTACTGGCGGCGAAGCTAGCGGCAGAGAGGGATGAAGAAGCGGCTTGAATCGCAGCATCGTACTGAGATGAAATGTCATCAAGGACACTTTGTGCTGGTGACTTTTCCCGTTTGCCTAGCGCCGAACTCGCCGACTGCAGCATGACGGACATACGGTAAGATGCAGCAGAGGTGGCAGATTCATATTGTGAGGAAGCTGAATCCAAAGCGGTCTGGTAAAATGGGGCAGGTGTGCCATAGATTGCAGTGCTTGCGGCACATGAAGCAGATGATAAGGATGAGGCAGCGGCTTCCAAGGCATTAGAGTATGCTGCCTTGGCATCATCCAGTAGACCTTGTGATGGCGAAGCTGCTGAGCTGATTGATGACTTGTAGGCGTCGAAACTGGCAGCCGCCGCAGAGGTTGCAGCCGAATACTGAGAGGCGGCAGCGTCAATCATGCTTTGGTAGGCTGGAACTGGAGTGCCATATACCGCAGCAGAAGCGGCACTAGACATGCTGCTTAGAACGGGAGTGGGAGTGCCGTAAATGGCGCTCGAGGCGGTCTTGATAAACTCAGAATACTGTTCATGAGCCATGCCGATGGCGGCGTAGTAGTTCTTTTGTGCCTCCTTGAGATACCGCTCGCGAGCAGGTGCCGGGGTGGCACCTACAGCAACCTTCGCCCTGGAGTATTGCGACGATGCTGCAGCCAGGGAGTCCTGCAAGACCGAGGATGCCAATGATGAGACGGAAACCAGAGGGTTGGACGTCGGTATGGCGCTCGAAGCCCCTTTACTGAGGGAAGCATATTGGTCAGAAGCAGCACGACGGGCAGAATCGAGTCTGCTGCTGGCTGCTTCTACGGCACCGGAATATGCCGAATCAATGGAGGAAAACATCTCCTCATGGACCGGCTTGGGCGTCCCCGATATCTGCTGGGAGACGACTGATTTGGCGGCACTGTAATTGTCCTCAGCTCTGCTGACAGCATCACTGTACAGTGAGCTGGCCTGTTGGAGCAGTGACTCGGTGACTGGGGTCGGTGTGCCATATATGGCGGAACTGGCAGCCAAAACAGCTTGGGAATACCGATCGGAAGCAACGCTGGCGATGCTCTCGGCTGTGCCTTGAGGGGTACCGTAAAGTACGCTCGAGGCAGCAGACAGGGCGCTCGCATATTGTTCACTGGCCACGGACGTCATGCTCTCCACGGTGCCTTGAGTGGTAGTAGTACCAAACATTGCCTCCGACACCGCTCGTGTGACTTCAGCATATCTATCCCCAGCATCGTGAATCATGCTCTGAACCTTCTCTGAAAACGTTGAATCATCGTCGTCATCAAAGGAATCATCCAAAATAGGGGCAGTGCCTTTGACCTTTTGCGCCACGGCACCAGCAAATACTTTGGTAGACACCTGCTCTGTGCCTGAATCTGCTGCGGACGAGGCAGAACTGGCCAGCTCCGCTGCCTCAGAGTCGATGTTCGAGCTCACAGATGTGGATTCAGAAGAAAGACTTTCCAAAAGCGAAGATGCAGAGCTTGCCACGACGCTGGTCGCAGAGCTGGCGGAGTCCAAGACGTCGTCGGCTAAGCTCGAAGCCGACGATGCAGCCTCAGGAATAACAGTACCTGTGCCACTGCCAAGCACAGAAGAAGAAGACTCATATGCATGTTCGGCGGAATCCTTGGCTTGGGAGGCAACAGATTTCACAGAATCCACTGGCAGAGCAGACGAAGCTCGCGAGGCAGCATCGTGTGCCACTTGACTCGCCTTGGAAGTTGCGGATTCCACACTCCCTGTACTGGTGCCCGCAATGGCTGATGAAGCAGAAGACACCGCGGCTTCAGCAGCTTCACTCGCTTGGGACATGACAGACTGCGCTGAGCTAACCCCTTGAGAGGTTGCGTCCTGAAGGTCGGCGCCAAGACTCGATGCTGCAGAAACTGCTCCTGCGGGAACATTTCTTGTCTCGAAATCGTCCGATGCGTCGCGTGCCTTCAACTTCCACTGTGCGACACCTTTGAGTCTGACCAGCTCTTTGGCAGCATCTTCAGTGATGGCCATGCTTTCCTCGGTGATTTGTCGAGCGGTAGCGATGGCTTCTTGCGCATCTGGATGTTCCATGGCAACATTGCGAACCTCAGCTTTCCATTCGTCGAGTTGCTTTCTTACGTCGTGGAATTTCTCCCAGTGTTTGTAGGTGACGCCTTCCATCCATGCCCAACGCATGCCTACCTCTTGTAAGCCGAGGTCCTTGATACCGTCCAGCACTTCCAAAGTAGATGCAGAGGCGGCAGCAAGGCGCTGCATTAGGCTTGTCTCAAAGTTATGAGCCCAATCCCGAAGATTCTTAGCCCGCTCTTTAATCTCGGCGCCGGAGGCTCTGATGTTGGAGAGAATATCCTCTGCTGCCTTCTTGACCTCTTCGGAGCTTGCGTCATCGGGTAAGGCTGCGATTATGGACTTGGTCTTGGTCTTGACATTGCTCAGTTCGTTCTCGATTGTGGTTTCCAAGGCCGTCTTCAATCGTCGACCAACCCCATCGATATCACTCTTGACAAGGCTGCTGACTATGGAGGCGACTCGCTCACGGAGGTCCTCACTTCCTTTGTCTGCTGCCGCGGCAAACTTTTTCTGCCAGTTTATGAGATCTTCAGAGATCTTCTCTTCCGTGACAACCTCCGGCGGCGGTCTGACAGGGGCCTGAACCGTTGACTGAGGCTCCTCACCGGTCACGGTCGAAGAAATTGACTCATCATCAGTGTCAAATATTGCATATACATCGTCCACCTTGGCCGTTGCACTTGGAGTTGCGGTTGTGGTCGAAGCGGTCACCGACTGTGAATGATCAACTTCATCCATTACAGCTTTCAGCTTGCGGCTTTCCTGGTATTTGGCGATCCTCTCATTGATCATGACAAGCTGAGGCCTGACATTGTCAATGTACAAGCCTTTTACCATAGGCCATAGCGTTCCGTCCACAAAGATGATCAGTTCGGACCACGCACGTCTTGCCACTGGATATGCTGTGCTGGAGATGAACGCTTGTGTGCTGTTGTAGGCCTCCTGGAGATGCGGGCGAGCATATTGAACAAAAGGAAGGATGTGGTCCTTGTAGATCTTCTGGGCTGAATCTCGGGTTGTAGTGTAATAAGGACCAACCACTGCAGTGACCTTATTCACATGGGGAGCAAGGTTCGCATCATATATTTTTGCGGCATTCCCTCTCGCAACATTGATCTGTGGCACAACCGACTTCTCCCATTGAGCCTGTGAATAGATTTTTGCCGCATCAATTTGAGGAGCGGCGAACTTCTCGTAACTACGCCTGGCAAACACCGTCGCGGGCTGGACCACTCGCTTGTTCAGGGTGTTTGCATATGGCTGAGCAACGGCAACATAGGGAGCCGCATATTCATCGTAGTACGGCTGGATATGAGGCTGGACATATGCTTTTGCAGACAAATAGGACCGACACACTTGCGGCGAGGTGTCTGTGAGTCCCTGAGGTGTAGAGGGACATCGAAAGATAACGGTCAGGAGGGTATACCAGATGGTAAGCCTGTTAGCTGGTTAGTGCTCGTCGGTGAGGACGGGAGGATCAAGACGGTACCTGGCAAGATTGTTGGAGATCCAGAACGTCCAGCTCTGGCGACGACGAGGTGCGCGGCGTACAATATGGCCGGTGACATGTCCATTCGGTCTGTCTTTGACGTTCTCTACCGGCTTTCCATTCTCAACCACCGCCATCGCAGCAGCGTGCGTGTGGTAGATTGGGAAACTTCTCTCCACCTCCAGAATAATTCCCGTGTGTAAACAGACCAACTCTTAGAGGCAGGTTCTCTGCCAATGCAGAGATCGAGGCAGATTGCTGTTTCGCTTGACGAATGCAGCAAACAGGTCGAGCAGGATTACGGGAGCAAGAGATGGATTCGTTGGATTGGTGAAAGAAGAGGATAGATCGGTTGGATGAATTATGGTAGGAAGCAGGGGAGCATGTGTGGTCGGTGGAGGTGTCGCAAGGTCAAGTTCCGCATGCACATGGGACACGACGACGCAATGAGATAGACTGCAGTCAGTGGTGCTCAGGCTGGATGTAGCGACTCGGCGTGTGAGTGGTGAGTGGATGCACTCCAAGTTCACTGCAGTTTCCAAGTTGCAGCCACTGCGTCACCAGGACACCACAACCAACTTGAAGCAAGCCAGTCTACAAAAGTATACAGTCCTAGTATTGGCTGAAGGTGGTGATACTGATAAGCTGGATTGTCCAACAACTGAACTTCCCAGTGCTGCAACAATAATAATACTACTAGCATGACCGCACTGCCAGACCTACAGCAAAAGTCTACGATGAGGACACTGACACTGGCAGAACAATGCATCAGCCACAACTTGAACTGAACTGGGGCCTACTTGAAGCAAAATGATGTAACAAAGCACATCATGTTGGCGCTGCTCATCTTGACGGCCAACCAACTGTTTCTGTTGATGCTGACGATGGAGCATCAACTGCAAGTTTCAGGCTCCGCAACTTGGCTGCCTGCGCCAGCCAGTCACGTGCATTGTAGATACGTCTCTTTGTCGGTCATGTGACTGCATGTGGGAGAGGACCATGCACGTGATAGCCCCGGGTCTCGCCGCGGTGTTGGACTGCGCCAGACACTCCAGGAACTGATTATACAAATCATGTCCGACCCCATAAATTGTATACGATCACTGCCTACTCTCAATTCCACACTTCCACGTTCCCTAATCATTCTTCCGACTTATTTACGCGAACGCCACACGCTTGTCAGACCTCTATTACGTCCTCCATCTCGCAGGGATAGGGAACCAGCAGTGGATCTCTCGTTTCTGCAAGATGGCCTAAGTTTAAATGCCTTCCGAGATGCAAACGACTACCCATCCTCCCTTCGTACCGTTCCTCAGTATTAGGAAAGATGCCGTTGGACGTCTACGAGAAACACCCCGTAGCCCTGGCTCGGGAGAGGGCCAGAAAGGAGGCCATGGACGCCGCACAAGATGAGACCCAAGACTACTGCCGTATCTGCCGTGGCGAGGCATCCCCAGACCAACCGTTATTTTATCCTTGCAAATGCAGCGGCAGCATCAAGTTCGTCCACCAGGAGTGCCTCTTGGAATGGTTGTCCCATTCTCAAAAGAAATACTGCGAGCTGTGCAAGACCTCCTTCCGCTTCACCAAGATCTACGATCGTTCCATGCCCGCCACCTTGCCCTTCCCTCTCTTCCTCCGCCAACTTGCACGTCATGCAGTGCGGAGCATATCTCGCTGGGTTCGTTATCTCGCGGTTGCCGTGATCTGGCTATGCTGCCTGCCCTGGTGTATACGACAAGTCTGGAGAGGCATGTTTTGGCTGGCTGACGGAGGTTGGTTGAATGAGGAGGATGTACAGGCTGCTACACAGGTCGCTTCGAACGTGACATCAAGCTGGGCCGCCGCATCATCTCAAGGAGCAATTACGGCCAATGTCACTGTCCCTGAATATCTCGAGAGGATAAAGCTGGTCTTTCCACCTATGCAGGTTTCGCTGGGCGATATTGCTAGGTTGTTCTTCAGCCAGGGTTTGATCGGCAGACTTTTGCAACTTGTCTTCTCCTTTTTCATACCGAACTTGAAACGATATGCCGGCGTCTCAGACCAGTCTAATACGTCCGTTGCTTACATGGTGCCCACGCGACCTCCATCAATACTTTCCGATATCCAAATCCTGGCGAATTGGTCGTCTTCCCCTACGCTCAACAACGCCACTGTCGATGTTGTGGAAGGCCAGCTGATTTGTATCCTCTTGGTCACGGCGTTTATTCTTGTTTTTCTAATCCGAGAATGGGTAATCAACCAACAACTACCTGGACCCGACCTAGCCGAAGTCCCTCCACCAGCCCCAGTGGCGGAGGATAATCCACAACCTATTCCAGGGCTAGTACCCCGGAACGATGATAATGACGACGGTGACGGCATGCATGCGGAAGTTGGAGACCGGCGTCTTGTATTGCACCGCGGTGAAAGGCCCATCGCCATACCGAGGCCAAGGCGAGCTATAACAGACGATAACATCTTGAATGTTGTCAATCCTGAACATGGCCTTCCGAATCTACCTGCTCGATCCCAAAGTTTGTTATCCGCTCAAGATTCGGAAATAGATCATGGAGAGGCAGATACTATCGGAGAAAGCAGTGCGGCGGCAGACGACTTTGAGCCCAGGCTTTCCCCGCGACGGAGCGTGAACAACTCTATCCTTGTTCAGAGAGACTTTGCGGTATCACCGAGCGGCCAGGATGCCAATATGACCTTCCCCAGGGATTCCTTGGAGCTGCTTCGCAATGATGACGAGGGGACGACTCACCAAGATGACGTGGTGCAGGCGGAAGACTCCTCAAATCGCCTTACTTCTTCCCAGCCAGACCATGCTATTGTTCGAGACTTCGAGACATCCTCTTCGAGCCCTTCGGATACCTACAGCGCGGGTGAAGTTGGCGCGGAGGGCTCGACGATATCATCTGAGGAGATGAGATATCTGTTCGATGTCCCTACTGGCTTGCCCACTGGCAATGGAGATATGGGTAGGGATAGCAGAGCCCTACTGACGCCGCACTCGAGCGATCTGGACCATCCCCACCCCACGGGCGAGGATCAAGATTCTGCAAACAACCAACCCCAAGACAGGCAATCGCCATCCACAGAGACAAGCATGCTAGAGAAGATATCAGACTGGCTTTGGCGCACCGATGATTTTGTCGAGGCCCATGAACACGTAGATACTGCCACTGGCCGTTATGCGCAAGGTGCGGATGGTGAGGTCTTGGACGACGAGCTCCCAGAAGATCCTTTTCCTTTTGTCCCTGACCACCACCATGGCCTTTTCCAGGCTGAAGGGGCGGCTCCTGTACAGGGGCCAGTTGCTGAAGCGCGAGAGCCAAATATGTTCATGGGTGTTGACCTGAACGACCCAAATGCCGCGGATGATGTTGAAGATCTCGATGGCGTTCTCGAACTACTGGGAATGGAGGGGCCCGTCTTTGGCATGATCCAAAACATCATCTTCAGTCTCTTCCTCATTACAATGACCTTGACAGCCAGCGTCTGGTGCCCCTACATCTGGGGTAAGATTGCGCTCCTCCTGATGTCGAACCCGTTCGGTATGCTTGTCAAGGCCCCGCTGTATGTGCTGTCCAAAACAGCAGACATTGTGTTTGACCTTGTCTTCTTCGTTGGGGGATTTGCAGGGCTTGTCTTAAGCCAACCCATGAAGATCATCAAAGCTATGAGTCAGCCGATGTTACCTAGCATTGGCAAAGTGCTAAATCCGGCTGTCATCGAAGCGTTCTCGGTGGATCTTAGCCAAAAAAGTTACGACCGCCTAGAAAGAACATTATCCGGCACGGTGCTTAATCTGAAGCCGGATCTGCCTACGTTTTCTATGGTATCTCACCAAGCTTTGAGATCATTCAAGCTGTCCTTTGTGCATACAGGAGCCTGGGTGCTCTCCTCCGTCCTCCAGGTCCAGAAATCTCTTTCCAATGATTCTCTCAGCTTTTCAGCGATTCTTCGGTCCGGCGCGAACATGCTGAGATCCGCTCCAAACTGGGCAGCAAGTTTTTTCGCGCTCAGTTTTCATAGCTTGAAAGATTGGCGTAAAGATCTGTTTGCTGCTCCGACAGCGAATGCAGACGCACTGGATTCCTCTCTGGTGAGATGGAGCACCGAAGACCGGATTCTTACCGTCATCTTGGGATATGCCTTCTTCGCTGCTGCCGGCGTTCTTTTCCTTGAATTGGCTCACATCGTCTTGGGTCTTGGGCCAGATGAGAAAGTCGAAGGTTATTTTGCGGATTGTCTTCGACAAGCGGGAGGAGTACTAAAAGTCATCGTCATTATCGGCATCGAGATGTTGGTCTTTCCGCTCTATTGTGGATTGCTTCTTGATGTGGCTCTTCTACCTCTCTTTGCCAACGCTACACTCACCAGCCGGATCGCCTTCATGGTCAGAGCCCCTTTTACTGGCATTTTCATCCACTGGTTCATTGGGACCTGTTACATGTTTCATTTCGCCTTATTCGTCTCAATCTGCCGGAAGATTATGCGAACAGGAGTCTTGTACTTTATCCGGGATCCTGACGACCCGAATTTTCATCCGGTCCGCGATGTCCTCGAACGACCAATCCCGGCGCAATTGGGCAAAATTGCATTCTCGGCGTTGGTTTACGGCGGCTTGGTTATCGTATGTTTGGGCGGGGTTGTCTGGTCGTTGGACTGGGTCGGTGGCATCTTGCCCATCCAGTGGGCGACGGCCGAACCAAAGTTGGCGTTTCCGATGGACATTGTCTTCTACAACTTCCTCCTTCCGTTTATTCTGCGAAGGATTGAACCGTCCAAAAAGATGTCTGCCATGTTCAAATGGTGGTTTCGAGCATGTGCCAGAGGGTTGAGGTTGACCCATTTTCTCTTCGGGGAGGAACGCGAAGAGGAGAAATATAGCTCTTCCAATGGTCATCTCCGACGGTTGTTTGGAGGGAAGAGCGCGACAAGCCCAGTGCGAGATGGTATCTATGTTCGAGCACCTGCGTCTGACTCTGTTCGGATACCTAAAGGTCGGAATGTGTTCCTCGAAGTCACGGAGCAAAATGAACGGGTCGATGGTCTCCCGGACTCGGACCTTGGCATTCATGGAAAGAGAGATGATAACTTTACCAAGGTCTATCTTCCTCCAAGATTCAGAGCCCGCATCGCGGTGTTTATCGTCTTGGTATGGTTGTTCGCCGCCGCGACAGGAGTGACCTTTACAATCGGGCCTCTGTTGCTGGGCCGGAAAGTTACTCAATTTCTCTGTCAATCAACCCTGCCGCCCAATGATTTGTACGCCTTTACTGTCGGCATACACCTCTTTATCGTTCTTGGCTACGCGATGGCATATGCTCGGTCGATAAAAGACTATCTCAAGCATAAAGTTCCAGAGTGGCTCGGTCCACAGTTGCTGTCCACGATCCAATATATCCTAGGACTGGCTTACTTGGGCCTGTACACGGCAGTGATCCTCCCATTTGTTTTGTCCTTGATCATGGAACTGTACATTCACGTTCCTGTGTTCGATTACCTGACAACTCAACATGAACAGCGCACTTCAGTCGATGGTTCCAGTCGACCAGTCGCCACGATCTTTGTCGTCCAGTCGTGGACGATCGGGCTGCTCTACCTCCGGCTGATGATGAGATACATCTTGCATCGAACAGCCCCTGATGGACGGGTAGCCACCGCTTTACGAGCCATCACCCGCAACGGATTTCTCAATCCCGACGTGCGCCTGGCCAGTCGTGCATTTGTGCTTCCCAGCACCATGTTGTGCTTGGCGCTTCTGGGGGCTCCGCTGGTGTTTGCCAAAGTTCTTATTGTTGTGATGGGCATTGAAGACCCGGACACTCGATTGCAGCTTTACCGACTAGCTTACCCGGATGTTCTAGGTCTGATGGTGCTTTGGCTGTTGGCTGTTGGGTTCAAACGTCAGCTGGCAAATTGGAAAGTCAAGATTCGAGACGAGGTGTATCTTATCGGCGAGCGGCTACACAATTTCCACGAACCATCACCGCATAGAACGACGAGGGGCAAGGGCAAGGAGAGAGCGGGCAATGAGAGACCTGGCAGTCAGAGAGCTTTGTGATGGAAAAGTTGCATTTCAGTACACCATTCAGTCTTTAGCAGCATTGGAGGCGCAAGCCGGTTGATAGATTTTTGTAACGGCATTGATAATGAGATACCCCGTTCTATCTTTCTGCATAACAGAACGTGGATGAGCTGTTGTGACTACTGTGCTGCTTGTCATCGATGCACTCTTTCAAGCATGTCCTCCGCCAGCAGTGTGAGGAGGTACTGTATGGTGCCATGGATGCTGTGTCCTCGCCCGGAGAGACCCGGAGATGGTGTTGTGGATGGCGGTCAGCTGACCATGTCATGATGGCATACTCCCGTGTACAATAATGGACGTACTTATCCGCCGCTTTCTTCGAGGTGTCTCGTCTCTTCCTCTCTACAGCAAGATAGGGAACTCATGATAAAGCGCTTCTTGCTGTTTTTGCCCCTACTAAACTAGAGTGTCTCTGTGAGCCATTGGCGGTGTACTATCTATCTCGGATGAAAATGGCGGCGTCATCTTCTTCTGCCTCCTCTTCGCAGAACAAACCCAAGGTGGGGATCTTATCGATCGGTGATATGGGCATGGGCATCGCCCGACTCCTCCGCCACCACGACTATGCGGTATACACAGTTGCTACGGGAAGAAGGTAGGTTATCCAACTTGAACAAGCAAAAACAAGCATATATATATATATATATATATATATATATATATATATGTACCTTGAACCCAATCCACTTCCATCCTCCCCTCCCACGGTGGTCTTGTTCTGGTTTTTGCAACGGGTGTCTTGAGGATGGGGCCTTGAACGCCAGTGGCTGATATCTGGTACTATTAAGCCAACACACACTTGACCGCATCAACCGGGCACAAATCATCTCTCTCGCGACAGACGAAGAGCTCGTGGCCGAAGTCGATATTTTACTCAGTATCGTTCCTCCACGAGACGCGGTGGCGACAGCTCGTCGAGCCCTGGAAGCCAGCCAGTCCGCGTTGGCGATGAAGCGACGCAGCGAACGAGTCAGCGAAAACAACGACACCAGTGGCAGTACCACTACAGAGCCATCAGCAGCATCAGCAACTCGTACTACAACAACAACGGACAGTACCAGTACCAACAATCTAGTCTACATCGACTTGAACGCCATCAGCCCGAAAACCGCACGAACCATTGCGTCCATGTTCAGCAATAGCAACAGCACAACAAACACGCCAACCGCGAAATCACCACCACCTCCTTCATCTCCCTCTTCCTCCTCACCATTCTCTCTCGCCCGCCGCTCTTTTTCCTTTCACAGACGAGAATCCGAGCCCCAATCAGTCGAGTCCACCCTACCTCCAATCACAATCTCCTTTCTCGACGGCGGCATCATCGGCTCCCCTCCCTCCTTGCGCGAAGACAAATCCTGGAAACGGCCATCGATAGTCATATCCGGCCCTCCAGCCGCACAGCAGCTAGTCGACCCGAATCTCGCACGCCTCCTCAACGTCCGAATCGTCGGCGACACCATCGGCCCCGCATCAGCGCTAAAATCATGTTTCGCAGCCCTATCAAAGGGAACCATCGCCCTGGCCATTTTATCATTCACCACCGCGCACACATGCGGCGTGTTGCCGGCTTTAACAGACCATTTGGAAGAGTTTAACCCCGCCATGCTAGCTTATGCGCGTGGTGGACTCACAAATATGCCGCCCAAGGCGTACCGGTGGGTCGAGGAGATGAGACAGATTAATGAGACGTTTAGTGTTGAAGGGGGGTTTAGTGAGGACGTCCTAGGAGAGTCTGGTCATGGTGGTCATCACCATGGTACTGAGGGAGAAGGGTCAGGAGGATCAGGACAGGTCTTTGATGCCATTGCAGAAGTCTACAAACTTGTTGCGGATGATACTGTCCTGGGCGAGGAGAAAACAGAAAAAAGAAAGAGGGGGACTACGCTTGAAGATGTGGTCGAGTGTGTGAGTGAGGGGATTGTGCGGAAGAAGAGGAAGGGCGGGAATAATGGTGAGTTGGAGGCTGCTTGGAGGGGGAGTTGGTCTTGATTTGAGCAAGATACTGGACATATGTATTGGACATACTACATACTACAGACTTGATATTGTCGAGATGCGGTAGAGTACATAGCTGGTTCGTTTGACGATTTCATGAATATCATTTATCATTAGAGTACGGTGGATGTCTTGGTCGTGAGTCTCAAGTCGGTAGATAGGTATTAAGCTGATACTACGTGTGTAGTATGTATGCATTCGTGGCAAAATAGATTATATTATTCTAACCAAGCAGCACCACAACCGTCCGCAACACCGCACACCGTAAACAAAGCCAACCCAGTCCCTACCAAAAACATAAATCTAACAGGAAGATTGATCCCAAGCAACTAGATACACTGCACTGCTGGTGAAACAAAAGCCGAAGGCTGTACAACGTAAAAAGAAAAGCACTCACCATAAAACCCCCCAAAAAGATCTCCGTGGAATAAAAGTTCAAAAATGCAAAAAGAAACGAAACAAGTTTCGGAATTGAGCCGAATGCGGGGGTCGAACCCGCAGCCTTGTGGTAACCTTGATGTTCGAGGTATAAGAGCCACACTGGAGAGGTTATTAGTATGATTGTTGAGTGGTAGTTGTGGTTGAGGAATCGAAGACTTACCGCTCTACCGATTGAGCTAACCCGGCGAAGGAAACCAGTGCAATTGATGCGCTGATTGTTGAGGATAATTTTGCTGGAATGAAATATATAGCTAATTTGTGGGCCGGGTGGCAGTGAAATCTTGGCGGGGATTTATCATTGGCTTTTCAAGGTACTAAGTTACTGGCCAATGTCATTCCAGCTTGCCCTACAGTGGTACAGTGCTACTCTCTGTAACTTGAACTGCAAGTAGTGGTACCTACTGTATCTACAGTATCTACCTACGATGTATACGGTACTCTACCTCTTGGCGTTATTGTTTGTCTCTTTGAGGCTATGCACTGAGCAGTGTGCAGGTTGAACGTCTAGTTGAGTTGCGGCATAGATTACCAGGTATTATGGAAAAGAAAAAAGATTGATCAGGTGTCTCATGAATCATGCTGCTTGCTACCTAGCTACTAGTAGGAACTACAGTAGCTGTTCTGGGTGGTATATATATATAAAATAAATGCGCAAAAAGACCCGAGATTTTTCAAGCTGTGCTACTGACATCAAGCGCCTCAAGCAAGCAAATTCTTTGTGCATGGGTACGTCGACGTAAATGTTGCCTCCATTTCTGTGTTTGTGTCTGTGTTGTGTTTACAACTTACTCTTCCCAGGCTGCTCGGCCGGACCACAGCACTCCCCACCCTTGCCGACAACAGTCTCAACAGCAGGCTGATGATGCAGGTTCGAAGCCAGGGTGGACTGGTTGAAACTCTGCTCGGAAGGCGGGACATCGAGAGCAGGGTTCTTGTCGAAAAAGTTGACGGGTTTCAAGCTGACTTTCAGGATCTCGCAGGGCATGACGGGGAAATCCTCGATTCTCGGGACATGGTTGATGCCAAACTGGACCCAGACGACAATATCGGTGTCCTTGACACTATCGTTGCGGGCGGCGAAGCTGCGCACACCCGTGCCTCCGCGAGACTGGTTGGTGTACCAACCTCCGGCATACAACTCACGGTCACGGTGGGTAGTGACATAGATGTTGTGGTCTGCGAATTCGGCACGTTTGAAGTGGAACGAAGATGGATGAGCCAGCATCTTCTGGAAGGGCGGCACGTGGATCTTGTAGGCCACCGGTTTACCATTGACAGGGTTCAGGACACGAGGATTCTGGATCTTGAACACTCGGTTCGCATCGACGTCGATATCCAAGCCGCCGGCCTTCTCTACCACAGTTTCCGAGACCGTGTAGCCTACGCCGTGCGGGTTCCACTCCTTGTCAATTGGCATGGCGTGTGCCTCGTCGTAAACCAGTCGGTTCTCGTGACCTTCCAGCATCGGGTCAATTCGAAGTGAGAAAATATGCTGGTGATGCACCGCCAAGACGCCAGGATGAACCACGGTACCAAAAGGCACGCCCACCTTGTCGAGTTCGTGGTCGATCGGCTGTGTCGATAAGATACCGGTGGCGCGCACTTCGTAGATCACCTCGCCGGCTTGATTGAACATGAACGCCAGGATGTATTCGTAGTTGGACACGGTGATGATGCTCTGGAGTACGAGTTCACGGTTGCGCACCACAGCCGCTCGTCCGGTCCGGTAATTGGTGTGTTTCCAGCCGATACCGGCGTCCTGCTCGTGGATGCACACGCAGTTCTCCATCGGCGTGGGCTTTCCCTTGTCGTCGGTAATGACGGCCGACAGGTACTGAATATGACCCAAGCAGTCACATCCTAGTTTAAGGTTGTTGGCCATGGCGCCAGCGCCAGCGTCGCCCAGATCATAGGCTGCCTTCTTGTGGTAAGGGTGTCGTGGGTCTGCATAGGGAATGTTCATGTCCGACAGGGACAGTCGGTAGAACAATGGTCTCGAGTCGTAGCGTACATCATACAAAACCATCCCTTCTCGCTGGTTGTAGCCCACGCGGAATGACCATTTCTGCCATTCCAACACATGCCCGGTTTCGCCGGCAGGAGTCAGGGTAAATGAGGCGCCTTCGGGTTGAATCACACGAAGTGGTTTCAGGTCTTTGCGGAGAGATGGCTGAGCTTCTGGAATGTACTCATTTGCTGGAACTGGTTCATAGGGCCGTGGTTCGTGGACGGTGTTGTCGGCACCCGTAGGGAGATAATCGATCCGGATGACGGTGTAGTTGTTGCATTCCAGAACTGGAGAGATGGGCAGCGGGAACGCATAGTGATTAGAGTCGAGTTCGCTGGGATTGGCCGGGTCACGCATATACAGAAACACCTGATACAGTCTCTCGTCGTCGTTGATGCCATCCGAGCCTGTACATGAGTTAGTCTCAAATGCGTGGGTGCTGTATAAACTGCTGCTTCGCGCAACGAGAAGGCAGAATGCGAGGAGAGCCAACATACCATAAATCCACGGATCGGCAGTAACGGCCGTGCCTTCGGGTAACTTCAACTTGGCCAAAGCGGCCTTGACACCTTCGTCCTCGAGAGCGTTTTTCTCAACGAGCAGGATCTCCTCATAGTCTCCGTTGCCGTGCATGTTCGGTCCGAGCCGGACATTGCTCTCGACCCTGCCGGCAGAAAGATTGACGACGGCTTCATGGAAGCGGTCCTGGAGCACATGTTAGAGTTTATTCCACAACAAGCAACCTCTCAGAGAATACGCCGTCGACAGCAACATTCCTCCCCAGTCGAGAAAAAAATCCTACAACCAAGATAAAAGCAACGAAAACTCAGCTCAATGTACTTACAGTATTGCGAATATAATAAGACACAAAAGCCTTGCGAGGAATTTGCGGTAGAGGGCGACCACTATGTTCGGCTTCCAAGTAAGGGATCATCTGCTTCTTAGGCGGCTCGTCGAGTGTAATGACCTTGAACCGCAGGTCAATGTTGGCGGGCCAGACAGACCTCAACAGATTGGCAGTGGTCGTGATCTCCGAAGCCGTCAAGGGACACAAAGGATGGGAAACATTCGCCTTTGCCGCCGACGGCGTCGTGGCGGAGGAGAAGTCTTGCGTGGCAGCAGCCATGGTGATAGTGGCAAATGGTCCAACCACGAAAGTACACTTTCCACAAGACCAAGAAGAAAAGCAAAGCGGATTGTGCCTGAAAAGAGAAAAAGGTGTCGAACAAAGGAAAGGAAGGGGAGGTGAGGCTACTATATGTATATATATACGATATCGACTAGGGAACGGACATGTCAGATAAGGCGTATCATTCACAGCAACGAGCTTGGGGAGAGAGGAGATGGGGAATAGTCCGATAGCACTTGTTGGTAATTGTCCAATCAATATGAAAACCGCAGCAGGCTTGTGCAAGAGCCCACGAGTTGTAATGGCCCTCGACTGTCCTCTCCCAAAGAACTGATATCCACCAGCCTCGGCCGGTGAGGGGCGTTGACACGGAGTGGGAGGAGTAGGAGTCGGCTAGTTGTAGATGCTAACAGAAATGGCCCAAAGAGGCATGAGAGATGATGGGTCAATGGTCATTGAATTTGGATTTGGAGCTAAGCCAGATGCAGGAGGTCGAGCCGGACCAGCCAATCGGCTGCGACCAACATAAGCAGGGTCTGATAATGCCAGTCATGCCATTATCTCCCTGTGCATCGCCGTAGCCCACAGGAACCCGTCGCCCAAGTCCGTGGCAGGCAAGACACCGCCCGTTGAAGCCCCATGGAGACTATCTGATGTATTTACAAGCAAGCATGCATAATTGATCTTGTAACAGATTGACTCAAATGTAAGGTGGTCGTCAGTCGAGAAGCAGAAGCCAGGGTGAGACGTGAGGACCAATCCGGAGTACAAATTGTCAAAATAGGTATTGTTCATATAGTCAATGGCCCGACCAAATCGAACCACTGCATACTATTCCGCACCCAAGTTCTCGGTCGATCCGGTGCTGCATGCCATGTCTCAGGTCAGCACAGCGCAAACATGGCCAACTACTGTCGTTTGCCCCTAATATATCACAAAAGAGAAGCCGAATCAGCACCATACCAGGTAGACCACACAATCCCCATCTCACAAAGAAGCCTTGCACTACAGCGGTAGTAAGGTAGGTACTTACGGCATCCGAACCAAATACCTTGGCCTCGCCTCCCCCGCCTCACCCACACTCTCCCCCCAAGCCTGCTTAATAGTCATGGCCGAATGAGCCTCATCCAGAAAGAACTTAGTCCCGACCTGGAACCAGCCGTTTCCGACATCTAGGGCCTCGGCCAGTCCAATCGCATACCGGGGATAATTAGGCGGCGCGTCCTTGACACAGTCGAGTTGTTCAATGAGTTCCTCAATCGGCATGGAACACGACGCCGTCATGACTCGGAACGGCTCGCACGCGTGGGGTGGGATATAAAATTGTCCGTGCGAGTTGACCGTGTACTTTTCCAGCACGTTGTATGTGAACAGGTGGAACGTGGCGTTCTGTTTGGACGCGACGTACCCTGTGCCTGTATCCTTGACGACCATAAGGCGGTCTTTGACGCGGTTCCCGCTGACGGGGGGTTCCGGGGGTTGCGAGGCGGCGTGGTTGATGGCACCGCGGACATCGGGCGGAGGTGGAGGCGGAGCTGGGGCCGCTGGAGCTGCAGGAGCAGGCGGCGCTGGTGGTGGCGGTGGTGGTTGAAACCACACGGCTCCTGCTGATGGAGGTGGTGGAGGCGGAGGATTGCCGCCACCTCCTGGAAAACATACTGCGCCGGGAAAGCCAGAGGTGGGTGGAATGAAGAAAGGGCCGCTCGGAGGCCCCGAAGGCGCCGGTGGTTGCGGTGGGGGAGGGAAGAATGAGTATGGGGGTGGTAGACCGAACGCTGGTCCGGGTCCTGCTCCTGCTCCAGATGCCGGAGGACCACTTGGAGGGGCGCCCTTGTTTGGCGGGCCACCGTCCTTGGTGAAATAGTGGTACTGTGTCTTCCCAACCAAGCCTGGTGGAGGTGGTGGTGGCGGTGCGGACATGGCGAATGGCAATACGAATGGACCTGGACACGCCATTGGAGGATATGGTAGACAAAGGTAGCTGCTTTTCTAGTCCGAAGACAGAAATGGAAACGGGAGACGTTGAACGGTGCTGATGGAAGCCGAGTCGTTTGGTCCCTTCAGCTCAAACAAGGGAAAGGGGAAACAGGCCCTCTTATAGAAGGTGAGAATGGTGGCCGTGATCATTGCTCGTCACCAGCTCATGCTCAATGCTGTCATACGCCATGATTGCAGAGATCTGGTCCGGCAAACGCTGATCCCAACACCATGCCATGACGGTGAACAATCAAAGTATGCAGAGTCAGGGACATCTCTGCTGCCTTGTGACGGTGGGGGAATGTGGGCTTTGCAAACTCAGACAAGTAAGGCAAACGGAACAACTGGGCAGAAGATACAAACGCACTCTGATTGTTATCACAAGGCGAGAATGACTCGCCCAATACTTATCATGCGGCTACAACAGCCAGTCCTTCGTAGACTTTCCGCTTCACCCGGGTATAGTTGTCTGCAGCACTGCGAGTCATGGCAGACCCATTGGCAGGAATGCCTTCCACAATGATTTTCCCCGTTGCAAGTTTCTTCACTACCACTGTTCCATCAACCAGTAGCGTCCCTTCGCCACGGAATTCCGCAACATGGCCGTCCATTGCAATAATTCTTCTGAGGTCGGCAAGTCGTAGATCACCCACGTGGATGGGCTGGGTAACTGACCTCGTTGAAGCTGCCAGGCTGGCCGGCAAGACGTCAAGCACCGGTACAAGGGGTGGAGGGGGTGGCGCCTGTGCCTGGGCAGCTGCTTCCGTTTCCAGCTTCTGCTTCTTCAGTAACGGATCATCTGGCAAGTCGTTTTCCTGCTCTTGCTCAGCCTTGAGCTGGCCTTGAACAGTCACCACCCCCATGTTCTTGACGTTCTGCCAACGCAGGGTCCTGACCAAGGCACGGCTAAGTTTCACAATCCAGGCGTTCGTGTCAACACTAGCATCGACTGTCTGTCCAATTGTGGGAGAGAATATTTCGGTCGAGGTCTGCTCCTCGGCGCCCGCCACCTTCATGCCCAGGAGTTCTTTGCAGTCTGAAGCCAGAGAAAGTGTTTCCGCCTCTGTACCTCCAACCAGAATCAGCTTCTTAGGGCCGATAAGGGGAATAAGCATCTGAAGGCTTCGCTGGTCATGCAAGCCGGCAAAATCGACAAACGTCAATCTAGCGTTCACGGTGATTTCCGTAGTTGTATATACCACCTTCGCAGGGCCTTGAATGCCTTCCACTTCGACCTCGCCTTCAATGTCCGATGCTTCTGAATCCGACTCATCACCATGGCCATCTGGTGCATGCCCTTTTGGTCCTTGACCTCGTGCTCGCTTCGAACGCGAGTCGTTTGCATTGTTGGTATCCTCCCACTTTCGCTTTTGGCCTAACGTGCCTCCTGTCTTGCCACTGTTGGCCGCATCTTGTTCCTCTTTTTCCTCTTCCCGTAGAAAGTCTTCTGGTTTGATAAATTCACCAAACTCGTCACCACGCTTCCGTGAGTGTGTATATGGGAACACGGCATTACGCCCCTTTTTGTTCCGCACATCGTAGTCATAGACTCCCTTTTTACGGAGCAGTATATTGACTCCCAAGTCCTCGTCACTCAGTGCAAGCTTGTTCCGCGCGCCGTGCCCAAGAGCCGCGGACACATTTAAGACGCGGCCTTGCTGTTCATCGTCCGACTCCTCGGAGGACGAGGAGCTAGATTCATCGTCGATATTGTCGTCTGCAACCGTTTGGTCTCTCTCGGTTGTTGTAAGAGACTCCTGGATTTGCCTCTGAGTTGCCATGTATTGCTGATATCTTTGACTCTCTTGCGCGCTCAGCGGTGCCTTTTCCGGATTCTTCAGCTTCAGCATCCTTCCACCGCTATGAACCTGTTCAAGTTGACCCCCTCCTTCGGTTCGTTCCAGTGCGACGCCATCTTGACGCTGTTCGAACCACTGCCAGAATGCTTGGCCAGGACTTTCAGATCCCGGACGGACATTTAATCTTTCGGTCAGAATCACCAGGTTCTCGGGTTTCTGCACAACATGCTCCAGCAAAGACCTGGAGAAGCCCCAGTCCAAGGTTACATCGCTGGCCAAAATCACCCGCGGACCTTCGACTTTGAGCAATTTCTCCAGTTGGTGTTTCCGTTCCACGACCTTTACATTTTTGAACTCGAACGGTCTGGAAGGCTTGTTGGTTCCAGCAGCTTTGTTACCACCTCTTCGATTATATGGTTGAGTGGTAGGATTCTCGTCTTCCCCCTCAAACTCGCGAACAATACTGTCGTCCATCCATTCGAGAAGACTTCTGGCATGACGAAGCGTCGCATTACCCGATCTGCTGGCCATGTAGACTTTGACATCCTTGAAAGAAGCCGAGTGTGCCGGGTCAGACCAGGCCTTCTCTAAAAGCCAAGCCAACTCCAGCACCCGAGCACTGGAGTCCGTTGGTATCAAAACCGTACCGCCTTTGGCGACACTGGTCTTGATATGGCCCAGGAGAGCGTCATCTCGAGCTTTACGTCCACCCGATAGAGCAACTCTTGTGGCACCCACGCTGCTGCATACCAAGGCACTAGGCTTGCGTAACTGTTCAATCACCTCTGCGCCTCCGACACCACCAAACCAGGCTGCGCCGGCAACGACGTTTTCTCTTGCTTGGTTCCAGTCCACCGCGTAGACAATTGATTCCATGCCCTGTTGTATATGCCATATCGTGCCACCGAGGGTATGTCCCGCATTATATGCAGTCAGGGTCAATCCTTCGACAGGCGCAGAGAATTGAGATGCCGTGGGCTGAAGCGGCTGAGAGTATTTCAGGGGACTAATCAGCTGGAAGTACTTGTTTATCTCTTCGAACGTAGGCGCCTGGCGGAGTATGTTCGATCGCGACTTGTCATCAGCACTTGTGCCATCTTCAGGAGAGGCCGAGCCCGGTATGAATGTTGCGGCAAGCGGAGAAGAGGAGTACAAGTCCTCAAGAAGGGTGCGACCAAACGCAATCACAGGCGGAGTCGCGTAGATGGGGACTTGGGAGAAGAGAGGGATGTGCTTGCAACAATGTGCAAAAGCACCAATGTGAGAAATCGTGGGATGGGTGAGCAGAATGAAGGAGAGTGTTGATGTATGCTTTTCTATCTCGGTTAATTGACGAGTATCGAAGCGTTCATCCCATCCAACGTCGACCAGGATCTTGACTCCTCCATCTAGTTCGAGCAGTGATTGTGAGGCTCGAGAGTCGCTCTGAGCTCCGAGCAAGGGAGTAAAGGTGAACATGGCCGGGGTTTCGTTCGCGCGGGTGAGGGAGTTGGGTCACGGGTTAACGGTTTGAGTAATAAGGCCGTACGCCATCAGGAGCGACACGGATAAGTTGTACAATGTATTGGAAGCTCTTTAACGGCACAAGACTGGCATGAACATAAAAAGAAGAAATGCTGTCGTGCCGAAAGTCCACATGCGCATGTGTTCGAGTAATTCTGGAGAAAGACTGCAGTTTCCCCGAGTCGCGTCGTGAGACCGTTTGGGGACTTTGTCATGCCGCCTTAATCAGCGCTTGCCAGCCGCCCTAAGCAAAATGTGACGCCGTTTCTCTAAGCTTGCGCCAGTCTATCAGTCCCCTTACCCTGAAACCAACAACTTGAACCTCCAATGCACAAAATGTACAATGTAGAGGTCTCGTAGAGTGCCGAGAACCTACACGATGATAACCGAAGCTGAGGCCTACTGGGAACGGATATGCCGTACAGTACTATGAAGCCTCAGCTCCATCATCCGTTTTCGAGAGTCCAAAGCCGAGCCTCGCTTGAGCCTCGGGAAAGAGAGCTTTGCACTTGGCATGAGAGAGTTGAACTTCGTTGTAAGCGGTGCCATGCAGTGAAAGCTCCCTTTGATTCGGCCTTCAGTCAGCTCCGAGTCTTGGAAAAGAGAAAGGGCCCAGCCTGAGATGCAGTGGGCAGCATCCACCAGGCCGAAGTTTCCCAGAAAGCTCACAGACAGCTCCGTACCCACTTCCCCTCTGGCCGAGGAACACTGGTTCATCAGTACCAATCAATGAAGGAGCTGCCTGGCTGCCTTCCATGTACCCAAGACACGGTATATACCTTACGTTGGTTCAAGTTGCTTCTTCTTGCTTTCTGCTGCAGCACCACAATACATATCTCATACGCACAACCGTGTAAGCCGGAGACCAGGCTCCATATATACTTAGGTACGTCAAGTTGGCACTTTCTATGCTTTCATTCTTATGAGAAGGAAACCGAAACAAAGCCCAAAGAAAGACTACTCCGCGCTTCAAGACGCCGCGCGCCATTTCAAATCCCCCATTCAACCCCAGCGAAGCAAACAGAAGCAAAACCGAATCGATATCTAAGTGTCTACATCGTCAACAATGTCCGCCGAAACGCAAAGCCAAGGTCCAAGTGTTGGAACCCACCCAGATGTGATCAAGGTTATCCGTCAACCGGGGTCTTTCGCCTCGTACTCAGTCTCCACGACGACCCTACCGCCAGGCGCCCTGATGGCTCGCCTGACCAGTCCGCCGTTGACATTCGCTCCAGTGAAGCGGTGGTCATCGGTGCAGGTGTCAGAGAACCAAGACATCGAACTCAACTGCGACTTCTTGTACGTCAACCACAGCTGCGAGCCGAGCGTGGAATTCCATGTGATCCCCGAAGAGGACAAGCCTGTGATTGAAGTCAGGGTGGCCATGCGCCGAGACGAGAACGGCAACCCCAAGGGGATCAAGCCAGGTGATGAATTGACCTTTTTCTACCCGAGCACAGAGTGGGTCATGGACCAACCTTTTGAGTGTAAGTGCGGGACGAAGAGCTGCAAGGGCTGGATCAGCGGGGCGCGGGATATGACGCCCGATCAGTTACGGGGATACTTTTTGAATGCTCATATCGAGGACTTGAGGAGTATTCCGAGACAGCAGGCACAAGGGAAGAATTAATGGAGGGACCAGCGGTAGGGAGCAGGACGGAGAAAGGGGTGTTGAGCACGGATTGCAGGATCTTCTGATGAGACGAGCCACAGTCAAGCTGGAAGTCAAAGTTGCTGGATGAAGTTGTGATCAAAAGACGGGTACCAGTGTGCTAAGGAGAGGAATCTCAGCACCTAGCCGGCAGCTGGACGCGAAGGTCGGTATGTCCAGTCCTGCAGGGAAGAAATGGACAACGTCCCCATCACCAAGAAAGACAGACGTTGGTTATGGGGGCAAGCAGTATGAAGTCGAGGTAGATGTCCATAACCTAAAACCTGACCTCATCCACGATACACATCTGCGCTCGAATCGTGCTCAGGCGGAGGCTGTACAAACATGTGCACCTTGAACCAGTAAACCAACACACACACGTATGTTTCCACGGCGCTAGGGCATCAAAAGATTGATAGTAGCCAAGGTGAGCCGAAGGTGGACTGTGTACAACAACTTCAAATTGAACTCCAGAAGAAACGTCAAACTGCCTGGCGTAGCTCCAACGGTGCGCCGTAATTTCCCCGGCCACTTCTACGGCAAGCGCAGCGGCATTCTGTGCAACCTCGGCATTTCTTTTGTGACTCGGGAGTGTGCAATTGAATGCTGTGTACAGAACATGTTCAGTAGATTGTATCCAAATCACCATCAACAGTCCAAATTTCGCCGCTGAAGGTCTTCCGCAGTCTGTTCGCACCTCCATGAGGACTGCGGCCACCATCACCTAACGCTGCCTCTCCTCTCCTTTCAACCACACCCTTCGCCGTCCTGCTCGGCCTGGCCTGGCATAGCCGCGTCTTGCCAGGCCGTTCTTCGTCGACATGTCCTCCCCACCGGCGCGAGGGAGGATGGAATACCCATTCGCTCCCTCGCCAGACATATTACGAACGCACGAAAAGGACGCATATATGATCGGCCAAGTAACTTCAGAAGCATCAACAATCGTACGGGCACTACTGGGCGCTCGAGTAGCACACAAATACTCCGGCGCGACCAACCACCTCAGCGAACTACTATATCTATGTCTGACCACTTTACTGGGCAACCGGACGCTAGGCGAGGAATACTGCGACGTGATCCAAGTTGAGGACGACACATTGCGACTGGCCGGTCTAGGTCGACGAGTCGGATACATTGCCAGCGTGGTGTTTGCGCCGTGGGCTTTGGGAAAGACATTACCTGCGTTGCGGAGGAGGTTGAGAAGTAAATTGGAACGAAGTATTCAACATCAACAACACAAATCAGCTTCTGCCGGCAGAAATGGAAAATTAATTGTTCAAAAATATCTCCTCCAACACCTCGACAGCCTGACCTCCCCCAGTCCCTTCTACGCCGTGAGTCTGGCCACCTTCTACTTCACGGGGGCGTACTACCACATTTCCAAACGCCTTTTTGGACTTCGCTACATTTTCACAAAGCAAATTAAACCGGACGAGCAGCGGGTAGGGTATGAAGTGTTGGGCGTTTTGCTCGTTTTGCAACTTGCTGTTCAGGCGGCCTTGCATGTTCGCGAGACGTATTTGGAAATATACGGCGGCGGCGGTGGCAGCGTCGGTGGCACAGTCGTCGACAAATCGAAAATTGAAGGACCTCAAAATGGCAACTTCACCACCTCCTCAACCTACGTAGGTCGAGGCATCGAAGTCCCTGTCTCTGGGAGCGGTCACTCATCTCCCCCGAACAATGAAACACAACTCCTCGACACACAACAGTTGGCTCTAACGCCCGGTCTAGCGACCACCACCCAAACACCAATCTTGGACCCCGGACAAGCCCGGTACGATTTATCCGATCCAACCACGATGACATGGATCCCCGACGGCCAGCAGAGGAAATGTACGCTGTGTCTAGACCCGCTAAAGGACCCGAGCGCCACGACCTGTGGCCACGTCTTCTGCTGGACTTGTGTGCAGGATTGGGTGAAGGAAAAGACGGAGTGTCCGCTGTGTCGGCAGAGTGTGTTGCCGCAGAAGATTTTGCCTTTGCGATAGCGATAGCAGCGATGAAACTAACTGGAGACTCGGCCACTGCATGGTACTGTACCCGACCAACGACACCACTGCAGTTACGATTGCATGTTGCTGTCTTGTTACTTTGATTGTCATTCAAGTTGTCGTTTCTTATGATGTTTTTCGCGCGTTCCAAGCCGGCGAGTTGCGTGCGTATGCGTGTGTGTATACTATATAACAGTAGTATCTACTGTAGGTCAATTACGTCCCTGTGGTTATCCACCTTGCATTTATCCTTTTGGTCTTTTTCTCTCTTCTTAGTAAGCCTGGGAAATGTAATGTATGTAATCACTAGGCATGGATATTTACGGTCTATCTGTGATCGGTTTCAAAACACTAGGAGTACAACGCCGCACACTGCACTGGCAAATCAAACGTAGGAGACTCTCCCTCAAGACAAGAAACAGAGCGAGTCTGAGTCCCGAGTTGCGGGTTCCATGATCAGGTCTTTCTTTACAACTCAAAGTTCCAATTCCTCATTATATACAGTACATTGACAGGGAGCAATCTCAGATTCCAACACCGCCGCGGAAAATGCACGAAACAAACCCAAGAACCCAGCCACTGCACGTAGATGATCTGATCCCCATCCTATCCTATCCTATTAACCGCTGCTTCTCATATTTGTCTTGGTTGCAGTCAACCAGATCAGACAGGAGTATCAACGACCCCATTTTCCTTCTTGGCCAGCAGACGCGTCGGACTAGTAGTAGTATCATCATCATCCTCGCCTGCTACTAGTCTGTCCTCTTCGCCTTCGCTGATCAAGCCCTCCAGTTCAAACTCCTCGGCATCCCGGACTTGCTGACTATCTGTGCCGCGTTGATGACGGGGCAGCGACGGCATCCTGACATGGCCATTGGTAGTGGCTCCCGGAACAACCGCACTTCCGTTCAAACCACCACCACCACCGGCGATGCTCGCGAGTGTCGAGGCTTTTCTCGAGTGTCCGAGTCCATGATGTTGGCCGGATTCGTCTGCTGCAGCACCACCGCCCACTCTGTGCGATCCGCGATGGTGAGAGGACGACCGCGTTCCGTTGCTCTCGTCGTCAGGCCAGGCGTGCGAGGCGTAGATGTACAGCAGGATATTGACAAAGAGGTACAACAAAAAAGCGATGGAAAACAGAATCAGAATGTAGCTGACGTGCGTGACTTGGGCGTCGGACAAGAGTTGCATTTGTTCTTCGGTGGCGCCCATGAACATGAAGCCGGAGGCGTAGAGAAGCTAGACCAACAAACCAATTAGTATATGGTCAAGACAGAATTAACCAAGATCTCCCAAAGGGCAATAACCGGAGGGGGTGTGTGTGAGACTTACAAAAGGCGGAAGATGCTGCCAACTATTGACCTCGCCAGCCCCTCTGCTATCCTTTAGCAGAAAAGAAATCTCGACGATGCGAGCGGCCCCGGCCGCCATCAAAGTGTATCCAAACACAGTGTGGACCATCGTACTAAGCTCCAGAGACTGAGGATGAGCACCCATAGCCCAGCCGGTTAAGAAAATGACAATACCAGGCAACAAGTTCCGTTTGGGCCGACCATTTCGCGACCGGGACAACCAGATGCCCAGCAACCCCGCGCACCACCAGACGATGCCCATGGAAGTGTGCTGCAAGTCATTCTTGACCCACGGATGGCCCCATCTGTGTTCGGTAAAGGTGTTGACACAGCCCCAGGCGGCAATGACAATGGAATCAAAAAACTCCTGACTCCGTCCCGTGCGGCGCAGCCATGCCTGGCCCACGAGCAGCAGCAGCGTCATGATGATTCCGTACGCAATGAACGCGGACCCCATGATGAAATGGGCCAGACACTGGCCCAGATGGTCGCCGCGACAGTATCCCATGGCCACGATGCCACCAAAAAGCATCTGCGCCCACGACACGATGGGCATCATCTTGCCCAGCCAGCCATGTACCATGACCACGCCGCGGCGGCCCGATGTGCCTACTTTGCCGCCAAACACTCGTCCGACCCAGCCGCTTTTTCGTTCCAGATGCAGTTTCAAGCCGACGCCCAGTCCCACCTGCACAATCAACATCAGGACCAGGCTGTTGGCGAAACTCGCGTGGATATTGGGGTGTCGGAACTGTCGCCCACGGTGCATGTGTCCTAGAAAGTATGCCACTGTGGCAATCACCGTCCCGACAATCTGCACGGGAACGTGCCATCGACTGCGCACGATGCCCAGCACCATGCCGCAGGGGAAAATCATCCCAAAAGACAAGATCATCAACAAAATGTGCGTCCATAATCGCGAGTCGAGCGGGTCCGGGGATACCGCTTCGCCCTCGGGAATCTTATCGGTGTGTCCGCCATGCCCAGAGACTCCGGTTGTCAGGAGAAGGATCGTGGGTGAGAGGTAGAAAATGAGAGCGCGACTTCGAGGGGAGGACATTTGTAAGGGGCGTACGAAGGTCATGATCGCGGCGGATCTCGCGGAGAGGACTCGGAGGCCCAGCCAGCAAGTAAGTACTGGTATGGCCACACGTTGTGTTGCCGCAGGTCAGTTCAGGCTCATGGCAAGCCGCACCAGCACGAAAGGTATCTCTTAGCAGCAAATTCGAACAGAACGTAACTTCGAAAGTTACTCCCAGGTAGTCCTGGTTTCTGACTCCAGTCAAAGAAGGTCAGCAGCAACTTGAAAGGAGGATTCGCGGCCTCGATCAAACCCGCCAACTTGCAAGCCAATCAGTAATAATATAAGAACCGTTGCAATCCGGCGCAACCGAATTTCCAACCACGCAAAACGTGCAAACAGCGAACAACGAACCATTCAACTCCGAGTTGTGGCCTGACAAACTCCGCCAACTCCACTCGCATCGACTTCACAACCGGGTTTCATTATGGGGGTTTGAAAAATAGCATCGTGATAATTGATCGGCTCATCGAGAGGTGTTTAATTAATATGATTCTTATTTCGGACCCCGTACTGGAAACCAGGGCTTTTCATTACTTGTCATCTGTAACGGAAGTCTAAAGATAAGTACTCGCCAGTGTCGAGCAGATCCCCCAGTCCTCCCATCCCCATATCTTCATCTACCGTTGAAGACGTTGAAATACCCAATATCACATGCCAATGCATTCTTTTCTTGTCGTCCACATTGTGCGCAAAACAACGACTGTGCATTACAGATATCTCTCAGCGCACCGCACGTCTTGTCGTCTATGTTGGACTTCATGCATCCACTGACCCGTCTACGGCATTTGATATTGCTTTTGAAACATTCCTCCTTCGTCTTAAATGTGTCCAATCTCTCATAGAGTCCCGCATTCGAGACCAAGCAGCCATGTTCTGCGGTTGAGGATGGACTGGTCCATTGAGGCGTGCGATACCAGTTGTCTGGTTCATCACCGAGACACTCTCCAACTGTCACTGCTGTCCGGATGTGTTAGTCCATGCAGCAATAGTTGACCAAGGCAAGTTGCCACAGACCTCTCCACCCTCTCTGTGAAATCCGCTCCAAGACATGCTTCGTCAAATCAATAGCCGACATGCGAATCGTGTCATGCTGGATGAGCAACATCCTGCCTTCGCTGGGCTCGACTCTTTGCAACACCCCGTCGAATGCCTCCGTCATCGCCCGGAGGTCGTTCCCATGCATCCAGTCAGTGCTGTCGAACGAGTATGAAACGACATGATAACCAAGCGCTCTCATGTCTCTTAGACACCCTGTCTCGTTGTTGCAGCGTAGATAAGGAGGTCGCATATACGTTGGATATTTGTTCAGGATGTTGCTCAGAGCCCGCTCGTTCTTGACCATTTCCAGCTTTCGACCATCCGAAGGTGTTCTATCTAGATCGGCGTGCGACCAGCCGTGTGATGCGATCTGGTGTCCTTCTTCCGCCATTCGTTTGATTGCGTCCGTCCATCTGGGAGTCTGGTCAATAGCACCTTTGCCGTTGTTGTTCCCGCTGACGAAGAAGGTGGCGTGTGCATTTGCCTCCTTCAAAAGGTCAAGAAGCTCTTCGGTGTTCTCGGATGGCCCATCATCGTAGGTGAGAGCTATTACCTTTGGCAAGCGACAATTGGAGACGATGCCCCCGTACGCGACATCACCGGTGAGACTTCGATCGTCCGCGGAGGTATTGTATCCAGCAGGCGTTGCATCCGAGTCACAGCGGCCGAACTCGCTCTGGCAGGTATTTGGAACAGCACAGTATTCCTTGCCAGTTCCCTGTCTTGAACATTAACCAGTGCCACTGACCGGCACAGTGCCATAGGACTTTTTAACTGACGCAAAACCCAGCATTGGAGCAACATTCGGGATATGGACACTTTCTGTTGCCCCGGTTCTTTCCACACGTCTTGTCTGGGGGATTGTTTGAGCCATCCCGGGCAACCAATGAAGGCGGAGCTGGCACTGGGCAAGGGGCGGCCCAAAAAGTGGCTGCAGGGCCTGCGCTTGTTGTCGGTCTTCTGCTAGGTGCATAAAACGGCAGTGGAAATTGACCAAAAGCGAACGCCCCAGAGGCAAGGAGTATGAAGGAAAAGGATGCGTGCATAGTGCTGATAAATGCAGTTGTAACCTATGCTGGCGATGGGTTTGTTGCTAAGAGATGAACGAGAGTGGTAGCTGGATCAATAGAAAAGGTGATCGAGCTGTCGAAGCCGGAGCTGACGGACATGGCGTGGCACCTTCCTTTGCCCATCCATTCTCCCAGAATTTCGCGCCAGTCTTGTAGTAACGGCAAGCGCCAGCATCCTCTCATATTTGCTTATGCTCTTCGCTCGGCGTGACAGGGAGGGAATGAAATGTCGACTCGGCCGTATCGCGTGTCGGCGAGGGTGACCGGGCTCCATCACCATCGTGTTTTCCCTCCACACTGCCATTGAGCGAGATCTTGTCAAACCCATCCACTGGAGGTCGGGACTCAGAGGTGGGCGTAGGCGACACCACTCGACTAGGATGTCGAGGTGGTAATGCTGGAGGTGCCCGCTTGGGTACTTCCACAACTCTTGCCCGGGCCATCACTGGCACGGCGGTCTGGATTTCGGCGTCCGATTCCACATCCGAGAACGAGTCTTCATGGTCTGGTTCGTGGTCTTCTTCGTGTTCGGTTTCATCGTCCACATTCTGGCTGTGCTTGACGGGAGCATCAGTGACCTGAAGAGAGTCCCTCTTTGGGCTCTGTGGAGCATCAGTGACCTGAACCGAAGCCCTCTTCGGGCTCTGTTCGGCGCTCTTCGAATCATCCTCATCGGTCTGCGTAGCCCTATCAACGCTGGCGAGGCTATGCGTGCTGTCTCGCCATGTTCGACTTCTGACGGAGCCATCAATACTTTTGCGGGAGAAGTGAGCATAAATTGGGCTGGTGGGCGAAGGTCTGAACTCAAACACCTCAGCACTCGGCCTCTGATGCGTTCCAGCCTCCCTGATGGTCAACCCTTCGGCCTCCAAAGCTTTAACACCGTATGGATCGGGATCGTCTTCGGCCGGAATGCCGAAAATTCTAGTCTCTGGAGCTGATCAGTAACGAACCAGGAGTTGCACTGGAGATGCCTACCTTCTGTGATTAACTCCATATCACTTGGAGCCTGTCCCTGCGGAAGCAGGCTGTCGTCAATCGCGTCCCCCTGCGCAGCTTTCAAGGTATCCAAAAGGATCTGGTACTTTTCGGCAGGTGGATGTCGGAGCTTTCCCACGAGGATATCTGATGCTGGTACCCGCTCACCATAAAACCTCTCATTTTCGTCAGTTCGTTCAATTATCAAATTTCCTTCGAGAGCAACCCCAGCATAGAGGCCACGACTTTTGACGTACGACCATATCGGTGCCTGGCGTTTGTGGATTTCGGTGTCCAGAATGCCTCCCATGCCGACTGGGCCGGCTGCAACTCCAACTTCTGTGCCCAATGTACACCTTAATTTGGTAAACGCTTCCAACGCCTTATAATTGTTGATCACCAGTACGGTGTCGTAGATATCGACCCCTGCGAGAAAGCCAAAGGACAGATTTTGAGTCTGGATGCCGCTGGGCGGACTCCATTCTCCCGTCTCTGGGTGCCGAGCCACAAGGACACCGGCACCACCAGACCCTCCGAGCAACCAGCCAGTTCGCATCGTGGTGTATATGCACAACCCGACACATTCTCTGATGACCTTGGCTGGTATCTTCTGGAGCACTCTTTGTTTGCCTTGTGGGATGCCGTCCACCGTCGCCGCATGATTTTCAATCTTCTCTGCCTGCTTCTCATCGATTTGTTCATAAAATCCATCCTTGCAAAAGCCACGGAGGATTCTGGCTGCCTTCTCAGACTCTTTGTCCAGTGTCGTCGGCCAAAAAGCTTCGGACCCGACTTTGTTCGACAGGCGATTGACAGGTGCTCCAAGCTTGTCCACGACCGCATAAGCTTTGTTGAAGCCGGGCTTGAGAGCTTTGGTGTAGGCTGTTGACGAGTAGTCCTTGGTTTTCTCCCACAAGGAAGCGCCTGTGGACGTCCTTTTGGACGAGCTCCCTGGGCTCTCGGTCATGGTTGCTGGAGACGGTCTCGTGAGGATCGTTCAGCGGGACTGGAGAATGCGCTTCTGCAGGGGAGGTTCTTTAGGACACGCTGGCAGGGGAGCCGAAGGCTGTGGTCCGCATATCGTCCAAGCTATGCGCGCGACGTTATGGCGAGAAGTGCTAATTAAGAAAAGATTCACGACCTTTCAGCCGCGCAAGCAACTCCAGGTCTGGGATCTACTAGTACAATAATGTTTGGCTTGCCAGGGATCCGGTGTCCGCCGGGTTGTCAGCGCCGATTGCTAATTGTAGCACTGCATACTCTTACTATAGGATGCTAAAATGCGCCTAAGGCTGAACTTTTGGTTGGAGAACACGCAGCAACGTCATCACGACGGAGCAAGAAAATGGATGCTACAACGGTAGAGGGATTTCTTTCTTACCGTGCACCGTGCTACTCTTTATCAATTAATTACTCAGGGTTCAACAGGGTTCAAGTTGTCCTGCATATACACAGGTGCCTCAGGTGCCTAGGTGCCAGTTAGGCATTGTTGAGTTTCTTTTCAACTTGCACTTCCAAGCCGTAGGGTTCTGATTTCAGGCTCTGGGAATCGTTAGGTAGTTTATTCATTCCATGTAACATTGGGCGCCGCGACCCCATGCGGGTGAGGGAGGATATTCAAGCTTACAGAGCACTTTCTTAGGTAAGATAGGCTTTGACCAGGCCTGGGGAGCCTAGCCTGCAGAGAGCCTCCTACTAGTATCGCATCCTTATCGCCTACCAGAGTAGTGCTGTACTAATAACGTCCAACCCGAATCCGAACCATCCGTGTCCGCCAGGCACCTCGGCTCTACTTTCGCTTCCACAGCTCTCGACTAATCATGTGCAAAACGATAAACGAACCACTGGGCAGAGGGATATGAAATCATGCCAGCGCGTTCCTCAAGCTTCCCCCTCTAAATCACGGTCGTCGATCCTCAGTTTGTGGTTGAGGTCTGAGAGAGTACAATTGTTGAGTTGAATTTATCTTGATTACCAGTAGCGAATTAAAGAAGAGCAGCAGGATGCCGCCCATTCCGCCGCTATTTGTGCTCCCCGTTCCGCCATCAGCGGCCACCTCGTCCACTCAGAATCAACAAGGAGAGTTCGTCTGCTCACAAGCAGGACCACAAGTATATCTACTCTCCTTCTCGTATCCTCCCGACAACCGCCTGACACCTGCATTCAACCAAACGTTTCTTCTTGCGCTCGATATCATCGAGCAGCGACTACCTCGTGGCGTGGTCATCACCACATCATCCATCAGCAAGTTCTACTCGAATGGACTGGACTTTGAGAATGCTATCCGGGATCCCACATTCTTCCCCAACAGTCTGTTCCCGTTGTGGAGGCGCTTGATCACCTACCCCATGCCGACCGTTGCCCTGATAAACGGGCACGCATTCGCGGGCGGCTTGATGACGGCCATGATGCACGACTACCGCATCATGAATCCGCACAAGGGTTACGTGTGTCTGAATGAGCTTGACTTCGGAGCAGCCCTACAACCCGCCATGGCCGCCGTGTTCCGAGTGAAGCTGAATATGACGACGTTCAGAAACATGGTCTTGGAGAGCAGGCGATTCCCGGCACTGGAGGCGCTCAAGGAAGGAATCATCGATGGCGTGGGCAGCGTTGATGAGGCGTTGGCCTTCATTTCGGAAATGAAGTTGACCCAGAAGGCTCAAAGCAAGTCCTACGGGAGGATCAAGGAGGAGATGTACCGAGAAGTGGTCAAGGACCTGGACGAGGCAGCCGAGGCACCCAAAATATTGACCGCTCGCGATTTAGACCGGAACCGGAGAGAGCTGGAAGCGAAGAAGAGAGTCGATGACTATCAAGCTGTTCTGCGGAGGGCCAAATTGTGATGTTACAGACAGCCACAAAGAAAGCCAGGTCAGGAGCCAAAAACGTACGTTTAAACAGGATGTTGTGTCAGTGTGGTGTCTTTGCTTGCCTGCTTCAGTGTTAGCTATGTGGGGTTCTATATCTTGCTCGAGTCCACTGCACAATCCGGCGAGCCATGTTGCTGGCTACTTGCATCGCTCGACCCCAGTATACGGAGTTCGGCCAAGGATGGCATCTCGGATTCAATCCCTTTATAACCAGGCCGTGTCCTTCCCTGCGTATCAGTCGTGCGCCTGCACGGTGTCACCATCGAGGGTGATGACTTCTTGAGCGTAGGGATCGTATTCGGCTTCCGTGGCATGACTCCTCGACCTTGGATGCATGACAGGTCGTGAAGGTTCAGCCGGTTGTTGGCCGTGCATTATTCAGGCATAACTTGAAGCATAAGCGTCGCAATAATAATGCAGTGCACAAGCCATTCCTACTATGACTAGTATGGTTAAGTGTACGGTCGTTTACCGGATCTAACCGTCTCTAGTCAACTACGCGAGCTCCCGCTTCTACCTTGAAAGCTGTCTGGAAATAAACTTGAAGCCTTATTTCACTAGCACGCCTTGGTTTCTCCACGTGTTGCGATGCAGTGGGTGTACAAAAGGCCATTGAGCCGGCAGGGCGAGTGGTAAACTTGAATGACAATGCCAGACTGTGATGACTCCTACAGTGCTCGCTTAAACGCATCCATGTCAGACGGGAATGAGAAAGCCCGAACTCAGCTGCAGACGGGAAGCAGGATGAACAGGGGACTCTTAGCGACAATTATACTTGGAGCAGTCTCAGCGGCGTGCTTCTTGGAATTCTTATCAAGTCGCCTATATAGTGCCTAATACCTACCTAGGTACCTGGTAGGTAGATATCGCCGAATAACAAAATCGACCCAGAAAGACCTTTGACAGAAGAGATATTCTAATAAACCCCTTTGCACTGGGCCAGGCATACCAGGTAAGGTAGGTATCCAGCATGCCAGTGTGTCGTATTCGTTCGCTTCAGGCTTGCCGAGATCGTGGTGGTAGTACTACCAAGTAGTTAGCAGCCGGAGCCGCTCCACCCCAAATGAAGTACGGGGCCATGAGTCAAAGATGCCCGGGATTATTGCCTCTCCACCCTCCGAGTCGCTCCTCGCTCCACGTTCCAATTGTGGCGGACTGTAGACTCCTGTTCGCTTCAAGGCTCGGGAATACACAACCTCCTCGGACCCGAGTAGCGCAACCGGACAATAATGATAACATCTTTCTCCTTCTTCTATCCCCCGTTCGTTGTTTTCGTTGTTGCCTGTTACTTGCATCATAATACACTGCTCATTGACCGGCCACTCGTTGCTTGTCGCTATCCCTGGCTGCAAGACCGCAAACCATTGATAAACAAACCCGAGTCCGACGCAAGGCCCGAACTTTATCAGTAACCCACCAAACATAAATACTCGCGACATCCAGAGCCTTCACGCGATCCAATCCCTGTTGTCCTTCTCTCCTGACCGACATTCGTTCGAAAATGACCCGTTGAGTCGGCGTGCAAGCGCACTATTCTCTATTCTTACTCACCGCATAAGATAACAAACATCACATCATGAACCCAGAAGGACAAGGCGAGCTGCCTGCCGGTGTCTCTGCCGCAGAAGACAATCTCGAAGAGAAACAAAGATCAGAGTATGGAATTACTACACAGCACGAAAACGAAACCAGTCTACCCTCAGATCCCGAGAAACGAACCTCCACGTCCCTCCCTACCACCCCTACGTCCAAAGAAGAAGTCCATCTCTCGTCGGAAGCCTCACGGTCGGATGACGGGGCCGACCTCGCCAAGTATGACTCCAAGATAGTCCAAGTCCGGGAAGTGCCCGAAGGTGACGCCGCGCTGGCTCACCTGCCCGAGCATGAGCGAGAAATTCTGAAGAGACAATTATACACTCCGGAAGTCCAGGTCAGCTACAAGACTCTCTATCGGTACGCCACCACATGGGACCTGGTTTTGATCGTTATTGCGGCCATCTTTGCAATCGGCGGTGGAGCCGTCCAACCCTTGATGACCGTCGTTTTCGGCAACTTGAGTGGTTCATTCCAGGGCTTGTTTCTTGGTACTCTTCATGAATCGTTCGACTCCATCTTGAACCGATATGTGCTGTATTTCGTGTATCTTGCCGTCGGGGAATTTTGCCTTGTCTACATCTCTACGGTCCTGTTCATCTATACGGGTGAGCATATTACGTCCAAAGTTCGACAACAGTACCTCCGCGCAATTTTGCGGCAGAATATTGGATACTTTGACAAACTAGGAGCTGGAGAGGTCACGACTCGAATTACTTCCGACACCAATCTGGTGCAGGAAGCCATCAGCGAGAAAGTGGGGTTGACGCTGGCAGGCGTCGCCGCTTTCTTTTCCGCTTTCATCATTGGATTCGTCAAGTTCTGGAAGTTGACTCTGATCTGCATGTCCACCGTGGTGGCCATTGTCGTGATCATGGCCGTGGGTGGGCGGAAAATGGCTGGCTGGAACAAAAAGTCGCTGGCCTCGTATGCTGTGGGAGGCTCCGTGGCCGAGGAGGTGCTGGCATCCATTCGGAACGCGGTTGCTTTCGGGACACAGGACAAGCTGGCGAAACAATACAATGTGCACCTTATTGAGGCTCGGAAATGGGGGTTTCGAAGCAAAAGCACATTGGGTCTTATGTTGGGAAGTCTGTTGTGCATTCTTTTCCTGAACTATGGTCTGGCATTCTGGATGGGGTCCCGCTTTCTCGTGGGCGGCGAGACCAATCTTTCTCACATCCTCACCATCATCCTTGCTGTCATGATTGGTGCCTTTGCCTTTGGCAATGTCGGTCCCAACATGCAGCATTTTGCGGCGGGTGTTGGCGCTGCGGCAAAGATCTACGCCACCATCGACAGGGAGTCTCCCTTAGACCCCTTGTCCGAGGCCGGTGAAAAGTTGGATCACGTCGAGGGCACTGTCGAGTTGAGGCATGTCAAGCACATTTATCCTTCGCGGCCTGAAGTGGTGGTTATGGAGGATGTTAGCCTCGTCATCCCTGCCGGAAAAACTACTGCCCTTGTGGGCGCATCTGGGTCTGGAAAGTCGACCATTGTCGGGTTGGTGGAGCGATTCTACGACCCGGTGGGTGGCACAGTCTTGCTGGATGGGCACGACATCAGCACATTGAACCTGCATTGGCTTCGTCAGCAAATTTCTCTCGTGCAGCAAGAGCCCATTCTCTTCAGTCAAACCATCAAAGACAACATCAGGAATGGTTTGATTGGTTCCAAGTACGAGAATGAACCCGAAGAACAGCAAACCCAACGTATCATCGAGGCGGCCAAGAAGGCCAATGCGCATGACTTTATCATGTCTCTTACAGACGGGTATGAGACTCATGTCGGCGAGCGTGGCTTTTTGCTTTCGGGAGGCCAAAAGCAACGTGTTGCGATCGCCAGAGCCATTGTCAGCGATCCAAAGATCCTGTTGCTGGATGAAGCAACATCAGCACTGGACACAAAATCCGAAGGGGTCGTCCAGCACGCTCTGGATGAGGCAGCCAAGGGCCGGACCACCATCGTCATTGCTCATCGCCTGTCAACCATCAGGACCGCCGACAACATCGTGGTGATGCAGAACGGTCGGATCATCGAGCAAGGTACCCATGACGAATTACTCGCACTAGGCAAGGCATATTACAGCTTGGTGTCTGCACAGCGAATCACCAGCGATGACGACCGCGATTCGGAAGAGACTGAAGAAATGAGTGAGGGCGAAGCGGCCTTGATGCGGATTCAGTCATCGAGATCAGGGGCTTCGGTCAAGGCAGCGCCCGAGGATATCAAGCTGGCCCTGGGAAGAACTAAGAGTAACAAATCCATTTCATCCAGAGTCCTGGCCGACAAGAAGTCACATGGTGAGACGAGGTATTCTCTCTGGACTCTGATAAAGTTCATGGCAGGCTTCAACCGGTCTGAATGGCACATTATGTGCGTGGGCTTTCTTTTCACCTGCATTGCCGGGGCTGCGCAACCGGTCCAGGCAGTCTTCTTCTCCAAGTGCATTGTGGCACTATCCCGACCACTGAGCCAGCGGCACCAAATCCGCCACGACGTCGACTTCTGGGCTTTGATGTACCTCATGCTTGGGTTGGTGGATCTCTTGGCCATGGTCACGCAGGGTGTTGCGTTCGCCTATTGCAGTGAAAGCCTGATTCAGCGGGCTCGGGATGGCGCCTTCAGAAGATTCTTGAGACAAGACATAGCATTCTTTGATGAAGACGAGAACTCAACCGGAGCCCTAACGTCCTTTCTGTCTACCGAGGCCACCCATTTGGCGTCAATATCTGGAGCCACTCTGGGAACTCTGCTGAGTTGTACAACGACGCTGGTGGTGGCAATCGTGGTATCTCTTGCCATCGGCTGGAAACTCGCACTGGTCTGCATGTGTGCGCTACCAGTCATTCTGGGCTGTGGATTCTTCCGGTTTTGGGTGATTGCCAAGTTTTCTGCCGTTGCTCAGAAATCCTACGAGAAGTCGGCGGGTTATGCCTGCGAGCACACCAATGCGATTCGGACTGTGGCCTCTTTGACCACCGAAGAGCAGATCTTTGCCGAGTACCAAAACCAACTGCGGACCCAGCTGCGCGCCTCTTTGAAATCCAATATCCGCAATTCGTCTCTTTATGCAGCGTCGCAGTCGTGCATGTTTCTGGCTTTCGCATTGGGCTTTTGGTACGGCGGCAAACTTCTGGCGCGCGGGGAGTACTCCATGTTTCAGTTTTTCATTGTCTTTTCCGAAATCATCTTTGGCGCGCAGTCGGCGGGCACGGTGTTTTCGTTTGCAGGCGACATGTCGTCGGCCAAGAACGCGGCGGCTGCATTGAAGAGGTTGTATGATCGAAAACCAACCATTGACCCTTGGTCCGAGGATGGTGAAGCCGTGCCAGAAGTCCGGGGCGACATTGAGTTCCGCGACGTTCACTTCCGATATCCAACGCGACCTGATGTGCCGGTGCTCCGTGGCCTGAATTTGACGGTCAAGGCGGGGCAATATATTGCTCTTGTGGGAGCATCAGGTAGGAACTTTCTTTTTCTTTCCATCCGGTCTAGTACTAACTTTTGTACCAGGTTGTGGCAAGTCGACGACGATTGCGCTGCTGGAGCGGTTTTACGACCCTCTTGCTGGAGGAATCTTTGTGGACGACAAAGAAATCTCGACTCTCAATCTGAACGAGTACAGATCACATCTTGCACTCGTGTCGCAAGAGCCAGCACTGTATCAAGGCACGATCAAGGACAACGTGTTGCTTGGTCTGGACCGCGGTGGGATCAGCGACGAACGTGTCGTGCAAGCTTGCAAGGATGCAAACATTTACGACTTTATCATGTCGCTACCGTAAGTAGTATTTTCTTTGTTTTGTTGTTGATGGTTGTGTATGGTATGTACTAATTTTGGTTTTAGTGATGGCTTCGCCACCGATGTCGGTAGCAAAGCAGCCCTACTGTCCGGCGGGCAAAAGCAGCGGATTGCCATCGCTCGGGCTCTGCTCCGAAATCCCAAAATTCTTCTGTTGGACGAAGCAACTTCGGCTCTTGACTCGGAGTCGGAAAAGGTGGTCCAAGCCGCCCTGGACGACGCGGCTAAAGGCAGAACGACTATCGCCGTGGCTCATCGACTGAGCACGATTCAGAAGGCCGATGTCATTTATGTCTTTGACAAGGGTGTCATTGCCGAACAGGGTACGCATCACGAGTTGATGGCTTTGAAGGGTCGGTATCGAGAATTGGTCAGTCTGCAGAGTCTAGAGAAGAGACATTGAGCAGACATCTATTGATGTCGTGTGTTATAATTCGATCAGCAGCGTGGCGAGGCGAGATAACGCGTTTGACCAACAGCGGTGTGGTGCTCGTCCGCATGTGTGGTCTCATGAGGAATAAACCGGATTCAAAGCTGTGCCGGTCCAACCTGACTGTGCTTGCCACAGTCCTTGCAAGACCCCCATTTCATGCATGGCCTTGCATTCACAATATGAGGAAAATGTGTGCGACCGGGAGGACTCGACCGTATCGTGTGACAGTGCGAGTTAATACTGGTGGGATGGAGAGGGTACAAACACTATGGCATAGATGACGGAGGAGGAGGTCGATTACGACGACGGGATCACGATCACAATCACAATCACAATCACACACATCAAAAAAGTCTCGTTTCTTCTCGTTCAGAAGGCGCAGAAGGCGGTCGACCGGCTGGAGCCGGTCAGTGGAGAGCGTTTGATCTTTCTTCACCACCTCAGCTCAACCCCAATTAAATCTAATCGATGAGATAACCATGCGCTTTTTTCTTCTTCATCAAAGTTGCTTCGTATGCCATTCTTTCAGTTTGTCGTACAATGGAATGCTGTCGGCACTGCGTCAATATACTGTAACTTTGTGTGATATTGGTAGCTTGGAATGCTGAGGTGATGATGGCATGCAGTGGTGTGCCCTTTTGTAGGTATTACCTATGGACTGAACCGATGTTGTTTTGCATTGCGCTATTGCAGCTGAGCTTCATCTTGATATAAGGGTGTGGAGTGTCTGCTGGGTAACTTGTTGATGGTAGTAGTGGTAGTGGTAGTGGTAGTGGTGGTCCTGGTCCAGGTCCTGGTCCTGCCTAGGTGGTCTAATCTTTGTCACTATTACTCAACCCTCGTTCCTCCATGACTTCAACGAGTCGTCGGCCCTCTCTGTCCGCGATCAGAGACAACATTCCCATTGCGATGTCTTTGATCTCGTTGTATTGTTTGAGCAGGGCGATGTGGTTGGAGAAAATGGTTTCGGCGTGGTGGAGTGCTGCTGTGGCTAATTCTGTTGTTGTTGATTCTGCTGGTGTGGGTGTTGTTGCTGATGATGGTTCTGGTTGCGGTTGGACTTGGTCTTGGTCTTGGATTTGTTGTTGACTCCGGCTCGGCGGAAATGCCGCCGTCGCCGAACTTGACTGAACGGTTAAAGAAGAAGAAGAAGATGGTGCAGAAGCTGAAGCACAAGCTGAACGAAACGAATCCAACTTCCGGATCTGGTCGAGAACAATAGATAGTTCTGCTTCAGTCGATTGAATAGTAGATCGTAGAGACTCGATCGAAGACTGAGTTGGTTTAGGTCTTCTCCCGGGTGGTTGTGGTCTTGATGTCGGGTTTGGACAAATGGTTGAGCTTTGGTTTCGTTTCTGGGTTTGGGTTTGGTTTGGTGTCACGGTGCTGGTTTTGCTGGGAGTAGTCGTGCTAGTACTAGTAGTATTGGGAGTCGGAGTAAGAGTCATGGTTGACTTTGAGGTGGGTTGGGTACAAGAAGGACTAGTAGTAGCGGTGTTGGTGGTGTTGGTGTTGGTCGTGTCTCCTACACGATGGTGTCGGTGCTGTAGGGGCGACGATGACTCGGATCGTGGTACCTCTGCTTCTGCTGCTGCTGTCGTAGGGTCTGTAGTGCTGTTGGAACGACCTTGATTTTCCATCACGGCAAGCGAGCCTAGACGAAAGACAAAATGTTAGAGACCTACAGTAGGTCCCCGCTGGTTACCTTACATAGATAGAACTGTAGGTATCCTAGGTCCGTACTAGTGTAGGCAGTGAGGTTGGCTGTAGGTACGTAGTAGGCAGGGACACTCGCAGGCGGTGACTAATAATGATGGACTTTGTGGATCGTAGTAGTAGTATATCAGTTCTTCGAATTGTTCTAGATACTCGTACTGCTATACCTTCATAGTAGCTGGGTGGGTGGGTGGGTTGGTACTACTAGGTGTTTGTATCACTCTCTGGAGCGGAGATTGAAACAATTGAAGTACAATGTAGTCGTGGCTGTAGTGTAATAAGTACCTTACACTGGCAGTAGAACCTTACTCTCCTAAGGCAGGTTTAAAGGTATGAGTGATTTTCGCCGCAGTGCAGTCCGTCATGGGCAAAAAGGACATGTATACACTGGTAATTGACGAACATGTGAATGACGGGCACTGAGGCCAATCTTACTTTTTCAATGCCGTTACTGTAACCAATATAGGATGTGACTTGCAGTAAATACCAGGTACCCAGGTAGCTACCACTGCAGTAGCCATGGCAGCGTCCCAAAATTGAATGTGGTAGAATAGAAATATACAACTGAAGTACACTAATCTCACTAAAGATGTAGTATCTCAGATATCATGATATTCTGTAGTTCACCCTCGACTTCAAGTTCCCACTGTTCCCTTCCTCCATCCGTAAGACTGTACCAGATTGATACAACAAGGTAGTGCCACGGGGGTTGGGGGGCTGCTTTGCAAAGAGCAGAGACTGGCGTCGTTTCCATCCCGTTTCGTTTCATTTCTTTCAATTCCACCAGAATGGGTATAAGAGCGAGAGCGAGTTCATGGCGACCTCTGACCTCGATCCAACGTCTCGCTGGCAAATCCAAGTCAAGTCGTCAGGACGCAATGCAACGTCTCTGTACGGACTTGATCTTTGGGGTTGCCTGTGAAGAAATCTGATATAGAGTAACACTGCATAACTTGGTAGCCCTCGTGGTATACTACGTATACTCCGAGTCATCAAGTCCAGCGCCATAGACCTTAGACGCGAAGCAGGATTGGAGCTTCTGCTTCTGAGCCGTTCCACGTGTCTCGAAGTGAGTGTTGCTTGCAGTCTGTGGGACATGTAGACGCAACGGCACGGCCTTTTGACGTCTTACTGGGAGAACGGGAAAAATTCGCTGTGGTAGGACATCTGTGCCAGATCAGATCAGATCAAATCAGATCAGATCAGTCGCCTGTCGGTCTGGGCCTCAAGGCCACGGCGTCCCTCCGAGTTTACCGTAATGTAACCAACTGCCACAAGACTGGGGCAATGGTTGCATTTGCACACAAACGAGGCTGAAGCGACGCTTTCATAGGTACAGTATGTCCCGCGCGAAACCGGGTTCGAGCTGCACCCCACTATTGTGTCTGTCAGACAACTAAGTGTCCAAAGGACATGGGACATGAGGACATGGGACATGGTGACAAGGTGACATGCTGGTGACATGCTCGGTCGGCAAAGTGGGAGGGCGAGTGCTCTTTGGACTGAAATAGCCAGTCAGCCAGCCCGTTGCAGTCGCCGTTGCCGTTTCTCCGCTGGTGTGGTGACTTGAGGAAGTTGAAGGGAGCTCTCCCCTCCCCACTGGCGCTCCAGGAGTAGAAGCCGGGCTGGAATGCGATGCCGATGCCGCAAACTGATACTATGCTCTGGCACCTCTGCTAGGAGGCACTGCACGACGGGTCAAACCTATCGCATCGCAGCCGGAGGTAATGTAGCGTGGTTGCTGGCAGCGGTAGCGGGAGCGAGGGCAGCGCCGCGGCGAACAAACGTTGTTTCGACAAATGTAGTCCTCGTATTCCTCATCTCTCACCGCGCCAACCCAGCCCCATTCCGCGACCACCGATACCTCGCGAGCACAAAAGTCAACTGCTTCTCCGTATCGACGGGATTATTTCTCCTCCCCTTAGCCAGCGCAATAGCAGATCTCATAACGTTCCGAAACTGCCTTTGATAGTCCGTGGGAAGAGTAACAAAACAAGCCTCAGTGGCTCGAATGACCGCCTCACAGGCCGCCAAGATGGCAGTCCCCGAATCCCCTTGTAAACGGTACGCCACCAGCAACAACAACAGACTGCCGTGTAGTAGCTGAATGCCGAAAAAGTAAGGCATAAAGCTTACATCCGGGTCATGCTGTAAGATGTGCGTGACGCACTCTGAGGCCGCCATCGTATGCGACATCGAGTCCTTGAATCCCAAGGACGAGGTCCAGAAATCCGCATCCTCAAATAGACACACTGGATCCCATTTGCTGCCGACGAGGATGCGAAGGACGCATACTACGTGTGTGGCGTATCCGGACACTGTCCTGGCGATGTGTGTTGTTTCGGACTCGTCCATGGCCGTCTCCAGCGCCACTGTTGGTATTGCCGCCACCGCCGCCGCCGCCGCCGCCGGAGACGTCATCGTCATGATCCACGGCGACTCGGACGAGCTTTTGTTGGAGCCGGAGTCGCCATGTTTTGGCTGTGTTGTCTGGTGGTCCAAAGTGGCTTGGTAATGGTCGAGTTCTCTTAGAATTCTTTGCTCCTGGCTAGTCCACATGGATGAGCCCGCCGACGCCAATACGGGGTTATTTTTGGCCCGGTTGTAGTCGAGCAGATGGCCCGTGATGGTCATGAGGGGCAAGAAGAATTCAAACAGCCCTACACCGGAGCAGACGGTCGGAGGCCCATGAAGTCTGCCCGTGCCCGAGGGCAGCAGCACGCATCGTGGACCGTCGGCTCGGGTGCCGTGGCTGTGAGGTTGGGCACCCGATTGCCATGTCACGTCGTCCAAGGGAAGCAGCAAATCTTTACATTCGGCCTCCAGCAGCGCCAGGGGCCGGTTGTAACATAGCGCCAGATGTCGGTCCATCAAAAACAGCAACCACCAAGTCCGCCGCCGTTCTTCTCGGTGCACCTCGGTCATGACGTCGTCGTTGCCCTCATAGCCCAGTGAGCATTTGCAGTTCAATTCGCCAACTTGAACGGCCAATTCGGAATCCAGGTGGTGGTGCGACTCGACTTCCTGATTCAGTTTTAGGTCTCGAGCGAGGTTGAATGCAACGTTCCACCTGAAACAGAAACAAAGTTAGCTGGATAGAGCGCTTTCCACAAAAAGAGAGTGTGACAAACCATCTAATGCTGGCGGCTTTCTTCTCGCTGCCGGAAATGACCGACGAAACGTGGATCAGTGCAATGATATAGTCCGTCCCCCAGGCGACTGGGAACGTATTTAGGTCTTGCTGTTGTGGATTTAGTGCTTGCCTAAGATCCTCGTTGGTCCATCCAGGATCCGATCCGATAGTATCAGGTGGGAGACCCAAGTCTTCCCGACTTAGTAGTGGTTCATATCGGGCCGGATTGAGCAGTCGATACGTCAGTAGGCTCAGATACTTGCATACCCGATCCCTTTCTTCCGGCCCGCTGAATAACCCAAGAGCTTTGTCGCTCAGCGCCGCAACAAACAGCATGCTGGCCAGTAGGCCCGGGTGAGTCTTGCGCGGTTGCGCGGGGTCCAAAATATCGCACCGTCGCAGAATGAAGTTGTGGATGTGGTGGCAGGTCGGGTGCATGCGGCTGGAGAATGCACTGGAGAAGTACGTATCTAACAAGTCACAGGCAAGGTTGGAGCCCAGGTTTGTATCTGTGTCCATCATAAAAGGAGACAGATACCGTAGAATGCCATACCTGCAATGCGCCAGTGGCTGACTAATCGGCGTGGGTGCTTCACGTGAGTCGGCTATCGACGGCAACTTGTAGCTGTATGGATCGAGGACATGGAGCGTCGGCGAGACATATGTCGAGTTCAAATTACTGACCGAAAAGTCCTTGCCTTCATCGAACAGCACCGTCCGGGAATCGAGATCAGAGCCTAAACTGAGTTGCAGCAATGCCGCCGCCCCGTCTGGAGACGAGACCCCGACGTCCAAACGGGCATCTGTAGCTTCCAGAGTGGCTTTTGTCGGCGGCTTAAAGTTCTCGAGGAGGCCGCCGTCGGCTGAAGGCAGCGTGGTGTCCGTCGCCTCATTGTCTGGAGAAGGCGATGTAGGAGATCCTGATGCTGCCGCTGCTCGTGGTGCTGTACCCGGTCCAGCCTCGTCAGAGCTCGTCGTCGGGACTGCTGATGGATCCGGGCTCTTCTGTCCGTAGTCGCAATCCTGCTTTAGATGAGCGCACCTTGCACACGGCAGGCTTCCGGTACAGCGAATTTTCGCCCTTCTGCAACGATTACAGGCTCGGAATTTGTCGTGGATGATGCGATGGAATGGCCGATGCTCGACATGGTCGCTGTGGGTTTTCAGATGGCGATTCAGGCTGTCGTTCCGGGCAAATGACCGTCCACACTTTGGGCAGGGCGCTGAGGCCGGAGTCCTTCGACGGCCTGTCTTCTTTATGCCCATGCTGCCAGTGGCGGCGAAAGAAGGGGCATTCTAGAGGCTGAGGACTCCGCTGACGGGTTGAATCAAACCCATCCGCTAGCACATGCAAAATAGTCAGACAGTGTCTCTGTTTTGTCGCCTGATGATCGTCTAGTGAAGAACGCTGGTTAGAAGGAAATGGTTTGAGATGGCGACAGATCCAGCTGAGCTTGACATAGGTACCTAGGTATGTATGTTGTGGTGTATTTGTGGAGTTGATGGAGGTCTAGAAGCAGATTTGCGGGAAAAACGCTGCCCAGAAATACGACGGCGGGAACGACAGAAACTGTGGAGAAGACCTCAGCTCGAACCCCCGCCGGGGACAAAAATAACATACAGTACAATCCGGCAGTACATAAGGTAATGTACATATGAATTCAAACCTCTCCCCGTGGTTATCCGTCTTGTCTTGCATTGGTCCGATGCCCTTTCCCGTGGATGAATGTTTATATGGCTCCAATGCTCTACGTCCTGTGGAGCTATGTCAATGGCATTTGTATGCCTGTAGCCACTGCGGAAAACTCACCCCCTAGGTGACTCCCCGTTCTTTTGTGGAAGTCAGGGCCTATAGTGTTGGCTGGATTACACGGTAAAAATACTTGTACTCAATCAGCTCTTGACTGTTGTAAAGAGTGACACACCCTAGTTCAGCCGTGTCCACTTCCCTCCAGTTTCTCCTTATCAATCGGTGTGCTATCGTCGTCGATGGACATCCCTCCCTCAAATGATAGCCCGAGTCCTCCGAATGACGAAACTCAGGAAGATGAGATCCCCAATTCGAAAGTGCTCCTCGGCTGTACTTCACAGACACTGCTCTCGGCTTGATCGTAACTTCTCATTCGTGCGTATTGACAGCATTCTCATACTGTTGGGCAAGTTGCTGAGCCGCCTTCTCATTGTCCCCGGCAATCTCGACATGAGTACCAGTCTCACCCGAAACCGACTTTTGTCGGACATCCTCGACAGTGTAATGCTTCTCACGGGCAACATCAACCAACGCGTCTAGTCTGGAACCGCCAGGCTTGGTGTGCCAAGGTTTCGGGCCGCGAGGAGAGAACATTTCCTCAATCTCCTCCAGGGACTTGTTGCACGTTTCCGGGTACGTCAGGTAGACTTGAGCGGCACCGAGCACACACATGCACCCGAAGACAATAAACATGCCCCACTTGATGTTCTGGAATCCTGGCGGGATATACAGACCCAGAGCGAAGTTGAACAGCCAGTTGCCCAGCGCAGAGATGCCCATGCCAGTGGCACGGGTCTCCAGACTCCAGACTTCGGCCGCATAGATCCATGCCACGGGGGCCAAAGTCATGGCATAGATGATGATTAGGAGATACGAAAAGGCGATGACTGTGTTGGCCTTGGCCCCGGATACCTTGATCAAGACGTTGGGGTTACCGCCCACACCGCCGGGAACACTCTCTCCCGCGGACAAGATGCCCCCAACGACGAAGTGGCATGCACCCATGGCCAAGGCACCGTAGATCAGAAGGGGTCGTCGTCCGGTTCTGTCAATGTAGAAAAACATGACGGTCGTGAATATAATGAACAGAGCATATTGCACCCCAGACGCGATGAGGTTGATGTTGCCTGAAAGTCCCGCCATCATGAAGATGTAGACCACATACTGTAGAATTGTTAGCGAAGTCCAAAAAATGGTACCGCATGGGAGAGTGAGTAATTTGAAGCGGTGAATGCCGGTGAAGCTGATCGAAGCAGTGAATTTCAATGGGGAGAACCGAACCCTGTGACAAGGATGCGGTTCTCCTCAACTTTCATCCACGCTTCAGGTTTCTCACACCATCCCAACAGCTTCAAGCAACTCGATAGGGCCATATCAACGAGGCAGGTATATACTCACATAAGTCATCACGTTCGCTCCTGAATTTTGCTGCCACATTTGGACCGTAAAGCCAGCCAGAGTCCTCTTCCACATGCCATTGGCGACGAACTTGCGCCAGCCGGTGGCGGCGGCTCGTTCGGCGGCAAGGGTGGTGATGATATCTTCCCACTCTGCAACCACAAGAGGATCGTTCACGTTGCCCTTGGCCTGGATCTTTGCAAGAATATAAATGGCTTCGTCGACGCGGTCGACCTTGGCCAGCCATCGGGGCGATCGGGGGAGGAAGGGCAGTCCACACATGAGGAAGACACATGGGACGAATTGGATGCCCCAGGCGGTACGGAAGGAAGCCGGTCCAGCGATGAAGCTGCAGCCATAGCCGATGAAGTACATGATCAAGATACCCCATTCTAAAGAACACGCATGTCAGCATTAGAAACAAAATCCTATTTCCTTCCTCCATTTCTTGCAGTCTTACTTACCAATGGCCAGTTGCTGGATGATGATCACAGCACCACGTTTCTCCTTGCGAGAGATCTCTGCCAGATAAACGGGTACTTGGGAGCTGGTGATGCCGACACACACGCCGTTCAAGACGCGGCCCGCAATCAAAGAGCCGATGCCGTTGGTGGACGTCTGAACAGCAGTCCCAACCAGCCACCATAGACAGGCGAACATGATCGAGTCTCGTCTTCCTATCTTGTTGGACACTGGACCGGCAATGATAGAGCCCACCACTGACCCGGCCGCAAGCGCAGAGCCAATGGCGCCCTGGGTGACACCGGCTGGCTTGTTGAAATAGGCATTGTATTGCTCCGTCCCGATGATGGCGCTCATGGAACTGATGTCGAAACCGAACAACATCCCTCCCACCGTGGCAATGAACGCCACGAAGTAGGTGTTGTAGATCTTGGGGAGCTTGGCCTTGACCGCCATGGTGATTGTGACTCGATGGACTATGGCTCGGCTGTCGTCGTGCAACGTACAAAGAAGGGTCCAGATCAAGGAGAAACAGCAACGGAGTCACGACCAGGTCGATTGCAAAGCTTTTATATGCCTTCCCTTCGCCATCTTATCTTGCCTCTTGACATGCTATCCTCCCGCACACTGCCCGTGGAGATTGATCCCCGTGGGTTGTGGAGTGAGAGGGATTGTCACTGAAGATCCATGGCCGCGGGCCAATCGCATGGCTTGCCCCTGGTCTGCCTCTGCCGGGGGCATGTTCGCGGACAGGAACTATATAGCCTGTGGCGTTTTTCCTCGTGGTCATTGTCGTCTGGTGAGGTTACAGTTCAAGTGGACAGTAGAACATGTCTGAGCTCTGGAGTGGATCTTCCATGGCGCACGGCGCGCAGAAAATCCTGGTTGCTTGTTTCTACCACCCTTCTTAGTTAAGGGGAGCCATCGCCAGCCTCATACGTTGTAATGCGGAGGAGTGGTCACTCCCACCGGCCATATACCTCAACCGGCTAGAGTCCGTGTGTAGCGGTCTCAGCCTTGTGGGGGAAACAAACAAGGATACGACAGGCCGCTAGGTACCCTTCTACCGACCTGTAGAATGATGATATCCGTCGAAAGCTTGATATGGGGGGAATCCCGGTCCACGCCGGGGGAACATGACCTGTGTGGACTCGCTTCAAGCTTACAAGGATCGCTCCGGAATCTGCTCTCCGTATGAGCTCACAAACATCTTGTCGTCGGCAGCCCTCACGGATGAGTCTGCTTATGGCAGTTGTGGAACGGTATGCGATCGGCCGTGGTATCCGCCGCCGGAGGCTGGCTCAAAGACCCGTCAAATCTTCCAATTCATAGCCTTAACGCACATTCGGTCAGTATAAAAAGGTTGAAACACCCGGTGAAAAGGATCACCCCCGGAGGTCATGCCATGCCAGCCATCACGGCATGCTTGGTGGTGGTCGCTTGCTCTTCTAGAACATGATATGCAGTGTGCGTTTCTGCTTAGAAAGTCCGCTTTGGCGAGTCTGCGTGATGTGTGCCATGTCCAGGATAGGAGATTCTTCCGCGGCGGGTGGGTACCTGCTATGGATCTTCCAGCCTCTCGGGATCCCCTCGGCGTCCAAGTTCCACCCGGCCACTTCATAGGTGTCGTTAAAAGTGTCACGATGTAGCATCGAATGTGGAGATCGAGGCTACCATAGCCTCGAGATCGTCTATCGACAAAGGCTTCAAGATATAATGTACAGTACACACCTAGGTGGTACACTACCAACAATAGGAGGACCGATATAGATATACTTGGCAGAACATTTGCACAAACAATCCGATTTCTGCATCTTCTCATCTCAACGCTGACAACTGACATGGTTCCGACGACAGTTGTTACACTGTCTCGTTCTTAAGAATCCCGGAGTCGTCTGGTCCGCGTGGCCCGATCTCTATCCGACGCTTCAGCTCCTTTTCAGACTCGCCATTCCTGAGCCGTGAGAGCAAGTCTTCGGGATCAAAGTCCGTGCCAATGGGATTTTCATCAAAGTATTTGCTTTCCATGAAGATAGTGGCTTCCCTGGCCGTGTCGAAGTTGTCAACCTGGGTTTCCAGCTTGTTACCGTCTGGATCGCGGTAGTATAAGGACGTAGTCGGTCCATGGTTTATGGACCAGAACGGTAAGATCCCCCTGGCCTTGCGTTGACGGTAAGCGAGAAGCAAATCGGCCAGGGTCGGGTACGAGAATGCTATATGCTCCAGGCCGCAGCTGGCAGGCTGCTTGGGTGCTGTGTCTGGAAGTCCGGCAATGGCGATCCGGTGGTGCTCTTCATCGTATGTGATGAAACTGAGGAAGCTGTTGCCGTAAGTCACTGTGCCACCTAAAAAAGTGGTGTAGAATTCAATCATTTTTTCGAAGTTGGCGGTCCGGGTCCGCAAGACGACGTGCGCAAGGCTGCTTGGGCTGACCACCTTCTCGCCCGACGAGTCAAAATCAATCTGAGAGACCGAACCCATGGCCAATGCAGTGTTGTCGTCAAACTGTTGAAACGGAACCAATTGTCTGTTTAGATCTGTGGTGGGTGCCAATGTCGTGGAGGTATCAAGTCCGTCGCCTTCTCCGGTTCAAGACTCCTTTATATGTCCTTTCCCACGCAAGGCATCCCTCTGCGATCCCACTCCCCCTGCTGCTCTTCAAGTGTGCGGTCTTAGGGCGGTAAGAAGCTTATTGCAGACCCCGCACACTGTACGAGCATATCGAGCCGACCACCTCAGCTTGACACGATGTAAGCGCCTTGCTACGATCACTGCCCGCCATCATGTCCATCCTGGGTTGTAACTATCCCGCCCATGGAGTCTGCAAGGGCTTCAGGACGGGCTGGATAGCTCGTACGGCAGGATCAAGACCCGGTCAATCTGGAAAAGCTGTTATATCGTGTCGTACATTATTGAATAGTAATCAGGTTTTGCTTACGTGACCTGCACGACTTTGGCGGTTTCTGGCACCCTCAGCCACGGACTTGATTCCGCAAAGTGTGCCAGACTTCCTGAAGTTGCGTACGCTCAGAAGCATCGGCCGACATATGATGCTGTCGCAGATTTGAATCCGGAACTTGAAAGATATCAGAAACTTGAACCCGCTTTTCTCCGGCTCTGAACAGCCCCGCGTAAAGGGCTAGGTGCTCCGCCGTGGTAGTCGTACGGTAGACCTCAGGCTGTCCAGTGGCTAGTCTGACTCAGCAATGCAGCTTCGTGTTCAACTGTCGAAATACAGTAAAGACGCGTCGATGCTTCTTTCTTTCTTTTCACTCGCAACGGCATCCACCATATTACTATCTAGGTACCTACGTCGTATCCTGATGACTACTGCTAGTAGACCATCATCGTGACTCACTCGGCCACAGCTATGGCAGGATGAACCGGATCTCTTGCTCCAAGAACCACAGAGGTTTCAAGAGCGATGAAGCCATCGAGAAAGAATACGGTAGGACCTTTGTTCAATAACCTGTATGCAAACAGTGTTGCATAGTCTCAGGGCCATTAAAATGTCATTTATGCTGCCGTTCACAGGCCAAAGCAGAGCGCCTTTGAATGAAAGAATGGGGTGCAGCTACATTATTCGGCCGACCCATGTCACAGTGATATCTCGAATATCGCCATGTCCCCCGATACGGCCTCAGCTTCATATGGCAAATTATGGCCTATTACCACCTGCAGTCGCACCAGACCTTTCTTCGCCAGATTCCAACACCTTTTCAGTCAGCCCGGTCGACGAGTATTTCTTCGAAGTCTTGTCTTGCCAGTCTTTGCGCACGAAGGTTCCCCTGACGCTGTCGCCCTCGCAAGCATGCGGAGACCACTCTCCTAATTTATATTTCTCAGGCGCCCGGCGGACACCTCGCCCACCGCCTCCTACGATGAGATTGCCGGGCCGGTAGTCTGGTCGAGCTTCCATACGCTTGATGACCGTATTGTGGATCTGCGCGTCAGGGGGGATATCACGGGTCTCCCCCATAGGCAACGGCCTAATTAAGAAACAAGAGTCAACTTTCGACCAGCATAGCCCGGTCATGCATATGATCATCGGACCAGCAGACCTCGAGCAGCGTTAACGAGCCCTTGAATTTGTGCAAGAGGGCCAAACAGAAATCCTTGGGATTGTCCGCTCAAAGATGTGTACCAAACAAGACCTGTGAAAAGCAGTGCTTACCATCGAATCGCTCTCCATCTTCCCTCGTGCAAATCCATCCTCCGGAAAGGCAGATATTCCATCATTTTCCAGAAGATGACGTTAGCCCACGTCAAGCCGTGGCCTATCTCAAGACAGTCATGAATGGAACCGTGCGAATAGCAGCCTTCGAGATGGCGCAAAAACTGCTCACTTGAGCTATAATCTTCAATCCGTGCGCCGAATTGGTCGAGTTCTCCAGGGATATAAGATCGATCGGCGATTTTGCTAGACGAAGAACAAGGACATTCAGACTAATCGCTCGGAGTTGCATTTGCAAAACCGTGGTCACTCACCTGAGATCGAACTTCAAACCCGCCCGTTCCGCTTCATGCACCATCCACATCAGCGGGACATGGCTAAGCATCTTCTCGTGTTCGTGGATCTTCTTCCAGCCACCCCCGACATCTCCATGCCCGCCTGCAAACCAAACTTCTTGGATGTCTTGGTCATGCTTCTCTTCTGACCAGCGGCGGCGCAGTCGTGGACGGCCTTTGCCTTGCTGCGGTTGGTCGGATGTTCCTGTCGTTGATCCAATGTCCTCGCTGTTAGGTGTATGGACAGAATGGGCAAGACTCTCCGAAGATATGTTTGGCCGGCCCCGAGCCGACGGTACCGAGAGATAGCCTGGGTCGTGATGATTCTGATCGGCGCTAGACCGCTCTGGCGAGGATGCAACTTCAATGTTTGTCCGTGGATTTACAGCCGCTGTGGAATCTGTGCCGGTCGTAGGCATATTACCACGCCCAGAATTGCCGTCCTTCTCCTGGGCACTCTCCTGAGTCGTCCAGTTGGAATCCGAGCCGTACCGGTGAATTTTCTGAGGTAGACTGCTTTCATCCTGATGTTGGTGAGACGCACTGATCAGATCCTGACGGAACTTGGCTCGCCTTTCGTCGATTGAGACCGCGTGCCGGATCACTTTGGCTGAAGGCCGTGCTGTGTACGGGAATTTGGTGCGGGCCATCCAAGCCGACTCGAAGCGTGGCACAGAGTTCACCGTGTCAAATAACCCGAGGAATCGAATCCGGCGGACCGGTCTGCTGCTATTCGAGCGGTGAGATTTCATAATCCGACCCAGACCTGGGCAACTCAGACTTACAATGTCTGTCGAAATCCTCGCATGAATTCGTACAGCTCTTTCTCTTTTCTTTTTGCCTTCTCGGTACTGTCGCTCTTCCTACAGGCCCACTTGGCATATGTCTTCCAGGCAAACTTGATCAGTTCTTCGTTACCGGCACAAAGCAAACCGATATGATCCAGCATCTCGGCGAGAAAACGGGCTGTGTACGCCCCTCGGCTGAAACCAAAGAAGTACAAGTCATCTTCGGAGTTATAGTACCTCATCAGGAACTGATAGCCGCCCATGACATGTTCTGCGAAGGACGAACCGATGGCCGAGTCCTTGGCCTTGAGGTACGCAGAACGGATACGCCCGATCATGGATGTGGTTTGCATCTGTAAAAAATCTTATTATCTACACCGCGGCTTGTTGACCATGTTCTCCTTCTGCAACTCTACTTACCGAATGAGATGCTACGTAGGTGCCAATCCCCGGTTGGTAGAAGGTGTACATGGTGGCATCCGTTCTGTCAAGCATCCTGTACAGCTTCAGGATGTTGCTATCGGCATCGGTGCCGCTGAACTTATTTCCTGTGCCCTGCCAGATTGAATGTCAATTCTTCCAGCTCCCATGAGATTCACCGGGGCGCTGCAGTTCTACTAACATCGAAGCATAACACAAATGTGTTTCTCTGAAGACTCCGGCTTGGGTCTGAGACGGCCATGTCTGAAGGCAGGGCCTGGGAGAGGGGGCTATCGACAGCTTGTCTAAGGAAGAGTGCGAATGAAGGGAAGAGCTGGGCCGTGAGGCCTAATTGTTGAAAGGAGGGAGGGTGACAGGTCGTGAGCCTGAACAACACTGCCGACCAGGTGTCAGGTGAGGACGACCGTAGTTCCGCCGAGGGCATGGACGGTTGAGCTGTTCCGGTTCAATCTCCAACATTGCTTATGTGCGGATTCCATCCACAGAATTCAGTGGTTTCGAGTTTTTACTTAACCATACACAGTTGATCAACCGCGCATATTCTCCGTCCTTGCGAGGTCGGATTCATCGCTCTTACAGCAAGACCCCTACTCACCGACAATGTCGCACCTCCTCACGACTTGGGCATCCAACGGATTGGCAACCGTGCCCCATTTTATCATCCCTCATGCAATGATAATGTGGGATGTTTGCTTTTGACAATCCTTCTCGTTCAGGGAAGATGAAGGAAATCTGTGGATGGGAGTGCTCTCCGTACTGCAATTGCGGTAGGTATGTGATCATCCGCAGCTTCGTGTAACGCATACCTAGGTATATACATGGAAGCACGACAGCACGAGTTCCGCATGGAAACCCCTCTCATGGACTGTCCATCAAGTGTGTCTGCCGCTTCAGCCAGCGCATGACAATGCAGGCCGTCACGCAATACTCCTCATATCATGTGGCACGGCGTCAACTCTCCGGCAACATTCAGACCCTCTCCAACTCCGCGAAAGAAGTCTCCAGATCGCAAAGACTTTATTTGATTATGGTCTGGCAGAGCAAGAAATTCGTGTATACAGCCGGAAAAGCTAGTCCACCCTCCACGGCCGGGCGCGACAGTGCAAAAGGCACCCCTGCGTTCTGTGCGAAGTTGCATAGTAGGTACCCGAGGCAGAGTGTGGGAGGGATGGCCGCCTAGACGAGCGAATCTGGTGGCTGGCGTTGTTCAGCCGGCGGAGATCGACTTCGAGGGAGCTGATACTAGTAGGGCTCGATGGCGGCCAACTTGTGATTCGTCTCAGCCGCATTCATATTATGCATCCTGACCGCCATCACTCCAAAGAGGCGTCCAATCAACTCAGCTGCTGGACCATCCACTACTATCGTTACCGCCAGGGGAACGCCCCCACCATTCTCGATGTACACGTAGAAGTCAAAGCCATAGCTGAGGCTGTGACACTTCACCTCAATGCAGGGAGCGGACATCCCACGGCGAAGGTGCCAGCGCAAGAACTCAATTGCATATCTCTCGAGAGTCATTGGACACTGCCTTCATTTCGCTCCCTGGCCAGCCGAGATTGAGAAAGCCAACTTCAGCTGTATCACGCAAGCGAACACGTCTCACACAAATGCCCGAAGCCGTTCAACATGCTACACAGATACTCCGCATAGATTTCAAAACAAACTGGGCTCCCTGTCTATCACAGTCAGTATGCGATTGGGGCAGAAGTTGTACGGTCGTTGGAGTAATGTGTCGCGTCTCAAGCCCCATTCACCTGACATCAACTACCTTGCGTGTCGACATCGGCATTCAGTCGACGTGCATAGCATTTTCTGCTGATGCAGCCCCCCTGCCAGGCGCAAGCTAGACAGTGTGGTATTGGGCCCAGTGACCTTGCTTGACTCCTTACGAGAAGGACAAGCATTCAGAAAAGGCGCCGAATCTTGACTCGGAGCCCTTGTCTTCATATCTTCTGTTTCTCTCTTCATCTAGAGCAGCCTCTGGTTTCTCTCTTTACTAGTTGCTCATATCATTTGCACGTCGTCAGCTTTCGACTGGCGATCGCAAAAATGCCTCTGCTCCGGAGACTGTCATCTCGCTTCAAAAGCAACAAGAGCACAAACAATGAGAGAAACAATGTCAATGGATCTCTCAGCGCCGTTGAGGAAAAGCCGACTCCAATCTCGCGTGGTGCTCAAAGCAACAATTCTCCAGCAGTGGGAAGTTCTGTCGAGCAGAGTCTTCAGAAGACGAAGGAGGTCCAGCCTCTACCTTCTTACAGATCAACAACGACTCAACCCGCGGCTGTACCTGCTCCTGCGGAGAAGGAAAATGATGCTCCGGTAACCAGGGAAAACATCGAGAGCATCTTCGAGGAGTTTGCACAACTAATCCACGCTTCTCGACGTCCACTACCAACTCAATCTGGTGACGGACAGTATTTGGAGAAGGATGAGCAAACCGGGATCTTGTCCGATCTGCCTCATCTTGGAATCAAGGATCTCAAAACCGCAACACATATTGTGGGGGATTTACTGAGTGGCAAACCAGTGGACGACCGAAAGATGCATATGGAAGAGGTCATGCAGCTGGTGGCTGCTCTACCTGACCGTTCCGCCAACCGTGTCAACCTCACCAGTCAGCTTCTGGATGTTCTATGGAACTCTCTGCAGCATCCTCCGATGTCGTACATGGGAGATGATTATCGCTACCGCTCTGGCGACGGATCAAACAACTCTTACATATTTCCCAAGCTCGGGGCTGCCAATACACCATATGCTCGCTCGGTCAGTCCAAAAATCGTCCAGCCAGGTGCACTTCCTGATCCCGGTCTGTTGTTCGATTCACTCTTGGCTAGAGAAGAGTTCAAACCTCATCCGAATAATGTGTCTAGCATCTTCTTCAACTGGGCGTCCCTGATCATCCACGGTACACACATTCTTGTTTCTAATATGCTCCTATGACTGACGAATGCTAGACCTTTTCCAGACTGACCACAAAGATTACAGCATTAGCAAGACGTCAAGCTACCTGGACCTTTCGATCCTGTACGGAGACACCCAAGCGGAACAAGACATGATGAGGACATTTGAAGATGGCAGAATCAAACCTGACTGTTTCGCTGAAGAGCGACTGCTGGCATTTCCACCGGCCTGCGGCGCCATGCTGATCATGCTGAACCGTTTCCACAATTATATAGTGGAGCAGTTGGCGCTCATCAACGAGAATGGCAGATTTGACAAGCCTTCCAGCCGGCTGTCAGGCGATGCAGCAACCGCAGCATGGAAAAAGTATGACAATGATCTTTTCCAGACAGGCAGGCTGATCACATGCGGCTTGTACATCAACATAACCTTGCATGACTACCTCCGGACAATCGTCAACCTGAACAGCACAAACAGCACGTGGACACTGGATCCCCGGTTGGACAAACCAAAAACATTCGGCAGCGACGGTACGCCTCGAGGAGTTGGCAACCAAGTTAGTGCCGAGTTCAGTCTATCGTATCGGTGGCATTCGTGCATCGGCCAACTGGATGAAGCATGGACTGAAGCCGTGTATCAGGAGTTGTTCGGTAAACCTCCGGGCGAAGTGTCGTTACAAGAGTTGATGTCCGGCCTGGGCAAATATGACCATGATCTGCCCCAAGACCCTCAGCAACGGCCTTTTGCTCACCTCCGGCGAAACGCCAATGGGATGTTCGAAGACGAAGATCTTGCGCGTATCATGCGGGCCGGCATAGAACAAGTTGCTGGAGCATTTGGGGCACGAAATATTCCCAAGTCCATGCGAGCCATCACCATCCTGGGCATCAACCAATCTCGGTACTGGAACCTGTGCACGCTCAATGAGTACAGAAAGTTCTTTGGCCTGAAAACCTATGACACTTTCGAAGAAGTCAACAGGGACCCCTATGTAGCTGAGCAGCTCAAAAACCTATACGAGCATCCGGACTATATCGAACTGTACCCTGGACTGGCCATTGAGGAATACAAGCAACCAATGATTCCTGGAGTGGGCATTTGCCCAAATCATACAATTTCTCGAGTGGTTCTGTCCGACGCCGTGGCCCTTGTTCGAGGCGACCGATTCTATACGCTCGATTATGGTCCCAAGAGCCTTACCAATTGGGGATACAACGAGGTCGCGTTTGATTTGAGCATCAATCAAGGCTGCGTTTTCTACAAGCTCATGCTTCGAGCCTTGCCCAACCATTTCAAGCCGAACAGTATTTACGCACATTGTAAGTATCAACCAACATCACTGAACTCCGATGTACTGACCGAGAACGCGTAATCCTTAGATCCCATGACGATCCCGTCGGCAAATGCAAAGATAATGAAAACCTTGGGTCGCTACCAGGATTACGACTGGAACCCACCTGCGTACATGCCTACGAGGGTGAATCTGACCTCATACCAAAGCGCCAAATACCTGCTCGAGAGACCCAAAGAGTTTACTGTCATGTGGAACGACGGGTTGGGCTTTGTCATGGGCAAAGGAGGAGAAAAGTTCTGTCTCGGAGGCGACAGCACATTTCACCGGCGACAGCGCGAGACGATGCATCAACTCATCTACAGGGACCAATGGCACGAGCACGTCAAGAGATTCTACAGCGACATCACATTACGTCTGCTGCACGAGAAAAGCTGCCGTGTTGCGGATATCAACCAAGTAGATCTGACGCGGGACGTCGGCAATCTGGCGCACGTGCATTTTGCGTCCAACATGTTCGCGCTGCCTCTCAAGACGGCCGAGAACCCGCGGGGCGTCTTCTCGGAGCAGGAAATGTGGATGGCCATGAGCGTTATCTTCACGGCCATCTTCTTCGACTTCGAACCGACCAAGTCGTTCCCCCTGCGCATGGTGGCTCGCAAACTCGCGACCACGCTGGGAAAGCTGATCGAGGCAAACGTCAAGTCTGTGACGGCGACGTCGCTCGTGAGCAACCTGGTTGATGGGTGGCGCGAGAACCACAACGCCCTGGCCGATTATGGTGTACATATGATCCGGCGCCTGGCTCAGACGGGCATGAGCACGTACGACATGGCATTCAGCCAGATCATGCCGACCGCAGTCGCCATGGTGCCCAACCAATCGCAAGTGTTTAGTCAGGTCATGGACTACTACTTGGGGTCTGAGGGGGTCAAATATCTGCCTGACATCCAACGTCTCGCCCGTGTTGATAGTAGAGACTCGGACGAGAAACTGATGCGTTATGTTAACGAGGGCATTCGTCTCAACGGCACGTTTGGCAGTTATCGTCGCAGCGAGGTGCATCACGTTTTCAACGAGAGTGATAACGATGGACAGAGCGGTGGTGGTCGCAGCAAACAAGTCCCCGTCAAACCAGGCGACAAAGTCTTCTGCAGCTTCGTCAGCGCCGCCCGCGACCCAACCATCTTCCCGGATCCCGACACCGTCCGTCTCGACCGTCCGCTCGACTCGTACATCCATTACGGCATTGGGGACCATTCCTGTCTAGGGAAAGAGGCCAGTCTGGTCGGCTTGACCGCCATGTTGAGGACGGTGGGGAAATTGCACAATCTGAGACGAGCGCCGGGTCCTCAGGGAAAATTGAAGAAGGTGAGTGAGACACTGAGTAGGAAGGCTGGCGAAGCCAGTCGAACGGATAGTATGACCTGTGGATTGGCTGACTGATTGATCGCTTTTTATGGCTACAGGTCCCTCGTCCAGGTGGTTTCTACGTCTATATGCGCGAAGACCAGGGGTCGTACTTTGTCTTTCCGTGTACGTTTAAGGTGCACTATGATGGCGTTCTTCCGCCGTTGCCTGCTTGATTCTTCTTCTTCTGCTGGGGCTGTTGTTGCTGCTGCGGCTGCAGGATAGGATAGGTATCGGGCAGGGCATATACTGTGGTAGCCTACTGGCCTATTCTATTCTATTAGCATGGCAGGACAGGACACGAAAGGACAAGACAGGACAAGACTGGTCTGGTCTGGCTTGGTTCGATTTGAAGAAGCGGACCGGAGATGACAGACACAGAAACGGAAAAAACAAGACAGAGCCGAAACAGTGCAGTGCGACGGAACGGACTCCACGATGCTTTCTTGGAAGCTGGATTTTCTTCCTTTTAGTTGAGAACGATTCACGAATGAGGTGGACTGGACTGGATCAGACGGAACTTGAGACGACTTGAGATGACTGGACTCGACTCATGATGGGAGATGAGAACAAAGGCCCTTGCTTTTGGTACCTAATCTAGTTCATATTCATTTCATCGGTTTGTTTCGTTTTTCTCCGAACTACTCTATCAAACATGTCAATGTCAAGGTTGACTGGACCGACATGGCAACCTCTTGTCAGATCTCGTACTCATGGCGTGAGTATAATGGTACCCTAGGTAATGTGTACCAATGCTCGAGCACGAGTTTTCACATGACATACCTTCGTCACTGAGTAGAGAGTGCATTCAAACATTCATTGACACCATTCTTCGATTAGTTACTGCAATGGCCTCGCCTTATATTTGGTCTTGTTTGCATAAGCAGGAAATCAGAACCTGCGGCCTAAAGAAGGGGCGAGTGCCTTGCCCGCTACAGTGCAGCGAAATGGGCTTGTTTGAGCATGGAATGTTGTGATTAAAAGGTATCTCCCGAGTCTACTTATCATACTGCCAGTGTACATCCGCCATTTTATCTAGCCTGACACCTCCATTCTAGTTCCGTTGTCTGAGCCATGTGCTGCCATATCGTACGGTCGAAAGCATTCATCCCATCTAGCCCTCATCCTGACCACTCTTTCCGGTGTGAAATCTTTCCCGCGCTAGTCTCACAATGCACTTCTCCGTTGTCTCCCACTCTCATTCCTGACTGTTCGTCTCCTTGCCGTAAATCTCACCACAATTCTCCCAATCGTCCTTCAGGGCCTGCTCAGCCTGTTCCTTCTGGAGCTCCTGCCGCAAATCGTCCTCGCGCTCAAGATATTCATCCCGGCTTAGACCATTATGGGCACTGTAAGCATGAGAATCTTTACCTTTGCCGTTCAGAACTTTTCTCTGATACAGAAACGAGCTCGAGAAAACGTAGAAGACCAGGCTGTCTGCTCTGAACTCTGTCCGGCGTTGAATCTCACTTTCCGCGAAGGCCATGTTTTCCCATTCTTTGAGGCTGCCAGGCCCGTATAAGTTCTCGAGACTTGGATGACGGAAGAGAAATATCCCATAGGAGGTTTCGCTTACTAGCTTGCGCAGCTTCCGTAGCTCAAAGTCATGTTTCTTCTGTTCGATCAACCCAGAAATTGCCGAAAGGACTGGCTCGAATAGCTTATTCGAAACAGAGTACTCGTTGATATCCCAGATCTTGCTCACGACACTCTGGATGTCGCCGTCGGTTGTCGCCTTCAACATTTGCTCCATCTCCTGGCGTACTTCCACGTCCATGGATTCAGGGGCGAGTGATTTCATGTGCTTGGCCCACGTCGGGCCGAGAGCCTTGTGGATCGACTTGTCTTTCCTCTTCAGCATTCTATTCATGGCCTCGGATCTGACGGCAGACCCGATCATAGACATCGTCACATGGGCGGGGCAGTTCCTCATCAATTCGTCCGCGCTCAGTTTTTCGGGGATGTCATCGAGGTCGAAAAAGCCTTTATTGATCTGGCGATAGAGCTCAAAGCACGTTCGTTGCATTGAAAAGTAATCGAACGCGAAGGCCGGCATCTCAGCCATGAATCCTTGAGCCAGGTTACCCAGAGTCCGCACCATCTTTGTGTTCAAAGGAGTGAGCTGGGATCGGATTTCCGCAAATTCCGAGTCTGAAGCTTCAACGGCGTAGAGTCTGTCCTGGAGGTCACGCTGGTACTTCGTACCGAACAGAAGCTCTTGTAGTCTATAAGCCGCTTCGTCATGCTTTCGTGTCTCTTGGCCGAGCCAACGCTCAAAGAGATTGTGCGCAATGGGTGCATGGTCAAAGCCACGCTCGTGGACTTTTGCCTTGTTGAAACGGACACCGCGAGAGTCCTTGGCGAGACTCGTGGTTGACATGCCCATCGCCATCAGTACCTTCTTTTCCACATCCTCCAGTGTCTTGGGGCGACCTCCGATAAAGATCTTTTCGGCTTTCTGGTTGCGAATTACAAGCTCCATATCTGGCCAAATGGGGGCTTTCGGATTGATGATGTGCAGAGCATTGTACAGGTGGCATAGCAATGTGACATGCCCAGTGTCGTTGACCAACTTTAGGCCAAGGACATGCCACTCTAGTTGCATCTCGGTCTTCATAGTCCCGCACGTTACCGGAAAGTACTCCAGCAGTGGGACCCTTTTGCTTTCTCTGGCGGCTTGCTCAAAGCTCTGCCCTTCCGACATTCTTCGAATCACCTCGACGTGATCTGCCTTCCCAGGTTTGCCTTCTTCTATCCAGTCACCGAATTGCTCGGTCAACATGGCAACATGGTTATGGCGACGCTTGTCCCAGATTTCGAACCCGAGAGACTTGGTCCACTTTCTGTGATCTTTGTATTTCTGCTTTGTGACGGCATACGCTTTCTTCAGGTCCTCGAATGCCGGGAGATGCAGGATTGAGTCCACGCGCTGGATGTCAAGCTGGATCTGAAGTGCAAAGCTCACCCAGACTGGTACGTTGTGGTTGTGCAGGACGTGTCTGGCGGCATGCAGGATTTCATCCTCAATAAAGGCGCCTTTCAGCATGAGAGACAGCATACAAAAGTTGGGCAAGATTTCGACAAGCTGGGTCTGGGACATCTGGCTCGGATTCAGTGCATGATAGCGTTCCGACTGTGCCTGTCAGTTGCTGAAGCTCCATACGTACGGATGGCAATCACTTACTTGGTATGTTCGAGTGTTCGGGAATGGCGGCACTCGAACAGAAAAGTCATTCTTGGCCGTTGGTAACGTGGGTGGCTCCTCCTTCAGCACATCGACATAGGACTTGGCCATAGCCCATGGAACGTACAGCAAGAAGTCGCAGATTTCACAGCCACATATGATGATTGTTTGAGGTAGATCCGGGTCGAACTCAAGAGGCTGGCCTCCATTGGCATGCGGAAGGTGCTCCTTGAAGATGATGAAAGGCAGCGACCCGGTGGGATATTTTGCAGCGGGATATTTGGAAGGACGTCGAAGAGTCGACTCAAAGTCGGCTTCCGCCCTGCGGACCATGTCGACGGCCAGGTTCGTGACACATGCGGCCTGCATAAGCTCAATCTTTCCCCCGGCATAAAGTTGCCACGTCGATAATAAGTAGACCCGAACTGCTTGGATGTCCTGCAGGAATGACCAAATGGCGAAGTGGAACTCTTCTTCTGTTTCTTTGTCGTCGAATTCGATACGAACACTTGCAACAGCAGGGACGGGACCAGGGGCAGCAGCTGAATTTGGGGTACCATTTGCCAGTCCTTCTTCTTCCGGGGTCGTGTCCTCCAGCTCGAGATGCTGGAACATATTGTTCACCATTGCGAGAGGTGTGCTCAGGGGAGTGGTGGCTTTTGTGGCAGCGGTTGCTGGAGGGGCCTTTTCTGGCTCGAAACATGGCTTGAGAGTATCAAGGGCAGTTTGGAGGATCGTAACAAAGTGTGAATGTTTCTCGTCCGTAAAGCTGGCAACATCGGATTTTGCCTTGAACCAGGCAGTAAACTCGCGTCGAGCCCGAATGGTGCGCTCCCAGATAGCATGGATCTGGCGCGTGAGGACGATTTTGGGCCGAGCTTTGGCGATGTGACCTGCCATTTCGACAAACTCTGTGGTCTTGATGGAATTGACCGTTCTTGACGGTTGCGGTATACCAGACTGCTTGGCAGCATCACGAGCCAGCTTTCGAGCTCTTCCTTTCAGCTTGGGCTCATTCGTGGTGGTCATGTTGGGTTTGTAGCCGCATGATGCAGCCTTCTGAGCCAGCCATCCTGCCACCAGCTCCGTGTCTTTTTTGTACTGTTTGTAAGCGAGGACCATGTCCGCGGGCAACTGAAGGCCTGCCATCGCCAGGACGTAGCGTAGCGGGTCTTGACTGCCAATGCAGAGTGGACGATGGATGAAAGAGCCGGTCAAGCAGTGTCGACGTTATCAGAGAAGACGTCGATGAAGAATGGAGATGAAAAGGTGAAGCTGAAGTGGACAGGGCGGCTTGAAGGATTCAGAAGCAGCAGAAAATTGTCAGCGTGAGCAGGCAGCAGGGAAGAGAAAGGACGAGCAGGCAGCGGCAAGGACAATGACTCGGACTCGGAGTGCTCGAAAGAAGACACTGGCACTGCAGAGTCTGCACCTCGTTCTGGCCTTCAAGTTACTAGCACCACGAACGCTGCCTGCGCCTGCGCCTGCGCCTGCGTTTCCTCACAGCAGCGACCACGTAGTACCAGGTATCAAGTGCCAGTCCTGACTCTGCTGGATCCCTGGTGCCTTTCCTTCAATCACAAGGTCATCGGGCGGCATAAATCACAACCAACTTGAACCTCATCGCAAGCTGGCAGCTCAGCACCTGTTAAGTTCAAGTACAGCTCAACCCTTTCGCCAACCGGGCAAAGTGCTTCAAATGCCATCACCGCATCACCAACGACCTATCTCAAGGTCCGGCTTAGACTTACAGGTTCTTTGCCGACAGGTTTGCCGGCTGCTAGCAGTGGTAGATTCTCAATTTGCTCCTCAAAACGCACAAAGGTTGACGTCTTTGAGCAGATCACCAGCAATAATATCAATTCCACCAGTCCTTTTGTCCTCAATGCCAAAGTTCAGGAACAATACATCATCCCTGTACCCATGATATTTCTGGCCGTGCGCTTTCCAAGTGATGGAAGTGACATAAACCATTTCCGTCTGGTTCCACTCAGCCAACTGCTGGAATTCCGCACCCTCCGGTCTTTCGGCTTCTCCAGCCTTTCCCCGGCCGTGGATCCAAATCGGCTTGGACGAGATAGCATGCACCTCAAATGGAGCGGTTCGCTTGAAAAGCATGACATAAGGCTCGTACACACTGTGATAGGAGTAAAAGCTTTTATGTTGGAAAATGGTCAAGATGTAAGTGTTGGCGTCGTTGGGTTCGCAGCCTGGGTCGGATCGCTCACACAAGGTAATGGAGAGAGAGTTTGTGGCCTGGTGGATTGACTCGAGTTGCTCGGCAACCTTGGGCATATACTTTGACATGCATTGCTCATCATTAAACGCAGCAAGAGGTGCCAGATCTTGACCGACCGACCCGTCATACTCAAGTTTGGCAAAGACCCGCGTCGGTGCAACGTCGTAATGGACATACGCATCGCCCAGATTGTCCCAGAAGACAAACCAGTTTTTCTCGACCAACCCGTACGGAGGGGGTCTTTGTAGCTCTGTCCCCAGTCGGTACGGGTTTCCCGCAAAGACTGTTTCTCCTTTCCAGTCGACCAGCATTCGAAAGTCCTGGATCCACTGGCCGAAGCAAGTGAGGGCCGAGTTTGAACCATAAATTGCGTACGGAGCGTTGGGCCCATAAAACACGCGAGCATCGTGGGGGCCAACATTGAGTGCAAAATACGACAAATCACCTGTACACTTGTCGCCTGAAAGTGTTGCAGCTATCGGCAAGATTTTGGGTGGTTTGAGACACTCCAGCCGACCCTTTTGGAACTGCGCGTCGCACACCAACTCGGTGAACCAGAGTGAACTTTGGTCCTCCGGGCTTTTCCCTTGTTGCGCGACAATGATCCAGGTATCGTTCCGTGTCGGATGTGGGATGATACTGGGGTTGATGGCCTCTTCATCGCCAAATTTGATGGGAAAGTATTTTCCATTATAGGTCGTAACCGAAAAGACCTCGGTATGTGTGTGCGAGACACTGGACTGGTTGTTCTTACCCGCGCTCTTGGAAGGGCTGCCAAGCAAGAATGAGTCTTGAAGCGATGACCTTGACTTTGTGCCAGGCGCGCCCTCGGTCAATTTGTTCGCCGTCCAGCTGGTGTCGCCCAAAAGCGGGATATTATCCCCACTGCCATACAGGAGAACGGCGACGACAATTAAAAGCAGCAACGGGCCAACAAAGAAAGCAAGGCGTCGGATGCCTTTGATCAACATTTCCGATCTGTGTAGTATGCACAGATCAGATGGTCTGTATGGTTTGGTTATCGCAGGATCAGAAAGGCGGACATGGCTAAGGTAGGTATGTACAGGACAAGAGCAGAGCTTGAGGAGGCATTGGTGGTGGTGTGGGGATCGAAGGTTGATATACCAGGCCTAACCACCCAGATGTATCTATCTACCTTAGGTTGGTATGATTTTCATAGTCTCTCGTACTATCCATGGATTCCCGGAAGGTCGTTGCTCGTTCGGGATTTAGCCTCATGTGTCTCCGCCGCAGCCAGCCACCGACCAACAGCCTCCGACCTCCGGCGTTCGGAGCTTATTAATGGTCTCCCGTCGATTACCGCCAACACTGCTTCATGCTACTGTAGCTACTGCTAAAGGTATCTAGTTTTATTATCACCATTATTCCATCATCGGGACTGTCTCAACTGTACATGTCTACCTGGCCTCGCAAGACTAGCGGTAACGCTGGATGAAGCTATGGTTGCCTCTCCTCTACGGACCTTGCCATAACAGCTCATGCCTTGCCCCAGTCAGGCACTGCACGGCCCCAGCTCTTTTGCAAGGCAGCTGAGCCTCGTAGATCTGATGCCAGCTGGACTGCCACTGCCGTGGATACCTGTAGTGATGCGGGGTGGAATGTATTATGCAGTGCTCTACCACTACTACGACAGTAGCATAGCTATTATGATGGGTGCGCCCAGTGTTGCATATGTGTGTGTATGTGTGTGCCCACTGGGCAGTGGCAGTGGCAGTGGATCCAGACCCTGACAGGATCAAAGGACTGACAGACTGTCAACAGAACTGGTTGGTTCTTTTCCCCCCTTATAACTTGGTCGACGGCCCCGGAGAGGCCAGAGTTTTCCGGTACAACCACTGGGAAAAAGTGACGCTCGGCTCATCAATGAGATTGGTAGCGACCTCCGCCAGCCACAGAGTAACTGGCAACAGTATGAGCTGAGGCAGCCAAAAAGCCAGCTCCAAGCCGAACGGGCCGGCCTTTGGCAGCGGGAGCAGATTGATCCAGCCGGGAATATTCAGCACATGCGGCTCGCGATGCCACCCTGCAGCAGCGTAGATGCGGTCTCCGAGCGACCACAGAACCGGACCGTGGACGAGGTAAAAGGCAAACGAGACTCGGCCAAGGTACTGGTTGAACCTGGTTTCGAAGAAGCCCCGTAGCCAGGGGATGCGCGGAATCGCGGCCACAAGGAACGTCGCCGCCCAAAATAGGTAGAACCATTTCGGGTCAAAGACGGCCTGTGGCTTCAGGAAGGATAGGTAGTACCAGCCCGGAGAGGCGCGGAGGACATTGATGTCCGATGAAAACGGAGGTGCGCCGCCGAGGTATAAGCTGATTATGATGAGGACATACCAGATGGCGGTCTTCAAGCTTGCGAATGGTGGTTTGCTAACCACAGAAAAGATTTTGGGCAGATTGCCGTTGCTGGCCAACAGATCCAAATCGCACAGCAACATTCCGGAAATAAACAAGGAGCAAAACCACCCGTCGACAATATACATGAAATAAACGATGAGGCCGACTTCACACCACAGCCGGGCATTGCGCGTGCAGCGCGAAAACGCCAGCAGCGCCGTATAGATGAGGATAGAACCCCTGAACTCGACGGGGATGGACCAGGCGTGGTAGCTGTAGCTGAACCACGGCTCGCCGCCCGTGCGGAACACGAAAGTGAAGTTCTTGAGCTCGCAATACCAGTTCCACAGATCATCCCAGTATGTGGCCCGCGGCGGTGGCTCGGCACGGTACCCAAAGACGTGCCATGAGGTCATGAACAGAAACGTCGTGGCGATGACGGGGATGTGAAGTCGGAGCCAGCGTCGGAAAAGAGCAGACGACAAGTTATCCCCTAGCCTCATATATTCGCCGGCGTGGATCATAGACAGCGGTTTCGATGACAGCACGTACCCTGAGAGAACGAAGAAGACGGTGACGGCGAGGTGTCCTCCGGAAAAGAACGTCCGTATGAATGGCAAGCAGGCGAAATAGTACTGCCCATCATAGCCATATGCGTTCTCGAGAATTCGGTCAGCACCGAGCGCTTCGTGCGCCCACAGTTGATGATGGCCCAGATACACCAGGAGCGCCGCGAACCCTCTGAGTCCATCGAGGTAGGCTGTACGTGTGCGCTTCGATGAATTCGAGCTGCCGGTGCTGCGGAGATCCCGTTGGTTGCTGCCGAAAGATGGCTTCACCAGATCCAGGATGCGTTGCTGCACCCGTGCTAGAAGGGGCCGCTCAGGTTCTGCCCTGGCTGGCTCCCAGTAGCCCTTTTCTAACAGATTATCGGAGGGAGCAGGCATGACAATGAACAGTATTTCCTGTCTTCATGTGTCGTGCTGTTGTTTCCTTGTGACTTCAAGAAAAGGACGGTCGAAACAACGCTGTTCTTCAAAGATGATGAGTGACACAGTCTGTCGGTCGAGGCCGAACTTCGAACGGAGCTCAGACAAGTCGACCGGTGTTGCTGGAGAGAAACAAGCTTTCACAGCTCGGGGCCCTCTTCAGCTTGTGCGTAACCCCGGGTTTCCCAGACCTGGGGTCTTTCACATGTGAAGGTGAGATGGAGGGAGAAGACACTGCTGTCCGAGGTACCTCGTCTGCAGTGAGATGCTGTTAATTAGAAATGCCGACGAGACTTGTACAAGAGAACAGTATCACATGTACCTGATCTCCCAGCCTCCAAAGGCTAGCGGTCTCTGGAAAGTCACGGCAAGCCAACCGGCCGACATCGCGTGAGAGACAATTCGTGCTAAATCGGCGGCTAACGGGCATCGTCTTCTCCATGGGGGAGCTCCACTGCCAGCTAGCTCGAGGCTTGTGCTGGTGGAGTACTAAGTTTCGGCACATTTATCGATTTGATCAGCTCTGCAGCCGCACAGCAGCGGGCAGAATAACCCAGCACTCTGCATACATGAACTTTGGGTGTTGAGACTGGTCGATCCGGTAGCTTTTCGACTGCCAGTGCTGCTGGGAACTTCCATGAAGGCGGGCACTCCGAAAAGTGGGGTTCAAGCCGTATGCCGTTAGTTTCGGCCGCCCCATGACCCATGAGGAGCACAGCTCCGGTCAGGAACCGGCCATCACAGTGGGAGCCCACGGCTCAGCATGGTGGAAGGGTTGGTAGGATCAACATCAACCACACCGTTACTTCGGCCGCAGTCTACTGTACCTAGGGACCTACCTTGACTCGACGCAATCCCATGCCAGTTGGGTTACACCTCGCGTGACCAATCGTCGCTCCCGCGAAATTTGACGTCGATAAAGCTACTCGCGGTCAAGCATTTGACTAACCATGCCAGCCTTGCTTGGATGGCATAAGACTGCTCCGCAAATGCAGGCCGAACTTACCGGGGTCTCACCTTGCAGATTCGGGTGGTATCGTTTGGAGGCCCCCGTATCCCGGATGCTGGAGGTAGATACCAGGTAGTGAAATAAATGTGATGGAATCGTCAAAGGGCCGGGAGGTGAGCAATTTCGCCTGTCGAATGCCGCCTTTGGGCATCCCTTCCGCTCGTTCTGGCTGGCTTCTTGCGTTGTTTCTTTTGGTCTTTCGCGACAACAAACAATGAAGATTATGCCAGCGCCGTCGCCAACATTCGGCGGTTGCCTGCCCAAGCAAATCCGAAGATATCTCCCGGCGTCTCTGATTTTCATTCTTGTGGCACTCTTTTTTCTTTCAAGCTCGGGGTCGTACGGAGATATAAGCGCGGAGATTGCTTATCACTCAGCTTTGAGCACTGGCCAATTCCCAAGAAAGATTTGGCAGAGCTGGAAGGTGGACCCATTGGGGTTTGAGGAAAGGGATTCGACAACAGCGAGAACATGGACTTCGAAAAATCCTACCTACCGATACGAAGTTCTGACGGATCAGAATGACCTCTACTACGTTGAGACGCATTTTGGTCCTATGGGCTTCAATCGGCCAGACATCGTAAACACATACAAGTCATTGACCGCGCGGATCATCAAGGCGGACCTGTTGCGATACCTTGTCATGTATGTCGAAGGTGGGGTTTATACCGACATTGACGTCGAGGCTCTCAAGCCCATTGACCGGTTTATTCCCAGCCGATACAATGAGAAGGATATTGATATGGTCATTGGCATTGAGGTTGACCAGCCTGAATTCAAAAATCACACCATACTCGGCTCCAAGTGCCAGTCGTTTTGCCAATGGACGTTTATGGCCAAGCCGAGGCTTCCAGTCATGATGAGACTCATTGACAACATCCTGAAATGGCTGTACGAGGTCGCAAACCAACAAGGCGTGTCGATATCCGACATCCAGCTTGACTTTGACGAGGTGATCAGTGGCACAGGCCCGTCAGCCTTCACTAGGGCAATTCTCGCCGAAATGGCTGTCAAGGCCCGTCAAGACATTTCTTGGGACTGCTTTCACAATCTCGGCGAGTCCAAACTCGTCGGCGGAATTCTCGTCCTGACTGTGGAAGCCTTTGCAGCAGGCCAGGGACATTCCGACTCTGGCAATCACAATGCGAAAACCGCTCTGGTAAAGCACCATTACCATGCTTCTGGCTGGCCAACCGCTCATCCCCGGTATAACCATCCGATATATGGTGAGGTGGAACGGTGCAATTGGGATGTTGATTGTGTTAGGGAGTGGGACGCAAACATGGCTGCGTTTGACGCTCTGTCGCCGGAGGAGCAAGCGGAGCAAATCGCCCTCAAGGCGGCAGAAAAAGAAGCAGCCTTTGCTGCAGAGGCGGCGGCTGCTGCCATTGCTCCACCAGACCTCCAGATCGTGCTTCCCGAATAATATCTCAATGCAACATAAACACAAGTAGTTGTGACCCCAAATTTATTCGCTGACCAAAGTTTCCTGGTCATTGGATTCACCGCAGTGTAGGATGGGCCGATGTCTCGCAAGCGGTAGCCAGAGGTGGAAGTTGGTCCACCGGCAGCTGTGTCCGCAGGAGGGTAGGGCTGTGTATTTCCGCTATTTGAGCAAGCAGGCACTTCGAAGGCTTGAGGATGAGAACATCCCACGACGCCTGACAGGCATCCTTGCACACTACTCTGCAAGTGCTAAGTGGTGGGACTGGATGTAGCCTCGTTGAACTGCATAGCATAGCTTCGGCCGCTAAAATCATAGTCAAGGGTGGCAGCGCGGGTGAAGGCAGGGTCGCAACCGTTCGGCCCTGCGCGTTTATGAGACAATCACATGTGATCGCATGCAGCGAAAAGCGCTATCACAGAAACTGACCGCGATTGTATTCGGAGCGATAGAATTAATCCAGCAGTTCGGTGTCGAACGTGGAAATCGTCAATGTTGTTGTGGGCGTCCCTGGCGATAATAAGACACTCGACATGGCTGGACCTTAGGCCGATGATGTGTATACCTGTGTTTACCAGAGATTCAACGACTGCGGTGAGGTCGCGATGAGGTCTGGCGCCGGACGCTTCCGATACCTACATACCCCGGGAACACCGTACCCTTCTCATGCAAATTTCTGGGGGAGGAGAATAGCAGAGGCGCACACTGAAGTGCAGTCGTGAGAGTTGAATGGGGTCAGCCGAGGCTCGATGGCAAGAAAACGCCACTCCTTCAATGTTGGCGATCGGGCTTGCAGATCACTGACGGGCAAGATACTTTGGGTCGTTTATTATTGCTCGCTCGGTTGACGCTCGAGGCACCAAGGGAGCCGACCACTCCAACTGCTTGTCTTCTCCATGCAGAATCCGGGGCCCGGGGTCCCCGGGTCGCGTGACATGTGCTGTGAGTGTCTTGTGGGTGTGGGTCGTGACCGAGGTCGAAGCCAGCAGCTCGAACTATCTCAGATACAGATAGAGATGTTCAAGTTAGCTAGGTAGATTACCGTCAACGTGACCTTGGAGTTTGCGAGAGATGAAAGGACGTCAAAAGAAGATGCTGCGGACGCCAGTGATTGGGCAGCTGCAGGCTTGGCGCAGCTAAATCGGTGAATGTAACCGACCAGTCCCCGGATCATCCATTGACGTTGGCTTCAAACCAATAACAGAGCTTCATCACAAAAGTCACCGTAACATTATTGCTCCGGTTGTGGTGTACGCCCCGGCCGATGCCCCCGATTGGGTTAGTTGGAACACACTATAGCCATTTCTGGCTAGATCCATTGCACCGGCCCGTTTTGGCCCCGGTCAGAGAGGAGCGCCAAAAGGACTGCAACCGGCCGAGAAAAATAGCCTCGCTCAAGCTGGACTCTTCCGAATCCCATCCTCGCTCGTTAACAACACTACAACGCCTTGAAGTGCTCTGACCCCCCTCCCCGAGGATCTACAGCCAACCAATGCTCTGAACAAATGCTCGGGTTTGACATGTGACGCATCAGACATCCTCGGCTGACGTGAATTGGCCGTCATGCACGAACACAATCATTGCTATGTACAGTACTGGTGAGTTGTGGGGAGAGCTAGCTTGTGCAGGTTGACATATCCATCTCAGATAGGCGTGTGTCCCTTTGTGGATCCAATGTCATTGCGGGGAGGGAGGCGTTTAAGGTAGGCAGGGAGACAGGTGTAGGACCCAAGGAAAATTTCAGCAGTTCGAGTCGCTAGCGACGCGAACGAACACCAACACCAAACGCAAGAAGGACTGGTTTGCCTCTTCGTCTTCCATATCCTTCCTTTCATACCCTCTTACCAGGTTTCCCTTCCGCTCGTTGCTGCATACAACTGTACCATACTGCACACGCGCGCCTGTCCTAATTCTGGTGTTTTTGTTGTTTGTTTACGAATTGGGCACGATTGAAACGCCAGAATGAGTACTACGGAGGCAAACAAGGAGGCCTACGTCCAAGATGAAACGGCCGCGGTCAATGGTACCGGCCCCGCGGGCAAAAGAACATTTGGACAGAAGATGAAGCGGCATTGCGCACGGTTCTGGTGGCTATGGTTTATTGTGTTTGCGATTGTTGTCCTGGTCATTGTCCTACCAATGTATGTGTTGACCTTATTGCTCGCCCACCCTAGGTGTTACCTTGCTGGTGGTGGAGCTTAGCCAAACCTTTACCCTCAGCCATGCATGGATGGAACATTGTGGTGACATGAAACTAACAATTACAGCGTCTACGTGGGATACCCCAACAAAGCGCAATCGGCCATCAACAAGGCCAAACTTGAGCCTCAGTCCATGGCTCTGCTTAACCCGGCGCCGGACTCGTTCGACTTACAGCTCGACAACATGTTTATCTCGCATTCGGGCATGTCGGCCCACCTGGACAAGTTCACGGGCGACTTGCGTCTTCCCGATAGCGACAAGGCCTTCTGCCGAATCAATGTGCCGTCCATCACGGCTGCCAACGGTAGCATCGCGCACATTGAACAGCGAGTCCAGATCGCCGACCACGACCAGTTCAACGAGTACGCCAAGACTGTATTGCTGAGCGACGAGTACAGCATCTATCTGAAGGGCAAGGGCGGGTTCAAATACGGCTCTCTCCCGAAGACGAATGTCAAGTATAACAAGAAGATCACCATGAAAGGTAAGCCCAGTAGAGCTCACTTTGTCTCACTCCGTCACTGTTTTGTCCACTGTTATTACCCCCGCGGCCCTTCTTTCTCAAGTGTTTCGGAACCACCAAATGGTGCGATGTGCGCCGAAGCAATCTGATTCGGTGTCCCAATCCACCCATTACCATTCACCAGACAAAGTCCCGGTGGCATTCAATCCCAGTCCCCGATCCCTTTCATAACCCCCCTACCCATCCATCCCTATACTAACATTCCATTTCTTCCCTTCCCAGGTCTCAACTCCCTCAAAGGCCTAACCGTCTCGGACTTCACCATCCTCACCACCTCGCAACCCGACGGCGCCAACGCCAACGGCACCGTCATGATCCCCAACCCCTCCGTCGCAACCTACCAACTCGGCGACGTCGGCCTGACCATGTCCGTCGACGGCCTGCCCGTGGGCAACTCGACACTCAAATCCGTCCTTCTCAAACCAGGCAACAACACATTCACCATGCGCGCCACAACCAACCAGACCGCCGTGGTCGGGCTCATCTTCACAAACTACAAGTCGGGGATTTTACCCATCGATATCGTCGGCAACAGTAGTGTTTATGATGGCCAACATCTCGAGTACTATGAGAAGGCGCTGTCGTCGAATAAAGTCCAGATCAAACTGGATGTCATTAAGGCGTTGGATGAGGCTGGGTTGGCGGGATTGTTGGGGATAAATACTACGAGCAGCAGTAGTAGTAGTACCTCCAGTGCCTCGAGCAGCGCGACCTCTAGCTAGATCTAGCATGAACTGGACTGCAAGTGGAAATAATGTCACCAGTTAGGTGATTGTCATGTCAATGATGATGCTGAGCTAGGTTTAGTTTTGTATAATATACTTACAGTTATCTTTTTTTTCCTTTTCTAGTAATATAAGGTGTCTATCAGCTTGCTTGCTTGCTTGCCACAAACTACTGCTGCTGCTGCTGCTGCCGCCGCGGATACACACACCGGTTTTTGTTGATCTGATGACAGAAAAAAGAAAGATATCCCGCCGTTACTTGTACTACTGAATTCCAAGCCCATAGGATGCCACTGCACAGCTTTTTATCACATGCTGAACCCTAGGCCTACCTACCTACGTAGGTCTTCAACTTGCTGGTGAACATGTTGGAGAGCAATGAGCATATCACCCTACCTACCTAGGTACCTAGGTAGGCAGCCACCTGCCAGTACCACAGCAGTGCTAGAGTACTTCATAGACTTTCCTTTCCAACTGCAAAGTACTAGGACGATGATGCGAAACGCATGCGTCTCAGCTGCAATGTATTGACAATGTGCTGGACAAGGCTGCATCTACAGTACGCGACAACTACACGGCGCGGAAACCATGACACAACCCGAAATTATGAAGAACGTCCTGGTATATACTGTACTGTATATTAATCAAGGATTGTATTTTAGACTCGACTGCGTCCCTATTGTACTGTAGCAGCCTCATTATTCAGTCCCTCCTGTTGCTGAGCTTTCTTTTCTCTTTCCACTCATTCTCTTTTGTTTATTTGCGTGCCCACTGACGGTCTCCGCTCCGCTCAATCACCGCATATCACTTACTCAGTTTCAGTTTCCAGGCCCCTTGAACCCGAAACAGTTGGCATAGTAAGTGACAGTAGCAGACCAATCGGAAAACATGGCCTTGACACCGATTTCACGACCCAGGACATCCAGAACCTCGTACATCTGGCCATCATAGTGCATGATCGGAGCCACAGATTCATAATAATAGTCGTCGTCGGCAGCGACACGAGTCAGAGGTCCCGACCGCTCAAAGGACCACGAGATGATATCCAGACCGGCCTTCTTGGCCGTAAGGGCGTAATCCGAGGGCACGACGGTCTTGTTGTCCGGACCTCCCACGGCCAACAGGTAGTTGATCGGGGGCGAGATGATATTGACACCACTAGCTTTCAAAGCAGGCAGTCGGTTGACAGCAGTGGTGAAGTTGCCTGGTGCATCACCGTCCTCGTCGAGGAAAACGGCTTGCTTGCCAAAGTCAGGGAACTCGTTCAACCACAGATAAATATCGGCCGGAGTAAAAGATTGCGCAAACACACGGTCGGGGCTGATTCCCTTTTTGACGAAGGTGTTGATCATGTCTCGGGAATATTGGGCTTGCGTGTAGCCATTGAAGGGCATCGGCACAGCAGCAGGCGGGGTTTTGAGTTCCGGGGTGAAGTTGCGATAGCCGGGAAGCGAATCGACGAGATCAATGTAGCTTTCTAGAGACATGACTTGACCACAGGTGTCGTAGAGTTCGGTTCGGAAGAAGGGAGTACCATGTTGGTAGTCCTCGGGCGTGGTGGCGCTCGAGTTGGACCCGTCCATCTTGCCGCAGAGGGACATGAACTCGTCCTTGGTTATGTCGCTGGTGCAGCAGAGTGCTGAGGCGCTGTGCGTGGCATTGGCGGGCGTGAATGGCTTGGTGCATTTGGCTGCCAGTTCGGGCCGGAGCAAGATGTCGGTCGTGGTGTGCAAGTCGCAAATGTCGTGGCGGCATACGAGACCCAGGTCTTTGGTGAAGGACACGTCGCACTCCAGGATCCCGGCTCCCATTCGGGCACCGGCCAAGGTTGACTCGACTGTTTCTTCGGGGATCTGTAGAGTACCGCCGCCGCGGTGGCCGATGCTCCATGCGGTGATTTCGCCGGGCGTGTTCTGGCATGACTCGAGCTTGGACTTGAGGGGGCCCTCGGTCATGTTGTGGATGAGGTAGTATGGTCGAGGACCCACGGAGACCAAGTAGTCCTGAGGTGATGCCTTGGGAGTGTGCTTCTCACCACGAGGCTGGAATGGGAATGCGGCAGCAAGGTCTGCGGCCAGGGCCGTCAAGGCCAAATGGCCGATTGTTGCGCGCATGGTGGTGAGGCGGACCGTCCTGGATCACGGAGAGCTGAGGCGGGACGCTGATGGCTTACCCTGCTGGCTGAGCTACAAGGATTTGTGACGACAGGATAGACAGAGAGAAGTTCGGGCCTGATGAGGATGGGAACCTGGTCATTTTGTACTTAAGACACCAGACCTCACAGCTTCCCGCTTCCCGGAAGTCGACCGCATCGTCCGGCATGCATGCAGGCAAGCTGCGGCTTATCCCAGTCCCACGTGGACGAATTGAGAAGCTACAAAGTGCTCGGATCAGAGCAAAGAGTGGGAGTTGGGGAGCTCTAGCTCTACAGAGCTATCACTACCAACCTTGATGGGCACTTGGACTAGTAGCAGCGGCCATCCCGCCGTTCCTGCAAGAGCTTTCCGTTCATAGCTGGAGTTCTCTTATCCGACAAATAAAATTTGATAGCCAGCAACGTGGGAGGCATGTACCTGCGTTTAGAGGAGGTGTTAGCAAGGAACGGGTCCAGCTATACCAGCTATGAGCTGGTGAACCGGTCTGGAGCAACCCCAAAGCTTCGTTAGGCTGGAGCGAGAGAGAGATCGAAAGAGGGACAAGCTCATGGATTCCCCGCTGTGACAGCCTGAGTGGCGGAAGGATTCCTTGGGGACGCTGATCGAGCTTTGCGGCCAGCTCTGCATCGGAGCTGCCCACCACAGTCCAATGATGGCCCCAGTTTTTCTCCGTAGTGCGAGGCTTGAACGCAGTAGTGTTTGTATATAGCTCCTCGGCTGTACAAGGTGTGGGTGTGGGAGAGCGGTGCCCGTGATCGGTGGTGTCACCTTGCAGTGCCAGCACCCGTTTCTCAAGTTTCTTTCTGGCTTTGTACAATTAATACACTCGCATGCAATCAATGATGTTGGTAATTGATGCCGACAAGCCGATCGGAGTCGGGTTCAGGTTCTCGATGCTTTCAAAGGACGGCTCCCAGTGTCCGCCCGACGGGATGTCAATGCGAATGCCCCAGTTCTGCCTGGCTCGAGAAGCTCGAATGACAATTCTGTCTGACAAACCTATTTTCTGTAAAAACGCACGCTGAATGAGCTCTTTTACCGCCAAGTTTCAGGCGTCCAGTGTTGTCAGACCATGGCCTTCCTTCCAGAAACCCAGGTACCAAGTACTGCCACAAGGCTCAAACTCTTCCATTGATGCCAGTGTCTCCAGCCCTGTTCCAAGCTCGAATCCCATTCTGATAGACATCATAACATCACTCTCCTGTCATGACCTGTGATCTACCATGTCGCTATCACTGACCTATGCACACACGAACACAGAAACACTCCGGGCCGATATTTTTGAAGTTTGGTTTCCACACTGACGCTGTCCTAGTAGTGCCAGTGAGCGGCATTCACCAAGGCTCATCTTCAGCCTTTCCGCATCACTAGTATACACAAACTTGAACAAGGTACAGTACGAAAATCTCTCACACAAGAAGGTCCTCACGCAAGTCTCCACGGCTTGCTCCATCTGGCGCCGCTGTTATAGCAGTCGGTCTATATCCACTTCAATAGTGCGTACTTGGTGTTCAGCCAACCGTGGCAGGGGATCCAGCCACGGGCTTATCTGGGTCCGGAACCACAACATTGGCAGGGTGTGATATGTAGGTAGGGTACAGTGGTACTGAAGATGTCACACCTCAACCCGAGACTGCGGTTCTTGCGGAATATACTCTCGGACCACGCCGAATGGAAACCCTCGCCTGCATCGGCGAAGACGCCGGCCGTTGGGTCACTTTGGGCATATTTTTACTACCATCATCAAGGACAGTGCTTCTCATGCAGTAGTATACTTGCGGGTCAGGACGTTTGCTTGTGCTATCGGCATAGATGGAGGAACGTGCCGTGATGTCGAGTATCTGTGTCGCCTTGATCGAAAGTGAACTCAGCCATCGTGTCGTGCGACTACTACCATGCGTAATTAGCAAAATTCTTGCTTGTTTGTTTGTTTGTACTGTGGTGTGTATTTTCAAATTCTATTATTAATCTACACTGCTTGCGAAAATTCACTCCAAACGTGTTAAATCCCCTGCAGAACCGGGCGACAAGCGCACGTCGACTTGCTGGAACCACCCATGTTTTTCGTGCAAAAAGAGAAAACAACCTTCGGCTCGTTCACAAAGAGCCAGATGCTAGAAACCCTCCCATTTGGATGCTCGTTTAAACAGTGGTGGTTTTTTCTTGGGCAATCTCGTCGGGCGACGACGATGCCGGGTAGGGCGCAACGTACGAGTCCCTGCGGTGGCCGGCAGTCTCGGGGTCGTAGTTCTTGGTGCCGGGAACCTCGCCAGCCAGCTCCTCAAGAGTCTTGCGCTTGGTCTCGGGAATCAACAGCGTAGTAAAGACACCGCACAACATGAACAGAGCAAAAATCTCCATGACGTGGTTGAGCCATGGCGACGGGTTGTCCTTGGTCGGGTGACCGCGGGTACGCAAGGGACCGAACACACACTGGGCGATGATGGCGCCAACCTTGCCAGAGGCGGCAGAGATGCCGTGCGAGGTCGATCGGTAGCGGGTGGGGAAGCACTCGCCGGGAACGATAAAGGTGGTGGCGTTGGGGCCGAAGTTGAAGAAGAACTGCGCCAGGACGTACAGGGCCAAAAGACCGCCCTCGTGCAGCTTGTGGTACGCGAAACCGATAATAACAAAGATGATGGTCAAGAGGATGAAGCCCATCAGCTGGATAGGCTTGCGGCCGATAGTGTCGACAGTGGCGACCGTAACCCAGTAGCCTGGAATGGCGCCGGCGCAGACAATGATCAAGTTACCAATGGCGGTGTTGCGGAAGATCTTGTACACGTTGTTACCGGATGCGTAACCGATGGCACTGAGAATGATCGAGTTGTTGAGACCGAGACCGTAGAAAGCGACATCGAGGAAGAACCACGATCCTGCCGTTCCAATGAGGACTTTGCCGTGCTTCCATTGGCCGTAGTGGCGCCAGAAGTCGCGCCACGAAGCCTTGGGAGGGTCGAGGCGGGCACGAGAATCTTGCAGGACGGCGGCTCGGTTGACTTCGTCGGGGTGGCCCTCGCGCTTGCCCATCTTGTACGCCTTGACGTCTTCGACGGCCTTCTCGGAGTCACGCGCCACATCGAAGGTGTATCGAGGGGTTTCGGGAATGGTGAGACGGAAGTACAGGGCAATGCAGCCGGGGACGGCACCGAAACCGATGATGACACGCCACATCTTGTCGACGGCGAGCAGGCAGACACCGTCGCACCTGTCGACCGTCTTGGCAGTGATGAGAGACTCCTTGAAGCCAGTGGTGACGATCAAGGCAATGATGGCAGCACAGAACTGGCCGATACCCTGCATGGCGAACACAGAACCCATCATGGCACCTCTCCATTTGGTAGTAGCGAATCTGAAAGTACACTGTTAGAGCTTGCCAATCTCACCAAGAGACAAAGAAACTTACTCAGAAGTGATGATCGAAGACAGCGGGTAGTCACCACCGATACCGATACCCATCATGACACGCCAGAAGATAATGAGACCCACGACCGAGATGGCGGCAGAGTCGGACGAGAGAGCTTGGGCGAGGGTGGCCATAATGATGACAATCAATTCCAGACCATACATCCGTTTCCGTCCGACCATATCCGCAGCCCAGCCAAAGCCGACTTGACCGAGGACGGTACCACCGGAGGTTGCGACCTTGATGGCTGTATCCGAGTTGGAGGGGATTTTGCCAGGGTTCTTGGGAGCATTTTGCCAGTAAACAACACCCAACATGGCGGTGACCAAGTTGATGGCGAAGATATCGTAGGCATCAGTGAAGAAACCAATACCGGCGACAACGATGGCGCGGACATGGTACCAGCCAAAGGGAGCCTTGTCGATTTCGGCGAGAGCAAGTCGTCGTCGCTCGTTGGGGTCTTGAATATGGGCGAAGTCGTTATGGAAGTTGTGGAAGGCAGCATTGCCGCCCGCTGTCTTGGTGGCCATGGTGGGCAAGCGACTGGATGAGAAGCGTGCGCAGGGTCTGCCCAAGAAAAGTCGTCCAAGGACCAAGAATAGTCAAGAGTTGCTTGTTTGCTACAAGAGACGCTTGCGAAGAGACGGTTTCTCAAGACCCAGCACGGCAGACCTGTCCTACATATACCTTTGGCCTGGGGTTGAACCTGGCTGCCATTTTTCTTCTGTCGGCGAGTCCAAGGGTGGACCCGTCATGCACCTGGCGGGTGGGTTTGGACGAGGCGACTCGATGCAAGTCGACGAGATTTCGCCCACGCCGGTCAGGGTTCAGAGAATTCACATTGCTTTGAGTAAGGGCAACGCATGGTCCATGGCCAATTAGGCGTCCGGCCACAGGCACGCAGTGTGCAACCTAGAAGAAGGGGGCCGCAACAGGGGACCCGGCTCCGAACGATGGTGCGGTCCTCCATGCCTGTTGGCTCAAAATTTCATCGCTCGAATCTCTCGGCCCTCATCATCTCACCACTTGTTGTCGCTGGGCCCATCGCTTGCAGGTGCCACTTTGTTCGAGAAGCCTGCAACAGGGTGGGCTGAAAGACGGGTGTGCTGTATCTTGGATGCTACCCGCTACTAGCAGGGTGCTTGCGCATGAGAGCCTCGATGTAGCCCCAGCTCATCCACAGTGATGTTACCCTTGGGGTGAACCATACTGCAAACAGTGCCGATATGGCGCTGGTCCGGTGTCAGTGAAGGCTGAAGAGGTTGCGAGGTTGCCCTGGACTAATTCCCAGCGACGAACCAGAAGCGTCCCTGAGACAACGTGCCCTGCCTGACAGATTCGCCCGCTGACAGCTAAGGCGTTATCCCCGATGGACATTTGCAGGGATCGTAAGCGCACAATTCTCGATCCATCAATGATGCTATTCGGTCGACTTCCAAGACTGAGTGGCAGCGGAAAGTGAAGATCAATGATGGGAGAAGTCTTGAGGGATCAACCACACTATCGTCACCGCGAGCTGTGCGATTTGTGGTGCCGTGGAAAATTGGGTATGACAGACACGAAGCGAAAACCATGATACTGGAGGATTCAAGGGAACGTGCAATTCGGGGCAGACGTGTTGATAGTGATACGCGATGCCACTATTAGCCAGCGACTAGCCTGATATAGCTTTAGCCTGCTCTAGTGCGTTGCTGTGACCCAACCAACCCTGGCACGTGCTAGGACGACTTGGGGCTCCAAGTTCACCCACGTTTTTGCTTGATTGGCTGTGAACCAACGTCCTTCTCTTCCTGCCAAGCGAAAGCTGCCTAAAAAAGGTACTAGGTATCAATGCTGCCACTCACGACGCCAGTACTGGGGTTGAACAGCACTTCAGTAGTACCTACACGGGGCTCACTGCACGGCGACTACGAGAACCTGGAGTCTTCCCTCCTAGGGACGTAGACTAGCAGTGATGGGGCTGTCGTCCCATCTGCTGCGTGGCCAATCTACAGACTGTAGAGTCGCATGCTGTTGTCGTCCCAAACTGGGTGCATGATCGCGAGATGAGGAAACTCCTTCAGACGAATGAGACGTCTCTACATTGAACACGAGGATGGAAAGAATGCTATAAAAAAGCCCGTTAGCAACCGCTACACACTACCAAACACCTGATTTTTTAAGTTGTTACAGCAGCCGAACTTCAGGCGAGTTGCAACGAACTCGAAACGTTTGAATCAAGCTCCACCACTCGGTACCCGGTACGCGAGGCCGGATTGTCCTGTTGTCAGTGACTAATAAGTCTCTTGTGGCAGGCTGAAAAGCCTAAGCGAACGAACCCTGGCCAGATGCTAAAAAGCTAAGTCAAGAGGAGAAGCCGGGATATTGGGAAGCCGGGATCTACCATGTCAAGTGTGCCAGTGACGGATCGTGCATTTTACTCTCGGAGTGGGCTGCAGCCAGATCCAGGCGACAGAAGATCTTCTCCTTCTGCTGAGCCTGGTCTTACCGCTCAGCTGTCAGAGGCCAGAGATCACGCACCGTACAGTATATCACGTTCCTTCTCGGTCACTCATGCGGATGAGGATTTTCCATATCGGGATCCCTGGTCCAGGTCCAGGTCCCACAGATCTTTCTAACGTGACCGTTATGATGTTATGATCGTCTCATCCCTGCATCACACATCCTGATGTCCACCACTGCACATTGCGATCTGGAAGCTGCAAGGACACAGCTGCGATATGTCTTGCTCCTCGGCTTACGTCGTTCTCGCTACAGACTGCCCTCCCTTGTTGAGATCAGCCATGTTGGACCATGGAGACAGAAAGTCACAATGCTAACAGAGACATCACGTTTTGGCCTAATGAATCATCATCAAACATTTGACCTCATTGCAGCGACAAGGGGCACTGCGATAAGCGATTGATCTCTTCGCAATCTTTGTCGAACTGAAGCTCACATTACGATGACACAAAATGGGAAAAGGAGTCCCTTATTTCGCCGCAACATTGCCATCCACATACATCACCTACAACGTAGATTGGTATCTGAACCAGTGAGACCAGACCCGCACGTCGTTGCCATTCGAATGTCACTCAGCCGATATCCTGCAGGATTCTCTCTCTTCGAGAATACCACATGAACCCACTTCCCCATCAAGACTACCGTACTCAACGCTGGCAACCCATTACTGGAAGCGCGCGGCAACAATTATGGTCACGAAGTGACACTGCCCAAAGTACCTGGCCTTTGAATCTCGGACTTCCAGAGCCAACGCTGAAAAGTCAAGATTTCACACCATTCTAGACAATACAGCCGAAAGTCGAGGCACGACGGGATCAATCGTCCGTACTGGACCACGCTGCGTGGCCTTCCAAGCTCCCATCAACGCAACTTTGAGCAGTGTACGGAATTTCCTGCACAGTACCGAGTCCTAGGGATACTGAGTATTGCGAGATAAGGGCCCGGGTGCCATAGACGTCCCCACAGCAGCACACCACGTCGAAGAAAAAGTGAGAATCGAGACCTGGGCCCTCTCACATGGTGGACACTACTCTTAGACTCCAGCGGTTCCACTCGCTCGCTCGCTCGTCAGGTTGGTTCTGGTCCGTTGCGAGACCGAGACCGAGACCGAGACCCGAGTTCTGGAAGAACCCGGCTAGCCATGCCTCGCTTACCTCGTATGCTCCACGGGGGGATGGATGGCTCTCGTGCTCTAACTGTAACATACTATAGATTGTTTGGCTAGTAGGTAGTGGGGACTGCTAGTAGTAGGCTCACCACTACCGTGGATACAGGGTACTGTAGGTACCCCTACCCTACCCACGACGTACGACAAAGGCGAACGAACAAAAGACAGAAAAAAGGAACCAAAAACAGGAACATGAACAGCCGCTGGACCTCTGCTATGCGTACATTTGAAATAGGTTGAATACGACCAATAAAAAAAGGCAAGGCTACCTAGACGAACATTTTAGGGCTGATACTGCACTGTGCTGTATATTGTATGCTACGGTGACCCGGTCCCCATCTATGTCCCCGTTTCCATGTACAACAACTAGTACATGTAACCATCCAAGGACATGGACAAAATGTTCAACTTCGTACCCATTCTTTTTGCTATGCAGATCCACCTGAGGCTCACATGGTTCATCCCGTACCCCCGCCTCTCCTGGGATGCAGTCTACAATCTAGAGACACCTACAGTACACACCTGGTAGTTACACACGGACATTGATTTCCATCAAGAATTTTCATGCCTCATAACCTAGATACTCATAGGAAGAGACGACAGGTACGTGCGTTAGGTCACTTAGGTCTGTACTTAAGGCAAAAATGGATCAGATCACACATTGGTCAATGGTTGGTACTGTACCGAAAGAACGGAATTCAACGGAACTCCAATTCCAACATCAACACACCACTACCGCATTGCCCTGTGATGAATACAAGTACAGATTTTGGCCACCGAGTCCTTGGCTCTGCATGGCACGAGCACGGAAATGTTATCCCCCACCCAAGCCAGAAGGAATCGCTCACCACTGCAATCTACGGTCCCTTTTCGGCTTTCGCTTGGACTTGAGCCTTAACTTTTCCAAGCACATCAAACTCCCAGTCCTCCTTGATCAGATCCGCGGCCTTCTCGGCAAGCATATAGACACTACTAACAATATTCCCCGAGACATTGTTTGGGAAAACACTAGCATCGACGACGCGCAGTTTTTTCACGCCACCAAGGACACGCAGTCTCGAGTCAACGGTATCGCCCATGGCGCAGCTGCCACAGCTATGATACTCGCCTAGACAAAATTCACGCACGGCGGCGCGTCGGGCGTCGACGGTATCCAGGTGTGGGAAATCTTTTCTGCTCGGCTGGATCCGAGGACCGAGTTTCCCTTGGAGGGCAGGTGCACGTGCGAGCGATTCGATGAACTTGATGCCCGCGGCCAGAACGGCCACGTCGGCTTCATGCGATAGGTAACCCGGGTCAACTTCAGGGTAGGCGGTTGGATCGGCGCTTCGGATATGAACGTGGCCGCGGGACACGGGGTACTGCACACAGACAGCGAGTGTAATTCCATCCGGAGTGGCGCCCGATGTGTCTGATGGTGGAGGCCACAGCTTACTTTGGTCTTGCACGCCGTGCACCATATCGGCTGTCGCCGCGATGAAGACGAATTGTAAATTTGCAGAATGCGGGTCGCGGAGGTGTGCGATCACTTTGTCGAGTTGCTTCTTCTGGAACGCCGGGGTGGATGGATCTTCTTGGGTTTTCCTGGTGGACGCCACAATCTCGTCGAGCTCCCCTGGTTCGAGGAACAGCGAGCATGGGAAGAATCCTTGTACGGATTGGATTGATGTCAGAGGCCCGCCTTGCATTTCTGCCAGTGCTTTCTGGGCCTCGGCCATGACTTCAGGCTTGTAGATTGAGTCGCCTGACATTTGGTCTGGCGCCAGCTGGTATACAATCGCACTGACTACATGGTCTTGATAGTTGGTGCCGACGCTGGGCAGCTCGACGAGACATTCGATCCCGGCGGCCTCTAGCACTTTGGGGTCCCCGATTCCCGACAGTTCGAGGATTTGAGGCGTGTTGATGGCGCCGCCGGCGACAATGACTTCGCGATTCGCTCTGATCGTGTGCTTGTGGCCATTGTGGATGAACTCGACTCCTGTTGCTGTCTTGTTCTCATCCAGTATAACTCGAGAAACGAGTGATTCGGTGATGACCTTCAGATTCGGCCGGTGTTGGTTGGCTTGGAAATACCCACGGGCTGCGTAGCTGCGTTTGCCCTTGTCCGCACCGGTCCGCACCACGGTTCCAAGTGTATTGTAGAAGCCTATGTGGTCGCCGCTCCAAGGGTCGATGGGTTTCTTGTCGAAGCCGGTGGCTTGGTCTGCGGCTTTGACGATGTCGTCCTCGAGTGGGAGGCGGAAGTCGTTGAAACTGGTGCGAACGGGGCCACTGGTGCCGTGATTGTCGCCGACGAATGGCATGCATGTACGATCGATGACTTGCTCGTCGATCGGCTCCAGGCTCTGGTGCTTGCGCATGTACTCCTTCAGTTTGGCTGACGACCAGGCGGGGTCGTTGGCGAGTTCGGCCCAGTCATCGTAGTCATGATCCGAACCACGCACGTACCTTGGGAAACGTGTTACCGTCGGCACAGAAGTAGCGGGGGTATAAGCGCATCGACTTACATCATGTAGTTGATGGCACTGCTTCCACCTAGGGCCCGTCCGCGAGGGACATGATGGATTTTGCTTTTGTTTCCCACCTGCGTGGCATGTTTAGTCGCCGAGCATATAACGGCCGTTGTCGATACTGTACCTGGGGAACTGTATCAAACGTCCAGTCATACTCTTTGTTGCCCAGCATCTGGAGAAACAAGGCAGGGGTGTCGACGAGAGCATCTCCCAGTCGGTTCTTCCCAGCTTCAATGACCCCAACAGTGACTTCAGGATTCTCCGTTAGGCGCGCAGCAACAGTCAATCCCGCTGTGCCTCCACCACAGATGATGTAGTCGTAGCTCTGCTGCTGAACGAACTCTTCCACGGAAACATGGCCTGATTTTCCAGAACCATCAGTCCCATTAACCCCGTCCAGGCCAGTCACGCCGTTAGTGTTAGTCATATCTGAGCAAGGCAGAATATCTTGAGCTGTTGTAAGGATGAAATTAAGAGGAGAGACGGGGCCCAGAAAGTGACGGGTTTGGAGGAGAAGTAGAAGTACATATTGGCTGATATAGATAATTCATCCGTGTAAAGTCCATTCTAGCCCCGTATTCATGCCTTGGAAGACCTCAGCTCCCGTGGAGGCCTCCTCGCCAATGTGCTGACGACTGCCATCAGTGTCTGTTCCAATAAGTCCGTTGAACTGGGGTCAAACTCTGTCCTCGTACACTAGCATTGCAGCGGTGTCCAGGAGACGAGCCTGCGATGGGGAGGTATCCTAGCGTAGATGCAGTACGAATGAAATGTCCTACATGTCAGGCGAACCGGCACTCTGGGATCTTGGTTGGCATTCCCCATCAAAGCATCAGGCATGCCTGCCTATGTCCGAGGGCTGATTGTTAGTTCCGTGGCCCAGGAAATGTCCCTGACTTTCGAGCGGGGTCAAGTGGTAAGGGTAGCTCTCCCGAGAGAGAGGACAGTCAAATATGGTATATGGTGTTTCTGTAGTAGGACTAGTACCTGTGCATCAGCACCTCGGCCAAGCCTTGAGCGGAGATTTATTAGCTGAACTTGAAGTATATGGCAGGATGTCAGCGTCGCCATCCCCGGGGCGAAGGCGGGGCAAAGTGTCTCTCGTGTCAGGCCGTCTAGCCTTAGCCGGGGAGCCAGGTGCCTGGGGTTTTTGCTCCATGGAGTCGAGGAGAATCCCTGGCAAAAATGTAGAAAGGCCATAGGATTGCAGTGGTACTATGTACTGCTCAAGGAACAGGACTCGGGTGCCGACAGTGGTGGTCAAGTTTGGTGCTGAGTGCGATGATGTTGCCTTGCCGTCTGGTGTGAGCTCGGCGAGTGATTGCGTGCCCGGGTGACCTTCCTACTCGGCCACAATATCAAATTCGGCGCAGCACGAGCAGTTGAGTGGCATTTACAACAACGACACTGACACGCCGCCGCCAACTTGCCCACCGTGATCCGAGGACTGACTGGCATCGCGCCCTGGTGCTTGCAAGAATTGCCGCATGTGCTTCTGACCACGGAATCGGTGACTGGTCTTTCTGGTTTCAATTCGCACTCCTCGACCTGGTAACGCCACTCCTTCTTGCGGTGGAGAAAACGCCCTTAGGTGACGGTCGGTAGGACACTGTCCGTCCCGGTCAGCGGTCTCGGTGCACACGACAATGACTGAGAAGGCTGTCATCCGGCTGCCTCCCTATCTCCGGCCTGATCGTGAAATCCATGTGGTCATCTCTGTCCTTTCTGGTCGGCACAATGCCCAAGGCTACTACGATGAGACTCTCAAGCCCTTACTCGACAGCCACGGCATCACCTACAGTACTCACACGACAACCTCTACGGGGTCCATCATTAATCTCACCGAAAAGTTATTCCTCATCAATGCAACGCAGGGCGTGAAACAGACGATCATTCTTCTGTCGGGGGATGGTGGCGTGGTTGATATAGTCAACACGCTCACAGGCAACCTGGATCGACGGCATGATGACATGCGGCCAGCCGCGGTTTTCTTCAAGCCAGTCCTGGTATTGATACCAATGGGCACGGCCAATGCACTGGCCTGGAGCTGTAAGGTGGCCAATGAACCTCTAAAATACCTGATGGATGGGACCCCTCGATCCCTACCATCCTTTCGAGCCCAGTTTAGCCCTGGCGCGAAATTTGTTGTCAATGAGGGCAAAGACCGCGAAGGGCTGGCGGACTCGGACGAATATGAGACCACCATGTACGGCGCTGTGGTCTTCAGCTGGGGACTGCACGCAAGTCTGGTTGCCATGAGTGACACTACCGAGTACCGCAAGCACGGGGTGGATCGTTTCAAAATGGCAGCCGGGCAGCTGTTGGCGGACGCTCATCAATACAGAGGCAAAGTTAAATGGCGGAAAGGAGACGATGACTGGCGGGACCTTCCTGGCGACGAACACTCGTATGTGCTAGCCACTCTGGTGTCAAATCTCGAAGAGAAGTTCCAAATCTCCCCCGCCACGCAACCAGTGGATGGTACTTTACGGCTTGTTTCGATTGGCGCCGAAGCTGCCGACGAGATAATGCGACTTTTGGGGCTGGCATATCAGGGTGGAAAACATGTGGCAGACCCAAAGGTCACTTATGAGGATATCGATGGTCTTAGAATCGAGTTCGATGAAGAGGACGAACAGTGGAGGATGGTTTGCATTGACGGTAAGATTGTCGCCATTGCCAAGGGGGGATGGGTTGAGGTTACTAGAATTCCGGGGACAGGGATGGATGCGAGAAGGGTGGTTGAAGTAGTGTGCTAGCCAGCAGTGCTGGTGGGTGGTTCTCAGGCTGACCGCTCAACTGCCGATATGGTACGTATGGCGGTATGTGGGTGATTGCTCACAGCACAAGAGGACAGCATACAAACCTAGGTATGGAATGATATCAAACAGCCATAAGAGATGGGGAGCAAGACAACGGTCCGATGATACCAGAGGGCGTTATTGGTCTCAAGAGCGACATGATTGACGACAGTTCGAACCTGTTCAGTGTTCTGTGGACGTGCAAATTCTTGTAATATCTCATCCTACAGTCCCGAGTGACAGACAACACAGTTACTAGCAACTGAGCTGCAGTGTCCAATCCAAGAACCACTTCAAGGAGACACTGGCAGGGAGCACAAGGCTGAGCACGTGATGTCAGGTGACAATCTACTTCCAAATATGGACTAGCATTGCTCCTTTGCTGACGTGCCGGAACTTGGACAATTGACGTTGGGCCTCGCCGGCGCTGATTCAGGCACAACTCAATTCAACTTGAAGTGGACTTCTGCCAGCAAGATAGATCACTGTTTCCTACTACCACAAAGTGTAGTGCAGTGTCCCTTTCATACGATTTCCTTCCACGCCGAACCTCACGCAGTCATCTATGCGCAAGCCTTTGCGCACTCTGCAGCAGTTATCTCCGCCCAGCAAGGCCGCAATGATCTACGGCGCATCCAGTTGAATTCCAATTGCGAAAAGACCAATCACCCTTGGTCCAGTCCAAGCTGCTTTGAGCACCCACTCGTACCTTATCGTCTCTTGTTTCCGCGACAAACAGTAACTGTCCAGTCGTGTGATTTGAGCAGACAGGTACCTTAGTTACCTCAGTTACACAAGGGTAAAGGGGTCGCGGAGCAGACGAGGTTCACGTCGCATCACCTTGATCATCATCATCACCACCAACCCTCGCCATGGGGGCTGCAGGTAAGCTCAGTCCTATCGCCACTATCCCCATTGCCGATCTGGTCCTCTTTGGCGCGGCATGCAGTGGGCGGGTGGACGCAGCGCAGCACAGCACAACACTTGACTGACCGCTAACACCTGGTTACCGCAACAGGCCTCATTTTCTTCCTCATCTTCCTCGCACTCATCTTCTCCATCATCGGCTGGGTAATCTATACACAAGTCTATTCTCAAAGACAAGGCTTACCCGCGCCATCCCTCCGATCCTGGAAGACATACGTCCCATTCGTCAAGACGCACGGATCCTCCAACTATCCTGCTCCGCGCCACGCATCACCGCTCGAATGGATCCGCGACCAGTTCTCCCGCTTGACCAACCGACGCACTGCGCGCGGCGCATACGAGGAGGCCGGCGGAGACACTGGCTATGGCGGCGGACGGAGGGGCCGAGGAGGTGTCGAAGACGATGCCTGGGATACCCGGGTCGGTGGCGACGATCCATATGCATCAGGACCAGGCGGATACGGCGGCTATGAAGAGCAAGAGCTTGGGTTGGCATCAACGCCGGGCCTTCACCATGGCGGCTCCGGTGGAGACTACCTGGGCACAGCAGGGCGCGGAGAGTACGGCTATGAGGAAGCAGCCGACAACAATCGACGAGGCCGGTCCCGGGATCAACTTGACCAGGATCCTTTCGGTGATCAGAATGAAGAGCCTAGCTTGAGGAGTGTCAGCCCGCGACCCGAGACCGATTTGCCCAAAGGTCACACGAAGGGTAGTCAGAGTCTTGATACCCAGGGCAGCGGAGATGGGGGCTCCAGTCCGACAAGTACGAGAAAGAGTGTGTTCCGGGAAGGAATCTAATAATTTGCGACGAATGACTGAGGTTATGGCATGAACTTGGAGCAAACCACAAACAAACGCCCTTGGGCACAATGTTCTATGGTTCATTTTTTTCCTTTCGAGGACAGAAAACAGATCGCAGACGACTGCAGTGGGAAAAAGAGAGGCCCGCACGCGAGGCTGAGGCGCCGCAGATTTGCGAACTGAACTGATTTGACTTGATCATGATGGTGGCAAATACGTCCCTACTGCATGTCTTACAACCCCAGGATACTAGTACTCCGGTTTCCTCTCGTGGTATTCTCGATTTCTCCTGCCCCGTCTCCGGGGATCCATCTGACTGTGCGAGACCGTCGGTCAGTGAGTGTGTCACCCTCAGTCTGGGGCTGGTATTCCTGTCAGCATGTGTGCTTCTGTCAGCATGTGTGCTTCTGTCATGGCTTAACAGACAAAGTATGCGCCTGTTGTCAGGCGAGGTGCTGTTTGGGAACCTGCTCGGCGGACGAAATCGCATCCTCTTCGATGCGGACTGCAACGGCCGCCTTGTGTCTGGGCCGTCCGAGCACACGGCCATCCATTTCTTCGTTTCGGATTCTTTTTCATACCTTACACCATGCCTTGGGAAGATTCACGCTCCCAAAATGGGACTTCTCAATTGGAGTCGTCAAACGGAAAAACTTCAGGTACACACTACGGGAAATGGAAATGTCAATGAATGGACTCGTGAACGAAGCTGAATTTCTATTCTCTTTTTTTTCGTCGAACGTGTGCGTAATCTCCGTTGCTTCTACACGTGGATGCTGCATTTAATTATATTGCGCAGCCATGTCAATCAGTCGTTTTACATGAGGTCGAGTTTGTTTGTAACATCTACAAGTCGACTACTTTGGGCTTATTCGCCAGCTTATCCGTAGTTCGGTAGGTCAAGGCACCGTTGACCATGAAGCCGCCTTGCCCGGCGCCACCCCAGATCCTCGTCCAGAGGAGGCCTCTGACATCCGCAACGAGCGACTTGAAAGCCATAGCCCAGAGCTGGAAATCGACGAGTTCGGAGAGAAGCAGGCGGTGGCTTGTGGTGGTGCCGGCGGGTTTGCTGTATGCGTAGGCCAGGTACTCCTCCCAGGCCTTCTGGCTCTCGTCCCACCAGACGGACTCGATGCCGTAGCCCGAGTGGACATGGCCAAAAGCATGCAAGGTCGGCTTGACGCGCCAGACCTCGCGCAGCTCGAACTCGTCGCCCATGCCGCCGTTCTGCGGGATATCCAAATGCCACTTGGGCGGGTTATGGGTGACCAGCACATCAACATCGTCGGGAATGGTGTTGCTCCAAGCGTCTTGCCCGCGGACGTATTGAAAGGCAAAGTCCTTGCCGCCGCACTTGGGGATCTGAGGCGCGCCGTAAACCTTGAGTTCTCGTCCGTCGGGAAATGGGAGAGTGACGCCCGAGTGTTCGAGGTAGTGGATCTTGCCCCAGTCGAGTTTGCGCCGGGTGTTTTTCGAGTCGTGGAAACTCCGGCTGCGCTCGTCAAAGTAGCTGTCGTGGTTGCCGGCCACTACGACGATATGTCGGAACCCGTCGCTCGAGCCGTACCATGGCTTCTGGAGCGTCTTGAGCCAGTCGATCGATTGTTGGATCGATGTCAGTGTGCCTGCGTTGGTGAGGTCGCCAGAGTGGATGAGTAGGTCGCCTTTTGGAATCGAAGTGGGTGGGATCTTGGAGTGCGTGTCAGAGAGGCACACGACGCGGATGGGCACTTTGTTCTTCGGTGGTACGTATGGTCGTCCACGCAGCCAGAGGATCAAATGGTGTAAAAGTGCGATGAGGGTGGTGAGAGGGTGGTAGATTAGCTGGTATATAAGGGATGGAGGGGCGAATGGGGACTTTGGCGGGGATATGAAGCCCATTTTCGGGAACCTAATGCTGAAATACAGCACAGGCCTGGTCCCGAGCTGGGATTCGTTTCCTTTCTGTGGTATATACTGTATAGCTGGTATTATGTTGTAGGATTTTTCTGTTCCTTCTCTTTCAATGGTGGCCGGTGTCACCGAACTGGGAGAATCTGCCGAAAAGATTGTGTGGGGTTCATGATCGCGAGATTCGACGTTGAGGACTTTTCAGGGGCTGTGGAAGTGTCCGACACGGAGCTCGAGCATGGTCTGAGATGATGGCAGACAGCAGGCTGTAGGTATGTACAACGTAAGCAACTTTTCTTTTCTCGATTGAGGTCAAGGCTTAATTAATAGAGAGTCAATTGACAGCTCCGAATTGCGATGGATGGGGAAGACGTGGCGCCAGCTTTAGGCTTGTTAAATAAGGCTGTGTGCCCGCGAGTTGCGCAGGTGGCGCCGCAGTGGCAGCGGGGGCCAAATTGCAGCGCAGGCACCGGGAGTGAAATTGTATACAACTACCACGACCAGGTACTCGTCACGGAACAGAAAACAGGATTGAACTGCGCCGGTATACAACCAGAGGAGTACTATGTACCTGGCTTTCCTGTACAATGATGTGTCTATGCATCGCACTGCTTCTCTGATCGCATTAGTCTCATCGCTGTCCATGTTCGTAGCAATAAATAAGGGAATACATACACCGTCTATCGTCACTATCATCACTGCCATGGCTGCTGGTACTGACCCATCATAATAAAGCCCATAATCCCATAATCCAACGCAAGGACCATCCGACTGCTCTCCCGCCCACCGTCATCAATCGATCCGATCGTTGAGTTCTATCACATCTGCTCATTCTGCGAGACTACCTGGTACTAGTAGGAGGACATACAAGCCACGGAGGCCCTTCACTCGTCGACTCTCGCTTTATCACCGCCGGGCGCTGGGTCCCTTTCACAGGAAAATCGCTGTCACTGGCACCCGCAGTTGATATCACCGTCAACTTGAACCGCCAACCAGTTGCTGTTACGACTACAACTGTACCTACTGACCGGCCCACGCGAATCCATCCACTGCCAGTGCGCTCTGCCGTCTCTTCCTCTGCTTCGACAGCATTTTCTCCGGTCTTCACATTCCCGTTTCGATTTCGTTTCCATTTCACTTCCAAGTACATACCTCGCAAACCATCAGTCGAACAGCGGGCACAGAGAACCGTCCGTTTGAACTTCTTTTTTCCTCGGCCAACCTTATCCGTCCGATCGTGTCGAATCTCGATGCCCTCGATCTAACCGCCGCCGCCCGTAGTTGGGTGCCTTGCTTCCTGGACGAATCGCATCATTGATCTCGCTGCACGCAGCACACAATTGTTCCACTCTGTCTAGTCGCCCAACACCGCCAGCCGCCAGCCGCCTGAGCGCAATCAATCTGTTCGTCCCGCAAGAGAGTGCAGTGTCAGATAAGAGATAGCAGTTGATACACTTTGATGTTGGGACAGGCCCAAATAATAACTGAAGGCGGTTCTAAACAACTTGACACAGTTTGCCCTGGTAGCGTCCCATAGTGGTCCGGTATCCGAAGCCACACTGTGAGCCAGGTCCTCAGCCAGATCCACAAAGCGCACTCCAACTACGGCGCCAGTTCCAGCTTCTTCAGTGACAGCGTCTAACGCAAGCAGAACCCAGACCAGACCAGAATCGGCCAGCTGCGGTCTGACTGCCCGCCCGAAGCCCACTGCATCCCTCATCCCATTCCAACACGTCAACTCCCCAACAACCTTCACAATTCCTCCCCGATCGGAAACTGGCCCTGCAAAGGGACCAGTTGCAGTCCACCCTAACAGATTGCTGGCCGCCAACGCCGCCGCCTTTGCCATGATGAACGGCACCGACCTCAAAAAGGCCGCCATCAACCAGGCCAAGAAGGTCGCGACCACGGCCGCCCTCGCAGCAAACAGCAACGGACAAAAGAAACGGCGGAAAGGCGACAACCTCAAGCCCATCATTACGACCGAGAACAACGCGTCTTCCAGTCTACAAGAAAGCCCCACGCAAGCCGAACCAGAGTAAGTCCTACAAAGTCTCCCGCCGTCGCACCTTGATCCTCCCACTGTAGACAGTTGCAGGTTTCTTTGCTTTCCCCGACTGATCGACATCGTCCCTCAGAAGCACGGATTCCCCTCTTCCGCACGGCAAAGTGCCATCCCAGAGTAACTCACAATTTGATTCTAGATCCTTGTCATCCTCCTCCTCAGAAGAAGACCCCGCCGAGACCACGGCCGATGAAGAAGATTCGGAAGACTACTGCAAGGGCGGATATCATCCCGTCCACGTTGGCGAAACATACAATAACGGCAGATACGTCGTCGTGCGGAAGCTAGGATGGGGCCATTTTTCCACGGTGTGGTTGTCGAGAGATACCACCACGGGCAAACACGTGGCTCTCAAGGTCGTCCGGTCGGCGGCGCATTACACAGAGACGGCGATTGACGAGATTAAACTACTAAACCGAGTCAACCAAGCCAACCCTAATCATCCTGGCCGCCGCTACGTGGTCAGTCTTCTCGACTCCTTTGAGCACAAAGGTCCCAATGGCGTCCACGTATGTATGGTCTTTGAAGTCTTGGGCGAGAACCTGTTGGGGTTGATCAAAAGATGGAATCATCGAGGGATCCCGATGCCTCTGGTCAAACAAATCACCAAGCAAGTGCTTCTCGGCTTGGATTACTTGCACCGCGAATGCGGCATCATTCATACCGATCTCAAACCGGAAAATGTCCTAATTGAAATTGGCGATGTCGAACAGATTGTCAAGGCATTTGTCAAGGATGAGAAAGAATCGACCAAGGACGACAACCGAAACGGTCGCCGGCGGAGACGGACTCTGATTACCGGCAGCCAGCCGTTACCCAGTCCTCTTAATGCCAGCTTTACCAATTTGGACAAGGTTGGCAACCACCAACCCAGTAGTTTGAACCAGATGATCAGTGACTCGACAGAGAACAAATCACCCGAAGGACTGTCGATGATCGAGCAGCTGAAATTAAAATCAAAGGAAAGCCAACAGAGCGAGGAACTGGACAAAACGAGAGAAGGCACAACCGACCCAATCGAGAAGGATTTGGCCGGAGTGACGCTCGACAGCAAGAAAAACAGTGACGTAGAGAAGGTGCTGAAAGCTGCACGAGGTGAAGAAGAGCCTCTGGGTGAGATCATCTCGGTCAAGATTGCAGACTTGGGAAATGCGTGCTGGGTGGGGCATCATTTCACAAACGACATCCAGACCCGGCAGTATCGGTCTCCGGAAGTGATTCTGGGTGCAAAGTGGGGAGCCAGTACGGACGTCTGGAGTATGGCATGCATGGTAAGTTTGAAATATGTTGGCATTTCGGTCCATAGCTAACACGTTTTGGTCACGCAGGTGTTTGAGCTCATTACTGGCGATTACCTGTTTGATCCACAGTCGGGTACCAAGTACGGCAAAGACGACGACCACATTGCGCAAATTATCGAGCTACTAGGACCATTTCCCAAGTCGTTATGTCTCTCCGGCAAGTGGTCGCAGGAGATCTTCAACCGGAAAGGCGAATTGAGGAATATTCATCGTCTGCGACACTGGGCTCTTCCGGATGTTCTGAGGGAAAAATACCATTTCTCCGTCGAGGAAGCGAGGAAAATTAGTGACTTCCTGCTACCCATGCTGGAGCTGCCGCCCGAAGCGCGTGCCAATGCAGGGGGGATGTCCAATGCCGATTTCTTAAAGGGCACAAAGGGGATGGATCATGTCAAGGTCGATGTTCCTGTGGGCAGCAAGGGTGAAGGAATTGAAGGCTGGGCTTCGGAAGTAAAGAAGCGGTGATCTTGTTCTGTCTCTGTTTGTTCGAACAACAAAGTTGATTAGGACACTGGCAGGACAGGAGACTCGAAGTGCTTGCTAGACTGACTTCGGGCGCGCTCACCCTTCTTTCCAACGCAATAAAGCCGTTTTATGATTTTTGAAAATACCACACCACGCCTTCTTTCTTTTTGGAGTGGAGTGGGAGCTTCAATTTTTCGTCTGAACTGAGACCAGGAACGAGAACAGGAACGAGAACCAGAACGATGGATCGGATTGGGCAGATACAGTTGTCTCGTACTGAATATATGACCTTGATCGAACTGATTGGGGAGACATGTCATGGCTGCAGTGCTTGGGAAGCTTTGGACTGATGTGATACTGACTGACGGGCAGGACAGAACAGAACAATTACGGGACATTCTTTTCTTCTTTCTTTTTTTTTTTGATAGAGACTCGTTGCGACTACCTACCGCGGGACTCGACTCGACTCGAAGAGGATTCAAATGCCAGTGTGTGAATGAGGGAGAAGCGTGGTTGAATCTGAATCTGAACATAACGATCACGATCGTCAATGGCAATGGCGTTCAACGGTGTCAAATGGAACGGAGCAAACTTGAAGTAATGGCTCCATGGTCGTTCAGTTGAAGAATGTAGATGCAGTAAAGCTCACAGTCAAGCAGATGGGAGACAGAGACGACTTTGACCCATGCAGTGGATGGTTCGTTATTGTTGGTATATATATATATACAGGTACTATTTGAACTGGTACATGAACACATATAGAATTTTGTCGATAGCCGTGGTTTTCAGGTGTCTGGGAAGGTATGTAAATATGGGCTTCTTCCTCGTTGATACAATACTGTACCTCTTGCGGACGAGAGAAGGAGTCGATAGCGGACAGGGTAGATACCTAGGGAAGTCTATCCTACTATCATGATTATTGTATCAACTGTGGGTACCCTCATATCAGCCTCTACAACATCACATTATACAGTACATTACAGGCTAGTGTTGTTTCCCCAGAGCACTGTTTCTGATGTCTCGTCCCTCCCATCAGCTCGGTAGGTTTGACGAGCGAAGTGATGAGCCTCGAAGAGGGAGGGAGTTGCGCCGCCTAGACCGTCTACTGCTGACGATGAATCCCGAATATTTCGCTCGGCAGTCCACGGCGTGGCGTGACTTTCAACTTGTCACCAAACACACCGACAACCTCAGATGATTGATTGACTGACCGACTGCTACTACAATTGCTAATGGCCTCTCCTGTTCCGCTGCAACTTTGCTTGAATCCGTCTAAGGCCCCTGTGTTATGTCGCTCTGAGTCTCAGATTCAGATTCAGCCTCATGCAGAGCTGCAGTGGTTGAACTTGTGAGACTAAAGCAGGAACTTGACTACTAACACGGCACGCGACCGCGGGAATTGATATACTTACTAGCTACACTACTAGTATCACGCTGTCCTCAAAGCCAGGTATACATTGTTTTAGCCAGAGAACCGGCCTGAAAAAAAAAGGAAACCAAAGTGTGGAATCTCATTTGGAGGTTGAATCACATCTTGCTTCCTTTCCCACCTCAGGCTCCGCTTAACAGTTGAACTGCCGGTGGTCTAGCAGAGCAGAGCAGATCAGTTTGACAAAAAGCAAAGGCAAGCAGGCAGTGCCAGTCCAGTCAGGTTCGGTGTCGGTTGGCTCAAGGCATTCGTTCAGCCAGCCCATGCGCTTACCACCAGGACATCAACAGCAGCGAGCAACAGTCCGTCGACAGCAACACCAATACCAACAACATTTTCTGTCCATCCTAACACTTTGCTCTGTCATTGTTGTTCTCCTGATTTCCATGACCAGCATCCCCCGTCGGATCTTGAGCAAAATGGCAACAGCCACAGCCAGTATCAGCACCACTACCACTTCAGCCTCAGGTCTAGCACCCGGGTCCTCTCGAGTTATCGTGGTTGGATCCGGCCTGGCAGGCCTCTCAGCAGCCTCAGAGCTCGCCTCACGCAATGTGCCAGTCTGTATTCTCGAACGACAAGCCAAACCGGGCGGCAACTCGATCAAAGCATCAAGCGGGATCAACGGCACCCCGACCCGGTTCCAACAGGCCGCGAAAGTCGACCAGGACTCCGCGGCCGTCTTTTACGACGACACGACGCGATCCGTCAGCGAAAAAGTTCTGACCTCCGATCCATCAATGACCGAACGACGCAAGAGCCTCATCTCGACATTGACAAACTCGTCCGCCGCGGCGATTGAGTGGTTGGTCGACGACAAGAAAATCGACCTGTCGCGCGTCGCCCAACTTGGCGGCCACACGTACCCCAGAACGCATCGGGGCGCCGGCACCACGCCCCCTGGCGCGAGTATCGTCTTGACTTTGCTGAAGCAGCTCAAAGAAAATCCCTTGGTTTCGCTGGAGACTGGGACGACTGTGACCAAAGTGATTAAAAACAGCACTACCAGTCAAGTGGTCGGTGTCGAGGTGCGGCGTGACGGCAATAACAGTTCTACATCAACAACGACTGGAACAGAGACGACTACTACCGGTAGCAGTGCCCAAGTTGAAACTGAAATTCTACAAGGTCCCGTCATCTTTGCATCGGGCGGTTTCGCCGGCGACTCAAAGGGCGTTCTGGCACAATACCGACCCGATCTGGCGGGGTATCCGTCCACTAACGAGGCTTTGCCTGGCAGTCAATCGCTGTTGACCGACGTGGGAGCGGCCCTGCTCGATATGGATCTCGTCCAACTTCATCCGACGGGATTCATTGATCCCCACGATCCCCTAAAAATCACAAAGTTCCTCGCCGCCGAGATGTTGAGAGGTGAAGGTGGAATTTTGCTCAGACGCGGCAAACGGTTCGTCGATGAGTTGCAGACGAGAAAGGTGGTGACGGAGGCCATTACTGCGGAGGATCCGACGAGTAGTACGAGTGAAACGAGTACCATTAGTACTGCGAGTACCAGTACCACGGCCACGGGCGATAATGATAGCAGCACTGCTATCAAACAATGGGACATTTCTCTGGTCTTAGACCAAGGCGCCTACGAGGCCGCCAAAGCACACGTCGATTTCTATCTCTGGAAAGGCCTGATGCGCAAAACCACCATTGCAGATCTGGATCCTGAACATACAGATGTTGCGTTGGAGTCGATTAGGCAATATGCTGGGGTGGTGAAAACCCACGGTCACGATGACCTTGGTCGATCTTCATACGGCAACTGGACCCTCTTCGACCCTGGCCCAAGTTCCACCGTGTATATCGGCAAAGTCACGCCCGTGGTACATTACACCATGGGCGGCGTGGTGTTTGACTCGGAGGCTCGGGTGTTGGATGGCACCAAAACCCCTATCGAGGGTCTCTGGGCCGCCGGCGAGATCACGGGCGGCGTGCATGGTGCAAATCGGCTGGGAGGGAGTAGTTTGTTGGAGTGTGTGGTTTTTGGAAGGATTGCTGGGAGGAATGCGGCTGAGTATTATTATCAAAGGAAACAAGAACAATCAAGCGGTGACTGAGGTGGTCAACTCGTTATATGCCACCCGTATGATATACATATTATGCTCACTACTACTACTGGCTGCCACTTGTAGTTCAGAATCATTACAAGTACTGTTCACCAGCTCAACTCACGTCAGCTGCACAGCACATGCTGCCCGTAGAACTTGAATTCACCTCCGAAATCTGCTTCATACTCTGCTAGAGGTGACTTACGTTGTGTGCGAGAATGAACTTAGCGGTACGTACCTACACAAGTACAAGACAGAGGCAAGAAGGCGACACAACACAACGAATACTAGTACAGATTGTCAAGCAAACGATTGAATTTAATTCTACCAGAATGTGCTCCTTGTTCCTTGGCATTGTTCACTGTTCACTGTTGACTGTCCCGTCCAGGACTACCTAGGTGGTAGGGTGAACTCAGTCTCAGCCAACCATGCCCGGTTACTAATCCTCACACGCCGACGATCAACCACATCGGCCACAATAGCAACGTAAAGCAAGGTCTGAAATAACAACTTTTCATGCCTTCATCGCCCCGCCAAGAGCACCACCACTGAAATTCTGGCCACCAGGTCTTCTCTGACCGGCTTGTCCACGAGCAAGGCCTTGCAAGTTGGGACCACGGCGACCACCACGGCCTCCACGTTGACCTTGGTCACGCTGGAAGGCATTGGCCATACCTGCGGTTCTAGTCTCGAGAACCTTTTCATTGGATTCAAGAATACCCATGGCTTTCTCGGAGATGGCCAGGACTTGGCTTTGGAGACGGGAGAGTTCGACGCCCTTGCGGAAGACGATGGCATCGTTGACCTGATCCAGGGCGGCGGCCAGCTCTTCGTGTGAGATCATCTTGGACACCACGGCGGCAATCTTCTTGGGCTCGAGATCGAAAAGACCGGACAAGGTGGTGATGGAAAGAGTGTCGTAGTACGGGGCGTAGGTGAACAAATATGTACGGAGACCCTCTTCTTGAATCTGTTCCGCCAGCATGGCTTTGATCTTGTCCTTGTCATTGCCCAAAAGGTCCCAGATGGCGATCTTGCTGATGAGTTCCTGACATCTCTTCCAGTCGCCCTGCGCAAGAGCCTTGGCCGCTTGCATCACATGGTCACGAGTGTTCTCCGGTGGGCCCTGGAAGACTTGTCGCTCCGTGTACTCGAGCATACGACGGAAGGTCTTGGAGATGACTCTCTTTCGAACATCGGGAGACGACCCGGTCTGAGCAAGGAGCGGAATCTCGAGCAACATGCTGCAGGTCAAGTAGACACACTCGAGCAATTCAAGGTTGATGTGCATGTGGAACGGAAGTTGTCGTTGCCGCTCAAGACGTTCCTGTTCCGGAGTCACGGTGGAATATCTCTGCATGATGACACCTTGGGCGAGGAGCTCCTTTTGCCGGCCAGAGCCGCAAATCTCTTGCAACACTCCTTGAGCCTCGTAGCAGAGTCCAGCTCTGAATGCGCAAAGGCCAATCTGCACGAGCGTCCGGTTGAACAAGATCTGGGTGCTGACGTCGAACGACGAAATGTTCTCGGTCAGATGGCTCATCAGTGCCAAATCGCGTGCTCGGTAGTAGTTGTCCTGGAGAGCAAGGAAATAGATCTCGCAAAGCATGGCGCGGGCCCGAATAATGCCTTCGCTGTGCTCAAAGAGGTAGGTACACATGCTCTGCACCAAGGATGCCACTTCGGTGTATTGGCCTCGCGGGGTAAGTTCCGAGTTGAGTGTCGACGGCAGAGCTGCCCATGTCTTCTCCTCAAGGATCTTCACAACCTGGACCGGCTTAAAGTAGATATGTTCGAGCCGTCGGATGACTGCTCTGTTGAGGTTCTCTTGTTGGTTTTCGGACTGTTCCAGCTTGTTGATCGTCTCGAGGTAGATGAGCGCGCGCACAATATCGGTGTACAATAGTTGTTCGTCACCCAGTCTCTCAATGTACTCGGCGGTGTGAGGATCGGTCTGTTGAAGGGATCTTGTCAATTCATCATCCAGCCTCTCCACAAGAGAAATGATGCTGCCTGGGACCTTGAAGATCTCGCCAGGCGTTGGGGTGGGCCCTTTCTCATCATCCTCCCATTCCTCTGCGTTCTCCGTGACAATGTATCCAGGCTCATCTTCAAGCGTCTGTAAGAGGGCAGACAGTTCCCGTTCCGCGGCTCGCCAGGATTCTTGAGTCATGTAGTGCTGTACCGAGGTTGTGGTAAGATCGAACCGAGTGGCGATGAGTGCCATCAGCACTCGGATGCGCTGGTATGGGGTATTGGCCACTTCCAAGAGTCGTTCCATGACTCGAATCTGTTCCGACCGGTCGGTGTTCTTCTTTCCTCGGGACTCAATGATGGCCCGCAGGTGCTTTAGAATACTCTCCGGTGTGTAGACAAGTGCCTTGCCGCCTCTGCCAACGGTCGCGAAGCCTTCTTCATCGATGGCCGCCTCAAGTGCGTCTAACCGTTGCTCCTTGTTTTTGCGAGTCTTCTGTTCGACCTCCGGGGCCTCTTCTTCGTCAGACTCCATGAACGCATCCTTGTCCTGGCGGTATTTCTCAATTTCGGTCACGTAGTCCTTGTTGTTCTTGCGGATCTTCTGCTTCATAGCATTGAAGCCTTTGGCGATGATGGGGTTCATCTTCTTGCCGCCAGTCTTCTGCTTGTCGTTCGTCTCGTTGATCAGATCCTCCAGGTCGGCAATCGCCTTGATGTAAATCTTGGGGGTGCCGCCCTGCTGGGTCACCTTGGCCACCTGCCGGTTCATCTTGTCGAATTCTGCGCCCATGTCAGTCCGTCAAACATCGTAAATATGCCTTGGAGACACAAACCTGAAGAAATGACCGCCCAGTCATTGATCTTGGTGGCATTTTCAATCAACTTGATGGTGCCTTCCAACTCCTCCAGTCTCTTGTCCTTCGCACTCTTGACTACTCTTTCTCGGTCCTCATCTTCGCTCTCATCTGTCTCATCTCCACCTAGTCCTGCCGAAGGCTTCAAGAAACGGCTGGCGCCTCCACGACCCTCATCTTCGGAGGACTCTTCCTCAGACTCCTCGGATTCCTCCTCCTCGCTTTCCTCTTCGGATGATTCTTCGGATTCGTCGCTGCGGGTGTAGAGTTCTTCCTCCTCGGAGGAGCTGCTCTCGCTGTCCGAATCTCCGCCGTGGAAAAATCGCGAAGACATGTTGGCGACGTTCGATAAAAGGCGGGAGGAAAGGGAAAAAGGGGTTTGCGGTTACAAGATTGGTTGCAATGCAGTTTTGAACCTGAGTCGTGCAGTGCTTTTCGCCTCTGGCACGGCTTCGTGGGCGCAGTGGGACAGTAGAATTTCGCCAAGCGCAGACTCAGAGTGCGCAGTCAGCATCACGTGGCCCGCAGAAAGTCTCACTCCATGCCAGTGTCAGCCTTGCCAGCCTCGCATTGGTCTAATTACAATTCACTTCAGCCGCCGCATGACAAAGTCACCTAAACTAAGGTAGGGTTGATCTCACTGCAAGAGTCACACTCGTTCACCATTCGAACAAATGCAGTACTTTGTCGCTGCCCTATTACATATGTTCAAGGGTCATTCGTCACTCGGAGAGGCCTGGTGGAAAGGATCCAGCTCACTCGCTTGCATGTGCACTACATTCAACTTGTCCCAGTACTAGACAGGAACACTGTGTACACCACCTTCTCTAGCCGTCATTGCCTGCAGTCAGCATCCGCGCTGCAGGGTTGTCCTGTTGGGCATCAATCACTACCTAGCCCCAAAATGGACGTGGTGACATTGCCATGTCGGCAAACACCACACGACATCCTCCCCTTGTCGTTTCAGCTCATTCTCGTGATGCACCACCATAGTCCTTGCTACGTGAGTCATTGAAAATGGAATAGGAGCTTGTCGCTGCCGATTGAAGTGGAGACACCACGTCATAGGCATCTGTATCACAGGATGCTGCTGTGGACGTCAAGTACCTACAAGCCTGGTGTGAACCAGTACGGTGTCAGATAGCAGGTTTTGGAATCGGCATGCTTGTTGTCTGCATCGAGCGAGGCTTGCCCGAAAGTCTCTGTGATCTCTTCAATGCCATTGTGTGTTGAAGTTGTCGCCCATAACACCGTCCTCCAGGGTCCTAACAAAATCACGATTTCTCTGTGTCCGGCTACCACGTCTCCGGGCCGTCGATGGAGAGTCAATGTAGCCATCTGCAGGAGGTGGATAGTAAGCCGGACTAGGTTGAAGTCGGATAGGGGCGTTCGGATCCAGGTGACTGGTCACTCGCTGGATGGCGGGAGGAATCCCGCCCTGTTGTTGGTCCATAGTCGATGCTCGTTGACGGCCTGCTCTCTGCGTGGCTTGTGCATACAGGCTTTGTTGATGGCTGTAGTGATTGGGGTTCATCTGAGGCGTCTGCTGAGCCATCATGCCCATTTGTGGAGCATAATTTGATGAATGTGCCGGATATGGGGGCGGAGCAGCCTGCTGAGGGCTTTGGTACATGGCGTTGTACATGGGTGGAGGTTGCTGTTGTTGGTAGGGGCTCATTTGCATTGCATAGGCATTCTGAGCCTGTGCTTGTGCGGCCGTTTGGGCCTGGGCCTGGGCTTGAGCCTGAGCCTGAGCCTGAGCAGCTTGTGCTTGTGCCTGCGCTTGGGCGGCCTGAGCAGCTTGTGCTTGTGCCTGCGCTTGGGCGGCCTGAGCAGCACGCTGCTTGCTAAGTGCTTCCGCTTGCTGTTGTTGTTGCACGCCTGGTGCAGGAGTCTTACTCGAAGAGGGTGATTTCAGGTTCATCGGTGGCACAAACGGCTGTGTGAACTTCTGTTGCGTGATGAATGGATGCAACTTCGCTTGCTGGGGCGACCAGCGTTCAAGCGGGTTAATGGTGAGCAAACCACGAACAAAGTCGATGAAAGCAACACGATTGTTCATTTCTGCGATTCGTTAGCGGATTTCATGCGTTTCACCAGAAAATGCCAAAACATACCTCTCTCAATTTCCGCGGGCTTCATATTCTTCCTAGGCATAGGATAGCTGCGAATAATCTCTGGTAGAGTGGTAGCTTGGAAATACTTTTTGCTGGGTTGTTCTTTGACGTTGTGCTCGCGAGAATATTGTTCCATACTCTTCAATCGATAGGTACGTCGACCAAATTCGTCAGTGGTCTTCTCGAAAAATTCGCCGGATTGCTTTCCCATCTCTAGCATCCACATTGGGGGCATTCCCAACATCTCGACGATGCGTGACACTTGGTTGTATTCCGACGACCCGGGGAAAAGTGGCAACCCTAGGAAGAGCTCCACGACGATACATCCGAGGGACCACATGTCGATAGCAGAAGAGTACGGGAGCCCCAGCAACACTTCTGGAGATCGGTAGAACCGAGACTGAATGTATGTGTAGACAGTCTGCCTCTCATCGCAAGCAGACCCGAAGTCGATAATTTTGATAATGGGACTCTCAAGGTTCTTCAACAAAATATTCTCTGGTTTCAGATCGCAATGGATGAGACGAGCCTTGTTCAATAACGCCAAGCCATTCAACAGTTGTTGTGCAAAAACGCGTACCAGGGTCGTGCTGAGGCCCCGGAATTGATTTTGTTTGATGAGCTCATACAAGTTGACACTGAGAAGCTCGAAGACAAGACAGAGATGTTGTCGATGGATGAACGTGTCTTTGAGCCGCAGAAGATGGTGATCGTCATTCTTGTCAAATTTTTGGTTCAGGAGATCCAGGACAGAGACCTCCATCATACTCTGGTTGAAATAGGCTGTCCGGTTCTTGATGACTTTGACCGCAACGACTTCCTGCGTCCTCAAATTCTGGCATTTGACAACTTGACCGAAGGTACCCTGCCCAAGCACATCAAGAATGAGGTATCTGTTCTTGTGGCCGGCTTCTTCACTCCCTAGAATATCGTTGACGTAGAGAATGTAGTCGCTATCGTCGTTATCGTAGCCATCATTCTTGGTTCCTTTGCTTGGCTTTGTGAGCACTCGCCTCGGATTCCTTGAAGACTCGTATTTGAAATTGGGGTTGCAGATGCGGTATGTGGCTGGGAGATACGTGGTCAGCGCCTGCAGCGGACTGATGAAGCCACCCTCCGGATTAGCTCTGCGAAACTGCGGTTGGGCGTTTATCCTGGGATTGAGGTCCTGGATTGTGTTGACTTTCCTAAATCTTGGAACAGGCCCCGGTCCGTGTGACTGTTGTCGAGACGGTGGTCCAGGACGGCCATTACCCACAGAAGGAGAGTAATAGGATCCAGGACTGAATTCTGACTTCTGAATGGAAGAGCCATATCCCAACGAGTACCGGGTTGGCGTTGGAGGTTCCGCATATCGTTCTGTGGTATAAGCAGCCTGGCGAGTGGGTGACCCTCGCGACGATTGCGGCTGATTCAGGTAGGAGAAATTGTTTTGTGCCTGCGCTTTAGGACTTGAGGCGTACATATTGGTTGGTTGGACATTCATCGGGGAATACCGTTGCGCGGCTGTAGAGGCTTCACCGATGTATTGTGCGGATAACCTGTGCTGGTGGACAGGACGGGAAGGGTATTTGCTTCGGTTGTAGGGATCCGCGTCTTCCATCGGAATGTCAACCTCTCCATTGTGCTCGTAGTCATGCGACTGAGCTGAGGGAGCTGGATTTAAAGACATGACTTGGCTTCGATGTGGTCCAACTCTTGTGATCGATGGCGAAAGTGACAACCACGCGGCGTTCGACTCTGGTGCTGTTGCTTCAAGCTGAGCCACAGTAGCTGCGCGTTCGATCGAAGCCGTGCCGCTGATGCATGTACGAAGCTAGCGGAGCCGTGATTTCAGGACCAGCCCAAAGATCCCTTCGGCTATTGGAATAGAGTGGGAGAGGTGGACTGCTATCGCTAGGTCACTCTCAGAGGGGCATGTAGAGGGGTTTGGCGGCTTTCGTAAGCGCAGTCGAGCGAGACGGTATGTCTGTTTGTGGAAGTCGACTCATTTTAAACGGGTCCACGGGTCAGCGTAAAGCCATGATGTACAAGACCAGGCTTTGTGAACAGTAAGCGCGCTCTCTTGGTCCGTAGGTTGAACAGCGTTGAGGAATTGGCTGCGGTGAGCTGTTCGCAGGCCGGGAGGTTGAGGGCCGGTGAAGGTGCGCGGCGGGTGGAAACAATGACTGCAGCCGGGTCCAATAGAAGAAGCAGAAACAGACAAGCACTGCCTAGCACAGAAGAGAAGCCGTGAAGATGTGCGAGGACACCAAAGATAGGACTCTCTTCACATATGTAGAATGTAAAGGTAAGTGACTTCAAGTTGGTTGCAGTGGTGGTGATAGTGACTTGTCCGTTACCCGCGCCTCCTAGCACAGTAGCAGACAGTACTAGTAGGTATGGTCAAGGCTCATCATGTTCAGATCAGCTGTCGAATGCCAACACGGTGCCAGTGACTGGCACTGCAAACGCAGAGTGAGACCACGCTAGACTATTAGCACCAGAGTAATCATGGTTAGTGCAATGCACGATTGCTGTGCTGATTCGCTCGACCGACGGGCGAGCGGCTAAAGTCACTACCACATCTCGGATCACTTGCCCTATCTTGCTTTAGACGCTTTACGCCAGTGTTAGCAATGGATTTCCAGCCCTACGGCGGATCATTTCAGCCGCCAGGCAGCTGCGCCGCTTACTAAGACAGTAGGCTGCCACTGGCCTTGTGTTTCAGCCTCTTTTCCCTCTGACGCCACTCAACAGCCTGATACTTCGGAAGGCTACATTCTGAAAGAGAACTTGACTTCAACTCGACCTCACAGAATCAGCAACCGCGCCTGACATACTAGCAAAGCTCTCAGGTGGTGGTCGGTCGCGGTGTCGAGGAACCAAGTTAATTTCACATGCGCCTTCAAGGGAACTTTCACTATTGTCTCATTGATCTTCCATCCTCATAATCCTTTCAGCGCTGGTCGCATTCCCCAGTCAGGATTACACTTTCGATAATCACTCTCCAGTGCTACAGGCTGTAACCTTCAACACCAGGGTTTCGCGCACATTGTTCACATAGCGCAACAACTAGGGCAACTATTCTCTAAGACCTTCCCATTCTCCTTCAGCCTTGTGTCGCGATCCTCATTTGATCTTAACAATAAGGGCAAGGAAGGATCGGTAATGACGACATCGACTTAGCAGTAAACACCAGATCGTCCGGAGTTTTGGTTGCTGTCAGCATTATGGACTCCCAGCCAGACCAAGGTGTTGTCGAGGACACACCAGCTGCCGGGTCCGCGACGACTGACAAGATGGGGACTGTTGCCAACGGCGACAATGGCGTTGATGATGGCATTTCGAAAGATGAATCTGACGAAACTCTCCGGCATCTTGACGCTCAGGTTCAGAATCAGGATGAGCTAGAAAGAAATATTGGGCGAGAGGCAGATCGACTCCTCTTTACACAAGCTAATGAGCGTGATCAAGCCCGACTGGACAAAACCCGGGCGCAAAAGGAAAAGCTTCAAACCCAGATCCGCAAGACTCGCGACGAAATCAGTCGGCCTATTGGGACTACACGGCGAGCACAACTACGGGTTGAGATTGACCGAATGCAAAGTCAAATCCAAGACCTCGACAATGATATTGCAGAGATTCAAGAGAGGATGAAAGAACGGGAGTCAAATGTCAACTCGGCCCAGCAAGTTGATGCGTCCGCTGCCGGCCGGTTGCCTAATGAGACGCAACGTGACTATTTGATAAGAACCGGCAAGATCACTCCTTTTTCGAGGTTCGGACTGTCAACACACGGGGAGTCAGCAACCACTTTGCAGGGCGCGCTTCTTGATGCTGAAGAAGAGCCCGAACTGTCCGACATGCCAGACGTTGCAGGCGGCAAGCCGATGTCCCATCGGGACTTGCGCCAACCAGGCTTTGCCACGGACTTCACTGATTCGACTGCAGAGGAAGAGCTTGACTATGAACAACCACGAAAAAGACGACGACTTGCTGCCACAAAATCAGCGGCTGCAGACGACGACTCATCCTATGACGAAGGCATGGCGGAATCCGATGTTCTTTCAGAGCTCGAAGACGAGGATGAGGACATGCCTCTAACTTCGGGAATGCAAAAACGATCTCGCAAAACAAAAACGAGCCAGATTGATGACGACGTGGAAGACTTGCGAGGACTTGATGATGGTAAAGAGTCGCTCTATCTGTCGCGGGTGAAGAAATGGGCGATCAGGAGACGAATGGCCCGAATGAAAGCGGCTGGTGAGACCAACGATGGCGACAAAGATGATGAGCTCCCAGACGATCAGACTCTTGTCCAGGAAGAAATGTACCTTCCACATCCCAAGATTCCGGACACTGTTTTCACACACGATTACAAAATCCCGGGCGATATCTATCCCAGTCTGTTCGGTTATCAAAAGACAGGAGTCCAGTGGCTGTATGAGTTGTATACTCAGCAGGTGGGAGGCATCATCGCCGATGAAATGGGCCTTGGGAAGACTGTTCAAATCATCGCTTTCTTGGCTGGCCTTCACTACAGCAAGAAGTTGCGCAAACCCATCATTGTAGTTTGCCCTGCGACTGTCATGAAGCAGTGGGTGAACGAATTTCATCGATGGTGGCCACCATTTCGAGTCACGATCCTGCATTCTTCCGGCAGTGGCATGATCAATATTCGCAATGAGGCAAGCAAGGAAGACAAACTGCTGGACCTCGCCTTCGATCCAACAGTTAGAAACAAGCCGCTGACCTCAACTCAAAAAGCCGCTCAAAAGATGATAAGGCCCATCCTGGAAGAAGGCGGCGTCTTGGTGACGACCTATACTGGTCTCCAGACCTATGCTCCTCTGCTTATTCCCGTAGAATGGGACTATGCGATCCTAGACGAGGGACACAAGATTCGCAACCCCAATACCGCGATCACCATTTACTGCAAAGAACTGCGTACTCCGAATCGTATCATTCTCTCTGGCACCCCAATGCAGAACAATCTTATCGAGCTCTGGTCTCTGTTCGATTTTGTTTTCCCCATGCGCCTGGGCACATTGGTCAATTTCCGCAATCAATTCGAAATACCGATTCGTCAAGGGGGTTATGCCAATGCATCCAACCTGCAGGTGCAGACTGCGTTCAAGTGTGCGGAGACCCTCAAAGAGGCAATTAGTCCATACTTGTTGCAGCGCTTCAAGGTTGACGTCGCCTCGGATCTTCCGAAGAAAAGTGAAAAGGTTGTATTCTGCAACCTGACGCCATTGCAGAGAGCTGAATATCAACGATTCCTCGATTCGAAGGAAATGGAGGCTATCATAAATGGCAGGAGACAGCCCCTTTATGGCATCGACATCCTGCGGAAAATCTGCAACCATCCAGATCTTGCAAATCATAAATACCTGGCCCACAAGCCAGGTTACAAATACGGTGATCCAGCCAAGTCGGGGAAGATGACGGTCGTGGGCGCACTTTTGAAGTCTTGGAAAGGGGAGGGCCACAAGACTCTCCTTTTCGCTCAACATCGCATCATGCTCGACATCCTGGAGAAATTCGTCAAATCGCTCGATGGCTTCAAATACCGACGTATGGACGGCAATACGCCTATTCCGCTCCGGCAAAGCATGGTGGATGAGTTCAACACAGACCCGGATTTGCACGTGTTCTTGTTGACCACAAAGGTCGGTGGACTGGGCATAAACCTGACTGGAGCCGACAGAGTCATCATCTATGATCCTGACTGGAATCCTTCCACTGATCTTCAGGCCCGTGAAAGAGCCTGGCGCCTTGGTCAGAAGCGAGAGGTGACCATTTGTCGCTTAATGATCGCTGGCACCATTGAGGAGAAGATTTATCACCGTCAGATCTTCAAGCAGTTCCTGACAAACAAGATTTTAAAGGACCCGAAACAGAGGCAGACCTTCCACCTCAACGACCTTCACGATCTCTTCAGCCTAGGCAATGAAGGCGCCCCCACCGAGACTAGCAGCCTTTTCAAGGAAGCCCAATTCAAATACTCTGACAAGCCCACCAAGGCCCTTGAGCCGGGTGAGCTGAAAGATGCTAAAGGCGTGACTCCCGATACTGGCGACACCAACATCAAGGCCCTGCCTGGGATATCCTCCGTGGAGCAATATGCCGGAGAGGTTGAAGAGGAAGCCAAAGCAAACAAAGAAGGCGGCACTAACTCGGAAGAGAGAATGATGGAAGCCATCTTCTCACGATCCGGGATCCATTCTGCGGTGGAGCATGACACCATCGTCGATGGCTACAGAACGAGCAAGACAGTTGCCGCTGATCCTGTTTTGATTGAACAAGAGGCTCGAAAGGTAGCTGCAGAGGCTGCCAAGGAGTTGAAACGTGCAGGTGAGGTGGCTCGCCACGTTCCCGTAGGCACACCAACCTGGACTGGGCAATTCGGTGTGTCTGGACGACCCCAAGAGACAACAGCGCAGAGGGCTTTCGGTTCCAGTGGCCGTTCCCGTGAAGGTGCAATGCAGTCATCTAATCTGCTTGCAAACCTACAGCAGCGCCAAGCGCAAGCGTCAGGCAGTCGTGCTGCAACGCCAGGCAACTCGAGTCCTGCAAGATCCACTGGCTCTGCCGCTTCCAACTCTAGGGCTGGTACACCGACTCTGCCCCAAGGCAAGGACTTTGGCCAGCTCATTCGCGATTTCCTGATCGCTCACGGTGGCGCCGCCTACACCCAGATGTTGATTGATCATTTCAACCGCTACTGCAGAACACCCCAGGCAACGCTGGAATTCAAGGAGACCCTGAAGCTAATCGCCACGCTCCAAAAGGCTGGCCAAGGGAGAGGCCGCTGGGTGTTGAAGGACGAGTACAAGAAGTAGATAGTCCAATGTATCACACTTCTACCCGCCAGGTCCAACGGCGACCCCGTGGCCTGAGTATGGAGCTGCACTCTTGATTGTGTTGTCGTCTGTTTTGATTGTTTCTGCTTTCCAAGAGTGTTACTCGTTGTCATCAATTAAGCCCTGAGGCGACCAATATTCTGGCTCTCGACACTGAGAATCCACCCACACAAGTGAATCGGCAAGTAGGTCTTGTATCGCTGTCTCGGCCCGCGCGCGTTCCCAACCCAGGTTGAGCTGAAGAAGAGAAACAGTCACATTGCCGAGGAGTTGGAGGACTTCTAGGACAGTAGATTGATCGGTATTAAGTTCCTTTGGTACGGAGCGGATGAAGCGCCTGTTGGCGATAGTTAGGATCGCAAACCCCGAGCCAAGCGGTTCGAGGGAGTTCACGGCCCGCTCAATGTCGTCTTCGGACACCTGTAGGCCTCCTCCAATTGCTCTGCCTCTGGCGACGCTTTCACAGCATTCCTTCAACCCAAGCAGCCCTCCGTTTTCCGCACGTGTGGCCTGGCAAAGCTCCACCACCCGTACGGCCACAGAGAAATAAAAATCGTTCACGTCGTGACCAAGTACCTTCGCCCACAGCGAGTCGGCCTTCTTGCCCTTGATATTGCTTCCTGCAAGCGGGTCAACGCCGATAGCATTACACATGCGAGCGAACTCGGCTCGGAAGGTGGGATTTGATTTTATGGTCGCCGCATGTTCTAAGGCGAAGTTGTGCAATAACGACTGAAAGACCTCGAGTTGGGCTTGAAGCGAGGCTGCATTGGCGGACTTCAAGTTCGAGCCATGCGCGGCATATGATTGTGCCGTGGCATTTCTGTTGGTAAAGGCTCCCAGGCCCACGCCCCTTCTCGTCGACATCACGACAATGGTAAGGGATGCTGATATAAGAGGCTATTTACAAATCTCGAGTTATCGGGTTGTCGGTGGCATAGTAGTAATGGGTTGCAGACGTCAACCTATCCACTCGAAGTGTTCACCGGTGAGTGACCCTAATACCGGTAGTTGGCGTTGTGTTAGTAATAGTGTGAGTAAGCAATATTGGCCGGCTCAAATTATCAGTTACCGCCCTGGGTTAGCGTCTCTTAAGCGTCTTCCAACTTGACCCACGATAATTTTCACGTGATCCTGCCAAGCAAAGTGGGCACGCGCACACTGCTAACTTCAAGGTGGAAATTTCGCAAACGACTGAACTGCGCTTTTCGAGTTCACCACTTCGTCCTGGCAACATCTCAACAACCTGATCTTCGACAACCAGCCAAGATGTCCACCAAGCCAGTCGTGAAGTCGTAAGTGTTTCCTCGTCTCCCTGCTGACGGTCGAAGTCTTCAGATATGGTCCGCTCCTCTCTCGCTGGTCCGCGGTCTTGCGCCAGCTCGATTCTCCCAGCGACTTGCGCCGAATGAATGTGATGTTCAGAAAGGCAGGGCTGCAGCCGGGGCATTGAGGATAGAGGAGGTAACTCCTCTCCCTCGAAATTCAACGGGCTCGCGTGGCGTACGGCTCTGCTTCCGCAGATCGGTGCCATGGAGTCGGAAATTCCTGACCTGGTCGGGGCGTTGTCAGATGAGAGTAAAAGATGGCAAAGCGTGTACAGCGTTGCTGTTGCGCTCTCCACCAATCTCACTGATGAAAACCATTTCGTCGAGTTACTACGCCAATTACCAGTTTGAGAATGCCGCGCCATAGCTGCAGTTCCGACTCGGCGATTTTCAACCTGCGGACTGTACTGATACCTTTCCTTACAGGACCGTGCCGACGCAGGATCAGGTCCTCGTCCCAGAGACGCTGTTGAAGAAGAGAAAGAGCCAGGAGAAGGCCCGGGAGCAGCGTCTCGCTGAGCTCGAGAAGAGAAAGAAGGTTGGTTCTCACCACACACTGCCCACAATTTCTCTAGTGATGATAATTACCACACATGCGACTAGGCCTTTTGGCCAATGCTGTCGCTTTTGTTAACCATCTTTCGGGGCTGAACGAATTTTCACCCAACATCACCTCAATTGATCATCTTCAAGAGTGTGCTAATTCGCATGTCACAGGCCAACAAGGAGAAGCGCGCCGTCATCTTCAAGCGTGCCGAGAGCTACGTCAAGGAGTACCGCGATGCCGAGCGTGAGAAGATCAGACTCGCTCGCTTGAGCAGGCAACAAGGCAACTTCTTCGTTGATGAGCAACCCAAGCTGGTGTTCGTCATCAGAATCAAGGGGTAAGCAGGCGCTGAATGAGGCTTTTACCGACAAATGTACTGACTTTCATTTCAGTATCAACAAGATTGCCCCCAAGCCGCGCAAGATCCTCCAGCTCCTCCGTCTTCTCCAGATCAACAATGGCGTCTTCGTTAAGTTGACCAAGGCCACCCAAGAGATGCTCACCATTGTCAACCCGTACATTGCCTACGGCTACCCCAACCTCAAGTCCGTTCGTGAGCTCGTCTACAAGCGCGGTTACGGAAAGATCCACAAGCAGCGCGTTGCCCTTACCGACAACCAGCTTATCGAGGACAACCTCGGCAAGTATGGCATTGTGTGTGTGGAGGATCTGATCCACGAGATCTTCACTGTTGGACCAAACTTCAAGCAAGCCAACAACTTCCTGTGGCCCTTCAAGCTCTCCAACCCCAACGGCGGCTTCCGTACCCGGAAGTTCAAGCACTACATTGAGGGTGGTGACACCGGTAACCGGGAGGAGAACATCAATGCTTTGATCAGACAGATGAACTAAGCCCGACGACTTGGGTGCTCAAGTTGCTGTGCGCAATGGCTCGGTTGCAGGGTCATTATTGATTGTGGGTACTTCGCTGGTGTCAAGGAGGGAAAATAGACGCTAGCGACACCTCCAATTCTCCCAAAATGGATGTGCTGTGAGATGCGAATGAAATACAAACCTTCAATGTTCCAAAATCGTGTGTCCCAAGACAATCCCATATGCTATTTTAGAGACGTTGGCCCGTGATACAAGTTCCGAGACTTGCCCCTGTCAGGCACCTGAACGCTCGCTAAGGCTGGACGAAGTTGTGCTACCTAGAATTCCTTGCTTTTCCGGGCCATGTCCTTTCTCCTGGCGATCCATTGCTACCTTCGACGACTTCATTTGCCCGGGAAATGCGACATATTTACATTGTATCTGCTGTTGTACGTTCTTGTCCACTATGCCATGATTATCCAAACCTGGTAGACGTCCAGGGAATTAGGTTTCAGTCCTGTCGAACCCGGTATCTTCTCGGTTGGCTTTGAGATGCGGCGGCCTTAGTCAGGGCTTTCTTGGACAAGGGGATGGCGCTGCCCACCATTACCACTGCACCCCTACAAGGCCCGTTTGACAGGGACCACAATCTCCTCTGCCCGATGGTGGTGATGAGGGTTACTAGACATGGCGACCAAAAATAAACCGCACGCCTCAAGCTCGATAAGCGATCTCGTGCGCAGGATGATACTCGACGAGTCTCGATGAGCTACTCTCAGGAAGGTACAGGCTGCGGGGAGTCATGGGAACCAGCCAAGCGTTTGTGTCCAGTCCTGCTATCTTGCTTGAGCAAGGGGTGCGCTCGGCCGATCCTTACTACTACCGTACCAGCAAATCTGAATGCGAGAGTATGCAAAGGCCGCATGGTAAGTGAAGCGGCTCGGCAAGAAAAGCAATAAGTGGCATCGCTCAGCGCGCGCCCCATGGCAGCGCATCACAAGATGTTGATTACCTACTACGCATCCAGGATAGTATGGCAATCATACATGTAAGTGCTGGGGGGATCTCGAGTCCTTTTTCGGCCGATCCTCCGAGCCATCATGGACCTGGCATGACGTTACTATCGAAAGCGACATGCTCTGAATCAATATGTCTGTCAGATGAGGCTTGCACTTGTGTTCTCTTCAAAGGTGGCTTGGGGAATTTTCTCCCCTGGAAGAAGCAAGCCACCTCAGCTTCGGATGCTCCGTTGGTGGTTTCTCGCCCTCAATATGCCTGTCATGTTGGGGCGCCGTCATCTCAGCCATTCGCTGCCGGGCACTGCGAAGTCACGCAGTGTGTGTGCCACTGCCGTCCCCCTTGCCTTGAAGGATCCTTGATGCTGGCTATCGACCGTCGAGGCGGTCAATCAACGTTGTTGGCGTTACGACTTGACATACACCTTCTCCTCCGACACCTGTGCTTCGCTTGACCGATTTTTCGGATGCCATCCCCACCGTCTGTCTTATTTAGTCTTGGCCCCATGCTCGTCCAAATGGTTTGTCGGGGCCCGACCAGGTATATGAAGGAAAGATGGTCCCCAGCTGGGTGAACAGCGCAGCTGGCAATGGCGTTGATCACGTTGTTCGAGCGGCTACATGGCCTGGTCCGAGTATATTGGCCAAGTTTCGTCTTTGGATTGATCCTGATCAGACTCTTGCTTAACAAATATGGACGGAAGCTCAACTCTATACCAGGGCCTTGTCTTGCCGGCTTTACTGACTTGTGGCGCTTTTTCGATGCCTGTTTTGCGACGCCGCACGAAACTCACCTCCGGCTGCACCGAAGGATGAATTCCCATTTCGTGCGGATAGGTCCAAGAGTTGTCTCCATCTCCGATCCCACGTTGATACCAACCATATATGGAATCAATTCGGGTTTCACAAAGACCGAATTCTACACTCTTTCAATGTTGCCCTTCGAGGGGACGTTCATGCCCAGCTTGTTCAACACCCGCGATGAGCGATATCACAGCATGTGCAAAAAGCCCATTGCCAACGCCTACAGCATGTCGAACATGGTGGAGTTCGAGCCTCTAGTTGACTCAACCACTTCGCTGCTCATGACGAAGCTGGATGGATTCGCTACCTCGGACGTCTCCTTTGACCTGGGAGTTTGGCTCCAGATGTATGCCTTTGATGTCATGTGAGTATATCAACCCACTTTGGATTTCATACTCACCCAACGCAGCGGCGAGATTCTATTCAGTCAGAAACTAGGCTTTTTGTCTTCAGGCACCGACGTCCAGGGAATTATGGCGGATATTCGCGTCAAGATTGGCTATGCTGGACGGGTAAGCAAGCATTCAATGCCTGATGGGCCAGAAGTCCATTTTCTATCGCTGATGCCCATGACACCAGGTTGGACAAATCCCAGTTCTTGATAGAATCTTGACCAAGAACCTCATATTCCTGAGGCTCGCTCCAACCCACCCCATCGTCACCTTTACCTTGGCCAGAATGAAAGAAAGGGACACAATGAACACTGGGGGTGGGATCCAGAAGCCGGACTTTCTCGCCAGATGCTTCGAAGCCCAAGCCAAATTTCCTGATGTCGTCACAGATAGGATGATATTGGTGTACAACAGTGACAATGTCGGTGCGGGTAGTGATACTACTGCAATCTCCTTGCGAGCAGTGAGTCAGAATTTCGTCCAGAGGACAAGCCGTTGAATCGCTTCATTGACATGACATTACTCAGGTTTTCTACTATCTTCTCAAATCACCATCAAGCATGCGGAAGCTGGTAACGGAGATTGACATTGCTGACCAAGAAGGCCGGTTGAGCGACTTTGTCACCTGGCAAGAATCGAACAAGTTGCCATATCTTCAAGCATGCATCAAGGAAGCTCTCCGTATGTGTACGGGTGAACATAACGTCACGAATCCGGGAGCTAACGGCGACCAACAGGTATGCATCCGGCAGTAGGGTTGCTTCTCGAACGATACGTGCCGAAAGGGGGCATCTCCTTAGCCGGCCACTATTTCCCAGAGGGAACAATTCTTGGAATCAATCCTTGGGTCACGGCGTCAGTAGACTCCCAAAGAATATATAACCTTGCGATGCTACTCGCTGACGCGCATTTTCTGGTCTGTAGTCGAGATAGAGAAGTATACGGAGCAGACGCCGATTTCTTTCGTCCAGAAAGATGGCTTGAGGCATCAGATGAGCAGCTTTTGGCTATGGAAAGATCCAATCTCGTGGTAAGAAAAACGAGCTCTGCTCTTCAATCGACTATGTGTCTGAGTATTTGACCACTACAGTTTGGCTATGGAAATCGAGCCTGCATTGGGAAAAACATCTCGTTGCTCGAGATAAGCAAACTGGTACCGCAGTTGCTGCGGCACTACAAGGTGAAGACTCTGCGAACATGAACATGCTTTGTATTGTCGCTGACTGGACCACGACAGTTCTCCTTCGCATTCCCAAATTTGGACTGGAAAGTTGCTGGAGGCTGGTTTGTGTGGCAAGATGGATTCCAGGCGCGCATTAGCCGTCGCACGGATAAGCCTGTTGCGTAGCGCAGACGTAATGCTTCTCTTACAATCGTCTTGGTAGGTAATGGGTGTGCGAGGATGGAATGGTTAAAAATCGATAAGATGGGCAACTACTAGTATAGTGATGTACTCTGTACCTAATAATGCAACCTTGGAAGCGATGGAACGCGATGCTGAGCAAGGCTGAGGATCAGGAGCAGCTAATAACGCGGTACTCCAACTGGTACGAAATCCACTGGCACGCGCCGACGAGGCTCAGGTGTGGAGGCGCTCATTGGCCACTGGCACCACCCTGACACGCCTTGCGCGAATCCCTGTTCTGACGCGTCTGCGGAGCGCGTCACGCGTTAAATGCTGGCCCGAGTCCCTCATATCCCGCCTGCCACTGCATTTCATCCATTGCAGCAGCTTTTCCTAATCAGCTTATTCACCAATACCTTTGCCAGTGCCTGCAACTCTTCCTTCCTTCGTCCTCGAGGAAGACCAGGCAAAATGTCCCACAAGGCTGCAATTGCGCAGCTTCGGGCTCAACGCCTTGCTGGCAAGACGCGTCTGGAAACCTATCAAATCGAGGACCAAGGTGCCATCTACGACGAAGTAGACGAAGACGGCTACAAGAAGGTGGTTCGCAGCCGCCTCGACCAAGATGACTTTGTCGTCGATGATAACGGCGAGGGCTATGCGGACGATGGCCGCGAAGAATGGCAAAACGAGCGCCAGTACTACAGCAGCGACGATGCCGAAGATGTTCCTCTGAAGGGAAACGCCTCGAAACGGAAACGCGAAGAGACCCGTGAGAAAGATGAGCGCACAAATCACAAAATCCTCAACTACTTCAACAATGCTCCTGTTACAGCACCAAAGCCAAAGGTAGGAAGGAGTATCGCCTCTTTACAGCCTGATCAACGTCTCTGACCTTTAGTACTAGATTCAAACCACCGCTGAAGACGAGGCCTTTATGGCAGACCTGCTCGGAGAAGTTGATGCCAATATCCTGCCAACCCGCACATACACCAAAAAACCCGTCAAGTCTGAGAATCGCCGCAAAGTTAGAGTGTTGTCTCCACCATTGACCCAAGAACGACCCCGTCCAAAGTACAAGGCTCCGACTACAGATCTTGTTGATACGCCTCCTGCACAAGATGCTGCCCCCGAAGACGATGTGATGCACAACTTTGACGACGATGATAATATCATGAGTGATCCTTTGCCATCATCGCCTGTGGTCAAAGCTGTGGAGCGCAAGGCCAAACTTACCATCAAGGAGGAGGAGAATGATGACGATGACGATGTGATGGATGTTGTCCAAGTCGTTGCTCATGAAGGAGTACAGAGCGCAAGCGTCAATATGACAGGCAGCCGGCCTCCCCCGAAGATCAAGTCTGCACAGCTACCGACACCTAACAATTCGTCTCCTCCTCTACCGGCGGTGAATGATGTGGATGCATCGTCATGGAACAACATCACCAGTAAGCTCAACATCCAGAGCAGTCCATCTTCGGAAAATTACATATTCGGGAAAATGAAACCTCAAGACGCGGTCGAGGAAGATGGCAGTCTTCGCTTCTTCTGGCTCGACTACACCGAGGTCAATGGCAGTTTGTGTTTATTCGGAAAGGTCAAGCACAAGTCGACAGGACGCTACCTCAGCGCATTTGTCAAGGTGGATAATGTTCTTCGCAAACTCTTCTTTCTTCCGCGGAAATATCGACATTGCAATGGCCGCGAGACGCAAGAGGAAGTCGAGATGGCAGATGTGTACAACGAAGTTGATGCGTTGATGTCGAGGATGAAAGTCACCACCCGAAAAGTCAAGCCCTGTACAAGAAAGTACGCGTTTGAGCTGCCTGATGTGCCCAAGGAAGCGGAGTATCTCAAGCTACTCTATCCCTACGATAACGCGGCGCTGCCAATGGATCTGCAGGGAGAAACATTCTCCCGTGTCTTCGGGACGAACACGGCTCTGTTTGAGCAGTTTGTGCTGTGGAAGAACATCATGGGTCCATGCTGGCTGAACATTGAGGATGCGGATTTCACTGCCGTTAACAATGCCTCCTGGTGCAAGCTTGAATGCGCCGTCACCAGACCCGCAAATATCACCGTTCTCAAGGATTCCGACAAGGTTGAAGCTCCACGACTCACTTTAATGTCCTTGGCTTTCCGCACCCAACTCAACGTGAAGGAAAATAAACAAGAAATCCTGGTGGCTAGCGCCAGAATCTACGAGAATGTATCCTTGACCGACACCACGCCTCCAGAGAAACTTCCCTCGAGGACATTCACGGTCATGAGGCCATCGGGCTCATCCTATCCGCTAGGCTTCGAAGCGGAGACGAAGAAGCAGAATGGCACATTCATGCTCGAAAAGAGCGAACAGTTCCTGCTCAGCAAGTTCTTGGCTCTATTCGAGAAGGTTGATCCCGATGTCTTGATGGGCCACCAGCTGCAGGAAGTCGATTATAGTATCCTCCTGAGCCGTCTCAAGGAAAAGAAGACCCCTGGATGGCATCGCATCGGCCGACTGAAGAGGGGCGAATGGCCCAAAACCTTTGGCAAAGGTGGTTCATCATTCTTCGCCGAACGTCAACTACTTGCCGGGCGATTGATGTGTGATCTCGCCAACGACATGGGCAAGTCTCTAATGACAAAATGTCAGCAATGGAGCTTGACCGAGATGTGTGAGCTGTATCTGGGGCCGGACAACCCGAGACGCGATCTTGACAACGAAGCGGCTTTGAAAACCTGGGCAACTACCCGCGACGGGTTGATAAACTATGTCAACCATTGCCATGCCGACACATTCTTCATTGCTGCCCTCGTCCTCAAATTGCAAATGTTGCCCTTGACCAAAGTGCTGACGGAGCTTGCCGGAAACTCGTGGGCTCGTACTTTGAGCGGGACGAGAGCAGAACGGAACGAATACATTCTTCTGCACGAGTTCCACCGCAATAAGTACATCTGTCCCGACAAGGAGTATGGCAAGGGCCGTGCCAAGCACAATGAAGAGAACGAGGATGGCGAAGAAGGCGCCGACACCAAGAAGAAGGACAAGTACAAAGGAGGTCTTGTCTTTGAACCGGAGAAAGGCTTGTATGACAAGTTCATCCTGGTGATGGACTTCAACAGTCTGTATCCGAGCATCATCCAGGAGTACAACATCTGCTTCACCACCGTTGATCGATCAACGACATCTGAGAACGAGAACGAGGAAAAGGTGCCCGAGGTGCCTGACGAACAAACACAGGGGATCCTACCAAAGCTCATTTCCACCCTCGTCAAACGTCGGCGAGAGGTCAAGAAGCTGATGAAGGATAAACGGGCAACTGCCGAGGACCTGGCTCTTTGGGATACCAAACAACTTGCGCTTAAACTGACAGCCAATTCCATGTACGGCTGCTTAGGTTATACGCAATCGCGCTTTTACGCCCGACCTTTGGCCATGCTGGTCACCTTCAAAGGCAGAGAAATCTTGAGAAGCACCAAGGAGCTTGCGGAGAGCAATCAACTACAAGTCATCTATGGCGACACGGATTCCGTCATGATCAACACGAACGCGGACAACATTGCACAAGCGTTGAGTGTGGGTGTTGATTTCAAACGCTCGGTGAATGAACGCTACAAGCTGCTTGAGATCGACATTGACAATATCTTCCGGCGCCTGTTGCTCCATGCGAAGAAGAAGTATGCAGCGATCAACATGGCCGAGGTTGACGGCAAGTACGTGGAGAAGCTTGAAGTCAAGGGTCTTGACATGAAGCGGCGAGAATATTGTGCTCTTTCCAAAGAGGCTTCCCAGAGACTTCTTAACGAGATTTTATCTGGAGAAGACCCGGAAGTGGTTTTGGAAAAGATCCACGAGTATTTGCGAGAGTTGGCGGGCAAAATGAGGGAAAACGCCATCCCTGTCCAGAAATATGTCATCTATACGGTGAGTTGAGGTCTGGTTTGGTTTGTCGAGAACAAGATTGCTAATTTTATGTCTAGAAACTCGGCAAGAATCCAAAAGAGTATCCCAACGCGGACTCGATGCCGCAGGTGCAGGTGGCACTTCGGGAAATTGCTCGAGGCAAGACGGTCAGGGTCAACGATGTCATGTCGTACGTGGTGACGATGGGAGACGAACAGACGAAGAGTCTGCCTGCACCTAAACGATCATACACGCCTCAGGACGTGTTGAAGCCGGATTCCGGGCTTGTTCCGGACGTCGAATACTATCTGTACAAGCAAATCTTCCCACCGATCGAACGTCTATGTGCACCGATCCCTGGCACGGACTCGGTTCGACTGGCCGAATGTCTGGGTCTGGATGTTCGCAAGTATCAAATCAACACATCGAGCGGCGGCGCCAGTCAGCAGAACAACGAGATCACACCGCTCGAGTCACAGATTCCCGACGACGTGCGGTTCCGAGACGCGGCTCGATTGAGGCTCCTGTGCAGAGCATGCAAGCAGACAACAGTCTATGAAGGGCTCTGCGATTCGACGGATCTGTGCACACCCGACGGCATCATGTGCAGCAACGGCGAATGCGGACACAAGTTTTCCAATATGGCCATTGTCGCGCAGCTCGAGTCTCAGATTCGAGTCCAGACTTCGGCTTACTACGAGGGCTGGCTGGTGTGCGACGACCCGTCGTGCGGCAACCGGACGAGACAGATGTCGGTGTACGGCCATCGATGTCTTGGTCCCAATGGTCGCGCTGAGGGTTGTCTCGGTCGCATGTCGTATGAATACTCGGAGAAGCAGCTGTATAACCAGCTGTTGTACTTTGCCGGGCTGTTCGATGTGGAAAAGGCAAAGAATAAGGCTCGATCTGAGAAGGAGTATGTGGAGAAGAAGGATCGGGTCATCGTTCTGGCGGAGACCAATAAGGAGCGATTCGAACCTCTCAAGGCTGTGGTCGATGGGTACTTGAGAAAGTGTGGGAGACAGTGGGTCGAGATGGATAGTCTGTTTCGGTTTGCTTTGAAGTAGATAGAGGAAGATGGTTGGTGTTGGTCCACACGTCACTCTTTGGGTAGGTATGTACCAACTGTGGGTAGTTGAGGGTACCGCTGTGGCTTGCCACGTTCACCGAGAAATGAAATGCATCATTCTTACATTGCACAAGGTACACAAATTCACCCTTTACTGTTCGGACATTGCATTCGCGAGACCGTCATAACAGCAAGGCTTTGTCGAGAATTGATGCAAGGGAGATTGGTTTCGAGTTGATTGAACTTGGAGTCGCACGTTGCTGTGTACATTACCTACCTGTACCTACCTACCTAGGTACCTAAGGCAGGTGATCTAGTAGTACTTTGTCAATGCCGCAAGGCTGAGCGGACATACACACACTGCCAGTAAACGGGGAAACCGCACAACAAGCCCATCCGGGAACGAGCAGGACCTAATTGAATGGATAGAGAGGATGTGTATACCTGGACATCACTGCATGAGACAATCAAACAACTCTCTGCTAAGATAAGCAAGGTAGGTATCTTTGGCCGAATATTAAAAGTTGTTCAATAACGTGGTGTGAGTAAGTAGCGAAATAAAAAGAATATATATACCTGGGTATAGAGTATATATACTGTGCTGTGCTGTAGCTAAACGCACACAACTTGATTGTATGTGTGTACACGCTTACTTCCCTCCTGCAAAATGTGACACTCTCGTCGGATGTCGTGTAGCTGTACGTACGGTGTTGTATATTCAAGTATTGTCACTGTAGGCTCCAATGCCGGTGTTGACATCGTCGCCATTGCCGCCCAGCGTCGGCGTATTCGTACACTCTATGGCTGGGTACCAGTGTACAATACCAGGCAACTCGAGACCAGAGAAACTCGTAGTCCCATATATCTCTTTTGACTCTCGACTCTTGAATAGGCCCTGAATGCGTAGACAGACAAGTGGAGTGCAGGGAATCTCAGACCAGCGTCCTCTCCTCGATATACTACCGAGCAGAAACAAGAGGAAAAGCAAGAGCAAGAGAACTACTCGCAGTAGTCTTGCGGTCCTGGTTTTTTCTCGATCGTCACCTCCGCCTCGTTCAAGCTCAGGCTGTGCTCGATTGATCCGGCACCTATCTTAGGTGTCTGGTTCAACTTCCTCCTGCCCCGAGTCTGGGTACAGCTTATTAGTAGTTAGTGGTCACGGCCGTGATAGACATGACTGCCTGCGATAGGCCAACTTCTAGTACAACTACCCATAGTTACAGAATGCAATTGTCTCGGACGTACTAGCATTTGTGATTCTATCTCCACTACAGTTGAGGTTGACGTTGGGAGGCTCGAGCCTCGCGGTATTTATTTCCTTCACCAGAGATGATAATAACAGCGCTCACTGCCAGTCAATACAGGTCCAACCTGTTCAACTTGTTTTTTTTTCTGGCTTGGTTCCATTTTCGAGGGGCGTGATTCAAAAAGGGGAAGGGAGGGGCAAGTACAGTAACAATGTTGTGTTCAATTCTGCATTGCATTGGTTGCATTCCATCCGCTGCATTTCTCATTGAAAGCAGCCTGGGGGCCAGGTGGTCAGCCGCCAGTGCAGTGGTATGTAATATGTATATGTTTTTGTTGCGAGCCCGGCGTCGCGCCGTTGCTGGCTATTTGCTCGTTCACATCTTCACCAGCACATACCCTTAGACAATCAATTGTTTCTTCACTGTTTGAGCTTTGGCGTTCGGTTTGAAGGAACACGTCTGTCTGTCTGTCCGCGTGCCGGAACCATCTCATGACAGCTATGTGGCCTCCGGGACCACTCTCGGTTTGTAAGGAATGATGACTGGAAACCTCACATGGACTGAAGTGGATGGTGAGAATATAATGGGCTCGCTGCGTGGACTACGCGGCAGCAGTGACAGCGTTCGACTCGAGGAAGACATTTTTTGGGCGGAACCTTGCTGGGAGGAAGTCTGGCAAATCAATGGATAAGGAGGAAGATCAACCGAATCCTGCAGGAGCTTAGCTTCTTGTGAAGCCGTCCACAGTAGATCGAGACCTAAAGGCTGGCTGCGTTAATCACACACAGAGAGCAGCAGATCAGTTGAGAAGACACTTCTAGTGTATGCACCGCCTCGAAGAATGTTTGGGGTGCGGTGCTCGGTGTGAGTGAACCATCAGCGTGTTTAGGACAGAGAGGCGTCTATAGGCCTCTCAACAACCTCAAGCGCGGCCGTTGCGTTGCTATTCTGCTCAGTGAGTGCTTGAGGTCAGTGGTGCAGAACTTCAGAAGCTGTAATACAATGCTCTCGTTTTGATATCTGTCGCATTCCGAAGCGTGAGAAGATCGCGTTGTGATGGGAAATGCCCACATGATGCCTTTCATGGGACTAACTTCAGCACTGATGCGGATTGCGCCAGGGCGCCCAGGGCCGCTCTTCCAGGCCACAGCTAGCTGGGAGCACATAGCAATCAAGAGTAGTACTGTAATGCGAACCACGGACTGTGATGTACTGTGGCGATTGCGAATAGAGCACAAGCACCAGACCCCCAACATCGAGATACTGTACAGCTGCCGCCGGTCGGGATATCCGACCACTCCAGTTGATCAAGAGGAAGAAGAGCACTGGCAGACGATCTTTCATCATCGTGAATCTCCACCCTTTCCCCTGATCGGGCAATTGGCCGTTTCCTGGCAAGAAGCTGTTCTGTGGACTCTAGCAACTGCGTGAATGGCGCAGATACAGGCACGACGGGCCCTTCAAATGAAGGTATCCACTCACTAGGCCACACTTCCTGCCGCTGAAACCAGCCTCCAGCTTCGTCGGCCCGCGGAAGCTGGGCTGGCTTTCCTATCCAGCCCATTGAAGGGGCGGTCAAGAACCTTTCGTTCTCCAGAGGCTGGGGACATGGCTGCCTGAGACCTTGAGACTTTCCCAGAAGGTAGATTCAGAGCTGGCAGCAAGCCGCATGAGCAGTTGTCCGGGCGTGATCGTCAATGCAGCTGTAAAACAATACTTGACAGAAAGAATGTAATAAATGAGTCTGAGGGCTGGCTTTAGCCCTGGGGGAGAGGCCACAACTCACCCATGAGGCTGTTTAACCCACCTCTATACAAACATTGTAGAATAACTTGGTCATGCAAATCTGGGGAATGTCAGCTATCCCCATCTGGTTATCATGCCTACCGTACCAGTAGGTCCGCGGCTAATAGTTCCACCTTGAGAATGGTTGATGCCCGACCAGAAACTCATGCTCTTCGTTGTACAGTACAATGTAGGCACAACATTACTTGAATTTTGATGCTCACGCATCACCAGAAGGTCCGCTCTACCTGGCTGAGATTCAACCACTTTGTCACGATACTCGCCTACCTATGGCATAATTGACTTGTCTGTGGAGATGGCGTCGCTGTGAATGGAGGCTCGCCTAGCACGTATGCAATCCTATGATGGGTTCCGTCACCCATCGGGATGATAGTAACGTGAGTGCTCGATCCCAGGACTTTAGGTGGGAACTTCCTAACCCTTGATGGGATCGGGAAGCATGACATTTCAAGTCGTTATACCCATGCCGTGTGGCCATGGACCTTCATTCACAGCGGAGTCCGAGGGGCCCGAGCTTTGACTTGTCTGTACAACGTACAGTCGCTCTGGAGGAAGGCGACGGCGAAGTCCCCACTTGGCTGACCTGGAATCTTATTGCCTTATGGGTCACTCTATAATACCCCACATTTGATGATTTTGCACACATCAACATGCACAGCTTTGCTGCGCGGGATAGGTTTAAAGATGATTCGAAAATAACAGGCTGGGCGCCCGAGGCAGTTGGAAATGGTGAGCGTATCCGCTGTACTGTGCGTTGTAGGCTGAGGTTCTGCAACGCAGTCCTAGCCTCGTAGATCAGGCCAATCAAGTACAAACCAATGCGTGATGTTTGGCCTGTCGTTGTACGGTGTTTAATGTCGACGTCGAGTTCGAGAGTCGACAGTCGGGCCAGCTTCGATTTGCCTTGTCGGTGGCTACTAGCCTGCTTCCAGCCGATCTGCGCTTGGGCGACGGTCGGGGTGGGTTTGAGCATCCTTGACGTATTAGTAAAATTGCTTCATAAACGGGGCCGAGAAGTGGGGAACGGTGGATATAAAGTCAAAAGCAGACAGCAAGTGGTTTGAGGCCCGTGACACTGTCACTGTAGCTTGGCGGACGCTGCACCAGACTGAGGGAAACCTGTGAGATATTGAAAGTGGTGATGGAAACTCTGTTCCCCAACAGTGTCCGATATTGGACGATCCACGGGTGATGTTTTTTCCAACCCCCACGGCGGAACAATACAAAGCTCGCTTAGGAGCAGGGAAGATACCGTCGGGCTTGTCGGGCCTTTCGCTTCTGGCGACCAGCTCAACTTCCCAGTATGGTTAATAACCGTAGTGAAGTGTATCTGCTGCTTAACCGTCTTGCAGGCAATGCTGGTAGCGAAAGCAGAGCCCCAGAACTCGGCCGCGTTCGTTCGTCATGTGTGCCCATCTCGCTGCACATGTCAAATATGACAGGGACTGAAATATACCTGGTCAACGCACCCGTCCCGTCAAAAGAGAGTAGTAGTAGAATAATGCTGAGTGCAACAGGTCATGTGTAAGCTGCTCTTCAGACCAGGGCCGGGCGAGTCAGCCTGTATCACATCCAGTTTGCCTTCTGTCCACACATCATTTGTCTGGATGGTACGGAAGAACGCCTGGACGACAGACTGATCACTTCCCATCACTTTGAGTTTCTTGGTGTCTCGGAGAGCGCCACCTCTCCCTGACCCAGTATCACTTGCCAACCACGTCGGTTTCTCAGCTGTCAAGGTTCAATAATGCCCCGAACTTTAGGTTCGCCATCCGAGGCCGTAGCCTTAGATTTCTTCGAAGGTTCCGACCCTTTGGAGCCTTAGAGTTGGAACTATTACCTAGCACAACGTGGCCAATAAGCTAGTACAAAGCTTGAAATATCGACATAAAGATGTCTGTATGGTGATTGTACTTGTCGGATATATGTCAAAGACTGTGCCGTAAAATGTACACCTGATAGAGTGCCGTTCAGGACAACAAACGGAGCACAAAGTCGACCAGGGTAGTCCACCACTCGGAGTCGTAGTATCATGCCTACAAGTTGACAGGCGCAAGTAGATGGTCCATTCAAGCACATTGCAGTTTTTCGTCTTTCCCGTGTGGCAGGGGTATGAAGGCGAGATCAAATTATGTTTGCCCGTGGTGCACAGCGGAGTACAGCGGATAGAGGGCGCTCCGAGTTACTCTTTCCGTCTTTCAATGCTTGATATGGCTCAACTTAAAAAGTACTTGGCCTGTATGTGCCTTGGCTGCTTCAAAAATGATCTGATAGGTCGGTAGAATTGCCGATGGATCTGTCTGTCACCATCCTGATTGATCTCTCAACCCAGGCGACAACCAACGTTTACTCGAGCGTGTTTCTGAACAGACAGAGCGAGGGTTGCTCGTGATGGTTGATCTCTCTTGGGACAGCGGTTCCGCACCGGCCCTTCCTCGTCTACCGGTAGGAGAGAGAGCAAAGAATGCAAGCGAGGTGAACATGTGAGGAAGTCAAAGGGCGGTGGAACTGTTCTTGACCCTGCATTATGTCTCTTGCCACTTCGCTAGATATACAGATGTCTTACTGGAATGGGTTCCAGCTGGACTTCTGGCCTTTTCACTGGGTTAGGCGAAGTTGCGCCTTTGTAGGGACTGGCTGGCCTGGAGGGCGAAAATCCGAGGCGCGTCCAGGAAACCGACCGCTTTCCTTGAAGGAACAGACTTTGGACCATAGATTTCTGTTCCCGCGTGGCAAGGCTCCTCCGCCGGAAAGGCATCACAGACAGGTATTTGTTCTGCGTACTGGATGACCTGAAATCTTCAGAAAATTTCAATGCTGTCACCACCCTTTGCAGTCTTGAATCATCGGGTCTTCCGCCAATTTTCAAGAGCCATGACTGAGTCTCCTTCATGCACCAGTACTGCTCGGATAATGATCCATCGGCATGTTTCGGAGAACACATCGTCGCCATGCTAGGTGCCATGTGATATACATTTGACTTAGGCGAGACTTGGTTTGCTCTAGCCGCTCGCGAGCCTACATCATAGTTGTTGGACGGGAGGCTTGCATAGCATGAAGCAAGGCCTGTGGTTCCTACAGGGGTGGGTGGTTTTGGCGGTCGTTGGTCGTTCGAGGCACTGCGCAACCACCATGTTTGACAACGGCGATAGGATTGTCAAAAAGGGTTGCTTTCCACCGGAGGGTCTCCGAAAAGGGTGCGGCGGAAGCAGTGATGTAGTCTCCCTCGCGCAGCCCATGTAAATGTAGCAAAACAGAGAACACGACGACTCCCACCAATCGATAGTCCTTTTATCATTCAACCGAGTTGTCTTATCAGGAACGGACGACCCAGCAGCATTGAAAGATGGCGGCACCATACATGTGTCTGGACAACAAGGGTCGATGACTCAGGTGTTTTGCGAGTACTGGCGTTACAGTAGTGAGTCTAGAAGTCTTCCAGCCTTGACACTCCCTGACGTCGACACTAACGAGATTGAGAATCTCTGACTCCTGAGAAGACATGGAGACTCTCAAGCCTTGTGATAGGTCTTGGTTATGGTCTGACAATTAGTATGCCGCCGCATGGCAAACGAATGATCCAAGGAGATCGCAACGTCGCCATCGGCCGCCACGCTCTTGTGATGTGACCGTTCACTGCCCGGAACTGTGGTCCAGCCTCAGGTCTCCAAGCAAATAATTGCGGCAGGGGTCACTCATTTGTTACATATATGTCTTGGACAGCATTTGACGAAGATGCTGTGACTTCACCAAGCACCGATAAATCGAAAGAATTCGACATATAGTGTTGCATCTTCTCTGAGCAAAACACTCTTGATAGCACCATCTTTAAGAACAATCCGTCGATCAGCAGCGCATTGTTAGGTACTGAGCAGAATGTCTTTTGGCATTATTGGGTTGAGGGTATGAGTGGTTCACTGGCGAAGAGCAAGCGTGGGCCTGTCGGGATCGGCTAAATGGTCTCGACAAACGCTTGCGCTAGAGACAATTGGGGTAGCAGGATGGGAAGAGATTGATTGGTCTGGTGGGTGACACCCGGGGAAGAAGAGCGTGGTGAGATAGCAAGTTGTGCTCGTGGGACCGCTAAAGGAGGAGCCACACACCTCGCTCCATGTTAGGGAGGCTAGCACACCCCATCAGGAGTGGCCATTTGCTCGTCCACTGCAAGTTGTACGTACCGACATGCCATTATTACGGCGGCTCCATATTGCTTAGGAAAGTTGTGGCTTGTGGTGCGCTCAGTAGTGGTTGTAACCTCATGCGATATGCAACTTCCAAGGATGCCCGAACAAAGTGGTGCTTTCGCGGAAGGGCAGGGCCATCAAGACTGGCAAACTTGAAGCAAGGTTTTGAAGCTCTCGACGCGAAGGTGGTGTGAGACCAGGGAGATTTGCAGGATATTGATGCAATCGTGCTTGCGACACAACCAAGATACTACAGAATCCTGCTGGACAGGGTTGAGGGGATGAGGGGAGCGTAAGGAAGAGCCGGCAAGGCCGCAATATTGGAATCGAGACGAGGTTGACAAGCCCTTGACTCCGTCGAGTCGTAACATCCCGATCAACGAAGCAACAGGGGTACAAGCAGCCCAGGCCTTCTGGCGTAGAAAAATTATGTATCATCCAAGTTATTGACAGAGTCGCTGATATCGAGTGCGTGGGAGGATCTGTACATCCCCGGGCAAAGTGTGCGCAGGCGGCACGACTGCACTGGATGCAGTAGCAGCAGGCGCCCGACAACGCGTTGATGCAGCCTGAGCGCAGCCTGAATGGGGGGTGGGATGCCAAGGCCGCCAGTCCAAGAAAGAACTAGTGTGAATGCATCGGTATGCGCGCCTTCACCACTGGCAGCCCGCCTTGACTGGCACCTGCACTGCAGTGCGCTGCCGTGCCTTCGTTGTGCATTACATTTCTAGTACTAGTAATAGAAGATGGGAATAATATCGCAGTCGCATTACGCACCTGCAGTATACTGTACCTACAGTACCTATGTACCGATACTGTGCTATCTTGCAGTATGAAACTGGTAGTAGGTATCTGGAACAAACCCAGAAGTATGGTGGGCACCTAGGTGGTGGGTGTGGTAGTGGGTGAAGCTACAATTGTAGAGCACTAGTGGCCACTGTCTGCCTGAGTGGGTTTCCTGGCACGCTTCTGCAGGCTGCAGATGCACTGAATACCACGCTAGCAGCCTAGCACTGCCAGTAGAAGGAAGTGTTCCGGTGGATGTATTCCATCCGAACCCCTTCAACACCGCACTGAACTCGCAGCGGTCGCCGGCAGTGCCACCAGCTTGGGATCTCACTCGTCTGCAGTAACTACAGTTGTCACTAGTAATGCGAGCTGCCTGCGGTGATTTGCCGCGACCAACTTGAAACGAAGATAGATTGCCATGCATTGCTGAGATTGCTCTTCCCTTCACTCGGAGCGGCGGTGACTAACCTGCGACGCCTCCTCTCTCCCTCGGCCCGCAGTCACTACCACTGCACGTGTGGCCCCGGCAGCCAATCAGCTGCAGACAAGCCTTCCTCGCTCTACCGTCTCCGACACGCGCACTCTGCCCTCACTGGCAACACACCACACCACCACCAACCATCGAAGATCGCCTACCATCAACACCCACCCTCGAGGGCAATCTCTCTCGAACGCACCTCCATACTCCCAACCCGCTCCACTCTCGACAGGCTTCATCGGCCACTTCTCTGACCCTCGCCTGCGAGAACAGACTCCACTACGACTGTAGGCCCTGGAGCTCTCCGCCATCGTCAAGCCACCACCTGGCAGGCTACCGCGACCGGCCAACCTCGCAACTGGGCCCTGGTCACAATCTACCAGCCATCCTCTCCTCCTCGTCATCCAAGCGGCAAATCAGCTTTCGAGCCAAAACCTTCCTTTCCCACCCCGAGTTGCATGATTCACTACTGCTGCAGACGCTTTTCCCCGTCAAACCGTCTGAGCGCAGGATTGCACATCTCGCTTCTCGCTTCTACCTGTACCTCTTGTCCCACTTCTACGCAGTGTGGTCGCCTCCCAAGACCTCAATCCACCCCCGAACGGGTCGCGACAGTCGTCGGCCTCAGGCAGACCTGATTATCTTACCTCATTTTGGCCTCAACCCAGATCCTACTGCCGCCACTGCCTGTGCGTAGCCACTACATCTGTCACGCGTACCGAGAGCTCAAAGAGAGAAGAAAGGATATTCCGCGTCTGTTACCAAGCGTGCGGTGGGTGAACGTGGACCTCTGCCGGGATAGAACACTCCTTGTTTAGCTGCCGCGGTCGCGCCATTACTAGTCACTGCTCCGAGTAGGACGCTATCACCTTTCGAACATCGCTCCACTCTAAGACACAAGTTGCGAACTCTCTTTCCCTTGTCCGATTTGGATCATCTGCTGGCAGGCTAACAGGCTTGACCACTCAAAGCAGGGTGGAGATCCTGCGGAAACCTCAGCAGTTCAAATCCACTACCTCAGAAGACAAGACACAGGGGGTCCAAGGATACAACTGTTCCCCATACCGAAGCTTCTGTTATTGGCTGGTGCAGGTGAAGACACAAGCTGACCGACTGCCACCTGGTCCCACTGTTAGCAAGCAATTCAACCTCTGCATCTCTGATCGTGCAGCTCGAACGGAGACAAGTCCCTGCCAATTCTGGTGTCGCCGCGGGAAGTCAGAAAAACTCCCTATCACATCACCCTGGAACTGCAACCCTGGGCGAATCGTGAGCAGAACAGACCGCATCAATCCGAAGGCAAAGGGAGACAGTTGTCCATTCATTACTACATAGGAACGGACACTCCGGGGCCGAAAGCACCCCCACCACCCCTCCCTGGACTCCGAATATTGGGTCATTGCCGTTCATCTCTGCCCTTTATTAGCCTTGGGCCTCGCGCCATCTCGAGAAAAGTAACGGTTGCTTTTGGGTCAGTCCGAGCTTGCAGCTAGTCCAGCGAGGACAGTGCTAAATACTCGTTTTCGCGCGGACTTCGCCCCATCGGTTAGAGTGATTGCTCCCCTGCTCGCGATCAACCACAGAGGGTCCTCTGCTCACTTGGTCGCCGGCCGATCTCGTGTCCATTCTCGTGCCAAAAGCGCTTGCCGGTCCCGACCTCCTCTGAGTCGTTCCCGTCCTTTCTCCACCACGCAGCCGTTAGGGTGAGTGGTCACTTGGGTCTCTCGCCTGGGCAGCGTTCGAAATAAAGAATACGCCGGTTCTCGATCTAAGCATTGCTTCAGTCGTATCGTCGCCTGCTGCCGAGCTCGCGACTAGACAGACTGTGTGTGCTGACTGCTGTCATCATCATCCACTACCTTTCATTCGGGTCACCACCAGTACGACTCGAGTTATCCCAACTCCATCCATACGCGTCCCTCGACTTGGGCAAAGCACCTTGAGAACATCTTTTGATGGACAGGGGTGCATCAGAATACGCGCAGTCAGGTTAGAACCTCGCCGTCGACACTCAAGTCGTCTTCACATCGAGCACCTTCTGAGAAATCATTATTATCTTTAGATCAATCGTCTGTCGCGACCTACACCACGCAAGACGCGCGCTCAGCGAACATTTCCACGAGCAACACCCCTCAGTCAGACTACGGGCTCACGCCGTCTTCAGCGCGCTCGTCCGGCTTCCCATCGGAGCATTTGCGATACAGCCAATACACCCACGCGCCTCAGCACTCAGGCGCGGTAGGAACCATGGCACAACCAACAAGTCCGTCAAAGTCCCTGCCAGATGGAGCACCCAATGGCAATCCAACTGCGCATTCCACCGATGTGAGATCTAACTCGGAGGTTCCTATAGATCCCTCGATTTCGCAAGCCAGCCCGACCTATCCCCCATACTCGCCATACCCGCAAGGTCAAGACATGCAGCACGCCTACCAGCCGCAGCACCCTCCCTACATGCAACAACGACCGCCGCACGAACAATGGGCCGGCTACCCCCCTCAACACGGCATGCCTGGTCCATACCCGCATCCCGGGCCTGGTGTTCAAGGACCACCTCAGACCTCTGCCGCGTCGCGCACTGGACAAGTATGCGCTCCTTCTTCCTTGTGCTGAATCTTTCTGCTAACGCGTTTGCTTGTGCAGGTCTACTCTTTTGTACCCATTCCTGGCGCGCAGCAACACAAGCGGCCTCGTCGCAGATACGAAGAAATCGAAAGAATGTACAAATGTGGTTGGAACGGCTGTGAAAAAGCATATGGTACCCTAAACCATTTGAACGCACACGTTACCATGCAATCACACGGAACAAAGAGGACACCTGAAGGTAAGCTGATCATTATCTGGATTCTCTTCCATAGTCGCGTCCGGCTCTTGCACGCTTTCCTCTCCTTTTTGTTCACGCCGGTCACCGGCATCGCGCATCCCTCTGAAATCGCGACTGTGCTGATGGTATTTCTGTAGAGTTCAAGGAAATCCGAAAAGAATGGAAGGCCCGCAAGAAGGAGGAAGAGAATGCTCGCAAGGCGGAGGAGGAGCGACAGAGAGCAGCAGCGCAGGCAAACCAGGTCGACGGCGGTCAGCCTGCAGATGCTCATCAAGTACCGGCACAAGGTTATCAACAGAACGGTGCTCGACCCTCTTTGCCTCCCATCGGCTATCAGTCCGCCGAAGGGCATGCCCAAGGCCAGTACGCTCAACCTCAAGCGGGTATGGTGTACCCTCCCGGAAACGGACAAATGGGCAGCTATGCCAACTATCCCAGCTCGCCATATGGGCAGCAGGGCCAAGTCTACCAACAACGCCAATACTAGGACTATTACGCTGAGAGCACAGTCCAGCCATAGTAACAAACCAGGCGCGCTTTCCCCCGGCGTCGAGCAGCCGGATGCAGCGTCTGCACCGGGGCACTGCCACATGTTCATATGATACCCTAGGTGGGAGTGGAGGAGGTAATCCAAGCAAAGTTGCAAGACCAAAAGAACGAAGGGTTAATACTCGGTCGGAGTTTGGGCTGCACACAGCAGCCGGTGGATGCCTGTGCTCTGTTGATGACTTTCTTTTGCAAGTCTTTCTTTTTTTGCGCGCGTGTGTGTGTGTGGCTTTCTATTTTCGATTTTGGGCCGGACACTCCCCAACGGCCGTCAGCATGAAGGTTCGAGGTGATGAACGTTACGATCGACCGGCAGTATGCATTGCCGAAGGGAATGGGAAACAGCCGGAGTGGAGGGTCTTGTTGTCTGTCTACGTACACATTCCCCTTTCTCGAGGCTATTGGCGAAGGCACCCGTGGAAGACTTTGTGATCGGTGTGTTCTGCCAGGGTCAATCGATTCACGCTGCCCGTCAACATGCCTAGGTCGACGGTGCATGGCTTTTCAGTCCATTTTTGTACATTCGCGGTCCCAGGGGTTTGAGGCTGGATATGCTCACTTTCTGTAGGAGTTGAATTCGGTTACGCCAATAGAATAGGGCTGACTACCAGGTAGCCTTAACACCAGCAGATGGCGCTAGCAAACTCCCCAGAGTGTATCATTATGTCCTTTTTTATGCTTCTTCCCAATCAGCACCATATTAGTATTGGGTGATCGGTTCTTACACTCGTGGTGGCACCTATGGTGGATCCTGCCGGCTCGCCCACAGTCGTGTTCGACACATTCAGCATACCGGCAAAACAAAATGCAATGACGTGTGAGAGGATGCTTGACTCCAGATGAGCTACACAGACAGAGCGGCTCTAGCGGAGGACAGGCGGAGAGTGAGGATATCACTGTCGTGAGTTTAAGGTTGTTTGGCTCCGGTCGGCCAGAGTTGGTGCGCATCTAACTAAGGTAGTAGCATGAGATCCAGGAACACGGTCCCTAGTCTCGAGCATGGTTACACAAGACTTGAGCTTGAAGGGAACTAGGATGGCGTCCACCTGGCAGAAAACGGATTCCAGGCTGGCAGAAGGCAAATGCATGATGAGCGACGCCGGCGTGGGAGGAGCCACTACCACTAGTACTGGAGTTTAGAGGCACCGCAAAGATAAAGGGAGCTAACGCCGCTAGGTTAAGACGGTGGCAATAATGGTAGCTAATAAGGCCCCCTCAGGCTACCTGTTAGTGCTGGTGTCGCCTAATCACCGCTGGCTTTAGGCTCTGCTTTAGGGCTGACATGCCTAACTGTTTAACTGGAAACACTAATTAGTAGCGCATACCACCCCTAACCATACGCCTAGCCAACGCTAACGTTAGGCTAGCACGCACGGCCTACTAGCAACCAACAGGTGCCAGTGCCAGTGTGTGTGCTTCCTTACTCCATGCAACTTAAGGAAGCTGTCCATCTCGAACGCAGTTAGTGCAGCCGCACTGTCACTGGCAGATCCAAGCACAACACGCGATAGTGTGCGTATGTCAAGATCAGTGCTAGTAGTAGCGTCGATGCTTTCCGAGTCATGTCATGCGCAGAACTTGAAGCTGTCGCACTGCCGCCGCAGTGGCAGCCTGGTCCGAATGGAAATCCCTACTAGTAGGCTGTCCAGCAGGCGACGGTCTCACGCACCGCAAAACTTACGTCTAGCGGTGCTAAATAACCCCTCCGAGTCCGTCATCGCCGGACATCTGGCACGGCACTTGGATCTCACACTATTTCTTGGTGCCACGCACTGCATCTCAGTTCCTAAACCCGCCTCCCTTAAACGCCTGCCAGAACCTGACAGTTGCCCCCAGCGCTAGAAACTTCGGCTTCCCAACCGACTACGAGGACCGTCAGCTTTACCCAGATGGGCATAAAGGATGTCCACCGTTGAATCTAAGCAAAAAAGCCTACTAGTAAGTTACTCTGCTAAGCCAAACTCCATGAAACCCTGAAATGCGGCCTCAGGCTGCACTGCAGTAGTGACCGAAACACTCCCAACATATCCCTGCATACCCGGGCGGCGTGGTTGTCCGATTTTCAACAGCTACTCGACATGCATTGCGGACAGCTCACGCTTAGCGTCCGGAAATCGTCTCAGCATCGTCGGTCATGTGGCCGTGTATGAGTCTGTGGAACCCCGGACACGACGTACCTCTCGAGTTGTCCTGTAAAGGCATACCTTTCTGCATATCTGCCTCGGCCACGTTAGGAACCAGTGTTGATTGCCTCAAGTGAAAGAAAATCAGCTGTAAGATACTACACGGACTCGGTGGCGATATACGATGCCCGGAGCGCCATTCATGAACGAAGCTGTTCACGTTCGGGCAAAAGACTCGAGGAGTCCGCCGTACTCCGTTCGGCCTGAGGAATACAAAACAATGTTGGAATTTATTTTTAAGACCTACTTTAGTGATTTACCATTCTCAGACAGATTCCTTCGAGCGACATCAAATACTGCCGGTACTAGCATTTCTCTCCGGAGAGAAGACAATTCGTCAGCATAGAGCCGCGACCGTGAATACATGTAGTATCTGGATGTCCATTGCCCTTTTCCGGATAGATACAACGGCTTGCTGGAAAGATGCCTGAACCATAAGGCCCTGGTATTGAATATGTCCGCAGCGAGATTGGAGTTGACCAAGCATCCGCGCTCGACGCTCAGGCAGCTGAAGCTACATCAGGACCAGGTCCTTATCGCTGCTGGGAAGGGTATGTCAACCTCAAAACAATGCAAGAGGTCCTCACAGCCGAATAATGGCCGCGGATGGATGCAATTTATGTGCCATCTGAGCGCTGTATCCAGTGGCGTCGGCCTCGAAACTGACCGCTTATATAAGCGGAAGAACGTGACTATGGCAAATCAGATGAAACGGCCCCAGCCTCGGTAGACCTGCCTGATAGGAAAATTTCCTGTCTGCAGCGGCGAAAGTCGAGCGCGATAGCCGCATGTATGCCCTGTACTTTGGACATGTATCTTGAATTTCATGCCGTTCAAGTTCTTCCTTTTTCAGCCTTCATGCTCTTTTCTTTCCGTGATACTCACCCTTCCTGATGTTTTCCTGCTCTTTGTGTGTGCGTAGAGCATTACAATCGCTTGCTCCCTCCCCCTCCGCTTCTGCCACTCGCTTGACCGTTTCGTCGCTTCCGTCCATCGTCCTACCTACGACGAATATCTCGCGCAGTCATGCTACACTACAGTCGATACAGAAGGGCCACCACCGGCGCTCGCTTTACAAAGCGTTGCGTCAAAAGAAGGACGTAAGGGTTGGGAAATTATCCCGAGCAGGAAGTGTCCCGGCCAGGGCACGCCGAAGGGATGTCCTCGCACGAGAGGAAAACCGTGGTCGCCTCATTACCGACTCCACGGGCAGAAACCTGGACAGGGCGATGAGGCTGGAGGCGAAATACCTGGTCGACCCGCTTAAACTGGCTCAATCCGTGGTGGAGAAACTCAGAGATGACGACTTCGACGCTGCCATGAGCCTGGTCCGCGCCAGCGAGAAGTCCCGCGATGGCATGCCTGTGGACAACATCGTCAGTTGGAATCATATTATTGATTGGTTGATGAGCAAGGGGGAGCCGTCCATGGCATGGAAGGTCTATAATGAGGTAATGACAATGCGCCTGACTGGTCTCAGGGACGCAACTGACGAAGCCTGCCTGTACAGATGAAGAAGCGAGGCCACAAGCCTGACGCCCATACCTACACTATAATGCTCAAGGGATATCGAGAAAACATCAAGAAACCGAATGCTGTTAAGCAAGCCGTTGCCGTTTACGATTCTATTTTTGCTGCGAATTCCAATGTAACCCCTACAACGATCCACACGAACGCGGTCCTCAGCGTATGTGCTCGCGCCAATGACATCGATTCTCTCTGGCGCATTGCAGGAAGGCTGCCAGACAAAGGCCCGGGTGCGCCAGACCATATAACATTTACCACCATACTCCAGGCTATCAATGCAGAGGTTCGTGCGCGCGCGATAGAAATGGGAAGTCGGAACGGCCCAAGTTATGACCCACAGCCACTTTTCGAACAGGCGGTTTCTGACGCCCGGAAACTCTGGGTCGATATTACCGCACGATGGAGGAAGGGCGATCTCCAGCTCGATGAGGCTCTAGTGTGTGCAATGGGGAGACTGTTAATGCTCTCGACCGACCCGAAGGCCCATGAAGACATTCTCAACTTAGTCCAACAAACTATGAACATCTCAAAGAATCCTGATGCCTCCGAAGCTCCGGATTCTGACACTGTCGCGGAGGATAGTGACACGACCGCGGCTTCTGGCGAGCGCCAGGCCTCACCTGGATCGAGTCAATCATTGGCCAAGCCGGTTTCGTATCTTCCACAACGAGGCTCCGCTCCAACCTCTATATATGCGACTCCCGGCCGAAACACACTTTCGATGCTTCTAGAGACAACAACAGCACTACGCTACTTGCGACAAGGGAAATATTATTGGGATTTGCTAACATCTCCTGAAGGACCTTACAAGATTGTCCCTGACCATCAAAACATTATGACATACCTTCGGCTTTTGCGGGTGTCGCGTGCCAGTCAAGCGACTCTGGATGTCCTTCGCCAGCCACGGCCAAAGGAGATCCAGGACCGACTGATGGTTCGAGGCACATTTTTCATTGCCATGAGCACTTGTCTTCGCGACAAGAACAACCCCAACGTCTTTGAGATTGCCAATCGAATACTGGACTTGATGCAGGGTAATGCGGAAGCTGCAGATCAGACTCCATCTACCGAGGTCGAAGGCCAAAAGCTTAGGATGTCCCCGAAGGTTCTTACCAAATATCTGGAGCTAGCACTTGCTACGACAAACGGCTTGAATGGTGCTCGGTTGAACAAGACAAAAGATGGAGACCTGGATTTCGAACGTGATCCACGCAAGAATAACACCCTGAGAGCCCTGAGAAGACTTGCTCCTGACATGCTTAATGTCAAACGGTTATTGAAACTTCACATCACCGAACTTGAACAGCACGCCGCAGTCAAATCTCGAACTCCGACCGTTCAGAAGCTTCTCGCGAAGCGTGAACTTACCCACCTCAGGGTTAGTGAAACCATCGAGGAGCTCGTTGAGTTTCTACGCATCTTGATTAGAGCACACGACAAGATTCTCATGGTCAATGAACGTCTGGAGGACGACGGAATGGGCCCTTTGGATAAAGAGATTTTATCCGAATGCTGGTCGCAGAAACGGAAGTTGTCTGCCTTCATTAGCAAGATCAACAACGCACGAGGCATTCCTAACGAATCGCAACGAGTCCCGCACGAGCGCGAGCGTACACAGGGTCTTAGCGATCGGCCGACTTCAACAGAGGCGGTTGAGGAGGACGACGAGTTTGAGGATGAGCCAGGGGCTAGTCTTGATGCGGCTGTCCCGAATCAGAGGACCAAAACAATCAAAGAGATCAGAAAGGCGCAGAAAAAACAGGAGAAGACGCGAGAGGAAAGCCGGCTTTCCAGGAGACAGAAGAGAGAGCTTGAAAAGGAGGAGCGCATCAGGAAACAGTTCCCGCCCAGCATGCTCAAGCCTAAGCCGACCCAATCATCCAATGTCCACCAGCAGTCTCGGGGCAGAAACACTAGCTCTCTTTCGCGAGGATATAGCGGGTGGGGAGGCGAATTCGAGGCGCTGGCTCGTGAACAGGGACAGGGCGAGAAGACGGAGTTTGTCGATTTGCGGTCATGAACATGAGAGAAAGTCTTTTCTGGCTGTGCTGCAAGTGCTCGGCCTTTGCACGACTGGAACGACGGTCCGCGCTGGTGCCACACATCTGGCACGTGTGCCCGTTCAGTCCATTCTGATACGGCCCAGGAAATGGACCGACCAGGCTGCCTATGTTCATTCTTATCTTTTCGTTCTGTTCACCATGCATGGGGATGGCGCCTCACGGAGAGGGTGGATCGGTACTTTGGAGAGTTCTTTTTGCAATCTCAACATCTCTCGCGCTGCTGGCAGGGCGTGGACGTCCATGGAGTTTGTTTGGTCGTGACTGACACTATATGTTTGTAAGGAAAAAAGCAACGACCGAATATACCCCCAACTATGCTAAAGATACCCGATGGACACATGGATTCGCTACTCAATAATACACAGTATATCAGTGTAAGTGTCTACTTAGCCGTTTCTCCCTGCTGTTCGGGCACAGCCGCGTAAATCGTCTTACGGTCAGCATCTGGAAAAGGCGGTAGAGTCAGCTCGGTCTGTTAGGTGTAAGAGAGATGGCTCTCCTTGACCACAATAGTCTGTAATAGTTGGAAGACGGTTGTTGAATGCAGAGCCATAGCTAAGGATATTAGTTTTTCCAGCTCCGTTGGTTTCAAGACGTCCGATTCCTCCTCCAACACTCCACGCTACAACTACTGACCAAAAGTTCCAGTTCCTGCTAGTTACTTCAATCTGGACACCAGTACGTCAGCATTTGTCCCTATAGTCGACACCAGAGGCTATAGGGTCTCCCGCGATGAGACATGGAGCTATCCGGGTCTCACAGCTGCTGCGCCTGAAGCATGGACATGGACTTACTGGCAGGGCAAACCCGCGATTACTACTAGTACCCTCGAACGGCAAGGGGAGACATCCAAACGTCTACTCTCCCCTCTTCAGCCATGGACGCATGCACCAGTTATGCGCAGAATACAGCGCAAAGGCTGAAGAGCCGGCCGATGCGGTGACCGAGACCGCGACCCAACCGCCGCAGGCTGAGCCGGCAACGAGGCCAGCCCTCCCGGCTCGGCAGTGGTCGACGCCGCTTGCGAAGACCATTGCCCAGGCGATTGAGGTACGACCCAGTGCGCCCCTGTATACTTAGCTCGTTTCGCTCGAGTGAGATTTCATCTTTCGCAACGGAACGTGGAGCTAAGATATCTCGTTAACAATAGGTTACCGGACCGATATCCATCGCCTCATATATGCGCCAATGCCTAACGAATCCGGACGGCGGATACTATACGAGTAGTCAGCAGACGTCTGACGAGGACGCAGACCAGTTCGGCCGCGCAGGAGATTTCATCACGTCGCCTGAGATCTCACAAATCTTCGGCGAATTGGTGGGAATCTGGTTCATGACAGAATGGATGGCCCAAGGTCGACCGAGACAAGGAGTCCAGTTTATCGAGATGGGTCCCGGTCGAGGCACTTTGATGAGTGATATTTTGAGGACGGTGGGACAATTCAAAACTTTTGCACAGGCCGTCGAAGCCGTCTGGCTCGTCGAGGCTGGAGAGGGCCTGCGTCTGAAACAGAAAGACTTGCTCTGCGGCCCCGGTGCAGAGATGAAGGAAGTCCGAGACGATACTGGCAAGAATGTGTGGTGGGAGGCGACTAGCAAACAAGGCATTCCTGTTCGATGGGTGGAAGACATTGCTTTGTTACCGAGACCGAACCCGAAGCATCAGGACGGCAGTATGCCTTTCATCATTGCCCACGAGTTCTTTGATGCGCTTCCCATCCATGCTTTTGAGTCTGTGCAACCGAAACCGGAAGAAAGTCAACAAGAAGAGGCGAAAGCGCAGTTACTCAGAGAGGCCGGCCAGCAGCCTTTGCCTGCATCGAAGCCATCCTCGTCCGCTTCTACAGCGAGGAGCGAAAAGAACCTTCCTCAATGGCGAGAATTACTCGTGGCTCCTTCAACGCGGTCCGACAAATTTTCCATCCTGACTGCCGCCGAAATGGAGAGGGAAGACTCTCACAGAAAAAAAGAACCCGAGCCTGATTTCCAACTGACGCTCGCAAAGGCAAGCACGCCCAGCTCACTAGTGATACCCGCACGACCGCGCTATCGCGCCCTCAAGAACCAAGTAGGTTCCCGCATCGAAGTGTCGCCCGAGAGTTCACGCTACGTCCAGGAGTTTGCACGCCGTATCGGTGGGGACGTCAGCAGCAGCAGCAGCAACACCGCCTCATCATCATCAGCCACAGCCAACACGGTGACGAGCAGCGCTCGACAACCAGCAGCCGGAGCCGCCCTGATCATCGACTATGGCCCACTGGACACCGTCCCCGTCAACTCTCTCCGCGCGATTCGGAAACATAAAATCATTTCGCCGTTCGTCTATGCCGGCGATGCCGATATTAGTGCCGACGTCGACTTTGAGGCCCTGGCCGATGCCGCGTTGGAAGCTAGTCCCGGCGTCGAAGTCCATGGACCTGTTGAGCAGGGCGCATGGCTGACTCAGCTTGGTATTAAGGAGCGTGCGGACCGGCTGTTGCGAGAATTGCGGAAGAAAAAGCATATGTCAACGCCGTCAGGACAAGCATCGCTACAGCAAGGAGATCGGCCGTCTGGGTCTTCAGACGCCGCAGCCGCCGTAGGAGACAAGGAAGAGGAAGAATTAGACCGAAAAATCCGTGAATTCGACATGGGCTGGAGACGACTCGTCGAGGGCGGGCCCAAGGGCATGGGCAAGGCGTATAAAGTCATGGCCATCCTTCCTGAAAACGGAGGACAAAGGAGGCCCGTGGGGTTCGGAGGAGGCGTCGTCGGATGAGTGAAGCAACTCAATCGCAACGCTTGATGTAGATGTAACAGGACTGGGAGCTGCCAAACGTGTAATACAAACTTGACTTTTCCTCATTGTTTTGGTTTTCGTATTGTATTGACGTCTTCTGCCGTTGTTTACCCGCTCAGTACCTAAGTATCCTTCAGAGTTCTTATCGTTTTCGACGACTCGTCTCGGAGCTCGACATTACATGCCACTGGTGGCATCCTAGGTAAGGTCGACCAGACCTAATTACAGTGACGATTAATTGCATGGCTTGGCCCGGTCATTTCTCGACCATCCTACGGTAGTTATGTATATACTGCAATGTATCATGAGAGTTGTTTTTCAATCAGTCAGGCTTTTCTATATATCTTCAATCTCCATATTCAATCCAGCACATGGGCTTCCGTGTTTTTACTTTTCTTTGGGGGTACTTTTGGCATCTAATCCTCCTCCTCCGGATCAAGATGAGCATCAAAGTCCCAGAAGCGGACTTCCATCTCCGTAGCCCGAGCAAAGATGTTGACGAGCTCCTCGACCCGTTGGGGTGATTGTTTGACGATATGTGTTTCGATGAGATCTGAACAAACAATACATCAGTAAACATTCCCAACATAAACATTCACACCACACCATCAACTTTTTGGTCTTTCTCACCTTTTCCAACACGCACAGCCTCCTGATAATCGTCCGCGACATAATTCTCCACCCATCTCCAATACCTATTTCCCTGATCCGTCGTTTTGCGTTCCTTATCACCAACAAGTCTCTTCGCCGTCTCGCCATAGCCAATAAGACACGGCGCCAGGGCCATCTGCAGCGCAAGCCAATCCTCAGTATTCCCCACGTCCAACACATACCGCGAATACGCGACACAAGCAAGCGACTCTTTGCGGTTGGGATGTTCAAGGTCCTGCTTTGAAATGCCAAATTCGGCACAATAGCCCAAGTGAAGGGCCATTTCGCGCTCAATGTGCAGGATGATATGGGCCGAGGCAGAAATGTCCGCCATGTTGCGCGACTTGTAGCCTGCCAGAGCGTTTGTGCGTGCAAAGTGTGTGAGGTACAAGTAGTCTTGCACTAGGTAGTTTTTGAATAAGGTTTCCGAGAGCGTGCCACGCGCTAGTTGGGTGACGAAGTCGTGGTGGGTGTATTTTTGCCATGAGGGCGCGACTCGGGGGTGATTGAGCAAGTATTCGATGAAATGGCCGCGGGAAAAGGGTTGGATTTGTATGTTGTGGAAGTGGTTGATGGGGCCGGAGCCGTGGCCCAGGTCTGGCTGGGAGGTTTTGATGCCGGTTGTTACGTAGTAGACCGCCAGACGGACGGCGATGGGTAGGAGATCGAGATCAGATGACAGCTGTTGTTGCTGTTGTTGCTGGGATTTTATCTGTTTGTGTTGTTGTTTTCGTTTCATCTGTGCCAGGTTGCCGGCGATGGCAGAGGCCAACGAACAGCCTGTGCCGTGTGTGTTCTTGGATTGCAGAAACTGTGACTCGATCAGAGTGTAGTTGTGGCCGTCGTATAGGACGTCAACGGTGACTGCCCTATCATCGTCGTTGGTCGCTTTGATATACTCGCGCGTTAGTGGCATGTGTCCTCCCTTTAGGAGAACTGCACGCGGTCCTAGCTGATGAACCATCTTAGCGAGGGTTTTCAAGTCTTCTAGACTCGATGGGGACTTGTACTGCACGTCTGCGTCGCGGAGTAGGAGCGTCGCCTCGGGGATGTTAGGCGTTAACAGCGTCGTCATTGGAAGCAGTCTTTCGCGCAGGTTGCGCACCGCATCGCCTGGTAGGAGCTGGGCGCCGCTTGTGGCTACCATGACCTAGAACCAGTACACTTGTCAATTCAACAAGAACAAGGGACTACGTGGGAGCCTGCTTGTGGAGCAAACGATATATGGAGCTGGCCTCCGATATTGTTGAAAGGACTCGGAATGGATGGATGGCCAACATCATAACAACAAGAATCATTCAAAAAGGCAAGGATAGGACAACAAACATACCGGATCCAGAACAATCGTCGACACTTGATGTTTCTCGAGCGAATCGGCTACGACCCTGATGGTCTCGGCTGATGCCAGCATGCCTGCAAAAAAAGATCCAAACAAGGTCCAACATCAACATGGATCCCAATGCCAACAACGTCACAATTGCATGGCTGATGGATGAATGCCCGAGGCCGGTCTCAACCCAACCAAACCCGCCGGCAGCTACTAAATCCATCAAAAGGCAGCAGCAGAAAGAACTCACCAATCTTGACCGCATCACAGGGAATATCAGTTAAACACGCATGGATTTGTTTTCCCACAAACGTCGGCGGCGTGATGTGCACATTGTCCACTCCGAGAGTGTTTTGGGCAGTCAACGCCGTGGTGGCCGTCATGGCATGGCAGCCATGAGCGGTGAGGACCTTTTGGTCTGCTTCAAGACCTCTGTCACATGGCTTCTAGTCAGTATCGAAGATGAGAAGATTGCCTCAACTGGGCGGAATAATTTAGCTGATTGATGGGACTCACGCTCCGCCTGAACTGTCGGAGCCCGCAATGACCAAGACCGTTGGGATGGCCATGGTGATGACTGACGACGCAGTCACTGATGCAGAGTCGCCAATGGGTTCGGTTCAGCTGATCGGATTTGTATATCACGAGCTACTGGTACCAGGATGAGAGCAAGAGAAGCACACTGCAGCGGGGAGATGAACACGAACAAGAAGAGGCTGCCATGCCGCCCCAGATCCGGTCGTCGTCGGTTCAAGGCCAATCGGACTACACCGTGTCATGTCTCCACCAACCATGGCAGAACCTGAAGTTACCATCCGATCAACTTGAATCAATATATGCCTAATTACTCACTTCGACTCCAATACATTGAAACGAATTAAACATCTGTAACTGCTCTCGCCTTTACACACATCATGGGTATTGTCTATTTCTAATATCTTGACAATGCGGTACGCTAAGATGATCCCTCAAAAGTCTTCCTCTGATGGGAACATCAAATATCAGTCCTGCCAGCTTTCTCCCAGCTGTACACGATCGACCCATGGGCCCTTTTGCCCGATTCCCTGGGAGACAAAGCACGCAGATCCAGCCCCATAAACACATTCTGTCTGCCTTCCAGATGCACCATAACGCCTAAAATCCCGGGAACGCAGCCCACGGTACAGGTCTATCGAGGTTCGGGTTGTAAAGCACGTGCGTGACGAAACTTGCAAAGAAAAATCGAATCACTCGTCCAAACCGGAAATGCTCAAACGTTTACCAACGGCTGCGGCCAAGAGGAGCGGCATTGGAGGAGGTGAAGCCACCGCCGCCGCCACCACGACCGCCACGATAGCCGCCACGGCCACCGTAGCCACGGCCACCACCGCCGCCGCCAGAGTAACGGGCCATCTCGGCAAGACGAGGGTCAATGTTCTGCTTGGACTCCTGCAAGATATGAAGTAGGTCACGTGCTTGTTTGGCATCTGTTGTTGCATGTTAGAATCACATTGAACCACCGTTGACAGAGGGTAAACTCACTTTCAGTGGTGAAGAGGGTGATGGCTGTACCCTTCCGCCCAGCACGACCTGTTCTACCAATGCGGTGAACATAGTCCTCGGAGTTGTTGGGGTAGTCATAGTTGAAAACGTGAGTGATATCTCGGACATCTTGAAGGATAGGTTAGCAACACTGCCAATGGCAATTCTTACGAGGAGCGTCGGGGACCATATGTGGTCGTGTGAGCCGGAGATGCAGAGCACTCTCTCTTTGAAACTCGGAGCATTATCCGTTTGATGGCCAATGTCCATGTCCGGGGATTCGGCAATCGTCTACGGTCCTTGCGAAAAAGGAGATCCTGGTTTTGCAGCTTGATTTGGTCAAGATGAGTGGTCCCGCCACCTACTTCTCACGGAAGCAGGAGCGGAAGTCAAGATGCTGGATCCTGGCAAACTGCAAAAGCAAAAGATCCAAGATTTCCTGGAACAAGGACCTAGGAGAACATAGAGCCTGGACAAGTTACGCAAACTGTCGGCGCGTAACGAGCGAAGAGAGCGCGCACCATATCACACGACGGCAATGGGAGATATGCCGTAAAAACAGCACACATAAGTGAAAGGAGAGGGGGGAGGGGGCTTTTTCTTGTTCATACCGATACCACGGGATGCAACATCCGTAGCAACCATGACTGGACTCTTGCCAGTCTTGAATTCGTTCAAAACCCAGTCACGCTCGTTTTGCTGCTTGTCGCCATGGATTGCTGTTCACATTGTTAGCACTCAGTGATGTTGCTTGACGGAGTACGGGTGTTGCTTACAGAGCGCGGGCCAACCATCCTGACGCAGGAATCGGGTGATTTCGTCGGCAACACGTTTGGTGCCAGTGAAGATGAGAATCTTGTTGTTGCGGTCTTCCATGATTTGCTCGAGATGCTTCACCATACGGTCTCTCTTCTCGAATTCAGAAACGACTTCGACAATTTGAGTGATACGGTGGTTGGCAGACAGATCCATGGAGCCAATGTTGACCTGGATGAAGTCGTTGAGGAAGTCGGAAGCCAACTGGCGAACTTCTTTCGGCCAAGTTGCAGACCACATGCAAGTCTGTCGATCAGGACGAATCTGACCGATAATCTTGCGAATCTGAGGTTCGAAACCCATGTCAAGCATACGATCTGCCTCATCCAGAACAAGGTAAGTCACACGACGCAGGTTAGTCTTGCCGGATTCGAGCATGTCAATGAGACGACCTGGGGTCGCAATGCACACTTCCACGCCTCTAGCGAGGTCACGGATCTGGCCACCCTTGGGGACACCACCATAGACACAGGTGTTTCGGATACGAGAAGATTTTCCAAACTTGGTCATCTCTTGTTGAATCTGGACGGCGAGTTCTCGAGTTGGTGCAAGGACAAGGACGATTGGGCCATCACCAGGTGCGAGGAGCGGTTGGGCATTAATGTGAACAATGGCAGGGAGACAGTATGTAAGAGTCTTTCCCGAACCAGTTTCAGCAATACCAACCACATCACGACCGGAAAGCGCCATAGGCCAGCCCTGGGATTGAATGGCAGTGGGGTGAGTGAAGCCTTGAGCCTTGACTTCGTTCATGACATAAGAAGGAAATCCAGCCTCGTCGAAGGTCTCAACCGGCCGGGGAACATTGCGGCCTTGAACAGTGATTTCGTGTTTTCTGCGGAACTCGTCGACATCTCGTTGCGACCGCGCTGTGACGGCAGGATCCTCCTTGTAGAATGACTTTTCAAACTTGGGCAAGGCTGCAAGATCCCAGTGTTGTGTCTTCAAACCAGCGCCCAAGTTTGACATTTTATCGCCGCCACCACCACCGGAGTATCCGTTGGATCCGCCATAGCCGCCGTTAGAGTAGCCGCCGCCGTTGGAGTAACCGTTAGAGTAGCTGTGGCCACCGCCATAACTGTCAAGATTGTTAGTAATGGTGTTGGGACAGAATGCGTCAGCCTGTGCTGAAATGTAGGCGGGATCAACCCCGGCACTACACCAGCAAGACGAACTCCACAACGGGAGATTCGAATGTACGTACCCGTTGGAGTGACCGCCGTCTCTGGACGAACCGTAACCACCACCGTAAGACATGATGAAAGTCGAGATGTACTTTTTCGGGGAGTGGGTGTATGACAGGGAAAATCGGAGACAGAAGAGAGCACCAGGAAGTAGGCGCAAACAAGTCTAGAGAGAAATTGGATGCAGGAAAGGAAAAAGGTGAATATGAAAGCAAGCGAAGATGAAGAAGTGAGGTTTGAAGGGGTTGTTATGTAGTAGCGGGAAGGGGCGAAGATGAAATTTTGGAACAAGGCAAAGAAAGAGGCAGCCGCAGGCACTAGCGATAAGCGCTCTCCACAAGTGGAAACTCTGCCGCGCAGGGTTTTCTCTAGTCTTGGCAAAGCTTGGGCTAGAACAAGATCACGTGAGCTGCTGACACACTCTTGCCACGTGACTCTGAATAAGCGCGATTACGTAAGCGAAGTGCTGGACCGTCAACCAGGACCGTCTTCATCTTGTCCATGTCATGGTTCTTCACGAAGTGACAATTTATGAGAGGATTCGTATGCAGAGGGCGCAAAAAAACCATAACAAAACCGAGGTGGTCTGGAGACTTCCTGGGGCACTGTGGCATAACCACTGACAGTTAGATGACAACTGTATATTAGGTCTTGCTACTCCATCTACGAGAGTGATCGAACTAGAACAGATTACTCCCTGCGGAGCAAGAGTGAAGTCCATATTTCGTGACCGAAGATTACTCGACTTCTGTTCATAGTTGCGTATTACTGCAACTGTGGAAACCCGCCCATGCCCCAAATATCGGGCATATCGAAATCAAACAGTGTGTCGGAAAAGACGTTAAAATCGTCTCGAAGGGCCCCAAAGGGATCGATTTCGGGCAGCCCCTGTGTGATAGGAGTCTGGCCACTCATACCAACCAGAGTGTTGGCGGTACTCATCGCTGTATCCTCTTCCCCCTTCCTGCCGAAACCAGGCGGAAGCGATTGTTGTTTCATCATGTACTGGTGTAGCGTGGCCACGCGATCCGCGGTTTGTTGTGCAAGGTCTTCTATTGATCTGCCTGGTATCAATTTGGACCGAACTAACGCCAGTGCGCTAGATGTGAGCCAGTATGAGTGAAAGCCTTGCCCGAGATGTCGGATGCGGTTCTCCATGATGTCAACTGCTTGTTCAACGAGGGACATCAATGTGGGCTTATCTTGCAGCATATCATCTTTCGCCGTCCCAGTGACAGCAATGTCGTGGCATATCGCCAGACTTGCTCGAAAGAGATCGCTCCGGAGACCCTCGAAAGTCAATGCACTGCTGGGTGCCATGTCTGTGTACGTTTTCAAGGTCGTCAACGCTACACTGCGGCGGGCAAGGCGCGAATAAAAATGCTTGGTTTGCCCTTCAGCCTGTGCGGCAAATGGTTGATGAATCAGTAGGAGATACTCATAGAGCACCATCTCGGAAAGATCGCGCGACATTGCCTGGGCTGCCGTGTCTGTCCATTTTGGCAAAGCGTCGAGGATCTGCCGTATTTTCTGATCAAGGTCAATCACAGAGTCGCTTTCGAGACAGCCTCGAATGCTGTTCATCCTGGAAATAATTTCCAGCCTTAGGGGCAAGTGCTGTTGGGCTAAATAAAGGAATGAGGTTCTTGTAAACGTCGTGATGGGCCGAGCAGGAGGAAGCCTTTCCATGTCAGGGTCCAAGTCCTCATCATGGATGTTCGATGGTGGCAGACAGTCCCAGTCAAAAGGGCCCAGGCTGGCAGTCATGCCACGGTCTAGCGTGGCTTGCACTTCCAGTTCCAGGATGGTGAACCATAATCTTCTGCGCATCTCTTGATCAAAGACAGAGACATTTGTATTCAGATATGATGGCTCCCGGTGCAGGCCGATAGCCATGGCCATTCTTAACAAATGCCCAGCCACAGTCCACTCGCGTTTCACTTTTACGCAATTCATCTTCTTTGCAATGACAATGAGGACTTGAACCTGGAAAACTTCGAGTGTCATATGTTTTTGGCTCTGCAGATCGAGCCAGGTCTCGCATACTTCGATCCATTTGATGGCTCTGTCTCTGCCGACCGAGCTAGGGCCCATAAATGCTGCGGGTTCGTCAGGGACGACGCAATTGACGCAAGCACAGACAAGAAGGAGCTGGACCAGGAATGCCTCCGTAGCCTCTGAAGATGACCCCCAGTATGCCTTGTACTTTTGGAAAAAACTTGGGGCATGTAGCACACGGTATGTCGTCTCTATGGTTTTGAAATATTCTTGAACACGGGCATCGGTCTTTGGCCGATCGGGAATCAATGATACCAGTGTCTGAGGGTCGGGCAAAACCAAACTGGGCCTGGCCTCGCGTCGTTGCCGTTTGAACTCTTCCCTTGCCTTTTGTAAGGTAGGCAATCGTTGCAAGATATCCTTGACAAAGCGGCTAAGTTCCTCGAACTGCAGAAGAAGGCTGCCAGCATGGCTTGGGCCAAAATATTGAGTTTTCAGGCCTTTCCCTCGGAGAAGGGCCCAGTATTGTCCCTGCAAACTGTTTTTGTCTGTGGCCGCCTCAGGGGCAACTGCCCGTTTCACGCCAAACAGAGCATCTGTAGATAATGGCCGTGATCCTGAGGCCATAAAATATGTCGAGGGATTAGAAGTCCTATGACGGTCTTCACGGGAAGTCCTAGCAGTGCTTCGAGGAGCCGGGGCTGCTGGGCTGGTATTGCGGTACGGCCGGGCGTTCTCGTGCTGTTTTGAGCGCACATGCCATTCGTTTGCCTCTTCCGTCCAAGAGTTTGCCGACCCTTCTCGGGCAACGTGCGGACTTTCTTCAGAAGGAGTGGGGAGAGTAGTATTGGATTGGGAGGTATAAGGAACATAGTCACATGTAACGCCACTTTTCTGACAGCGGACACAGGTAGGGAATGTCCGGTCACATTTGACCTTGCGCCGACGGCAAGCAACGCAGGATAAGGCAAGGCGACGGCGCTTCTGCCCCATGGCTCAAGGAGGTATAAGCCAGAGGTAGCCGTTGCTGTTGTGGCGGAAGTCCAGATATAGGAACTGAAAAGGTTCAACACCCTCTACCCTGGGATTGGATAGACTGTAGAGATACTCCCAAGCTTTGATCACCTGCCTCCGCCAAAGGAGTACCTGTCAACTTCCGCAGTGATATAGAAGAGCCCGAAATTTAGTAGGGCTTCCCGTAAGGTGCCTGAGGAGTATGGCCAGGGAATTGAGTCGTTCATTCCATATATTGTGTCTTTGTCCACCCGGCTTGAGATGAACAGGCTGAATCGTTGAAGTTGTGAGGTGTTGTCATGCAGAGCCAGCGGCACTACTCAGCTCTAGCAAACAATATTTCGTCACTTACAGACCAGAGAGCGCAGAGACATGTGAGATCGGTAGCAGTGTAATAAAGCTGTAAGCATCCCGCGTCGTAAGCTGACAAGGCTTGGATGAGTAAGATGCATGGACTATTGCGGTCAAGCGATATGACCGAGCTGACGACCGAGACCGAGCTGCATATTGCTGCCTAGCATGCTTCTCACGTGACGACTACAAGCGAGGTCACGGGAACAAGATTGTGACAAAATGGGCACCCTACGTGCCAAGCATTGTAAAGACGTCGAGGACCGTCTTTCGGTCTCGACTAGCGTCGTACGCTATCGTATAACCCCTAGAAAGTATATAGTCTAACGAGACCCTAGGCCCCGTTAAAATAGAATAAATTCTCCGAAAAATTATATTTAGTAGCGACGACGAGATAGTTCTCTACTTTAAACTAGAGTTCGTAAGAACTTCTATATTCTCTCGAGAAGAAGAGAAGCGTAGTCGATCGTCGAGAAAATCGATACTTTTCTATACGAAGTCGATTAAAGATAAACGAAATCGCCTTAATATATAGTAAAACTAACTAATAAGAAAATTTTCTAGCTCGAAGCTTATCTTTTACGCTCGACGAATCTCTTCTAGTTTCGTAGCGAAGACTTACGAAAATTATACTCTTAAAACGACGAGTAACGATAAAAATTTCTTATCGAGAAAGATAAATTATAGTAGTAAATAGTAACTTCTTTCTCTCGAAAATTTTAGTCTTGCTATTCTTAGATACTCTTAACTATAAACGATAACTAGCGATATAACTAAGATATAATAATAACGACTACTTTAACGTTCTTAATTACGTTCTATTAGTCTAGATAATATAAACGATAATATTATTAAAGAACTTAATATATCGATAAAGAAAGAAATATTATTACTAGAACGAACTCTTTATTAGAACTCTATCTAAACTATACTAGTAGAAACTAGATAATTATCTAGATCTATCTAGATTTATCTATACTATTATAGACGATAGAAAATAATAGATTAATTAAAGAAAGACGTATAATAAGATCTCTCGAGAGATAGAGTACTATTTAGCTAGAGACGATTTCGAATATCGAGAGCTAGTTATAAAGCGCTCTCGCTAAATAAGATAAAAGTTTTTATAAAGAATATATTCTTCTTAAGATTACTTATCTTTCTTTTATTATATATTATCTTCTACTCGTTTTTTACTTATATTTCGTAAACTACGTTTAAAAGCTCTTTTATACTAAATATCGTATAAATATTCTCTTAACTCTAGTAATAGTAGTATTAAAAATCGATATCTTTATAGAAGAAGCTAATCTATAGAAGATATATAGACTTCTAGAAGAGAATTGCTTTAAAAATCTAGAAAGAACTATAGCGGCTCTCGCCGACTATCTATAATACTATAGAATCTTCGAAATCTTTACTTTAATATTTATAGACGGTCTATTAAGAATTATCCTCTTATCTATAGACTAGATAAATATATCTAGATCTTTATCTAGATAGTAGTATCTATTATTAGATCTATTTTAAGATATTAGCGGAATAAAACTCGAAAAGCTTCTAAAATATAAGAGTTATTAAAATAACGACGCGATACGAGTTTAGCTAATCTATATTAAAAGGTAGTTAGATACGAAAAAAGTCGTTAATAAATATTTTTTAACGAGTCGCGAACGTATTACTCTAGTAATTTTCTATTTTAAAGATAATATCTTAATATAATAAAATTTTATATACTAAGATATAAAATATAGTCTCGAAACCGATCTACTTCTAACTAACTAGAAGATATAGAAGAAAGTATTCTAGACGATATTTAGCGACGTTAGGATATAGAAGTAATATCGAGATAAGTTCGACTCTCTTAAGTAAATAGAAATAGTATAAGAATTTCGATAGAAGATCGAAACTCTTTAGCTATATCTCGACTCTTACTTTAGCGATATCGAATATCTACTTATTTCTAAACGAAAGCTTAGAATAATTATTCGAAATCGAATAGAACTTCTTCTAAATACTATACTTCTTTAAAATTATAGAAATTACGCTCTTTTTATAAATAAAAGCGAAAGAGAGATATAAGCTAACGTATATAGAATAGTCTCTTTTCGAGATCGCTTAAGAAGATTTTTCTTAAGAAAATCTTCTTAATCTCCTTAGACTATCTAACTAGATTATAAGAACGCTAATAGTAATATCGAGATAGCCCTTAATAGTCTTTAACTAGAATTCTTCTTATTTACTAAGACTAAAATCTTATATAGTCGTAGAAATAGATATAGATTTTTAAGTAGCTTTCGTTAGAAGTATTAAGACGATAGTCTTTACTTCGATTATAAAGAAGCCGACTATTAAAAAAAAGATTACTCTAATCTAAAGAAGTCTATAAGATAAGACTATTAGAGAAAAGAGAAGAGTCGCTAGATAATAGAATATTTAGCGATAATAAAGAAGTTATAGACTCTTTAAAGACTATCGATATAAGTCTATTAGATCCTAATCTCTCTTTCGATAATCTAATAAATATTACTATTAATACGATCGAAGTCTTTAATTATAACTTAAACTATATCTAGAGATATAATATCGCTAGTAAATTACTAGAATAGTATAGTAATTCTTATTTTATTACGGTTCTTCTTAATACGAGCTCTAATATCTTCTATATCTTAAGAAGAGTTACTAAGCGACTAGATAAGAACTATAAAATTATTTAGAGATTATCTCTTCGAATATATCTTATTAATAGCGAAATAACTCTCTTTAATTAAGCTATTATAATAAGTCTAACTATTAATAACTTTTGAGCTTAAACGATACTCTATATCTTAGATTAGGACGCGTATAATATTATTCTTAGACTTAACTAGCTAAAGAAGTATAGCGCTTTCTAGAATTTTAGTTACTTATATATAACGATATATAATAGAACTAGAAAATTAACTTTAATATCTCTTTAACTCTTTTAAATTATTAACTATAAAGATATTAAAGAGATCGAATTAAATCTACTTAGCTTCTAAAAGACTTAGAAGACGATTTCTAAACTATCGATATTTAACTAGACTTCTATTTTATATCTTATACGAGAATAGAGTTCTAGCGATAAAGTAATCTCTTTAATATCTAGAACTAAGAATAGGCGTTTTAGGCGTATTCTTAAAAGATTTAAAATAGTATTTCGAGAAGAACTATCTATTAAGTTTCTAATAAAGTAGAACGTTAAGTATAAAATCGATATAGACGATATTAAGTTTATTAACTTACTCTACTACTCTTTATTAAAAGAATATTAAGATAAATAAGATTAATAAATTTATACTTTACTAGAATAGAGTCTAATTCGACTCTTAAAGAGTCTATAGAGTTTCTCTATACTCTTTATATCTAAATCTAAAGATAAATAGCGAATATATATTAACTATTATCTTCTTAATAATATTATCGTTAAGAATATCTACTTTTTACTTCGAATCTAGAATTATCTTAATACTATCGAAGTCGCTTAATAGCTCTCGAAGATTAATCTTATCTAAGAATACTACTAAATCTAGATAAGAAAGATATTTATTAAAAAGACCGCCTTTAATATATAGTTTAATAAGTATAAGTTCTTAACTATATTATTTAGACTTACTAATATCTCTTCGATATTTTAGAGAATTATAAATAATATCTTATAAGAATTTATTAGTAAGTTCGTAATTATCTACTTAGATAATATCGTTATCTACTTATAGACTAAAGAAGAATACGAATACTATCTTAAATAGATATTTAAGATACTATATAACTATAAACTATATATAAAGTCGTCGAAGTATATTATTAGTATCTAATAGCTTAAATTCTATAGATATATAGTAGATAATAGAGAGTATTAATCTATATCTATAAAGATATAAGCTATTCTCGAATAGTCTTAGTCTCGAAATATATATAAAGTATATTAGTTTTTAGATTTAGCTTTCTACTATTAA